TAGAGGACTAGAAAAATGTAGAGGTTGTATAAACTTATAGTGTCAAACCTACTGTCTGCTTGTATAAACAGGTGGGATTGAATGGTTAAAGCATTTTGTCAAACGCATGTAAAATTGCATTAGTACGTGTTGCATTGATATAATGCTCGACACCTCCACATTCTCAAATGATTTATTGTTTATCGTTCTCATAGATCATGAGACGGTCTTGTTCATACCTGCATCATTTTCTATAAGTTGTTGGGCATCTTCTGAACTGGGTACAACATCTATTTCTGGTGCTGGGGGCTTGGTGGTTACAACTACACTAACTCCAATTGACTGACCAAGCACTGAAGGTTTTAGATTATGTACTGTTCCCTTCAAGTCATGTGATGGAATTGATGCTTCAACTCCAGCAGTGCTGCTCTCAGAATAATTTACAGAAGGTTTATCCTTTGCACTGACTCCAAAACTAACTTCAACAGCCTCACCTGGAACTGGAGCTTTATCTATTGTTGTAGCTTTACTAACTCCAACTGACTGAGTAGGCATTGAAGGTTTTTCATCATGAAATGTTTCATTCAAGTCATGTGATGGAACTGGAACTTCAAATCCAACACTACCCTGTAGATTATTTCCTGAGGGCTTAGCTGTTGCAGCTACACTAGCTCCAACAGCCTCATTAGGCGCTGGACCTTTACTTACTGATGCAGTTTTACTATTTTGATCTTGTAGTGCTCCATCCAGGTCATGTGATGGAGCTGACACTCCACCTTCAACACTATCTTCAATATCAGTTCCTGCATCAGCACATCAAATAAGAGGTTAGCCTACTTGATAAGGAGGAAACTTGAACACCTTCATCATAGGCCAAGTTTTATATTCGTCATGCCATGCTCCTATCAGTTCATGAACGGTGTAAAAGTGAGAAATCATGCCATGCTCGTAAAAAAAATGATATGCTCTCTTATAATAAATAGCTTGAGAGTTTCAGTCTTTTAGCTGAAATAACCTTCTTGATTTAGTTTTTAAGATTCAACTATTGGTGTGGAATTCAATAATATACAGAATATTCAATGAAACATGAGCTTGTGATATAACTACACCAATCAGATTTAGAGAAAAAATTGCTTATGCAAAGTATGCCCAAAATTCTTAAAGAACAGCAAAAGATTACCTTGCTCATTAAGGTTTCCCTCATCTTTAGGTACCGATTTAGGAAAGAACCAATTGCCTGTTGTATCAAAAGAAAGGTTAAACTATCAACCAAGAACTGGAAACAGAAAATGCAACACAACAAAATGCTTGATTGATAAACAAAAAAAGTTACAAGCAGATAGATTCAGGTTCACAAAAGTTTAACACCCATTACCTTATGTACCATGTCCTAAATATAATACATGCTTATAAGATTCATATACCTTTACATCAAAAGGTAATCTTTCTTCTTTCAATTATTAGTTAGGCAATTTAACTCCTTTGCCCTTGGAAACTCAAAATGCTGTCAAATTAGTACGTGTTCGGTTCTAGCATAGAATGAAATAAACAGAGTTAACATGGAGAAGTACCTGCAGGAATGAGGAAACTAAAGCACGAAGTGCATCTAATCGGATCATCTATCACAGGGGGTGGTGCAGTAGGAAGTACATTTTCCCATTCTCTACCGCGAATAATAACCTTTGTGATGCAAGAATTACAATTAGGACAGTAGAAATCATGCGCAGCCGGCTTCTCATACACCCTTTCAAGATATAACTCAGAAACTTCTTGTTCTCTTATTTCTCTCAAGTTAACTCCCCCACGTTCAGTTGTCCCATTGTTGACAGAAGTATAATGCCCAATTTGCTCAATTGCCTGCTTGGAGGGTGAAGAATCAAAACTAGGTAATTCTTCACCCTTCATATCATCCACATCTTGCTGGTTGGTAACACTAACAACAACACTCTTCTGATAGCTTAGGCTCTCTTCTTTTACTTCCACTGTTTCATCTCCAGGATTTTTCTTGGAAGTAAGAAAATCAACATTTTCACCGTTGAATCCAGAGATCCCATATGGAGATTCAGTACCTGAAATCATGCAGCAAATAAAACATCTCATAAGAAGACCCTTGAACTTGAGCAAACACCACCATACAAACATAGTCCACCAACTACTAGATTAAAGTCCAGAAGTTGATATTTGCACTCCTATTGAGTCCCCCATACCCATATTTCTGTGTGCATGTTTGTGTAATCTGAAGGCTCTTACATGGTCAATTAAGTAGAACCCATTTGCTTCTTCTTAGCCAATAAAACAATATTTTTAATAAATACGAGAGAGAGAGAGAGAGAGAGAGAAGAACTACAAGTAGCAGAAAACTAAAACCAACCCAGAATTGTTTGTGTTATGATGCATCATTAATGGTAGTTCTTGATGCATTAACTAGTGAACTAAGGTAACAAAAATTCGTCTTGACTTGAAAGCTGATAAAAGCAAAACGATTAAACCCAGCTGCCATTACAAACAGATCAAAGTAGTGTCTTTTACCTCCATTTTTGCCGGAGATAAAAGTGTCATTTCTTGGCCTTTCCTCGACTTCTTCACTCACTTCAGCTTCACTAGAAGTCTCTGAGGAAAATACAAAATCACTAGAGACAGTGGTGAAGATTGTGTTGCTTTGCTGCTGGTGAGGTAGCCTTCCTCTCAAAGCCTCACCCACTTCCTCTGTCTCCTCCCACTGCTTTATTGCTTCCATTTTCAGCTAAGATAAGCAGTGTCTGGCTCTGGCAGACACAGAGACAGCTTATTTTCCACACTGCCTTGCCTTACCAAGGAAGCTCCGTGTGTGTGTGTGTGTCTCTCTCTCTCTCTCTATATATATATATATATATATATATATATATATTATCACTCACTCTAAATGTGAATTTATGACATTAAAGATACAATGTACAAGAATTCAAAGTTTTTGTTTGGGTTATTGAATGAAGTCAGCTTATGAAGTCTTTGTTTTCTTTGGCTAAGGAAGTCAAGCTATGGAGTTGTGTAATCTGCTAATTAAGGACACCAAAGAAAATAACTCAACTTTTTTACTCAACCTTTTTGTAGCAAGTCAAGGATAAGTTAATATTCTTGTCAATTTCTTTAACGATGCAATGAGCAATTTCGTCAACCCAAAACCCATGAGTGTTAAAGGTCGTCAAAAACTCTCCCCATTTTATATTAGGGGTCGAAATTCAACTACTAATCCCAATTTTTGAAGAATTTTAAACTTAAATGGCAAATTTCAAGCCCTAATATGAAATGGGAAGAGTTTCAAACGAGCACTCAAAGGTTTTGGGTTGATAAAATTGCGTCTTGCACCATTAAAAAAATTGATGAAAATACTAACTTGTCATTAAATTGCTACAAATACGAAGCTACATAGTCCAAATTGACGGGATTGAAACTATAAAGTCAAAAATAGTTGAAGTACCAAATTACACGAACTAAAAGTGACTTTTAGTGTAAAAAATTCGTTACACTTTAAGGGTTGAATTAAAGTATGGTGTATGCATATAAAAATATGAGTACTCTGATTTTTACGTAGATTTGATTCCTATAGTTTGAATTTTGACAATTCTTGTTGAAATTTTATGGGAATTGTGCAAGTTATTTTATTGAAACGGGATCATGGGCAAGCGTGATCTCAGTTAGTGTGTTGCCAGGTTGAAATCTTTTACATGTTAGTGTTCACATGCCCAGCCAAGCACAGATCCCATATATATATTGCAGAAAGTTAAAAGCATTAAATGAAGGGGGCTCAATTTGAAAGCCAACAAAACATGATACTCATTGGTGTTTTTGTTCTTTGGTAATTCGTGGTCCACATCATTTTTATCGTACTCCTTCACCTAACTCAATTCCATCTAACAGTCAGATTAATATACATCACATTCTTTCTTTCTTTGAATCGAAAGTGATGGAATAAGACGAGTATTTCTATAGGCTCTTTTTTATGACTCTCATCGTGTTTGACACGTGAATTGAAAAACGAATGTGTATAATTAGTATATATTTTTTCGCAATTGTATTTTACTACGCCTGAAAAGCATACAATGATTCCAACCCAATTAATTTTATCCTTCCTCAAGAAAATGATGAAAACTTGTGATGAAACAACTACAATGGCACACGCAATCCTCACCATATGGAACTCATGGGCACGTAGTTGTTCCAATGGTTCTTCAATTATACCCGGAAAACCCCAAACCCCAGTTAGGGCACCACCCCCCTCCCATCACCAAACAAAATCTCAAACCTATCGTGGTCTACAGCACATTCTAGTATGTGCATGTGACACATGATTTTTTTTAATTATATAAAATAATTTATTCCCATGTTGACATTGACCAAGTAACTTCAGTGGATTAGGAAAGGAATCTATTTGTAGTTGACTAAAATAAACATATTATATGATATTATAGTCGAGTGCAATATTTCAACGTGTTCACATGTTAATCCACATGAGCAAAATGGTAGTTCTATGAAGACCCAAAACTTGTCTCTGGACACCCCTTCAAAAGCTTAGAGCCTGTTAACAGAAACAAGGTGGGCCATGTAGGGCCCATATATTCATACTGGGCCAGCCCAAAAGAGATTTCGTGGACCAAAGTTTGGAATGTATCCAGAATACGACAGGTCTCCAATGTAGCTCTCGATTAAACGACGAAATCTAAAACGTCGGCCATAAAAGCACCGCGGTCCACGTGCATGGTTGAAAACTCTATCACCGTCCACTAGGTCCCACTGGCAAGTGGTCTAAAAATTCTAATCCACTTGGCCTTCCGATCGAGTGGCAATCTCGTAATTCCCTCCAAACCCGGTGGCGTTACATTTTCCCGGGCTCCTCCTCGGTCCCATCGACCAAAAAAATTATAAACCGAAAGCTTCGATTTTTTTGAAGTATCGCACAATCTCTTCGTCTCTGGTTGGCTGCTGTCTCTCAAAGTTCTCAACTTTGCTGAAATAGAAAAACGAAAAACACAGAGAGAGAGGAGATGTTGAAGCTCACAACGTACACTGGAGCGGACCAAATTCATGGCGTGGCCCAATGCCACTCCTTGGGCCCATCGAAACCCAACCCAACTTTCCCTCGCCGGAAAGACGGCATTTCTCTTGTGCCATGCACTTCTGCGCCTTCGAAAACGCCGGTTCTCGCCGTCGTTTCGGACCGGGGGGCCGGGAGTGTGCGCTCGGAGACTGGACCCGGTCGGGTCGAGCATTCGGTTAGCCTGGCGGACCGGTTGAGGCAGGGGAGCTTGGCGGAGGACGGGAAGTCGTATAAGGAGTGCTTTATAGTGAGGTGCTATGAGGTTGGGATTAACAAGACTGCCACTGTTGAGACCATTGCCAATCTCTTGCAGGTTGAATTTGAGTTCGAATTTTGGGTTTTGATTCAATGTGGCTCTCTTGGTTTGCGTTTTGTGGTCTGGGTTGATTTGAATTTCTTGTGGGAAACTGAAATGTGTGAATTTTAGCATCTGGGTTTGTGTCAACGTTGCTTAATTTGGATGGGTGGGGCTTGGGGTCTTATTTTTTTTTTTTTTTTTTTTTTTTTTTTTTTTTTTTTTTTTTTTTTTTTGTACTGGTGTGTTGCTATTTCCCTCTCATGCATTTATGAAATGAATTGCATTATTTAATGCTCCTATTTTATTTCGTTGAATTTTAGCTCTCTCTACAGTCATATTACTCAGATGTTGATAAGTCCCTGCAATCAATTCCTCTGGCAATAAACTGAGACATTTCTCTTTTCTTACTGAAATTGTATAAATTGTACAATGTTAGCTGTGGTCATTTAAAATTTTGATTGCTGTAAGTTACAGAATTACTTGTCATAACTTATTTATTTAAGTATTTAACCACTGTAAGTTTGTGATGTAATTAAGTGATTTTTATTTTAATTGTTAGATATCTTAGTTCCCTGAAACACAATTGAGGACACTGGGATTGGTTTCCTTAGATGATTCTTGTTATAGTATTTTCTGGATTAACTAATTCAGTTGTTGAATTGAGGAGAAACCCTGATTAACTACCTTATACAATTGGTATTCTTCTAATGGTTTTCATATATTCCCCTTTGAACATTGTTGATGCAGGAGGTTGGATGCAACCATGCTCAAGTTGTTGGCTTTTCAACTGATGGTTTTGCGACCACCACCACCATGAGGAAAATGCATCTCATATGGGTTACTGCTCGCATGCATATTGAAATCTACAAATATCCAGCTTGGTAGGATTTCTTTTTTATCTTACTGTTCTGGTTTGGATTTCTAAACTGGCAAGTGAATCTTAAAATGCTGGTGTGTGATACAGGAGTGATGTTGTTGAAATAGAAACATGGTGCCAAGGGGAAGGGAGAATTGGTACTAGACGTGATTGGATAATGAAGGACTATGCCACTGGTCAAGTCATTGGAAGAGCAACAAGGTGCATATCATGTCTGCTTTTTGTTATACAAAGTTTTTAAGAAGTTCAAGAAAACTTGGTTTAACAATGGAAGCACTGATTTTTCACTTGTACTACATTAAAATTTGTGTTGAAGAACATGGTGTTGTATTGAACCAACTTCCTCATTCTCCTTTATCTTGTATTTGAGTCTGGCATCTTTCTTGGAACTGGTAAGCATGTATGTACTTGTGGCAGGTCTTTAACTTTTAAGTTACGATCTTCTTGAAGGAAACCCAATTTTTTTCTTTCACGGATGCTTCTTGGGCATGGAGATATTTTAGTCTGGCTATTTGCATGAATGTTGCTACTTCAATCTTTGCTCATGTTCATTTTCTTTTTCAATAAAGTAATCGTCCATTTTTTAGATTACCTTTGGTTGTTGAATGCTTTCTGTAATTCTGTGTTACATTATCTTAACTAATCAACCTTTGTCAAATTATGGGAACTTATTGTGGGATATATTCCGAAAATTGGCCATTCTGCATGGTTTCAGTAAGTGGGTGATGATGAACCAAGACACTAGGCGACTTCAGAAAGTCAGTGATGATGTTCGGGAAGAGCATTTAGTATTTGCTCCACGAGAACTGAGGTAAGGAGCCCCTTCTTCATTTCAAATGATATGGTTAACATCCAGACTTTGGCACACATGCACACACTTCCTCTTGCACAATCTCCTAATTGGTTTTTTGGCATTGGTAGGTTAGCCTTTCCAGAGCCTAACAATAGTAGCTTGAGGAAAATAGCTAAACTGGAAGATCCTGCTCCATATTCCAGACTGGGACTTGTGGTAAGGTTTTTAAATTCATTTGAAGTTCTCAATTTTTTTCAGTTTCTCAGTACGATTTTGAACTTCTCAGCCAAGGAGAGCAGATCTGGACATGAACCAGCATGTTAATAATGTCGCCTACATCGGATGGGTTCTAGAGGTTGGTAGATATGTCTCTTCAATTCATAATTTGGTTTCGAGGGATCTATGGAAATAAATCATCGTTGGTCTCACGAATATGTTCTCTTTTTATGACAGAGCATGCCTCAAGAAATCATTGATGGCTATGAACTGCAAACAATCACCTTAGATTACAGGCGGGAGTGTCAACGGGATGACATAGTTGATTCCCTTACAAATGTGGAACCTTTAGAGGATGGTCCAGCTATTTCAGGCTTAGAAGGAACAAATGGATCTCCTGCTGCAACAGAAGATACAAAGGACTACTGTCAGTTTTTGCATCTACTAAGATTATCAGGTGATGGTTCAGAAATAAACCGGGGACGAACTGTCTGGAGAGAAAAACCTGCAAGATGAGGAAATATCTTATCTCTTGGCTCCACTGGTTTTTTTTATTTATTTCGTTCCTATTTTTCTTTGTTTTTGTCCCTTGTATTAGAGATTTTGTTTCCTTGTTGATGTCAATGTCATAATTTGCTTTCCTGAGTTTTTTTATCGCTTCCCAATTGGCCCTGCTACCGAAATGTCATTATGTCTTGCACTGATGTTAAAGTATCCTCAAAGAATATTTAACAGCGTTATGTTGTATCTGTCATGTTAGAGTGGAAATGTAAGGTTCGGATTTTAGTTTGCAAATGTAATACTTCTGTTACCATTGGTCTGTGATTCTTGCTGGTTTACTTTGAATTGATGCAAGGTTGGAATTTTAGTTACCTGCCTTCTTTCTTTTCTTTTTTCTTTTTTCTTTTTTTTTCTTTTTTTTTCTCTTGACTATCTGTTGGCTTATCGAGGACGAAGACATTAGTCGAATTCGTGTGAATTTAACAATGGCATCCAAAGTTTGTTCAATTTTCAAACCCTTTTCGTGACGAAACCATTAGATCCATTGGGAGGACTATGAGGCATCAATGAAGTTACCAATTCTTCCTGTCTATGACCACCAGAACAACCTAATATCATACCAACAGAAGAAATCCTGGCCAATTCCAACCTTTATTTACTTCTGTCCCTATCAAAAAGAAGCCATGCCCATGGGGGTCCGCAGATTTAAAAACCACAGGGCCCCACTCAACTACTACATTCTATAACGACCAAAATCTCCATGCAGACGCGATTGAATGCCATTCCCAAAATAAGTACACAAAAGATGCTCTCATTCTTCAGTCTCACACACTACACCAGTATTTATAGGGGGTGACCTCTACACAATTTCCCCATGCAAAAAAACTAGTGGAAAGAGGAGAGTACCATGAAAATGGGTATGGAGAATTCAAAGTTCTTTCTCATTCTCATTGTATTTGTGGCATTTCTGGTGGGTTCTCAAGGTGTAGGTGACAAGGAAAAGAAAGGGGAGCTCTATAATGCTAAAAATGGAGGGTATGGAGGAGGGCCTGATGGAGGGCCTGGAGGAGGGCCTGATGGAGGGCATGGAGGAGGGCCTGATGGAGGGTATGGAGGAGGGCCTGGAGGAGGGCCTGATGGAGGGCATGGAGGAGGGCCTGGAGGAGGGCCTGATGGAGGGCATGGAGGAGGGCCTGATGGTGGGCATGGAGGAGGGCCTGATGGAGGGCATGGTGGAGGGCCCGATGGAGGATATGGAGGAGGGCCTAATGGAGGATATGGAGGGGGGCCATTTGGAGGATATGGAGGAGGTCCATATGGAGGATATGGGGGTCCATTTGGTGGCTACGGAGGAGGCTTTCCATTACTTGGGGGGCTTCCATTACTTGGGGGTCTTCCTTTGCTTGGAGGGCTTCCATTTCTTGGGGGGCTTCCACTTCCCTTTGGAAGGCTTGGGGGGCTTCCACTTCCTTTTGGAAGGCATGGGCGCGGATTTGGTTATGGCATCCAGGGGACTAAAGCTAATGATGAAAAAGGAGATTATGGCGGGAAGGGAGACTTTCTTAACCCTAAAGGTGATTATGGCGGGAAGGGAGACTTTCCTAACCCTAGAGGAGATTATGGAGGAGAGGGAGACATCCCTAACCCTAAAGGAGATTATGGCGGGAAGGAAGACGTTCCACACCCTAAAGGAGATCATGGTGAGAAGGGAGACATTCCATACCCTAAAGGTGATTACGGCCGGAAGGGAGGCTTTCCTAACCCGAAAGGCGATTATGGAGGGGGGAAGGGAGACATTCCTAACCCTAAAAGAGATTATGGTGGGAAAGGAGACATGCCTAAAGGTGATGGTGGAGCTGGTGGTGGCCAGTATCCATAGCCAAACAGATGTTGGTCAACTGAACTGAGGTGTATTTTAACCATATAAATAACTAGCCTACTTTAACCATATAAATAACTAGCCTAGCTCAAGAACTTTGGCCTCTTTGGGATTGTTAGCTCATCTATAAGGCCACAGGACATTGGTGCTTTACGTATCTGTAATGGGTTAGCTTTTTAATAAATTTGCCTCAGTTGTCTCCAGTCTCCCTATTTCTGCCTTGAAATCTAATACATTTCTTCTCTCTTTATTTATGTAATTCTTCTGGCCATCTCTCTCTCCTTCTCCCCGTGTAATATAATATGTAAGATAATCTTCAGAATTTTATACCAGTGTGATTTATTGAATTAATATAATTGCTAATGAAATTTAAACATGTTAAACCCCAATTTTAACGACAATAAGTCCAAACCAGAAGAACAGTGTGACCTCTGCATTGTGTTAGAGAAGCTACTAGATGCACATTGAAAAGCTGTTTATATTAGATTGTAATCAACACCTGTTCACGATTACTAGTCAACCATAAACCATAAATTGAAATGAAGCTCCTACAGTTAGCAATTCAGCACAAAGAATTTGGGTGAAGATAGATTTCCTCATTGATTACATATCCAAAAGCTAATTTGCATTAACATCACAGCTACAGAGGCATAAAATTAGATGTAAGGTGACAAGACATGAGAGTACAAATACCCCACCAACCAATAAGATTTTTCCATACAAAAAACCATCATCCTCACTAGGCCTAATAAGCGGCACATATTTGAGACCAGTCATTTTTAAGTATGGAAAATCAATTCTGCAGGCATGCCAAAACAATTCTTTAATCCTTCTTCCTCGAAAAGCACCTTACAATAACCCTGCTAAGAGAGAGACAGAGAGACCGTGTATTAGTACTTAACAACGAGCAAAACATAAATTCTATAGCCATAAACTGAATATATTGATTGACTAACGAAAAATTATCTTATAATCATGAGAAAATGCCTTTTTTTCTTCTTCTTCTGTGATGCTTATAAGAGAATTAGCAGTCAAGTAACTAGCTAGTTTGTTACCTTTAACCCCTAAAAAATTATATATAGAAGGCAAAAGGTACTACTACCAAAATTTGTGTACTGAAATGCAAAAGTGTGCAAAAACATGTATCAACTCCACCAACAACAAAAAAAAAGGTCATAGAATAGAACACCGGAGGGAACTTACATCACCAATATAGGCATGAGTTGCACACTCATCTGGTCGTAGGAAGGAATACCCTAATGAGTTCTTTCATAGTTACTTTTCTCCTACACGTAGGGCATTTACCCTGTGCACCTATCGCAGCCCTAATGCATGCCTTACAGAAAATGTGACCACATTTCGTTGACATCTCCTCAACTAATGGGGCCATGCAGATGGGGCAGCTAAAAGTTGGCTCCTTTGGTGGGGGAGGTGCTGGTTGTGCAACACTTTCTTTCTGCAAACAAATATACTTGAGATGAGTATGAACCATTCGCACACACCCAACAAAGGAATACAATGCTCCAATTTCAGAAGACTACAATTACCGTGGAGCTGGAATTGTTATTGCTTTCCAAATTTATGTAGAAATCACAATTAATTATTGTTTGGTTTGGTGCAACTCTTCTGCGCTTGTTACGAGTGACCCTAGTTCGTTCTGCAATGATCACAGAGAAAGAGAGAGAGAGATGTGAGAGACACATAAAGATCAATGCAGAAGAAAACATGTGTTAAAAAATGTGACCAACAAACCACCTGGCTCTACAAGCATATAACACAATAACAGCAATATGGGGCAACTAAGACTTGCCACTGACAAATTCTAGCTCAATGATGAGCAGATTTTCTAAAACCTACCCCTAACCTTTCTAGTTTAGAACAATAACAAAGAAAATAATGAATAAAAAGTCTATCAGCTTGTGCAGGTTGTCCAAGACAACTTTGAAGACTCTGAAACTTACAATATGAGCTTCCCATCCTACTAAGAGCACTAGAGAAAAAAGATGAGTAGATGAGTCTGACCTTCTCTCCAATTATTTATCTCATAGGTTGCATGGCTTTAAACTTTTAGTTGCATGTAAACAAACTTCATAAAAAAATCGAAAGGAAAACATTCAAGATGTCAACTAATCTTATGAAGTTGGACAGATGAACTACGAATCAATAACAAATTAATGGAACACAGAATCTTCACGGTATAATAACAAAGGGAAATACATAAAAGCCAAAAAGTTCTGATGTAAAGAAATGATAAAGTTTATAATACAACAGAACAAAATTACCTAAATCCACATCAACAGTGATCCTTCTTTGGTTCCTCCTGGCATTGTTTTTAGCCTGACATAAAACATCAAAAGATTAAACTTATGTTTATATATACACATATACATACCAAGCGGACGGAGATAACCACAACAAAAGGTATGTGTAAACTTAATATAAGGCATACCTCAGCAAAAGCCCTGGGGGAGGATTCAATAACATCATCATCAATAGCCTCAACATCAATCATATTAGGTGGTGCATACTGCCCTTGCAGGGTAGCTTGATTATTCTGAGGATCCGCCGGGGTTGAAGTTCCCTCCTGATCCCGATTGTCACCAGGTGGCGCACTATTGAGGTCTAAGTCCACCTGATCCTTCCTTCGGTTTACATACCTGGCCGCTCGAGTGCTCATGTTATATGTATGGTCTCCTATCCAAGATGAAGCTTGAAAACCTACAGTTTTTCCAATGCAGGAATCTTATTCAAATACATGTTTAATTTTGTTGGAAAGCAAATGAAGAATAATATAAACAAAAAATTAATAATATACTTGCATAAGTTTCAATTACAGCAATAAAGGATATGACATTAAGCCAAAGAGATACGATAAGTCTTTTCTTTTCTACAACTTTCTTATCAAATATGTGGACAGTAAACTACCCCGTGCCATGATAAACAAACAAACTAATGATCACGTTTAACTCAAGCTGGTGCACCCATTCCCATGCCTCAGATCACCATAATTAACCAAACTCCACCAAATTGTATTCAAATCTACGAAACTCGGGCATAAAATCTAGAAATGGAAACCCTAGTCACAACCCACAGACTGGTCACTGAGCATATCAAAATTGAGTCCACAATGAACCTGAATGAATTCCATAAAAACGCAATTCACTGCAATTACACATGTATGTCCAACCAAACATGGTCTATTTCCATTGTATCTAACTGTGTGACCAAAATGTGATCATATCTTCACAACGAAGTACTGCCTAAGAATAAATCAGATCAGAATCGATTTGTAGATAACGTTGCCAGCACATTCAAACCTTAGCAGTAAAACTATTATTTTTCAACTCAAGCATTCAGCTTCCTCTAAAAATTCGCAATTTCTAAAAATCTAACGGCTCGATAAATCGGAAAAACAGGGTGAAAATTATCGGATTCCATCAAAATCAAATTTTCCTAAGCCCCAAACAGCACGAAAAAAGAAAGATATCAAGCTCAAAAAAAATCAGGAAAAAGCGGTAAAAAATTTATCAAAAATAATAAAGAAGAAATCGCAGACAGAAACCCTAGGAAACCAATAGGCGCAACCAGAATCGAGATTCCGAGAAGGAGAAATCGAGATTCTAACCTCCGATGTTTGAAAAAGCAAACGAAAGATATAAGAACTTGATAGTTAAGATCGTACCTTTGATCAGAGAGTTTGAAGAGGAAGAAGAAGTTATTAAAGTTTTGCCTGCGTTGGGCAGTGGTTTTTAACCAGGACGAACGAGAGAGACGAGAGAGAAACACAACATGGACTTTGAGTCTCTGCGATACACGAGTCGGTGAGGGCTGAACCAGGTCCACGTGTCCTTGTACGTGTGAGATATGCGCAAACGATCTCTTCCACAACTGAAAGGAAAAATTAAACAAGAAATCTTTATGCTATAAAATAAATAAATAAATAAAATTATTTTTAAGGAATTCTTGAATTTTCTTTTGTTATTGACTGTAATTTGGACACTTTTTTCAATCCTTTTTTATGTAGGATGTTTTCCTTTATACAAATGATGTTGAAGGAGGGGGAAATCTTACGTAGGATGTTTAAGTAATGAAATTATTTTGTAAAATGCATTTTATTTAAGTTTTTTGTTGAATTTTTTAGAGATATTTAGTCAAATACTCATTCTTAGCACTAAAACTATAAATAAACCCTACACCATTTAATTTCTATAAACATACCCAAAAAAAGCCCAAAAAATGACAGCTGACCCTATTAAATTTAATTTTAATTATTAAATTACTTTGAAGTCCTATTAAATGTTTTGGGCTTTTTAAGAGGTTTTTGGATTAGGTTTGTTTTAAGAAATCAATGACAGTTTTGTAATTTAAAAACAGTTACACGCTTTTTTGTTATGTTGTAAATAAACTTTATGTGTGTTTCTAAAGTTCATTTCATATAGGGCTTTTTTATAATATGAGCTTCTATATTGAGTTTTATAGTGAATCTCCTTTTTTTTAATATTATAATTAGAATTCTCAACATATGAAATATGTTACTTGTTAATTTTGCGGTCATTTGCGTGTCAAATTTGTTCACTAATACCAACCCGTTAACAAAGCATGTCATAAAAAAAGAAAAAAAAAAAAAAAGGGTCCCTCTCCAGGTATATGTTTGACTCAAATTAATTTACAAATTATCTAATAGGTATGTAAAATTGGGCTTGAGTTAGAAACGAATTTAGGTCGGGCCTATTGAGTTTTTGGGTTGACATGATGAAGGTAAGCCCAACCAATACTTCAAAAACATATATCACCTCAAATCCTCAAATCGGAAAGCAAGGGAAGGTAGAAGAATTAGATGATCAGGGACTGCAAGGCAAGAGAGTCAATAAACCAAAAAAATTTGCTTGCTCACTAGAAAAGATCAAGTTCAGTTTCTATATGAAAGTAAAAAACAAAAAAAACAAAGAAAGAAGAAAGATTTATTATTATAAGAGAAAAAAAAAAAAAAAAAAAAAAAAAAAAAAAAAAAAAAAGAAAAAAAAAAAAACAATTACATTCTCTTGATACAGATCAAACATGACACAAACCTTTGCTCAAAGTAGCAAAAAGGGTTGAGTTAGACATGTTCTTACAAAGTTCTACATCACAGCTTCTGTCAATCTCACCATAAAGCTATTCATTTTAGCTGCCTCCAGAACAATCCATGAAGACTCAAACAACTCATGGAAGAACTCTGCACCAATCTCCTGAGCTGCATTTCTAAATGCCATTCCAAATGCGTTTCCTTGAACTGCCCCGAGTCGAGGCTTCCCACAAACCCCAACTATCAATACCTTTTTCGGCTCTTGTACCAAGCAAGCACAAACAAGAGGTTTCATTCTAGCCCCCTTCTCTCTCAGACCATCCATCAGGAAATAGCAGAATTTAGTCAATGCCTGAGGGTACCCCAACAATTTTGCATCCAAAGAATCTTCAAGTTTCACCCACCTAAATTTCCTTCCACTTCTTATACAGCCTCTCTTGGTTATTGCCATGCTTCCTTGTCTAAGAATTGCCCTCTGTATCTTAATTGCTTGTTGCATTCCGGCTTTCAGTTTATCAAGATTGTTCAATGACAATGCATCATAAGCCATCCCAAACTCTTTGGAAGCACAAGAACCATTCGATGTCACATACGATTCAAGCAGAGCTGTAACTCCATACACCACATCTGCTGCAGATACCTTTGATCTGTAACCATGGAGCCGCAGAAAGCTCCTGTAGTAGAAATCTGTAAGTCCATATTCGGGTAAAAACCGCTCGAACTCCTCTTTCATCAGCTGTTTCACTTCCTTATCCATGTACTTGTACTTCTGCTGGCAATCCACAAGCGAAAATCCCATCCTTGCAAGAAGAAGCTTAAGCTTCTTCATCCCATTGTCACTCCATGTCTTCAATTTAGTTGCAATGTACGAAGAGCAAAGCATGGAATCGAATAAATTCCATTCCTGCAACAGCATTAGTCTAGGTTCATCTTCATATGTAATTCTAGACGACTGGGGTGCACGAATCTTCGTCCCATCTTTGAGAGTCACAGTAGTTACTGCCTCCAAATTCCCGGAACTATTAATATACTGCTCAAGCTCCATCACCCCAGCTTGGTACCTCTCATCTGTTAACCTCTCGTGCAAAAACTGATCTGTTATCGAAACACAAGCCAACCAAAGCAACTCATTTGTGTTCTTCCTCAAAGAATGTGACAGATCATACATCAAACACCCTGAAGGCTTACCATGAAAAGTACCCAAATGATAATATTTCCTCTTCAGTTCCCTAAAGATCTTGACTGGGTCATTTTCCTGAGATACCCTTCTTCGTTTTCTGGACCCTTCTCCATTTTCCTCTTCTTCCTCACTTTGGCTGTCATCATTCTCATCTTCGTCACTGTCGCTGTCCGATTCGGGATCCAGCTCGTCATCACTATTCAAATCACTGGCATTAGCCAAAGCCGAAACATCCTCAATATCATATGCCAAATCTGTCTGCCTCTCATCATCCAAAGTATAGAGCACAACCACACGATCATTCTGATCACTCAGGTTATGCAAATGAATCGGACGGTGACTATCAACCACAAAAACACGAGCCCTGGGCCCCAAATTGAGGAGCTTCCTCAGGTCCCTGTGGCAACCCCAATTGATTAAGAGAATTGAAACCGGGTTTTCGGACGAAGAACACAGATCGGGCCCTGCGTACTTGTGAATCTCTTGAAACGACGAGACCGGATAGCAGGCGTATCGGACCGAATCGGATTCGAGGACATGGAAGATGATTTTGAGGGCACAGAGAGAGTCCACATCCGAAGTCGATGGGAATATGAGAAGAGGAGATTGAGATTGAGACGCCTCCGTAGCGGATTCGCGGAGCCTGGTGTAGAAGGACTCGACAGTCTTCTCTCTCACCATGAGTTCAGAGCTTAAACTCAGTTGGGCATAGAGATTTCAAAACTTCTAAGCAAAAGAAAAGATTTTCTGTGTATCCCAATTCACCGAAAAGCTAATTTCAGTTTTTTTTTTCTTTCATACAATTGCTCAATCGGGTACACAAATTTGAGGCAAAAGAGTCGAGTTTCGAGCGGAACCTAATATGTGAATCTACAAATTGAAGTAAAAAATGAAAGGGATTTGCTCTAAGAACATGAATGGAAATCTGAAGGCAAGTGAAGTACCTGATATGTGTGCGGATTCGAACAATGCAATCGGTTCTCTGTACTCAGTTCAGCTATGGCAGATTGGCCATCAGATCTCGGGAGAGACAGAAAGGCTGAGACCGAGAGAGGGAGGGAGAAGGGAGAGAGGGAGAGAGAGAAAGAGAGGGTTTTATTCTTTTAGGTTTCAAACAACACATGTAAAATTTTCGTTTGAGTTTTTGTTAACGTATTTTTAGTGAAATTTGAATTTTTTAAACGAGCCGCGAAACTTTGGCGCTCAATTAGGGAATTTGAGTTGTGTTTGGTGCACGAGTCCTCTGTGAGCGCCCTTACGCTGGACTCACCTTGTTTGTTCCGGTGGATCGTGGATGTGAGGTCAGGAGTAGTCCGATTCAACGGTCACGATTGATTGATCGCTGACAGCGAAGCGACATTGACTGTTGACCCTCTTTTTCTCTTTTGTAGTTTTCCGTGTCGGCGGCTCGCACTCTAATGTGAATTATTCTGTTATGAAAAGGAATTCATTGGGACATCATGCGCTGCGTGCCATTTGGCACACGAGAGCTTAAGTTCTATTTTACGTGAATTTACTAAAAGACCCTTGACAAAGGGAAAAAACTTTCTTTCAACTAGCATAACACTATTTTGTTATCTCCGTCAAAAACATAATAACATGTAAAAAAGTTATCACGCGTATCATTGTGCTATTTTTCGGGAATAGTAAAAAGTGCTATATCCTTTGCTTGAGCGTTTCTCTCCTTGGCCAAGTTGAGGTTGGGTTTGTGCACACAATTTTTCACACAAATTAATATACAAAACTTAAATCTATTCAAGTAATTCTCCAATGCACTATGGTTACTTGAAATTACCAATTCATTAATATTATAACTTGTGGATGTATATATTATTAATATTATACTCTAAATTCATGACATCAATCGTATTAATCAGGTCGTTTACTCAACATCACATGACAATCAATTTTAGATTTTCTTCGATTTCTTATTTTGAGATGGGGTGATATGCGAGACATAATCGATTGAATCGTGCTTGATATAAAACTTCAATCCAAAATTATTTTTTGGAGTTTATCTATAATTTCTAGTAACATGCGAAATAAAATGAATCCAAAAACCGAGACAAATATTGCCGGAATATATAGGAATAGAATCAAAGAATAATCTGTATCTGGTTTTTCCAGCCACATATAGGAATTAAATTGATAATGTTCAATGGCACAACAGAGCAAACACAGCTAAATATGAAAAGAAAGAAGAAAAATAGAAGGGAAAAAGGGAAAAAAGAAAGAAAAAAGATTTCCAATTAGAATGGAATGAAATCTTTTATTAATACAAAACACACATGCTCAGATTAAATGAATGCACTTTATAGAAGGTAACCCTCATGGACAGAGCCCTTAAAGATATTTACAGGTCCAAACACCTTATAATTTACCCACAAATTCAGAGATACATCAATATCATTTTCTGCTCCATGGAAAGCAGCAACTCTGCAAAATTGAGTCAAGAAAATAAAAGAATAGAAATGAGACATAGAAACCAGTAAGTTATATGAAAATAATGAAACCATAAGAAGTTATGACTGGATGAGAAACGGTGATTGATGACAAACCTTAGCAGTGTCATTGGCAGCCTGCTTCCGTGCATCGTGGTACGATGACTGAGAAGGAGTGCCTGGTGCTTTCCCTGCCTTCTCCTCCCTCACTTTGTTGAAAATGTGAGTGAAACCGTCAGCTGATGCAGGATCATTCTCATCCCACTCGCCAAATTTCGGAACAGCAGCACCTTTCTCAGGCTGCCACATTAAACACCCACATACTCAAGAGAAAGACTTGAAAAAATATTGTATCAATTTATCCCAGGAAGAAGACAATTAAGTAACAAGACCATGTATAAAACTACTCCACTTTAAGCCTTGTTGCAAACTACCAGTACAATCATTTTGAAAACCATGGTTCTTGCAACAGCAAGACTTTCTCAATCATCATTTAAAATAAGTTTTTGAGATCATACCTGTTTACTGTCTATTGCCATAGAAATGGCAAATGGACAACACTTTGACAAGTTTATGCTATTATGACAATAAAATGATGGATATGAGGAAGAAAATTTACACTTTCATCACGAGGTTTAAGACGGGATCTTCCAGGAGTACCATGGCTACTTTCATATGAAGCCTTTCCTTCCCAGGAGGGAGAATCTCTCCCTGAGACCCTTGCATTGCGATGGAGAGGTGAACGTTCAACACTGTACTCAGAGCCAGAACTTGGTCGTGCAGGTTTTCGATGGGTTTCACCAGAACTTACTCCACGGCCTCTGTAAGGTTGATTTGCTGCCTCACCAGAAGTTCTGCGACCCAAATTTTCACGATGGGCTGGAGAGTTGGCAAATTGCCTTAGGTCATTATCCTCCCTGCTTCTTCTCTGTTCATCAACTGATCTTTCTGGTTCAGCTCTAACTTTTGGAGGAGATGATGCGGATGAAGATATATCAGAAAGCATATCCTGGTTCTGTTGGGGGTCATTTGGATTAATCATCTTTCCCCCTGGCCCTGTTCGACCCTTACGGGCCTTATCGAAATAGGCTGTGTAAGGAACATTTTCTTCACCTTCCCAATTCCCAAACTTTGGTACATGTGAACGTTGCTGCCACATTAAGAAATAGTGTCATATTTAATATCTAATACATCTAAACACATCCAGTATTCATCAGTCAATACATTTCAGTACATCATGTAGCATCATATGAAGCCTATAAGACCTCTTCTATACACAAGGTCATTCAATGGGTGAGTTAAAGTAGGCAGATGAAACCATGAACAGAAATGAGGCCCAAATTTTCGAAGTGGATTTGGAAAAGTATAACAGGCGGTTCTGCATGACCACAACTTGATCTTGCTTAACCACATTATAATAAACATTCAAATAAGCACGGTTAGATCAGATCAGGGAAGAAAAAGGACATTGAGAATCTACTGCAACTCCCTAAACCTTCTCAAAGTAACGCGAAACAATACTTCTTCCACAAGCTTTGCTGGCCGTCCAGATGGTGACCTCACTTTTTCAGGTGACCACCCTAAAATGAAGGCAGTAAATGACTGGACAATTAACTGCCCATGGAAATGAACATGTGCCCAAAGATCTACTAGATGACACATACAAGTCATATCACCTCCATGATTCCCCATGGGATTGGTATGGTTAGACTGCATGCCTATGCATTCTAATCAAAGGACAATCAACCTAATGCAACATCCTACTTTAAGTTTTTAACAGCATTTACTAGCATCAAACCTGAATTCCTTTAAACTTAGTGGTATTGGACGACTCTCTTGGCACTTTTTCCTTGCTCTACTGAGATGAACAAATGCGAATACAAGAAAGTATAATCTATAGCACCATCACAGAGCTGATGATCAGCTTCCTATAATCAACTAGCTGAGAGAGAGAGAGAGAGAGAGAGAGAGAATCTAAAAACAAATGATCAAATATTTAACAACTGACAGCTTTTCAGATACCTACCAGTACTAAAAATATCAGGTATAATACATAAACCAATGTCAACCCACTAATTATTTCATGTAATTTCTCTGAGAATGCCAACATATAGAGGATATCTTATCAAACTTTCTCACCTAGTGTCTCAACATTATCAATTTGGAGACACTGTAAAATTTCTAGAAAACAAATTAACAATGATTTCTCCACCCACATAATTAAAACCTTACACTGAGAAGCCAGATAATTTCAAATGTGAATTTGCAAAGAAGAAGAGAGAGAGAGAGAGAGAGAGAGAGAGAGAGAGAGAGAGAGAGTATCATTTATCTAAAGATAGATTATCAAAATCATTTACAGCTTCAACTAACTACTAGCTCTAATACATTTCAATTATATACATAAAACCCCAGAAAAACTAATATGTCCCCATCAAAGATTTATTCATCTACGAATTCAGCTCAAGTTTTATGGTCCTTGAAACAAGAACTCAACACCACAAATTGAGTAGAACTATTATGCAATATAAACAAAGCTCATGCTCCCATTTTCCAGAGCACAATTCTTATATGCTAATTCAACCCCATGAAAGAAACCCAATAATTCTTTTTTTATTCTTAATTATATATCACATGCACCAGCTCAAAATGTAGATGAATAAGAATTGATAAAGCACTCTGATTGAGCATCCTCTAATCTGTACTACTAGCTACTGCCCTAATAACATACGCCCTAAAATCTCTAATAAAAGAACCCAGATCAACAATATATCCAAGTTGGCTACAGACTTTACATGTCAACAAACTTAGGACAAACCCAGTGTTGCTTGTCAGAAAACAAATAAAAAACAAAGCTTTGAAACCCAAGTCTAATATATGCTCTATTTGAAAGCTCATATCTTCTTGGAATCCTAGAAAAGAAAAGAAGCCCTGATCAACATAATGCACAAAATTTAGAATCTCATTCTCTTTTCTTTATCACAGCTTTCTCAGCTAGCAAACAGAAAAATCATACATTCAAAACTAAGAAAGAGAAACAAAAATAAAGCACAACAAACAAAAAAATCTGCGAACTTACTGCCATTTTTCTCTCCACCAGATGTAGAACAAAACCAAGAAATTACTGTCAGAGGGCAATCTTTTGCAGCAAATTCAAGTGCTGCAACCAAACCCACCACAAAAATATCACAACCCCAAAAGCTCCTCCACGAAACCCACAACGACTCACCAAGACAAAAATTATTTTAGAGAGAGAGAGGTAGCTGTAGAGAGAGAACGGAAGAGTTCCTAGAGGGGTTTATCAACCATTGACGGACGCTACCCGTCATGTTTGACCTTTCTCTATGTTTCTCTGTTTCTTCTTTGTTCAAACATCTCTCTCAACGAGTTGAGTCTTTGCGAGTTCTTCAATTATACGTGAAATGCTATTGGCAGATGTCTTTTTATTTATTATCCCCTTGTATAATTCAAAATTATATAATAGCGTATTGCCAATTTTCTTTTTCACAAATTATACATTCCTATATTTTTCACTAATTAACATTTGAAAGTAACCTTATACATGCATTTCACCACTTCCCCTCTTCTAGTTCTGCTAGCGAAAGTCGCTTATATCCTTGTATATGGTTGTAAATCGAAAGAGTAATCTCTAAATGAGTGTTAGGAATTGAAAAATAACATTATATGTGTGTTTTACTGCTTCTCTTCTTCTAGTTGTGTTAGAAAAAGTCATTCATATCCTCGTAAATGGTTATTAATCGAAACATATTACTCTAAATGAGTGTTCAAGTAATTCGAAATGAACAACCAGACATGTTGTTGTACGCCAATAATGCATTGTGAAATCGACTTCCGAACATTACATTTTCTTTCTTTTATATGTGTATTTACTGCTTCTCATGTTTTGGTTAGAGATTATAATTTAAGATTTTAACTGTGTTTTGGAGCTAGACAACGTTTGGTTCATGAAAATGGAATTTTCCTGTGTGTTGAGGTTTGGAGTTATCGCGGCTGGTTTTAGTGGCGGCTGACTAAATGGTGGGCAATTGTGAAAACTCAAATGCGGAAGACTCTGTTTGTTTGTCGGCTTCTGTGGAAACATTTCTGATATTACTCATTCTTTTGTATTTTTCCTAAGTTCTTTTTCAGCTCTTTTATTGTTTTAATTTATCATTATTAAGTTATTATTATTGTAAACCGAAATTATAACTCAGTTCACACTATAATCCGAGTTTGATCATCCTAGTCCTCTTCTCCAAAATTGAAAATAAAAAATAATTTTGTATTATTTTATCGGGTAAAGAAGTTTGATTATTGCATTTTAATAATTTACCATGTATAAGATTTCCTTGACCAAATACGTATATAGCAGGCTTAGTTTGGCAGTTGGTCTCCAAAATTCCACTTGGCTCTTTATTTTTATTTTTTTTTAACCCAACGTGACATGCACTAGCTTTGGCTACTTTCTTATTTGAGAAGCTTTTTATTTCTCTTATCTTTTTAATTATCATACATAATACACCATTAATCAGCTACGCATTGTGTCGAGATGTTTTTTTAGGAGGGAGAATTCGAATACGAGTGCAGAGTGAGGAACACATTCGCTTTAATCAATCTTGTTAAGCCCGTATTTGCTTATTGCTTCCATCTTTCATATAGTTAGGTGGGTTAAGGACCCTCTGAAAAGCCCAATTTGCCAACTAAGTTTTAATTTAATTAACAACAAGTGCCCCAAGTTGTGCCACAATGCACCAAATTTGACCTATTTGAAGTGGTCCTGGTTGAAATAAAAACAGCTTTAATTTATAGAGAAGCCAATTATATGAACTTAATTAAGAACATGTTTGTTGACCATTAAGATTATATAATAAAGGTTAAGGAGATACAAGAATACACTTTAAAACATCTTAATATTTCATAAAACAATAAAACATCGTATAAATATTATACTAGCTCCTCGACTTGCTTACACATACGATAATTTTTTATTATTTTCTCTTGTCTTTATTTATGAAGAGTTTTTTTTAGGTATGGGCTTTAAAATAAATAAATATTTAGAATTTTTTTTATAAAAAGTATGGGCTTTAAAACAAATAAATATTTACATTTAAAAAAAAATAGAATGAAGTAGTTGTGATTGCACTTTTATTTATTAAATATATAATAATTTTTGAATTTATTTAAAATGTAATTGGCCTTTAATGAATATATATATACCCATCCGATAAGCTCGAGCCAACCATATGTTTAATCGTAGCCCCATTTGTTCGTAGCTCTTTAAGTTGCTCATAACTGCAGTGATAATTGTGGGGACCAAAATTATTAAGATGGCCACGTGTCACAATACAAGGAATACTCTGATTCACCCTTTGATTTGATCCCTCATAATGGCCCTCAAGCTTATTATGGGCTCCAAGAAGGGCCAAGTAAGTGAGTCAAGATCTGTGATGGACTCAAAACTGTCCAAAATAGGAAGCCCGGGTTTACCCAAAACTGGTCCATGAACAACACAAGTTTATTGATTTGACTATCGGAAGGTTTTTGGCCAACACTACACCGGTGCCCTCACACCCGAGATTTGTTTCTCTTCGTATGTTACAATCGTAATTTTGTTGTTTCTCTTTGTATGTTACATTCGTAATTTTGTTAGCTTTGCACTGAATGCCCAACTACGTAAAGAATGGTGGAACTTTTGTATGATTATAGAGGCTTTTAGCATAAAGATAGTCTTTTGAACTAAGGGCCAGATTGTATTCCCATCATATTGCCCAATATTTGGCAAATAAAGGGAAAGAAAAAAAGCACACTTTTGCTCCTCTGTATTTTAAACAATTTACTTCTGCAGTCCACTAATCCTTCATCAACTTTTTTGTTTCTCCACTCTCCATGCTTTTTCATAAAGTTTTTACATTAAAAACTCTCACTATTTATTTATTTATCAATCTCATTAGTTTAACTTTCTTCGTACACTTAATATAAAGTATGTGTAGGTTATATACAACATGCATGCCAAACGGGTCTAACTTAGTAAAAAAGAATATTGACTTACAAATAAGTGGTCTTAAGTTCGAATCTCGATGACACCTTAGTAATTGTAGAAAGGGGAATGCTAGCAACCTTCTCTTTTGGACATACTCCCTTTTTAGCTTGACATGTGTCATTTTCCTTACATTTAAAACAATATCATTAATATATTATACAAGCTAACTTTTGCTTTCCAAGTTTACCCTTATTAAATGTATTCAATTTATCCAAAAAAAATTCACAACTTTCTTACCATATATATTTTTTTTAATGACAATTTTTTTTATTTAAGAAAATGTCTCCTTTAAAAAAAAAAGAGGAAATGTCCCTTTTCTTTTAACATCAAGTTTAGATTTATTATTATTATTTTTTTTAAAAAGGACATTTCCTCTTTTTTTTTTAAGAAAAAATTTTCTTTAAAAAAAATAATGAAAGTTAAATTTTTTTATTTATAATATGGTAAGAAAGTTGTGAAATTTGTTTGGATAAATTGAATACATTTAATAAGGATAAACTTGGAAAGCAAAAGTTAGTTTGTATAATATATTAATGACATTGTTTTAAGTGTAAGGATAATGACACATATCAAGCAAAAAATGGAGAAGGTCCAAGAAGAAGGTTAAAAAGAAGGTTGCTAGTATTCCTCTTGTAGAAATCCCTCTCCCCCAATATCTTTGTATAAAAAGAAAAATACACCACACATGTACACAAACATTCTCAATTGGAGACTCTAACAAGAAAGAACTCTCCCTTCTCCCTGAAAAACTTACTTGTAACAAGGATAATATTGTTTTACTATCCCCAACCAATAACACAATGACATTAAAAAAGTTATCTAACATGTCATTACGTTATTAACCGAAAATAACAAAAATATTATCTCATTACATGAAAGTCTCTCTCACACTCTCCAATGGACATTTATAATGTGGCCCATTGGACCTTTGTTTCTGATAGACATACCTGTCCAAAGGACAAAAGCTGCCAAGATTTATAATTATTTTTCTTTTTAGGAAGCCAAGATTTCTGGATGGACCTGTTTTCTTGGTCCATGTTATAGCCTTGAATTTTCAAAAATGCCATATAAACAGTCAAATTTTTAGCATGTAAAGTGTGACATATCATGCGTGTGACAAAATAGTGGCCTTGCTTCAATGCCGAAGTAGCAGGAACTTCTCAGTTCTCGAGAGTCAAGGTCATTTGTCAAGTACAAGCAAAATCAGCAAGTTTGTTGTTAAGGAAGACAGAGCTTAAAAAACAGAGCAAACCCTCTTTTATTTTAAATTTTATTTTTGCGTCAATTACACTTCAAGTTCTTTGCTTTTGACTGTGCTTACCTTTACTTTTCATCCCCTAATCCTTCTTTGGGCTGGAGAAAAAAACAAAACCCATTTGCAAATCACACCCCCTTACTAAATTAATTGATCTTAAAAACCAAATTACACCGCTAGTTATGTGAAAAGTCACTGACATGATGAGAAATGGGTTTTTGCAGAAAAGCATCTTGCTTTCTCCATTTTCGCTGAATGCATAGATCTGTCCTCTTATTAAACCCTCATTTTTGGCGATAAAACCAGCTTTTGGCTAACTGGGTTGCCTAATTTTCTTCAAGTATTCTTAACCCATCAACGAAGGAATAGATTTTTGGTTGGCAATTTGAGGTATTTATTGCTCCTGTAGAAAGAGCAACTAGTAAGTCTGTGTCAGGAAGCTTCTTTCTTGGTTTCTTTCAGTCTCTTCAGAAGTTCATGGATCCATGATTTTGCTTGCTGAGAAATGAAACTTCTTTTGTGAGGTGAGTTTCAACTTTTATTACAAGTTGAGCAAAAATCAGAGCTTTGTGAAAGCTGCAGCTAGGTAGGTGTTGTTTGGTAGAAGCAGGCAGAGATGATTCAGCTGTTGTTCTTAGTTCTTTTTGCTGAGGGTGTTGTGGCATTTCTTCTATTGGTAAAGATTGGGCCATTGAGGGAGCTTGTGATAAAGAGCCTGGATCAGCTCAAAATGGGTAAGGGTCCAGCTACTGTGAAAACCATTGCTTGCACCATGTCTGTGATTCTCCTGTCAAGCTTTATTAGCATTGTTAAGATCCAGAACAAAGGTGTAAAGCTCGGAACTATGTCACCTATGGATCAGGTTCTGTGGAGAACCCACTTGCTTGAGGCTTCATTAATGGGTATATTCCTGCTCATTTTTTCTTAGTTGCTTTGAGTGCTTGCTTACTATTCAGTTTGTGAACTTCAACAGTTGGATTCTTATTTAGGGTTTCTTTTTTTATTTGGGAAAAGAGTATGCCAGCAAGAAATGGGTATTGTTTCCTGTAAACAAGATTTTAAGGGCTTAAGGCTATCACCCTAAGGATTGTTAGAAGGATTCACCCTAAGGCTTTATGATTTTACCATTCAATGGTTCTGCTTCTGCATGTATTGAAAGAATCTTTTGGCTGCGTCTTTAATATTTATTGTGTGGCTTCTTTAGAGCGTGTGTTAAAATATGGACATGAAAAACTGGTTCTTTGAATCAGTAGAATCTGATTAAAAGGTATAGAAGGTGGCCTAGAAATCAGTGTTGTTAAGAACTGTTTCTTTCCCTTCTTTTTGTTATGGTTAAATGATGCAATCCCAGCTTACTGGTTGAACAATCAGTGTATTTTATATTTCCATGTAAAGTTTGGCAATAGTAAACTTGGTCTACAAACTCTTCATTCCTTCTGATTGCTGCTAGTGGCCAGCCTCTCTGGTCTTGTGTACTTGGCAATTACAGTATCACTTATTGGGTTCCGGAAGAAGTTGCATTTAGTTTACTGAAAAAGGGAATACTTAAGTTGATTTTATGGTCTTCTTGAGCAAGTCACAGAAGTGCTTCATGTATGGTGTCGGCTCTGTGATTGATCTCTGACCAGTTGAGAGTAGCTAGACTGACAGCTAACTATATATGCTTTACATTTATATCTAACAACTTTTGTTTCTATACAGTGAATGATCCTTCTTATCCCTGATACACTTGATCTCACTTACAGGTTTTACCCTGTTTCTTGGCTTCATAATCGATCGGATGCACCATTATTTAAGTAAACTTATTGGACTGAGGAGTAACGTGGGAGCTTCAAAAGAAGAAGTCGACAGACTTCAGAAAGAGACGATGCAGCTTAAAGAAAAGGAAGATAAATCTTCCCAAGAAATCAAGCAGCTGCAAGAAAAAATTTCGACTCTATCAGAGGATTTGAAGAAGCTGAAATTGGAGTGCAAGGAGAAAGATAAAAACATTGAAACTGCTGAAGCCCATGTTGCTGCCCTTCAGAAACAGGCTGCAGATCTACTTCTTGAATACGACCGTTTGTTAGAAGACAACCAGAATCTTCAGACTCAGTCTCTAGGTTACAGGAGCTGAGGAAATTTTGAAAGACAGCCGCAGTTCAAACTTCGAGAATTATTTTGCTTACTGGTGATGTTCTTGTCTAACATCTCATGCCAGAAATGGACATTATTTGGTCCTTCATGAGGGAAAGATGGCAGAGTATCATATTTTTCCCAGTTTTGTTGAAAATTTTGTAATCGCATGAAATTAGAATTTTCACTTTGTCCATCTTTGCCTTATTCCAAGGTTGATATAAACTTTCTTTCCCTTCGGTTTTCAAGATTCCCCTTTCTGATTAATATGCAAATTTAGTGGAATTGGGCATTTTTCTAAATTTGACAGATTTTGCATTCTAGAAGTATTTGGTGTATTTGGTCCAATAAACTTGATTGATGATACTGCTTGATGGTTAATCTGATCATGTCAAATGGGTTTTATAGTAAAGGGGATTTGAATTTGTTAAAGCAATTTGATAAATTATCTTTGCTCTGAGGAATGTTCCTCTTCAAAATTGTGCAACATAAATTCAGTCCTTGGGATATATCCCACAGCTCTCATGTCTTGATCCAACTTATTCAAAAGTAGCATAATATCTTCATGACGTTGGTGGGTCTTATCTTCCATAAGAAAGGCATGCAGCTCTCCATTTACTTCCACAACACTATAGCCAGGCACTTTCTTCGTTCCTGTCTGTTTCATCATCTTCTTCATACCAGCTACGTCATCCCATTTCCTTGCCATGGCATAAAAGTTTGAGACCAAAACATAGATTCCCAAGTCATCCGGTTTCAACTTGAGGACCTTCTTTGCCGCAACCTCTCCGATGGACAACTTCCTATGGTTGTGGCAACCTGCCAGGAGGGCAACCCAAACAGCAATGCCAGGTTCAGTATTCATAGAATCTATTAGCTCATAAGCTTCTTCGACTCGTCCAGCACGAGCCAATAGGTCAACCATACAGGCAAAATGTTTCTCCCCCGGAGGGATCATGTACTTACGAACCATGATATCAAACCAATACTGGCCTTCTCCTACGAGACCCGAGTGACTGAAGGCTGAAAGAAGAGAAGCAAAAGTAGCATCATCAGGTTTTATGTTCGTCTCCGTCATCTGGAGGAAGAGTGCTAGAGCTTCCTCTCCATGCCCATGAATCCCATAGCTTGCAATCATGGCATTCCAAGAGATCAAGTCTCTGGAAACAATCTGATCGAATAGAGCACGAGCATAAGAAAGGGATCCACATTTAGAATACATGTCAATGACTGCAGTACCCAAAACTTCATCAAAATCAAGCCTTTTCAAAATATATGCATGTGTAGATTTACCCAATTTCAAAAATCCAACTTGTGAACATGCTAGAAGTGCACTCACAAGAGACACTGAATCAAGTTCGAATCCACTACCCTGCATCTCTACCAACATTTCAAGTGCATGCCCTGCAAAACCATTTTGAGCAAAGCCAGAAATCAAAGCACCCCAAGAGATTGCATTCTTGTAAGGCATCTTATTGAACACACAAGAAGCTAGCTCCAAATTTCCGTTCTTAGCATACATATGCACAAGGCTGGTTTGAACCATAACATCCATAGGAAGACCTGTCCGAATCAAAAACCCGTGAACAGAGAGACCCAACCTCAAGTCCCCAAGACTTGCACAAGCCTGCACTAATCCCATCAGCACAACCCCATCTAATTCCATTCCCTCATTTTGCATTCTCTTATACATATCAACTGCTTCCATTGGCCTTCCACTCTGCACAAACCCTGTTACCATTGTTGTCCAACAAACAAGGTCCCTTCTAGGCATCTTATTGAAAACCACCACTGCTTCATCCATCTTCCCACACTTGGCGTACAAATTCAAAACAGATGAACCCACAAACACATCATATTCGTATCCACAATGTACCGCTTTAGACCATATTTCTTCACCAGTTTTCAAGTCCAAAGTGCTTGCACATGCCTTAAGGGCAACAGTGAAAGTCGAGCTATCAGGTCTAACTCTATCTAATAACATCTGATGATATAAACTTACGACTTCAGATGGGCAATATTGACGAGAATATGCGATTATCATGGCATTCCATGCATGTATGCCTCTTTGAGACAATTTATCGAACACCTTACGGGCTGACACAATATCGCCAATTCGTGCATACGCTGCTATAAGTCGGGCATTGGAGTTTCCATGAGTAATAGTACCCGTCAATATCATAAGAGCATGAATTTTAGCTGTGGATGCTTTATCCTTGCAGGATAAGAGGAGAGATCTCAGGCGGCTTGGCCATGGAAGCAACTGCATCTATGCATGGGAAGCCCAAAGCTTCGACTCTGTAACCTACAAAGGTTTCTGTTTATAGCCGTTGCAAAAAGAGGGAAAATAAAGACTTTGTTTATATAATTATTTCCAATTTTCTTTTTCCCTGTTCTTTGTGATGTAAAATGTCAAAATGAGTATTACTCCGTCACTCACCCATCTTCAATATTCTTTTGTTTTTAATTTTTATAAAATACCAACATAAGTGAAGTTCATTCATGAATTCGAAATCCGTATAGAATGTCACACTTTGAATCGAACAAAATATCAATTTTATCCGGTGATATTTCTCTTCATTGAAATATGGGCTTACATGTGAAAGGCCCAATTTGAAACTTTGTTAATCAATGTTAAGAAAAATCTTAACTCTTAATTTAGTTTAAGAATAAACAAATAGATTATAGTATTTTCCCAAAAAAGGAAAAAAGATTATAGTATTTTAGAGCCAAGGTTCATGAGCATATATTGAATTTGTATTAGTTATTTTTTCTTTCATTCCTTTGTATCAATTGGGGTGTGAAGATTCGAATTTCGTGACCTCTTCCAATATTGGAAAGAGAAATGCAAGTAGATTAAGAGTTAGTTGGTGTAGATTGTATCAGTTTAGATGCTTAAATGATATTATTCTTGTTGATAATGACTTTGGGAGGGTATGGTATCCAAACCCCACAATATTGGATAAAAACGTCATACAACTTTATTAAAACACCATACCAATCTTTTATTAGCAGTCGTTAATTAATTCTTCCGTTCATCATAATCCATTGTTAAAAAATTTTGCAGGAAAAAAAAAGAACCAGCGAATAAAGTCTGAGGGCTGAAAAGACTTAGACCAATTAGATTCTGTTAGTGGAAGGAACCAATTTGGAAAATTATATTGAATTCTTTTGGTCAGTGATGCTGATGTCTTCCTTTGTTTTAGAGACTTGATTACCAAGGTGAGCATAAAGTTGGCAGTGCCTTATTCTCTCCCCACAAGTTGACTTCTGTTCTTGTTAGTCTTTGTGAATTAACAAAGCTACTGATATTCTTTGTTCAAAACTTAGCTGCTGCAGCAAGACATGGATGATCAATCAGACGGCGGACAAGGCAACGGCAGAAATCTGAAGCTACCGGTGCCGGGAAAGCGCAACATACTCATCACAAGCGCCTTGCCATACGTCAACAACATCCCTCACCTTGGCACCATCATAGGCTGTAATTCACTCCAGCTCTCTCTCTCTGTCTCTCTGTCTCTGTCTCTGTCTCTCTCTCTCTGTGCCTGTTGTTTTGATTTTCATTTGTATTTGTCAAATATGTAGTTTATGATCCTATGTCATACATATATCATATATGTGGTGCAGGTGTTCTGAGTGCTGATGTTTTCGCTCGATATTGTCGTCTTCGTGGATACAATGCGGTATACATATGTGGGACTGATGAGTATGGGACTGCAACAGAGACAAAGGCTAGGGAGGAAAATTGCACTCCACAGCAAATTTGTGACAAGTATGGCGATGCCTTTGTTTCTAGTTTTGCCTTGACCTGTTGAAAATTATGCCTCTTGGGTTATGACTTATGAATGAACTTTTGATTTGTGGCTCTTGCTTTTGTAGATATTATGCAATTCATAAAGAGGTCTATGATTGGTTCGATATATGTTTCGATGAATTTGGACGCACCTCCACTCCCCAACAGACTGAAGTTTGCCAATCTATTTTCAAGAAACTGATGGAGAATGGATGGCTTACAGAAAACACAATGCAGCAGGTACATATTTATGTGCTTATGTTCATCTAATGTGTAACTCTTATGCTGCATCTTTATTTGCAGAAGAAAGAAACTCACTTTACTGCTAACCTAATGGATGTGTCATTTTCTCTTTCAATGGTTTCGAATTTCGACAACAATCCAGCTCTTTTGTGAAACATGCAATCGTTTCTTGGCTGATCGGCTAGTTGAAGGCAGTTGTCCAATGCTAGATTGCAATTATGACTCTGCACGAGGGGACCAATGCGATAAGTGCGGAAAGCTGTTGAATCCAACTGAGCTTAAGGATCCTAGATGTAAAGTATGTTTGGCCTACTCGAATTTCATACTTTCTGCCAATGAATCTTGTTGGGATTTAGTTAAAACCTGTTATATATACCTGCTTCTTCTAAACATTCCCTGGTTTTATATATACTTAAAAGTTGCAATCAACAGGTATGTCAGGCAAGGCCATGTATACGTGACACAGACCACTTATTTCTAGAGCTCCCACTGTTGAAGGATAAATTGGAAGAATATATCAGTGACATGTCTGTTGCAGGATCTTGGAGCCAGAATGCTATTCAAACCACATATGCATGGCTTAAAGAAGGACTTAAATCCCGATGCATTACGAGGGACCTTAAGTGGGGGGTTCCTGTTCCACACGAAAAATTTAAGGACAAGGTTAGCACTTGATTTATGTAACTGTTGAAGAGTTTCCCTTTGTTGTTGTATATTGGTAATTTGCAGGTCCCTTTGGTTTGTTAGATTTCATTTTACATTTGCAGATTGATAACTTTATTTTGCCAATTTTATGATGCTTAGGTTTTTTATGTATGGTTTGACGCGCCCATCGGTTATATCTCCATCACTTCGTGCTACACGCCTGATTGGGAGAAGTGGTGGAAGAACCCTGAAGATGTTGAGCTGTACCAGTTCATGGGCAAGGATAATGTCCCATTCCACACCGTAAAATTTTTCTCATCTCATGTATTCTGGAGTTCAGACTTCTATATCTGCCTGAAATTTGTATGTGGTTTCCAAAATGCTTATCTGCTGTAGAATTTGATTCTAGGTTATGTTCCCATCTACGCTTATTGGAACCGGGGAAAAGTGGACTTTAATGAAGAGCATTAGTGTTACCGAATATTTAATGTATGAAGCAGGTACACATGGGCGAGAATAAGCAATGATCTTCGTAGAAGTTTGACATCTTGAAGTTTAAAATCATAATTTATTTCTACTTTTCATTTTCTAACATTGATGGATGATGCAGGGAAGTTTTCCAAGAGCAAGGGTACAGGAATTTTTGGCAATGATGTGCAAGATACAAACATTCCTGTAGAAGTGTGGCGATATTACTTGCTAACTAACAGGCCAGAGGTAATCTGTTTTTCTGCAGCCAGCTGCTAGTGATTTCCAGTTCTTGCATTGTATTTGGATATTTGAAAATTCTAATGGTTGTTACTGATTTATTTATTTATTTAATCATGTCATGATTAGGTCTCAGATACATTGTTTACATGGACGGACTTGCAAGCAAAACTAAATACTGAGCTGCTGAATAACTTGGGAAATTTCATTAACCGAGTGTTGAGCTTCATCGCAAAACCTCAAGGTTAGTTAATTAGCTGGCTGCATACATGAAATTGAGAGAAAATTTGCTGAGTTATTGCTTCACATAGAACTTATTGATTGACTTAAGTCATGCTTCTATGAAAAATTTCCTGCAGGACTAGGATATGGATCTATTATTCCTGATGCTTCTGGTGGTGAATCACATTCCTTGACAAAAAGGTTTGCAGAAAGAATTGGTATATGCGTGGACCAATACATAGAAGCAATGGAGAAGGTGATTTCTTGTGCAAATGAGTCTTTCCTATATAGCTATTCTTCTATTTTTTCCATTTTTGCATTATGATTGACGAAGAAGTTGTGATATCTCCGATCAATTTCATATAACAGGTCAAGCTAAAGCAAGCACTGAAAATTGCAATGAGCATATCCAGTGAGGGCAATGCATATTTACAAGTAAGCTCATAAAAGCTAAAGCCAGCACTGAAAACTGTCTTCAAATATTGTTTGCGTACTACATACATGTTCTGATATGTATGCAGGAGAGCCAATTCTGGAAACTTTACAAGCAAGATCAAGCTTCTTGCTCTCTTGTTGTGAAAACTTCTGCTGGACTGGTTTATCTTCTTGCATGCTTGCTAGAGCCTTTCATGCCTTCATTTTCTCTCAAGGTATGACACTATGGTCTTTTGCATCCAACACAGATTTGCCTCATTATATTTAATCCATTCTACCACCTCACCTTGATACTTTTGCTTTTCATGATACCTCAGGTGCTAAAGGAGCTCAATCTGCCGCCCGAAAATCAATTTTCGCTTCGCGATGAGAATGGAGATCTTGAGAAGGCAAAGAAACCATGGGAAATATTACCTGCGGGTCATAAGATTGGGACACCAGATCCTTTGTTTAAGGAATTGGTATGCATATACATTTCATCATGCATAATCCTCAGTATCCATTTCAATTCCTTTTTGCAAATGCAATGTAATCATTTAACTTATTGTTTCACAGAAAGATGAAGAAGTGGAGGCCTTCAGGAAGAAGTTTTCTGGAAGTCAAGCTGAAAGGGTTGCTAAGGGAGAAGCTGAAGCAAGGAAATTAGCTGAGCAATTGGAGCAAACAAAAGTTTAATGCTTAAATTAGCTGAGCAATTGGAGCAAACAAAAGTTTAATGCTTACTTTTATGATTATATTCCCTGCTGTATGGATGCTACTACACTGGTTATATAATCTGAATATAATTATTATGAGTTTTAAATACAATGTTTCTAAAACCAAGTAGCTAACTTCTGAATTAAAATTAGCTTCGCAAGACAGACGTGCCAATTGGTCATGACAGTGTGCTCGTATGAGTTTGATCCCCCTCCTCTCCTTGTACATTAAAATAGTTTAGAATATTATTTTGTAAAGAAAAAACCTAGATTTTCTCAAATTGCAAATAAAAAATATTTTGCATAAAGGAAATTATTGCCCGTATGAATTTGATCCCCTCCTCTCCTCATACATTAAAATAATTTAAAACAATACTTTGTAAAGAAAAAACCTATATTTTCTCGAATTGCAAATCGAAAGTATTTTGCATAAAGGAAATTATGCTTCATAGAAGAAAGATTCAGTCAGTTTGAGAGAGAGAGCAGAAAGAAGCTTTTATTGAGCACTGGAACAAACAAAAAATAGAAAAAATAGAAAAAATAGAAACAGAAAAACAATCGCCGTCTGTGGGAATCGAACCCACGACCACACGGTTAAAAGCCGTGCGCTCTACCGGCTGAGCTAAGACGGCATTTGCGACTAGAGGTCATAAAGTTTTTTATTTATTTGCTCGACGCCCGCTAGTTTTTCTCCAATTCCAGGCTCTCTCTATTTGCTCAACTCAAGTGAGAATAGCACGAGCACGAAGTCGAGAGCTTCAGTGCCTCAACAACCATGGCGGAAATCACAGAACCTCTGCTTCCTGCAACAGAAGCCCCAGAAACGTCTAAACCGCAAGAGCCAGCATTAGATTTCGATCCCAAAACCATGCGCAAAACGAAACCAGGAGTCAAGCGTCTGATCCTAACTGTTTCAGTCCTCTTCTCCTTCGTTCTAGGTCACCTCTCTCTCTCTCTCTCTCTCTATATATATATATGTTTCTCTCTTATTTCTATTTGCTTCTTTCTTACTTTGATTTTGCATATAGGTGTCCCATTCATATACAAATCCGTGGAAATCTACCGCGCGCCATTGCCGTTTCGAGAAATCGAATCCCTCTCAGCTCAAATCGATTCCAAACCATTCCAATTCCCATGTCGTTTACAAGCAATCTTCATTGGCTTCGACTGGAAATCCTCCGTTGCCACTCTAGAATCTTCCATCCTCAGCCAAATGACCAAATTGACCTCCCAAACTCCTCAATGCGGCACCTGTAGCCCCAACCACACCGTCTCAGTAGTCCTAAACTCAAATTCCCACTGTCTCCAATCCCGAACCGCTTCCTGTTCGCCGGAATGTGGCGCCATCCGCTCCGTTGAGTTGGACGGCGACGATGAGGCCGTAGATGAGGCTCTGGAGTCTGTGCTGGGAGGTTGTTCGGGTTCCAACTCGGGTTCAGGTGGGGAGGTGTATAGTGTGGTGGTGGTGAATAGGGGCGAGGAGGTGAGAGCCGTAGTGGGCAAGTACAGGCACGCTTGGATTGTTGGTAGGGTTTCGGAGGCCGAGGCGGTTTCGAGGGCGGCAGAGATATTTGTTAAAGTGTTTGTGAATGGCGGGAAGGAGGAAGGTTTGATTCATGGAGAGTTTATGCCTGTCGGGGCAGATGGAACGGTTGTTCTTTCGTTTAATCTGCTGAATGCAGACCCACGTGATTGGGTTTATGATTGGTATGTAGCTTTTTCATAAATTCATTTTAAGCTCAATTGTTCTGAGTATTATGGTGCTATGTTAACATGATTGATTTGTGTGAATGATTATTTCTTCGTCTGAATTATGGTAAAATTTAAGTTGAATGGTCTGATAGATTATTAGGTGACTCCCATTTTGTATATGCTTGAACACTTGTTGAAATGAAGTCCAAATAGTTATCTTCAAGTGTGTTCATCGTGCATTCATTTATACCGCAGGGACTTTCAATCAGTAGATGAGACTCTGTTGGCCCCTATTATCGAGGCTATGAAACCCGTAGCAAACATAAGCGTGGAAAGTCAGGTAGGAGATCTTCTGTTTTCTTTTGAAAATGGTAATACCATTGAATTTGTGGTATTGTGATCTGAGTTTGTTCTTTCCCTTGGGCAGGTGTTGTACCATATGCCGAAGTCCTCATTGTCTTACTGGGATGACAAGTGGGACAGTTACATCTTTAGTACCAAGGATCTACCTTTCTTTGTATGCTCCATTAGCCTTTCACTTCTCATGATATGATTGTTAACTAGAGAAAGAATCATATTACTACTTACATTTTCTTTAAATTCGTAACTGTTTGGGTACAAACTCTAAAAGACCATTAGTATGCATGTATATGTGGGTAGATGTTTGTATTGTTCTATATATATCCATATATGTGTTCATGGACAAACTTCTTAATATGGAATTACTGTTATTATTTATAATAACAATGTTGGTTAAATTTAATAGGTGAATTCAAATGAGTGGCACTTGGATACATCCATCGCAGCTGGTGGGAGGTCAAAGATGTTGCACTTTGTGATGTATATTTCTAACTCAATCCTTTTTGTTATTCAATTAATTTTCTTGATATACTTTCTGATTGTTAGGTTGTGATCATATTGAGTTGAAATTCCCCTTCAATTTGTTGTCAGATATATCCCGTCTGCTAAGGAGTGCCCTCTTCTCCTACAGCTTCCAGATGGAGAAATTTCTAAGACAAATAGCTTTATATCTCCAGTTAGTTATTATGCCTTAATCATCTTTAAATTTAGTGTTCTCTGATTTTTCTTGTGGAATGTTCCGATCTGAATAAATTTTGATGATTGGCATGTTACAGATGTGGGGAGGTGTTATTGTTTGGAATCCCCAAACCTGTCGGAAGGATTCAGAAAGTAAGCATCCTTCTAGACATACAATTTCGCATCAGGTTAGAAGCTTTTTATAATATTGTCCAAGTGTATGACTTGTCCATCCCTTGAACGTGGGGTTTTCAATTTAAAAGTGGAAGTGCATCAAAGCTTACCTATGTCTTTGTATTTGTAAATAATGTTACTTCATTTTCTGCCATGTTGAATTGGAAGCTCAATATAGATCATTTTTACTGAAAAAACATTTAAAGCTTACTGAAGAATAATTGAAATACCTAGTGGAGGAGATGGTAGGATTAGGTCTGTTGGAGTGGTAATATCTACCTTATAATTTCTTTTACTATGGAGCCTTATTGGATATTGAAGAAATCAAAAGCATGTACATCTTAAGTTTCCTAATTCTATCCTCTGAGGCATATGAAAAAATTGTTTCTCTAGAAAAATGTTCAAAGTACACAGGGAAAAGAATTCGTATGTGCCACATCACAGACTAGAAGTCCATATTCTATTATCGCAGATTGATTCATGCGCATTCTGAAACAGGATCTTCAGAAGGTTTTTGAAGTTTTCATGGGGCAGTTCCGGCAACTTTTTGGTTTTAAATCTGATAACCTATATGTTGGGGCTTCAGGCACATCCAGCCTTTTAGCTAGTGAAAGGGGCTTCACGGTATGGTAAGAACATTCTGGTTAAAGTCAAGTTAGAAACCTTGTGGTTTAAGCTATTTCTGGAATCGATTTTTAAGGGTATTCAGCAAAATGAGGGTATTCTTAGTGATCAGTCTTCTGCAGGGAATTGGATGTCTTATCGCGGATGCATACGTGTTTTAATCTTCATTCATGTGCTACAACCCTTGGATCTCTTTCCAGATTGGTACGTCTCTCGTCATTTACTTTTGTTGAGTTTAGGCATTAATGAACCTATTTCTCTGATTAAGCCAGATTTGTATGAGAGTGACAATTTTTTCCTTGTAGGTTCAATCATTGCCGAGGATGATTATCATGGACGAGATTGGGAAGCAGGTGACAAATCAATAGCACAATATTTTTAATGTTCCTTTTTACATCAGTAGCATAAAGGTTTCTCCAAAAGTTGTTATGCTGAAGAACTGTTGCATAATTGCATTTAGTTGTTTGTATATATTTAACAAATTTGTTCATATCCTGATGAATAACTAAATTGGAGATCTGTCTCTCTTGGAGTCGGTATTCATTTAGCTTCAACTGTATTAAAGTCATAACTCCTCTTTATGATCAACTTAGTTTTTTTTATTTTAAACTCTTGTGCTTCTTATCTGTTTCTGGATATGCTAAGAGAATAAGTAGCTAAAAGTTTTGTGGCCTTCTACTTGAGCAGGTAAAGTATTCTCTGGAGGCAGCAAAGTTGGCTCAAACTAATGCCTCACTTGGTGTTTATAATGCTTCAGCTGGTATGTTCGTATACGCCTTGTTGATAGTTTACTTGTGGTATTCATTTCAAGGATCTGTTGTGTATATCATCTCATATTGCAAAGAAACTCAAACAAATAGTCGTTTTATCGTCAGTGTCCTCTAGACAAGCAAGATCTCTAGCAGAGGATGCATTTTTTCATCCATCAATCATGTCGGTCAGCTACTATTCGTTCGAGCACTGTTTTGCCGTCTATTCGGTTTGTTTCCAAGACCTGCTTATTTTGACACTAGAAATTAACGCAATGACTGTTCTGATAAGTGGTGTTGTGCTATGTGTACAGCCTTTCTTTCTGCCAGTTTCGATACATGTCCTCCTAGCAGCTGTAAGAGAATGGAGAAGGCACAAGCAAGAAAATAAGAAGTACTTAGCATGGAAGACCAAAGTTGTGTCATCCTGAGGAGATGATATCACTAAAATCGATTGAGTTTGACACAAAGCAAGGCTCCATTCCATTACTTGTGTTCGAGCGGAGAATAGATTAGATTGATTTAGAATAGTTTAGACAATCACTTGTATTAGAAGAAAAAGAAAATGCAATTCAACTGTCGGTGATATTTCTTGTGGCGTTGGGATTAAGTGACAAAGGAAGTAGGGAAAAGTCGGTATTTTTTTTGATCTCATCCCATTACTGTACCAAAAAACATGCTTCTTTTGAGCACATGCTGTGGATTTAAATTCAATAGCAAACCAATTGTTAATTAGTTCCAGTTTCCCATCGATGTACTAAAATAATGCTTCTTTTGATCACATGCTCTGGAGTTGAATTCTAAATAGGAAACAATTGTTAATTAGTTCAAGTTTCCCATTAATGTTAATCGGCAGGAGTGGAAGTGGAAGTGGAACGCTGAGTGAGCTCTTGGTTCTTGCTGAGAAGCTGTTAGTTTTCGCGGAGCAGCTCCTGGTGCTTGAGGCGCAGCTCCTGGTTCTCCTGGACAAGCTTTTTGACCTTCTCAAACGCCTTTTAGGCGTTCTGCTTCGTCTCATTCAGCATCTCCCGGTCCTTTTGGGTAAACCCCTGAAATTAGTGGCCTGGGGAGGGTGGGCGGTTGGAGAACAGCTTCCCCAAACCCCTCTTCATTGCTTGAAGCACCATTTTTTTGCAGTTTCTGTCTGCAAAAGAAAAACCAGAAAAAAAAAGAAAGAAAAAAAAAGAGTTGAGCCAAAGAATTCATTGAGATCAGGGAGAGGATGAGGAAGAGGAAGGGAGCGGCTGCAGAGAACCTGAGAGATGGAGCAAGAGAGTAATCGAAGAAACGGACTCTTGGGCTTTTACTTGATGAATTGATTCCGAGTAAATCTCTCATTGCCTTTAGAGCATTTCCAGCAATTAGCCCTCTACCAAGGCAAGGGGAGCCCTAGAGCAGCTATTATTCACGTGAATAGTAGCTGCCCTAGTCCCCCCAGCAAAGTATGTTTCTAGCAGTTTAGGCTTGCCATGACAAATGCTATTCATTTTTTTGTTTTTTGTTTTCACAACTTTGTTTACTTAAACAATTAATTTGGATAATATTTTTAGATAAGATTTTTGGGTTCCTACGTGTCAATACTATTCATATCAAATAAGATTTTCAGTTTCAAATTTCAGATACATTTCAAAATGTCAAATTTCAAATACATTTCGAATTTCAAATTTCAGATAAATTTCAAATTTCAAATTTCATTTGAATTTCAAATTTCAAATAAGATTTTCACCCTCTAAGATTGCGCCACGTGTCATATCTATTTGCCTAAATTTTTCTATAAAACCAGAGGCTCAGCTCATACCTCCCACACCAGATCTTCTATACATTTCCATTTCTCATATTTTAGATTTCATTCTTCATTCTCAATGGCAGACATGCAAGAGGTTTTGGAGAAGCAAGAGCGAGAAACTAGAGAAAGAATGCGTAGACGATCTGCAAGCAAAAGGGTGTAGAGAGAACTAGATGAGCAACTTGGCATAGCTGTTGCTTTGCTGGAGGAAGAAAACCAGAGCTGCCGTGGTTCACGAGAAGGCCATGGCCCGAATGTGGACATATATAGACATTTTCGGGGTAAGAATCTTCTGGAAGATTATTTTATCCCACATTCTCTGTACTATGATGTTCATTTTCGAGCGAGATATATAATGCAACCTCATTTGTTCAATAAAGTAATGCATGATATTTGCAATTATGATGAATACTTTGTTCAAAAGAAAAATTGTGCTGGAAATTTGAGGCTTTTTCCCGAGCAAGAGCTCACAGCTGTGATACGAATGTTGGCATATAGGTATTGCAAAGAAATGTAAGAATTTTTTTTTAAAATATAGATATTGCAAGAAACATTTAAATAAATATTGGAAATACAAGAAATATTAACAAAATATAGAAATTTCAAGAAATATTTAAATAAAAATTAATATGACATTAAAATTAATAAAATGAAAATTACAAATAATTTACCTCATTGCTAAGATTTTCCCCGCTTCTATGGTTGTCCATCGTCTTTGCCAAGGCATCTCTCCATTTTGCCAACTCTTTATTGAGAATTTTCCACCTACTAGCCATTTCCGTACGGGTTGAACCGCCCGATCTTTCACAAAATTCGGTATGAATTTTTCTCCACATATGTTGGGATTTCATCTCATTGCCCGTTACGGGACAATGACTAATTTCGACCCAACACTCACACAACAAAACATCTTCCATCATGCTCTATGCCCCTCCGGTTTCACTAGAAGAACCCATAATATGATAGAGAAAAATACAACTTGAAAGTGAAAAAAATATTGAGTAGAAAGTGAATAATAGTATAAGGAGAAGAAAATGTATGAGGATTTGGTGTTAAAAGTGAATAGTATTGGTTGGTATTTATAGAAAAAAAAATCAGTAATTTTTTTGTATTTTATATATTTTTTTATTGCACAAAAATTAGTTGCCGTTGGATTGGAGCAAAAAGTCTGATCGGAGAGCTCAGGACGCAACACGTGGCACATAACCATTGGCGGGCATTGTAGCGGAGCGTTCAAATTTTTTTAACGTTGGCACGTGCATCGCACATAGCGACATTAAAAAAATTTGACCGCCAGGGCTGACGTCAGCATCTGCCCTCAGGCCAACCCGTGTTCCAAATTCAAGGATAAAAGACTAGGAGACAATCACCTTTTACCATTTTAATATATATATATATTAAAGTTATACAACTCAGTTTCTGAGGATTTAAAAAAAAAATTAAGAACCTTAAAAACTCATATCTAAATGCCAATTATTATCCTTCCAAAAAAACTAGTTTGTCTTTGCTTTTGTTGACTATGCGCCAAGAAAATAAGAAATAAAATGGCATGGGGAACCAAAGTTAAACGGAGCATGAGCAAAGCTTGGCTCCTTAAAATTGAGGAGCTAAATAGAAATATACGCTAATAATTGCATGTACTAAAGGCATGAGTAGATGGAACACATCATCTTCAAGTTATATATTTGGGGAGTGACGCAGTAAATCCTTAAAACTTAAATTTCCAGCTGCTAAAAGCTAGCAAATTCACATGGTTTATATCATTAATGAGCACATTGAAGCCACTTACAGCAATGCATACTAGAAAGAAAGAAAAAAAAAGGTAAGGGGGTAAAAAATAAAGTTACACGCAGGTTGATACCAACCAAAACAAAGCCTGCTAGACTGAGTCATACTAAACACGAAGAAATAAGGCGATGAAACAACTCCAGCCTCAAACATCAGACTCTTGATTCCAATGCCAAAAGTATCTTCTTCCTTGGGCCCTGAAAACCCCAGCAGATGAAAAAGGTTAGCTCAAAGCTACGAAAGCAAAACTCAATAAGTCAACAGAAAACCCAAAATGCTGGTATATTCACCATTATTTGCAGTATACACAATCACCAGAATAAAGGAGACTAACAAATTCACTGAGAAATACACTACGGTGTGCCCAGAGTTCCTTTTCAATACTGATCTAGCATTATATAAGCTGCATTTAAGTAAAAACAAATAGTTGAACTGTTTGAAACTACACAACTGTAAGCTGACAGAATCAGTTTCAGGTCCAAAGAGCAAACACCATCTGCACCGTCAAATGATATCAGCCCTAATTGATGTTTGAAATTTTATGTTTTAGTCAAACCTCCAAGACCTCTGACTGATGTTAGGAGAGCAAAATTTGTTCAACACTGCAGGACTTTTTATTCGATTATTGTGAGGAAGGTATGGTTTTTAGTAGCTAAATATTACCTAATCATTCAAATTATCTTCAGAAGACTTCTATGCCACTCTTCCAGGTTGAAACAAAGGTTGTACAACGTTTTCTGATACCCACCCAAAAACCAACAATTAAACTAGCATACTTCAAATCATAAGAGCATAGCATAGGTTGAGTAGTAATTTCTTCAAAGTAAATTAAATTTTTTTGGATTTCTTGGTTTCGAAAACCACAATCGAGCATATTGATTGTTAGCATATGATATTCATAATTCATGTTTCAAGAATTTTATCTAGGCGTTTTGTTTAGTTTACCATTGGTATTCCTAGAGCCTTGAGGTCCTCATCAGTCATGTGCACAAGAGCTGTCATATCCACCTGCATAAACACATGGAATTGAACACTCAAAGGTAAAAAAATATTTTCTCAGAGGTAGGTGATAAAAAGAATTTCAAAAAAGTCTATAATCTTGCATACTTCCTCGGCCTGAAATGTGATGGAATATTTTTCAAGATCCAAGGACGTCAAAAATTCATCCACTGATGCGCCAGCCTGCACCAAAAGAGGCATGAGTCATGTAATTAAGAGGCAACTGCAGTAATGAATATGTGTGTGTCTGCGTATGGGATATTAGAAAATTCAATACTTCAACCTAGCAATAAAATGAATTGTCTTCTATTGTTACTGAAAGGTATTGCAATGCAACCATAACCGTATGCCACCATCAATTGATGACCCCTCTTTATGAAAGGAGATGCTGAGTGTGGGAAAGAAGTTCTATTCTTATCTTTTAATTTATTTTGGTGCCTGTTGGAACATCCAAACCTTCAGCCGACCCCTTTAGTAAAATAAAGGTATAAAAACTGCTTACTTCATCCTACATTGAGACAATCTTAAAAACCAAGTCCTAATGAAACCTCCGAATACTATGGTGTAACATCGACTCAATAATGGCTATATAAATACTAATCCCCAACCCGCCCCTCTGTGTCTCAAAACATAGAAATTTAAAAAGAAAGTAGGGTCAACATATATATACAACGTTATATGTCATAAAGCCAGCTTCTCGCTTGGTGAAACATTCTAACTATATTTTAAAGGTTATTTTATTAATTCTAGTAATCAGATATAGAGCGCAATCTCAAACACACCAAGTACGTGGGAGATTGCTAGTGTGGAATTAAAAGAAATAAAACACTTCATGCCTTTTGTGAAGTCTTCTTTCTAGAAGCTGGGTTGGTAACTTTTTTAATCTCTTGTGCTGAGGCTCCAACTGCAGTACTTCTCCTGACTGGTTTGGCAGCTTCCACTTTTGTCTTTGGTGGATTGGCGTTCACTGGTTGTGGAACCATGGTACCAGATAGCTTTTCCCGTAGGTCCCTTACACCTGAAAGAGATCTTGTTCCACTTTGAGATGATTGTTTGAAACTTTTCCTTTGGAGCTTCAAACGAAGGTCTCGAGCATCAACTTTGCGATCTTCACAAGATATTAACAGAGTCAACAACCAAAGAAAGATGACTCAAAGGAGAAAAGCAATAGCTGCAGTTTTTAGTTGCATGTAAAAGTATCATAGTCCGTACTTGAAACTTGAGGATCATTGTCCTCATATAGATCATGCTCCCACTTGTCATCTTGTCTTTGCCTGCAAAATGATATGCTATCAACTCAATTATTTAACTTCATTTTTTTTGACTGAATACCCCTAGAACAATCAATCATTAATATATGTATTAACACAATGAAACTATTCTACAGATTGTATCCCCCTGAACTTTCAGACAAGAAGTATGTACACCATATGTGTTTAAAGCCTCTGGTGAAGGCCAAATTGCAACACCAAATGCAGTATTTTTGCAACTGCAATGATTTCATCAAGTTTGAAACTATTACCACAAGAGATCTCATGAAATCTTCAAAATTCCACAGCAAGGACCAAATTTATCGCCAGATTATCCAATTAACACACCCATGGTTTACAAAACCAGACACACAAATAAAAAGTCCACTCTGTTAATAAAATTGCCACGCAATTCCATCTTATCAAAGAAATCTATGACACTAATAACTAAAAGTTCATAGATTTCAAGTACTGGCAATGCACAAAAAAATAAAAACTTCGAAATTGTAATAAGAAAGATGAAGAGTCAAGTGGTAAAATAGGAAAAATGGTAAAAATGAGGAGTTAAACGGTATCTAAGTATGCTTCGATATTCCATTTTGTAAAGAATCCCCATCTCATCAAAACGGTATCAATGGAGCTGAACACCAATTCAATTGTATTATGTATACACACAAAAGATGTCTTTTCATGGCATTGCTAATAAAGTGAAACTTGTAGGGATTTACTTGCATTATTTTGTTGAACTTTAATGAAAGTACTGTTGATCAACATCCAAACTTCTGCATGCATACTGATATTACCATTATTATTATCTATTAAATTTGCTCACGCAGGGCTAAATTCTTGCTTCTGTCACCTGCTTTGACTATCTACACGTACCTCCTAAATGCCTTTATATAACCCATGTAAAAACAGCAACAAAAATCACACTCAAACACAGAATTCAAACCTCGAACAAGTATAAACTCGGGTCCAAATGAAGAAAAATCCAAAAACCTACACAAGAATATTACCCTCAATTTGTTCTTCAAAATGAAAAGGAGAGTGAAAAGAAATCGGACCTTTTTCCTGCTATTTGTCTACGGCGACCAGAGTTATCCCTGAAGCTGCCATTAAGACGGTCCTTTATCGACCTCTTGGTATCAGCTTCCTCTCGATCAGCATACATCTTCCTTATTGCTAATTACTAGAACCCTAATCCCAACCCTGAACACTAACTTGAACCCTAAAGGGTCGGAAATTGGGAAAAGAAGAACCTAACAGTCTGGAATTTGAAATTCTAGAGTGACATATAGAGAGGGAGAGAAAACCCTAACCCTAGCTTATTAGTGAAAGAAGAAGCACTTGGTTTCTAGAAGGAATTGAGAGAGAGAGAGAGAGAGAGAGAGAGAGAGAGAGAGGAATGAAAGATAATTGATTGAAGACAGAGAAGGCGCTTCTGCTCTAAACAATTGAGAATTCGAGAGATGCCGTCACTTGGCGTTTCGGGTTTCGGGATCTTTTAATTTTTCGGAGAGGGTTTCATTTCGGGCCTCCGTTTCGGCGCACGATTGGAATTTGCTTATTGGTGAATTGGTGTTCCTAAACGCACCGTGTCAACGAATACCGCCTTTTACAATTTTGTGCCCTTTTTATTTTCTTAAATTACTTTCAGAATCTTTTGTCACCAAAACGCACCGTTTTCCCTCTGACATGCATAATTTTTGTTACCATCCGAAGACAAAAATATCTTGTTTTCATATCATTGATTTAATGTTAAGTGGCTTGAAAATCAACTGGTAACTGTCACGGGGTCTAGCCTAGTTAAAAAGGTCCTTGACTTGACTATCAACGGGTGCTCGAATTGGTTGATATATGTAAAGTTTCTCTTCAAATTAACTCTCCAATTTACATTTTAATTTCTCCACTTTTTTTTTCTTTTCAATCTTGAAAGGGAAAATGAAGACTACAATATGCTTGTTAATGGAAGTTATAACAAGTAAATAGATTAATCACACAGATGCAATGCAATGTTAATTTGAGCTCTAAATTGATTTCATAGACATATACAACATAACATGTCAAAGTAACTACACATCACATGGACAATTGGAGTTCCATAATTCTGAACTCAACTGATACACAGTTTCGGTAACCCCCCAACTGGCCTTTTCCTTTTAACACAATTGAAGTTTATTTATTACATGAAACTGTTTTCTTAGTAGCAGAAAGCCACATTGTGCTTCGTTTCATGCTTTAAAAATACCCCCCTTTTGATCAATTCAGAAACCTCACCTTGACCAGATATATGGAGAATGTGAAACTAGTTGAGAAGGTTGTAATTGCACCAGAAAAACCGAAACAGCCCCGGAGACTTTTCTTATCCAACATAGACCTGGCCCTTGTTGTGTACCAAGAGACGGTTATCTTTTTTGATCCTCCAAGCAATGGGATGAGCTTCTCCGAGGCTTATCATAGCTTGTTTCGCACACTCGGTCCCTTGCTAGCTGAATATGATTTCTTAGCCGGGAGGCTTGTGCCAAGTTTGGAAGACAGCAATCGCTTTGAAATAGAATGCAACGGTGCAGGTGTTGTTGTTGCTGCAGCTAGGACAGATACCAAGCTGGATGAACTTGGTGAGCTTTTGGTACCCAAGAAAGAGTTCAGGCAGTTTGTTGCTTTCTTGCCACAAGAGGATGAGGAAATGGATCTCAAAGATAAGCCCCTTGTGTCGTTTCAGGTCTGCTCTTATCGTCATTTCACTATTCAAATAAGTCCTTCTGATCAATCTTTGGCTGTGAAAAATGAACAAAAGTCCCAAATTGGTCACAGTAATGTATGTTTGTTGTGACAGTTCACTCAGCTTGGATGTGGAAGCCTAGTGTTTGCCTCCAGGTTCAATCATTGCGCAGTCGACGGGGTTGCAGTCCGGGAGTTTGAGGCAAATTTGGCAGCTCTAACTTGCGGTGGTAACCTAGTCATTCGACCAAATGCAGATCGAACAATGTTCAAAGCTCGAAACCCTCCAAACATCAGTTTCCCACATTTTGAGTACTCAAAAGCCACTGATAGAACTGGCATATTCACTGTCCGTGGTATGAGTGGCACCAACATGAAACTATCCACAACTCTTAACCCAACGCGCCTTATCTATTTGTCCCAAGATCGTATTGCCAGCTTGAAGAAGGCAGCCCTTAAAGATGGGAAGTTGAAGAGCTGCACTAGTTTTCAAGTTGTTGCAGCAATGACTTGGAAGGCAAGGAGCATTGCGGTTGATATGCCAGATGAAAAAATTTCGACTATTTTGATTCCAGTCGATGTTCGCAAACGAGTTGTGCCTCCAGCCCCACCTGGATTAGCTGGAAATGCATTGGTTCCTGCCTTTGCACATGCAACTCTGAAGGAGCTTAAGGAGGAAGATAACTCTTCCCTTGTGAGGAAGGTGCAAGAAGGGGTAGAGAGATTGGATGATGAGTATGTGAGGTCAGGGATAGATTGGTTAGAGGTGAATAAAGGGGTACCTTGTGAAGAAGATAGCTTCTCACTGGTGTCATGGTGGAAATTGGGGATAGAGCATGGTGAATTCTCATGGGGAAAAGTTAAGTGCACCACCTCGGTTCTACTCAAGCCGGGCCTTGTCATGCTGCTGCCAGGACTGGAAGGAAAGGGAGGCCTCAGCATATGCCTGGAACTACCTGATGATCAAATGGAGTTGTTCTGCAGGTTGATGCTGGGCGAATAGTATTCATGATAAGATGAATTCATTTGTTTCTATATTTATACTAATTCAGCACATGAGGCCTTGTGCAGGCCTTTTTATCTCAAGAAGTTAAGGCTGTATTAGATCAACTGTTTCATTCCTCAGCTTAATATTTCTTGAACAAATAGAATGCTAATTAGTACATAAATACAGAAGAAGGTAGGACGACTATGGGAAATTTCCATAAAGTAAAATTCTTACAAGGCAAAAGACTCAGTATAAGATTTCTAACATGACATTCCTAGAGATTAATCAATAATTCATCAACGCTGCATACTTTAGCCACTTTTCCTTCCAAGTTTAAGACCCAATTCATTGAACCTTGTATCACAAGTTTCTCTTGCCTGCTACAGAAGGCCAAAGAACGGGTTTGTCAATGCAGACTTCAGCTCAGAAGCAGCTGAGTTTAATGTTGCCATGTCAACCTTATTGTGAGGAAGATACAAAAACTCTCCCCCTTCAGTTGTCTCAAACCCACAGAGCTCAAGGAACTCAATTCCTCCAATCAAACTCCCAACTCTATCCTGCTCAATAAATTTCAATAAACACGAATTTAGAAAATATATAACCGCTGTTAATTGTGTTTATTCTAATGCTTTCTTTTCTAACCATCCCCAACAGAAAGAACACTAACATGCATTGGCACACACTAAGTCGGAAAACAGAAGAGATAAGTCAAAGCACAGCTTACCAAGAATAACGGATTACTGAGTCTGATCTTCCTGAATTTTTCTTCATTAGGATTCCTTGCAACATTTCCAACATAAATCAGCAGGGTCTGGAAGGCTTGTCGCACTCTAGCATCGTTATCCTAGACCCACCAAAGAAAACCAATCGATAGGAAAATATGCCTACTAAAAGCAACATTTCTGTGATCTCCTTCTTTTTCTTTTTTGATAAGTAATGCATGGTACTAATGGGTATTGATAGTTGTTCTAGACCAATGTGTTATGAAACAAAACAGATTTTTGATATTTCAATAGCTATGAGGGCTCCTAATGATCCTTTTGAACTATTTTCTGTTATTCAAAGATGTAGCTCAAAAGGGCAACAAGGCAAGATTACTTTCTTTCTTGTAACAATCAGTTTGGGAACCTAGGAACCTATTACTATGTTGAAAAAGTGAATCAGAGCCATATACCTTGTGGTTGCGCCTCAAGGACCGTAAACATTCTCTCATACGTTCTGATTTTGCAACAGAACGGACTGGAAATGGATTCTGACATTTAAAGAGTAGGAAGATAACATTCAGGATAATTTTATATTATGAAATTCCCAGCAAAAACTATGTTTTTCAATGAGATAAATGAAACTTTAAATCTATAGACACCAGTACAAAATATTGATACCTGTTCTATCCTCACCGCAGCTGTATGTTCCTCAGCTACATGCTGTTCTGGTGGCAATCCAAGATTGACCCTTCTTTCTAACTGTAAAGACATGCATACAGTTTTAGGAGTAATTCAACACTTATGAACCCCTTTTTAGGCATATGTCTAAAAGAAAAGTGAATTAGCATTATCTAAGCACCTTATCCTGTTTTAGTTTCCAGCGAATTCTTTCTCTTGCTCGTTTCTCTTCCTCTTTCTCAGCTTTCCGAAACTCTATATTACTGAGAAGACAAAGTTCTTATTCCACTCAGAAGTAGTATTAGGCTAAATGAAATAAAACAGACAGAAACAAAGAGAACAAATACTGAATTGAGACAGACCGTTTTCTTTCATTTTCTTCTAAACTTCGTTTTGCTTCTATGAGTTGCTTACCAGACTGAATCCTCTCCTGAAACCAAAAAAATAAAGTATCTGGGTTGGTTAAAACCAAAAGGAAAAAGACTCTGCAGCTTCAGTTTACAACATTGATGAGGGGTGTAGAGAGAGTGCCTAACAAGCAAATAAACAGAATTCCAACTGCAAATTTAGTCAAATCCCAAAGAATTAGAGCAAGAAAACAAGGGTGACATGCTGTGATTCAATAACCAACTCATTAGGAACCATAATTCCCCTAATCTGGGAAAAAAAAAAGGAAAAAAAAAAAGGGTATCGAAAGTTCATCATTTATACAATCCAAATTCGTCATGATTTGGTCAAACAACAAAGATAAAAATGACATAGATAACTGAACAATACCTTCTCCCTTTCTCGTTCCAACTTCTTTTCTTCTTCTTCCTTCTTCTTGCGTGCTCGATCCCTGAAAATGTCTCAAACATCATGTAATTTAAAGAAATCAAATATTGAAAGATTAAAGAGTTGAGAAAAAAGGAATCGAACAGGCAGTTGAAACTAATGAAGAGAGAACTTGTGTGTGCATAAGTGCACTTAATGTTACATAAAACCATAAGGATGATAATAAAGTAACCTTAACTCCTGTGCTTTTATTTTCATCGCTTCTGTGAAATAGAATGGTTCTGGAGATCCAATGCTAATGTCCACTGTTACCTGTGAGTAGTTGACCAGTTGAGAGTAGGTACTCTATGAAATCGCACTGGAAATTATTTTTTGTTATCTGTCACATGCTTAACAAACCAAACACCACCAATTCGACATGTTTGTTGTTGTAGCAATGGAAACCTGAATGCAATGAAATAAAGATGCACAACCAAAGTACGATAACAAATCATACCAAGGGCATCTCATCAATGTCGGCATCGTTCTCGTGATCAACGATCCAATCTATAGCAGCCGCTAAATTAGCATTGCCTGGTAAAAAGGAAAAACAAATGAACCTACAAACTTGAATCTAGAACATGCGTATGTATAAAAACCAAACCAAAACAAACATGAATTCAACTAAACCAAGCCTCAAATGCACACAAAATTCTTAGATCCTCCCAAGAAGAATACTTATTAAACTACCATTAGAAGCTTAAATCTAGACCAAATGATCATCATAACAAGGTTGAAGAATTTCACTTAACCCTCCACCATAAACACTTCAAATTACCAATTCTAGGCACACTTTTAAACCACAAGTAATTCAAGCTTTTATTCAAATTTTGAAAGCAGAAAAGGGTAAAGGAAAAAGCTTCACCAGAATAATGAAGTGCTCGTGTTGCTCGAGGTCTTGTAAATCCCATTGCTTCAAGCTCCCCAAGCATTTTCTTGTCAACTTCCGGAACAGGCATTGTTGTATTGGGGTGGGCAAGGTTTGCCCTTTACATTAGAAACTGAAGATGAAGTGGGGATAGAGATAGGGAGGTTTAAATGAAGTGGGTTCAGAGAAGTCCTACAATGGAAGCCTTGTAAAGATTGGACAGCCATTTTCAAGAGATTTCTGAAACCTTCTCAGCTTGTGAATATTTTGATTCTCAATTTATACCTTTCGGCTTCCTGGCTCTTAAGAAAAGAATAGGCCACGTAGAATTGGGCTTCTCTTTTCTTTTGTTTTTATTGGGTTCTTCAAATCTTCAACTAGCCCAATTTCTTTTACTGGTCTGCAACTCCGACTTCCCCAAAAATATTGTGCCAGATTTTAGATGGAGTCAAAGCCCAAAACAATCATTTCTATTTTATTTTATTTTCACCTTCAATGATTCAAATTCAATCGCAGCCGTTAATTGATTCAATCAGCTTCAATATTTCACCTTCTTTACTTAGAATTTCATAATAAAAGTGTAACTCATCTGCGAAGCTTGCTCTCTATATTGCTGAATCTTGTAATTTTTCTTTAATATTTTATGATTTTTTTTTTTTTTTTTCCTATTTTTATCCGTTTGTGTTTACATTTCGTGTTTTTTTTTTTTTTTTTTTTTTTTTTATTTATAAGCGATATTAGGTGATGGGGAGTCAGAGTACAAGGGATTTCCAAAAACTTCAGTACAGTTTAGAATGTCAAAATCGTCACCTATTCTCTTTCCTATTTCATCCGTAATTTTGATTTACCTTGGTTTATACGGCAAAGAATAAAAATGTTACATCACCTCCACCAGGACCCGCCCTAAAGAAAAATTTTAGACACTTCCAGAAACCGTTGGAACTTGGAACCTACACACTGTGAGACCGATACAAACATTTACAAGCAAAAAATAAAAACCGACTTCTTGCTTTAGCCGGTAGCTCCCAAAATCACAAAAATCAGAGAGAGATAAAGATGGCAGAAAACAAAGCCAGAAGAACGATCAAGCTGTTCTGCCCATCAGTGGCAAAGACGGTGTCGTTGTTGGTATGGGAGGAGCAGAGGCTGGACTTGGGCTCCATAGCCAGAACGTTTGGGCTGGACCCACCAACCCTGAAGCTCAACGGTCACTTTATCAGCAGAGGGCTCGACCTCATCGCCTCCTCAGTCACCTGGAAGTCCCTCCTTTCTTTCTTCTCTGCTAAAGGACTCTCAACAGGGGAAAACGACAGCAACCCCATTGTCGTTGATGGCAAGCTCTGCAAAGTTGGCACCAAGCGTAAGTTCTACCACCAACTACTTTATTATCTGTTCTGGGTAAATGGGTACCTTCAGATTTGATTGTTGGTTCGTTTCGAACATGAAAGATTGAATCTTTGATTTTGCAGGAGGACATGAACTACACGAGGTCGTTGATAACAGAGGAAGGGCAGCTTTTGAAGATGACAGCTTGCTGATCAAGAGTAAAAAGATGAGGAAAAGCAACCCAGGTCCATCAACTGAAAGCAATGGCAGAATTGGTATTTGCTCTTCCAAGAGAAAGCAATTGTTAGAAGATGTAAACTTGCTCAAAAAGCTAAAAATAAGTGAAACTAACCCAGGTACTGATTCATTCTGGCTTAACTTTGAATTGGTTTTTCTGGGTTGTTTTTGGGTTAACTTTTTATTATAAGTTAACACAACTGGTTCTCTGGGATTTTTCAGATATCCAAGGAAGAAGTAAAAGCCAGTCCAGCAGCATCTCAGGTGCCCAACTTAGATGCAGTTACATGAGGGGGAAGATGAAGAGGAATAGAGAAGATGAGGCAGTCGCGTCTACTCCTTACAAAGAGATTATATGAAGCTTCTCATGTTTGTCTTGTTTTCTTTTTTCTTGGTTCTCCTTTTTCTTTCATAGTTTGGTTTGGTTTTTATGCGACTTGATTTAACTTGTAAATGATGAGTATAATGTAAGAACAATGAAAAGACTTTTGGTTTGGCAACCTAATTCCAGCATTGACAATCATCATATGTGTGTTTCATTCACTCAGTGTAAAGAAAACAGAAGCAATGGATGAGAAAATTCGAAGACTGAAAATTGAAGAACAATAAATTCCCTTTGTTTAAGCGTTTTTCGGCCCACAAAACTGGACAAACATAACCCAAAAATGTTGAACTGAAATAAGAACGAACTACAAAAGAAAAGGTAAAGGTCAGATATCAAACGGCTATAGACATGGTAGGATTAATTCTGTTCCTTCTTGAACTTCTTTTGGCAAACACAAGAACGCAAACTCTGCCAGCCCCCTTCTACTTCAGCCAAAGTCGATACCGACTTTCAAGTTTCGCGATCGCTGCAGCATTGGTGTAGTTGTAAGCTTCCCCAGCCTCGTCAAGTAGGGATAGGAGACTGTCTAAGAGTGGAATTGTTACGGTCAATTGCCTGTGTGAATAGTGTAACGTTTAGTGATGCAGCCTCATGTGAACATGGCCCACTACAATTGGGGGCTGGGGTCACTGTGGGGGAGCAGTACAGTACTGAAGATACTGTAACTAAGTTCTACCCCTCATGTGAATTAGGGCTCTAAAAATGGCAAGCTCATATTGTACAGTAAAGGACCTAATTGGCACCTATTGTACAATGACTTAGACACATCATCCAAAATAAACTTGCCAAAAGACAGCAATTCCAACCACAAGTATAAAAAGTATAAGTTTTGAACTGATGAAGGATGATGAATTGGAAGGCGGCTGAGGCGGCTCAAATGGTCTTCCTCTCAGCTTGGCAGACACCCTAGATAACAGCTGTCGGAGCCGACCAGTTTCCTTGGTAGCTGCAAACAAACATGAGAAGCTGAACATCATAAGCCAGTGAAATAAGAAAGCAAACACAACAGCAAATTACAAGTTTCTGTAGTTAATATTGGTAATTCAAGGCTAATGAATTCAATCATACAAGATGAGAAACTGTTGAGCATGATTGACTATTCCTGGTACCCATATAACTCTCAAGTGTCTCTCTCCATTTATTTATTTATTGAAAAGGAAACAATTAACTGCATTAACTGTTAATGAAAGAGTAACAAGCTAAAAGAGGAACATTCCTGCTGTGTTGTAAAACCATGAGATTTCCAACAAATATTATGAAACAAATAGACAATCTAACCTTTGCTCTTTGAAGATCTTTCCTCCTCACCAACACGCTTTCGAAGTACATTGAGCAAAGAACCAAAATACAAAGCACATACAGTGCATGTAATTGTGATAACATTGTAAGGCATGCTAAAATCAGGAGTTGTCAACGGTACAAGTAATACTTCTGTGTATGCCAGAACAGCATTGTTTTCCTACACAAATAAAGACAGTAAACTACAGGCATAAAAATCAAGGACTGTGACGTGCACACCAAAGAATGTATGGCAGTTAGAATACCTGGAATTTGGATAAGATGGAGGACCTATCCACAGATTTATCCGTAAAGAACTGCATGCTTGTATGGAAGTTGGGAAAGCTTATAATAGCTGCTGGAATATCGAATCCTTGATTGGCATCGGGAGGATACTCATCAATATGCAAAAACCCCTACATAGATATTATAACAGTCATAAGAAAATAAACAAGTAAAGAATAAATTTAGTGTACATTCAAACTTCAGCCTATGTTCCAAGCAAATAGGATGATACAAAAATTTCCCATCAACAATGCTTCAGTCACGATTGTCTTCCATGAACTTAGCAAGAATTTTAACACCACAGGAATTCCAGCATAGTTATAACCCCTTGAAAATTTCTAATAACTTTCATGCCAACCAATGCTATAATAAAGGAAAAAGAAATTCCAAAGCATACCTTATCAAATTCTAAGGTTATAGCTGCTGATTTCATTCCACAAGGGAATTTCAGGACCATCTCCATCACCCCAGGTGACACTTTGTCTACAGAAGGTGAAACACGCATCTTTTCAACAACATCTGAAACTTCTTGAGGTTGTTCATTAACATACACTCGCACTGTATGAAAATAAACCTTAATATACCAAGGCACAACCTGAAAAACTTTAACTTCCAATTTGCACCTGCCTTCACTCATATCAGAATGCAAAAACTCATCACTCACTTCTGTAGATCTCAAGGATATTGCAATAGCACCCCTTTCATTCCCACTTCCCATCAAGAACCTACTAGCATGTAATGGTGCTTTCTGACAGGACCAAACTACAGGAAGCTTCCAAGTTAGGCCTAAATCAAATGGCCTAGACTCACTGTACTTCTCAATATAAAATTCATATACAACAGATGGGGTCTTCTTTTCAAAGCCATTCAGTTCTTTTAATACCCTGTCCGGCTTAACAGACAATTCAAATCCAGGGTTACTACTAAAACCTTCATAGACAGATTTATCAGCACTAGATAACTCATTTTCTTTCTGCAAGTAATCCAGCTGACCAACTAGCCCCCTATCAAACTGAAGGTATATGGTGGAAGACTTGGCAAGTACACATCTTCCAGTGACCATCCTCCCAAAAATTGAAGTCAAGGACCAGCTTGGTTGTAATTTTGTTTCATGGGAATAAGACATAACATTTCTCTCACTATCGGGCTGGACAACAACTGTGAGTGTTTGTTGTAGAACAATTCCTGAACCTCCCTCCTCTGATTCAAATTCACTTGAGGTCAAGCGCAACTGCTGTGAATGATAAAATCCTTTGTAGATAGATGGTCTATCCATTAATGCAGAAAGCCCAGCTTTATCTCTACAAGGAAGGAGCTTCAGCCATGGAGTTAGGTTCTCAGTGCAAACAGCCTCACGGGGCAATGTACCATACCTCAGACTGCCTGGTGCTGGGCGATAGCCCCATTCAGGAGCAGAATATGTTGTAGACGATTCTAGGAAGTTGACTGAAGCACAAAAGAGACCCGAAAGAGCATGGGTTAAATTCTTCCAAGAATCATCCACCTGTTCAAGAGGGGCATCAAAGACAGCCCACAACTCAACTCCAGGAGGCTTGGCATTGTTGCTTGATATGGGATCAAACCCACCCCAACGATCATAGTTCCAGCGACCTTGTGTGAAAGATAATTCCATTTCCTTAACATGAAACTTCTGAACCTGTCCAACCAACACTATCCCGCAAGTTACTTAGTAGTTTAAGATACTACCAAAATTTAATGAATCAGTAGAAAAATGTTTCAGGCAAGTTTAAAGTTGGGTTGTGCTAGCAGTAAGGATCCCGGATGAGTTACATATTGGAGAAAAAACACAAAATGGTGGGATGAAGAAATTTTAAAATGTTGGTTTTAATCTGGGTTAAACTAAAAGAAGCATTCCCCAAAGCTTGGTGAAGACTAAATAGCATGCTGAAAATCTAAGTCTTGTAAGTGTCATGCCCATGCCACATTCAGGTTGCACACACCACTGGAGAACATTAATTACCAAAACCTAACAGTTTCCTCTGGAATCATTATTAGACACCTCTAGTTTCTTTTTCTTCTAAACAACATATATACGGGAATTATGTTAGTTTGGAAACTACATGAAAAACAGACTAGAAACACATGCAAACACAATACAAAGAGCTCAGACAAGAGCTGTCCCGATCAACCTGGCCCAAGTTGAGGTATCAAGAGTGAAATTTATAATAAACCCTAAACCAAAAATCTTAATGCTGAAGCTCAGACAGGTGATTTTGAACACTTACAACACCTATTCAGCTACCATACTACCTTAGGCACCCTTATTAAACAAAACCCAGATGCAAGATCCAAGATTTATCAGTTTTTCCTTATCCTATGCCCAATTTAACAAATTTCAACAACAAAATGTATGCAGAGGCACGTAATGACCTACCAGCTGAGATATGGCTTTGGGGAAGAGATGGTGATGGCGGCCATTGGAGCTGGTATGCGGGGCCCTGCTCCGGAAATGGAAGTGGGCCAGCACCTTTCGATCCGGCAATGGCCTCAGAAGCAACTCCTCCGAGAAATCTTCTTCGGTGACCGATCCCAAGGCAGCTTTGAAATTGAGAATTGGGGCGAAAAGTAAGAAAGAGAGCAATAGGATCGGTCTGAGAAGAAGAAGAGGAAGGGCCATGAGGGGGGGGAGTGAGCTGCAATCGGAGTGTGGGCGTTGCAAGAGTGCTATGAGATGGGGGCCAATGGGCGCCGAGTCGGGTAGTCCGCCATGGGAGCGTAGCTGGAATCTGGTCAGTGAAAGACTAGTAATGACTGCTTACGTTGCTCTGGGCTTTTTGGATTTTTACAGACATAAAGAATTGGCCTTTGGGCTTTTGAGCATTTTGGTCAAGAAGGCCCATCACATTTGTTAAACCATTTTGTTGCAAGTGAATATCCTTTTTTTTAATCTCCAAAAAGAAAAAGAAAAATCGTTTCTCTTTTATGGGGCAGTGAAAAATATGAGTTTTTATATATATATATACTAGCCCCTTGCGTGTGTGCCAATTGGGTTTTTAAATTTTTTAGAACTAAATAATAATAATGGATAGTTGTGTCCCATAAAATAAGATCCATTATCTGATTTTGTTTTTTTATTTTAATTTTTTAAAATATGAAAAAGTGTAATTTTACCATATTATCCTCATTTAATTAATAATTTCAATTCTTAATGTTTACATTAATCAAGGGTATTTTCTGGTATTTTGAATGTTCCACAATTCTCTATCTTTTGCTTTATATATATATATATATATATATATATATATATTAGCCTCTCCGCATGCGCTCCCATGCTTGTGAGATAATTTAAAAAAAAAAACTTAAAAATTATTTTAGAAGTAAAAAAGATAATAAGTAGTTGTGTTTCATAAAATAGGATCCATTATCCAAGGGCATTTTAATTAATAATTTCAATTCTTAATGTTTGTATTAATCAAATGCATTTTCTGGTATTTGGAATGTTTTACCATTCTCTGCATTTTGCTTTATATATATAGATACTAGTCCTTTGACCAAGGGTAATTGTGGGGATTTTGAAATTTTCACTTTCAAGGCCTTATGCCTTAATATATAGATATAGATTAAGGATGCTATTGTAAAATTATGTCACTTGATATTTCAAATTTGAGATTTATTTAAGTGTTTGGACTACTAGATTTTTGTTATGAAATGTATATATACATGGTCTAATTCCTATAATTCTTTTTTGCAAATAATCCCACAAATTTTCAAATTTCCAAGAATTGGATACACAATCTTTGACAACCTACATGGTTTTGATGTTATTGAGCACTAGAAATGTTTAAGAGAATTATTTATGTGTGAGAGTGCAGACTTGTGGAGTAATATTTTACTGTCACTGTGGCATTATATGTAACAAGATTATCAGTCTAGATCATTATAATCAAATTCAAAAAATCAATAACAAAGATTTTAACAATCAATAACAAGAAAATGAAATAAAAATCCAGAAAACATAACTAGGATTTCATTTGCAGTCGGAATTGAAAGACAATCAAGATAACTAAAACCAAAGATTGAAAAGTTTTAGCAAAGCTAATAAATCACACTGAGTTGTGGAAACTGAGAACTAGAATGAGACTTGGAGCAAAACTAAAATTGGAGCTTCTGAATAGAGTTGCTAATACTTTGAGAGCATCAATCAAATAGGAGCGCTGGTCCATTTCCGTTACCGGGGTTCTTGGTTTTTATAGTTTTTCAAAACAAGTGGTTCTCCCTTTTGAACAGACAGTGACATTGGAGTTTATCTCCACAGGTAAAGAGGACAATGAAGAAGCTCTGAAACGAAAAACACTTCAAATGCTTACCATTTATCACCGTTTTAAGACAAATTCGCTCTCTAATCCTAGAAGATCAAGGTTCCATCAAGTTCGTTGGGTACTTCATGACATGCAGGAACGATCTTTCATCTTGTTTTCAGATAAAATAATGAACAAATGGGGAATAAAAATTCTCAGACACTTCAATCTGAAGAAAGTAGTTTGTATCTTTTAGTGACGTTTCTCTTTTGCCTGCGGTTTGCAACGGTTTTAAGAACTTTAGTGACGAATTTTAGGGTGTCTAATTTTGAACTAGCTTTAGTGACTGTAAAATCCGCCGCTAGCCACTACTAAAAGCGTTATAAACGACGATACGAAAACCGCCGCTAAAACTCAGAAGATAGTGTAAATTCCTGCAGCGATACCCGTACATTAGAGACAGTTCATATAATCTACTTCTCACAATTTATCATAACCTTATTATTGCTCCTCACTCACTGGGGATTTAATATTGCACTCCCTCAGAGATATAGGGTACCTTTTAAAATCAATACAATGGTCATAGTTCATATATCTCCTCCTTCCATTCTCATTTGCTTGTGGTTCGTTTGAGTCTAATTCCCAAAACTTCCTATTTTTTTGAGTTTCTGCCAATATAATTGTGTCCATAACATTCTTTCATGGAGCTGTGTCTGTGGTATGCAGCCAATTATGTCAAATCCTTGGTGGTGAGCTCTAAATGGTGCAAGAGTTCAATCCATCTCAAGGCCGCCATAAGCTTGCTTGTATTTTCATTGGTTCTGATGGGTAGGCAACCCTAATTGGGATGTTATCAACATAAAATCTGCAGCACATAAAAAGAATAATTAATATATATGCATATATACATTATGGGATAACGTTATGTTATCCGATATATGTGACATGTTATAATGTTAAACTCTGAATCATAGTCACACATTTGGGAAACGAAAACATGAGATACAAAATTAAGAACATATGATGATGGCCAAGGATTCTTACACAATTTGATGATAGTTCTGAAGATTGTTGTAGTCTTGATAATCTGCATCGGTGTCAAACCAAATGATCCTTATCATTTTCAAAAGCATTTGTCTGCAATGTGATTGGCTCTCCTTCTACTTTACCCAAGAACTCAAAGCTTATCACGAGCTTCATTACCTGAAGTTAGCTGCACACACATACACACGCACGCACATATATATAGAGAGTGGCGGCTATAGATCTTCAAATAAGTTGCAGGTCCATTATAAAACCTGATGTGCTTGGTCGACCAACCAGAGTAATAAAGTTGACACAGTAAAAACATAAGGCAAATTACATGTTCCTTCTAGTTAATATTAGCAATAAGCTGACTTCAACCATACATGATGTGGTCGTGGTACGCATGAAATTCTATAGTATCTCTATTTATTTTTATTTAAAAAAATGAAACAGTTAACTGCAGTAGGTGTAAATGAAAGAGAAACAAGCAAAAAGAGGAATACTTCAGTCCTAGAAGGCATATGGTGCCCCAACAGAACTACAAGCTTACTACCAGTGACAGGGAAACTATGTTGCTAACCTTATCCCATCCTATAAGCGGACTGCAAGATGAAATCCAAAGAAAAACCGACTAACTTCTGGAAATAAATTAACTCAGCCAGTTGTGCAAAAAATAATCGATACTGTTTCAACATCTGCAACTCATGCTGTGTTCTAAATTTAATATCTATGCCCTGTTGTAAAACCTAAAAATTGATATCAATATGCTACAAACAGTTAATCTAAACTCTGTTCTTTGAAAATTTTCCTCCTCACCAGCACTCCCCTAACTATTTCGAGGAAATAACTAAAATACTTTAGACATACAATGATTGTAATCACCATAACTTGACAAGGCATGCTAAAATCAGGAGTTGCCAACGGTACAAGTAATACTACTGTGTATGTCAAAACATCGCTGTTTTCCTACACACAAATAGAGAGTCAACAATAGGTACAAAAATCCATGAATCTGATACGTGAATACCACCCAAAAAAAAAAGGAAAAAGAGGTGGTTAGAATACCTGGAATTTGGATAAGATGGAGGACTTCTCCACAGATTTATCCATAAAAAACTGCATGCTTGTATGGAAATTAGGAAAGCTTATTATGGCTGATGGAATATCAAATCCCTGATTGGCATCTGGAGGATATTCATCAATATGCAAAAAACCCTACATAGATATTATAACAAAGTCATACCCAGAAAAAAAATCAACAAGTAATGAAGAAACTAAGTGTACAGTCAAACTTCAGCTTATGTTTCAAGCAAATAAGATGATATAGGAGTTCCCAGAAACAATGCTTCATTCAATCATTGTTCTGCACGAGCTTAGCTCACAGTTTAGCACCATAGGAATTCCCACATAGCTATAACCCTTTGAAAATTCCTTATAAAAACCAAAGTTATAAAACATGGAAAAAATTTTTTTAAAAAGATTACCCAAGTATACCTTATCAAATTCTAAGGTTATAGTAGCTGATTTCATTCCACGAGGGAATTTCAGGACCATCTCCATCACCCCAGGTGACATCTTGTTTACAGAAGGTGAAACACGCATCTTTTCAACGATGTCTGAAACTTCTTGAGGTTGGTCATTAACAAACACTCGCAATGTAGAAAATAAACTTTAATATACCAAGGCACAACCTGAAAATTTTTGACTTCCAATTTGCACCTGCCTTCACTCATATCAGTATGCAACAACTCATCACTCACTTCTGTAGATCTCAAGGATATTACAATAGCACCCCTTTCATTCCTACTTCCCATCAAGAATCGACTAGCATGTAATGGTGCTTTCTGACAGGACCAAACTACAGGAAGCTTCCAAGTTAGGCCAAAATCAAATGGCCTAGACTGTACTTCTCCATAGAAAATTCATATAGAACAGATGGGTTCTTCTTTTCAAATCCATTAAGTTTTTTAATACTCTGTTCGGTTTAACAGACAATTCAAAGCCAGGGTTACTCATAACACCTTCATAGGCAGATTTATCAGCGCTGGATATCTCATTTTCTTTATGCAAATAATCTAGTTGATCAACTAGTCCACTATCAAGCTGAAGGTATACAGTGGAAGAATTGGCTAGCACACGTCTTCCACCGACCTTCCTCCCAAAAATTGAAGTCAATGACCAGCTTGGTTGTGATTTTGTTTCTTGGGAATAACTCATAATAGTTCTCTTCTCAGACTATCAGGCTGTACGACAACTGTGAATGTTTTCTGTAGAACAATTCCTGAACCTATCCCCTCCGATTCAAATTCACTTGAGGTCAAGCACAACCGCTGTGAATGATAAAATCCTTTGTAGATAGATGGTCTATCCATTAATGCAGAAATCCCAGCTTTATCTCTACAAGGAAGGAGCTTCAGCCACAGAGTTAGGTTCTCGAAGCAAACAGCCTCACGGGGCAATGTACCATACCTCAGACTTCCTGGAGTTGGGCGATAGCCCCATTCAGGAGCCAAATATGATGTAGACGATTCTAGGAAGTTGATTGAAGCACAAAAGAGACCCGAAAGAGCATGGATTAAATTCTTCCAAGATTCATCCACCAGTTCAAGAGGGACATCAAAGACAGCCCACAACTCAGCTCCAGGAGGCTTGGCCTTGTTGCTTGATATGCGATCAAACCCACCCCCGACCTTGTGTGAAAGAAAATTCCATTTCCTTAACGTGAAACTTCTGAACCTGTCCAACCAACACTCTCCCGTAAGTTATTTAGTAGTTTATAAGATACTACCAAGAATTTCATGAATTCAGACAAGAACGGTGGAGTGGAGGTAATTGGAAAGTTAGGTATGCTACCAGTAAGACTTAAAAATCCTAAATTTGAATATCAATGCTAAAAGCTCATACAGTTAATTTTGAAAACTTACAACACCTATCAACCTACCTTACTACCTTAAACACCCTAATTAAATAAAACCCAGGTACATGATAAAAAATTTATCTGTTTACGACCTTATCGTATGCCAAAGTTAACAAATTTAAAAACAATATGATGCAGAGGCACGTAAAGACCTACCGGCTGAGATATGGCTTTGGGGAAGAAATGGCGGTGCCGGCCACTGGAGTTGGTATGTGGGGCCCTGCTTCGGAATTTGAAGTGGGACAGCACCTTGCGATCCGGAAATGGCTTCCTAGAAATCTTCTTCGGTGACCGTTCCCAAGGCAGCTTTGGAATGGAGAATTGGGGCAAAAAGTAAGAGAGAGAGAGTAACAGGACCCGTCTGAGAAGAAGAAGAAGAGGAAGGGCCATGAGGTGGAGGAATGAGCTTGAATCGGAGTATGGGCGCTGCGAGAGTGCTATGAGATGGGGGCAGTGGGGCGCGGAGTCAGATAGTCCGCCATGGAAGCGTCGCTGAAGGAGTTTGGTCTATGAAAGACGTTGGGGTCTGGGAGGGATTTTTTGATTTCTAGAGACAAAGACAATGGGCCTTTGGGCTTTCGGGTCTTTTGGTCAAGAAGGCCCAATTGATTAACGATGATTTATTGTTATTTGTTTCCAGTTTCTATTTTATATATAATTTAACAAATAAAGATTTGCCAAACCAAGTATATGAGAATTTTCTGATCTATCTTTTCGATAGGTTTTTTTTTATAGAGATATACAAAGTGATAAATCATAAAAAGAGTTATAATAGGAAATAAATCTTAATTACTATAGAACTATGCAAACGGATAAATAAAAAGAATCTCAAATAAAAAGGAAATAAATCTCGCCAATACGATTGTTATGTTGTTTATTTTGAGATTTTTTTTTTCTTTTGGTGCTTTCACTGCCGATTATAAGTGCTATAGTTGCTTTAATAGCTTCTTCTTGATAAGAGATCTCAAGCCTCTAGGTCATTGATGGCCAAAATAAAAGAATCATGGCTAAAAAATTCTTGATCTTTACATTTGATCCCAAATCTAAGATAGTGTGTTCTTAACTTTCCATCATCAAATCTCTCCTAAAAATTGTAATAATCTTAATTATAAATAAATGCATCAAATGCTTCACCAAATCATATAAAATCCATTATATACATATCTTGATCATAAATCCAAAAAATTTCAAGATAGTATCCTAAAATTCAATATAAAATCAAATATTAATATCATATATCTTGAATACAAAGTAAAGGGTTAATTATGGTTATGCCAATAAACACGTGTCAAGTATTGAGAAGGCGTGATGAGCAAAAATATTTCTGTAGCGTTAATGCGATAATGTGATCCAAAGGAATAATAAACCCTTTTTTAAAAATCTTTAATTAATGTTAGGAGTGATAAGTTCTGCGTACAAGGGTTTCATATATAAGATACAAAATGATGATCACCAGATTACAATAATAATTAATACAGTTATATATATCATCCCTTATCTCCTCTGTTTTTTTTTGTTTTTTTTTGGTTTAAATTTTTCTAAGCCTCTCTTGAATCTTGATACTAAATTAACCCTAGCTATTAAAACTGCACTCTGGGGCAGGTGTATGACCGGCACAATAGTCATAGTGCATATGTCTCCTTCTCACATCCTCATATGCCCGTCGTTGGTCTGAGTTTAATTCCCTTATGTCGTTCCACCAATAATTCTGCCCATAACATTCGTTCATGCATTGTTTTGTTGCGCAGGGGCAGCCACTTATGTCAAATCCTTGGTAGTGAGCTTTAAATGGTGCATACCTCCAATCCGTCTCATTCTGACTTGCCCATTTTGCATGCCAAAGGCTTGCTTGAATTTGCAATGGTTGTGACGGGAAGGGAACCCCAGATTCTGTGAGTTTCTTAAATACCCTAATTGGGATGTCGTCGACATAAAATCTGCGCGATAGAAAAATAAATAAATTAGCGTGCGTTATAAAATTGTGACAGACATGTTATATTGTGAAACTGTGAATTAAATTCCCGTGTTTATGTATATATAACAATTTGAAAAAATAAAGAGCAATTTGATGATGGGGATGAGTACGTATTCTTACACAATTTGATTCTGGTTCCAAAGAATTTTGTAGTCATGATACTCTGTTGTGGGGTCAAACCAAAGAGTAATTCTTTGTTCTCTACCGGAAGTGCCATTTGCAAAAACATTTGTCTGCAGTAGGATTGGCTCTCCTTTTATGTTACCCAAGAACTCAAAGTCCAGCTCGTCATGAGCTTTGTCCTTTACTTCGTCACCGTCACCTGAAGTTAGCTTCATATATGTAATATACATTATAGGCCGGGGGCAATATTCGGAGACATTAAAAACAGACACAGAGAGAGAGAGAGAGAGAGAGAGAGAGAGAGAGAGAGAGAGAGAATTAATGGGATAATAATACTCACATAAAAAGTTGTGACGACATCAGCAGAATTCCCTCGTGGTAATTTGATCTTCATATGAAAGAATCCAGAACCAAACCATTGCTTGGATACAAACGAAGCCCCTGAAATAAGAGCTCAAATTATCTTCTATATACAATAAATAAAGGAAAGTGAAAGTTAAATAATTACCACTATATTATATATATATATACACACACAGGTTATAAAAGAGAGTTAATTATAATATCTCATATTCTACTTATTTTTCTTAATTTCTAAGAGGTAAGTTTTTTTTTAGGACATTTCCTATTGAGAGGAGCGCTAATATATTAAATTCACACGCACTACGCAGATGTTAGGACTCCAAACCCAAGATCTTGCCTAGCTATGGAGTCTTAAATCTTCTTCAAATAAAGTTGCACATATCCATTATAAAACCTGCCATGCAATAAATAAAAAATTGCCTGCTTTGTGGTTTAACCTCTCATAAATAAAAACATAAAGTTGATTAATTACTCCATATCCTAAGGATAAGTACGTAGCAAAGACAGCTTCAGAGAAATAAGGCATGAATAAGAAATGGAAAGAAAATCAATACAAACAGCTCACGGAAAAGAAAAAAGAATTTATTTGGATCATTAGCATCTAACAAAAAGATTATCATTAGCATCTAACAAAGAGATGGTTATTCCATTAATTAGAATCTAGAAGAAGAAGAAGAAGATGATGGAAAGGATAATTAACCCGAAGAATTATCCATAGAAAGCCGGACTTCTCTTCCTTGATTTGAAGACCGGAAATGAGAAGAATCCGTTGTGAGCGTTCTATAGTTATGATAAAAGTTACCGTCAAGAAGGTTGGTTTCTCTTGCAAGCGCCCCACCACCAATAAGGAGAAGAAACAGAAATAAACGAACCACTGAGAAAGCCATTTCTAAGGCAAAACCTAGCTAGTGAGAGTGCTTTTGTTTCACAAAAGAAAGTAATGCATTGGTGAAGTTATATATAGATCCCTTCCTTAGTTATAAACCTAGACTTAGCCCAAGCCCATGAATAAGAGTTAGTAGATACGTACGAGACTCTGGTTGGATCGATGGAGGGATTCTGGATCTTATGAATTTAGATGACATTATAAGGTAACGTTATTTGTTTAGACTATTACAACTCATGCATCCTAAAATCTGGACAAGCAAAGAAGGGTTTAGCAAATTTAGAAAGAAAGGAAGGAAACAAATGAATTTCAAATGATTCATTGTCATTTCAAATAATATACTACATCTAGTTTATTTCAAATACATTCAGTCTAATATGATTCTTGTTTTTGTATTTGAGAACAAAACTAAATTCGTTTTGTCTTCAAATTCAAATTATTGCTTAAAAATCTCTCCATTTGGAATGGGAGTATTAATTAGGACACTCACGAGTTGTTATATCCAAATTTTACTTAGACATTTTCCACCGTTAAATGAAATTTCAAGCAAGGAAGGAGAGGGAACTAATATTTTTCAAAAGAGGCCTAAATTTTTTGGAGGGAATTAAAATTGTTCATGCATTCCTCACAATTTAGGGCAACTTTGACAAGGATGAAGTGGATTATGCTGGAGTTGGGCTTAGATAAAATGAGTTAACCATAAAAATACATGTAATTAATAATTAACAAAACAAAATTGGGTCAAATTTTACAAGTCATTTACTTTTAAAAAGCAAAAACAGAGAATATGATCAAGATTAAAGTGAAAACAATAAAAGTTGAATATCATAATAAAAGAAGAAGAAGAAGAAGAAGAAGAAGATGATGATGATAAATTAACCCGAATCTTGATCCAGTAAAAGCACGAGTTCTCTCCCTCGATACCAAGTTTCCACATGATCAGGTTTCCCCCAAACGACTCCATAATTTTCGTCGAAGTGAACATCACGGGCAAACATTCCACCAACAAGTTGGAGAAACACAGCTAAAACCAGCACTGAAACCCCCATTTTAGAACAACCCTAGAATTAAACCTAGCAGGCTACTGAAATATTTCTTTTATATGTATTTTTTACCCTAAGAACTCGAAGTGGGCAAAAAGAGTGTGAGCCATAATTTCTCTACCTTACTGATATTTGTTATGCCCACACGCTATTGACTTCTCCACATATGATAGCTATCTCCATAACCAACCACATCATAATTTATGCACCATCCCTTTTTTATGAAAACAACTAGAAAAATTGCCTGCCCTTTTACCCATTTTAGTTCATATGTTTGATGAAAACCTATTCAGAAATCGTGTTGTTAGGAAGAGCCTGGAAGCAATGAAGTGCAAGAAAGAAACTCCATCCTATATAGCTTTTCATTTTGTATCTAGCTGTGACAGCGACGTCTGTGATAAGGGGATCAAATATTGTTGTATAAACAAGTAAAAGGTTAGAAAGCAGGGCACGTTCATGCATACCCTGACCTTGTTCAATTTTGATGACTTGAATACGTGCTATATTTTAACTGAATTGTTTTGTAACTCAACACTGACACGTTTCAAGAACAGTATCTTACAAGTTTCTATCGCCCTTGATGGTTGTTTCTGTTGAATTGGGGGTCTTGCATGCATGATGGGGTTGACATCACAACCCCTGCGGCTTGGGTTGCCCTTGGCTAAAAAGGTTATATGGATCCCACGCCATAACGATTTCATCATCCAACTTTTGTAGCATCTGGACTTAGCACCAACACTTTGAGTACGTAGATTTTCTCATTGGCACATTTTAATCCAAACATAATCTAATCTGGATTTTGTTCCATGCATGCATTAGATCAGCCGTCACTATATTATATTTTTCTTTTTTTACTAATGGTGAATGGGAAACCTACAAATCTATCATCATTAAACTCAAAGTGTTAATAAACTTTTAATAAACTCTCAAATCAGTTTTAATTTTGATGCCTCAGAAGATTGATGGCTCAGTTATGCATAGGTGTTTTCATGATCCTTTTGTTTTTAATAAAAGAATAAAATGCTCATCTCTCATCATATTAATTAACAAATAGAAAACTATATGTATCTATGAAAGTGCAAACCAGGATTAGGCTTTTGTATAGAGAGAGAGAGAGAGAGAGAGAGAGAGAGAGAGAGAGAGAGAGCATATTTCTGAGTCACAGTACTTATCTAACGACGCCAGGAAAGAAGCTTACAAATGCAAACCTGTTAATTCCAACAAAGAGCCTTCCTTAATTAGCTTTTTTGTCTTATACTGTAAGGAGTATTGATAAGTTTGCTATTTAGCAAGAGGTTGTTGGCCAGTACTTAGTTAGGATTTTGGTTTCTTATTTAGTTTGTATTTTGGTTATTTACCCATTTATTTAGTCATGTTGTAATTTAGATTTATTTCATATTTTATTTAGGGCTGTATTTCCTTATAAATACCTTCATATTGAAGAAAAATACATAACTAAAAATTTACCGTACTTTGTTTGACAGACATGACCGATTAATCATGCATCATATATAATAAAAATATCATAACCATACAATTTAAATACTATGCATATATTTAGAAAATACCCACCAATTGGCACTTTATGAATTACAAGTATTATTTTCCCCTCTTTAATTATTCTAATATTTATGGTAATTATAGTTTGTAATTTTTCTGAATATTGCACTCTTTGGGAAGCCCGAAAGGGTATCGAGGCTTATCATTACAATAGTCATAGTTCATATATTTCTTCCTCACATTCTCATATGCTTGTTTTTGGATAGGGTTCAGTTCCCAATAATTCCTATTGTTCCACCAATAATTGGATTTATAACATTCTTCAACGTTGGAGCTCTGTGTTGAGCACCCACTTATGTCAAATCCTTGGTAGTGAGCTCTAAAAGGTGCATATGCCCAATTTATCTTTTGTGGAGATGCCCAATCTCCATTCCACAAAGTTGCTTCAATTCTCATTGGCTGTGTTGGGTAGGGAACTCCCAAATTCGTGTAGTTATTGAAAGGGAGTTTCACTAAAACACCCAAAATGGGGGTTGAAATTATAAAAAAACCCAAGCACTATTTAAACATATAAACACACCCAAAACCCATCATTACACACACTCAAAACCCATTTATAAACACACCCAAAAAGTTGACTTTGGGGGTTGATTTTGGGTGTGTTTCTATGTTTAAATAGTGCTTGGGTTTTTTTATAAATACATGTCTAGGATTGGGTTTATTTATAAATTTGTATTATTGAAAACCCTAATTGGAGTGTCGTCGATAAAGAATCTGTAGAGAAAGATGAAATTGTGAATCTAAATCATACATTCAAACCTCGATCGATAATAAACAACAATAAGATTAATGAGACGAGAGATATGATTCTTACACAATTTGATGAGGGTTCCAAAGAAGTTTATAATCATGAAAATGTGATGTTGGGTCAAACCATAGGTGAATCCTTTGCTCTCTGCCGCCTACACCATTTACAAACACATTTGTCTGCAGTGTGATTGCTTCACCTTCTGCATTACCCAAGAACTCAAAGTCCAGCTCATCATGTCGACTAGTCTTTGAAGTTAGCTGCATGTAAAAACCAACATATAAATAGGAGAAAAAGAGGTAGATATAATAACAAGGAGAATTTATATATATGGAAATTGGAATAACACTCACATAAAAGTTGTAATAACTCCTGCAGTACTATTGTTCCCTGGTATCTTCATCCTCATATGAAAGAACCCAGAACTGTACTTTAGGTACGATCCAAATCCAGACCCTGTGCAAGTAGTAATTCAAATGTCTAAGTTGGTGCGTCATGTTGGAGTGGGCTTAGATAGGATAGGCTAAATGTAAAAATATGAAAATATTTGGACCAAATTAATTAATTATTGCGCTCCATGTCACTATCGAATATATATGTTATTTATTTAAAAAAATAAGAAGAAAATGACGATCAATGTATCAAAATGCTAAGAATAAAAGTTAATTAATCATGCATAAGCGCTGAAAAACTATCGTTAATTAATTAGCATTTAACAAAACCAAGAGGAAGAAGAAGATGATGATAACCCGAATGGCTATCCAACGAAAGCTGGATTTCTCTCCCCTGATCAAGAGACAAAACATGATCATTTCCCCATGTGATTTCATAATTTTTATCAAAGGCACTGTCGTCGTTGTTGCTTGCAATTGTGCCACCAACAAGTAGCAGCAAAAACACAAAGAAACCCAACACTGGAAAAGCCATTCTAAGCCAAACTATGGCTAACTCTACCATTTGCAAGTGCCATTGTTGTGGTGGTGAAAGCTATATATATATATATATACATAGATGATTTCAACAGTTGAAGATTTTCCTAAAAACCAAAAAGGGTGCGAGTGATATGTCATGATCTAGAGCCTTAGCTTCTTGTTTGTTACATGTTACCCGCACGCCACAAACTTCTCAAATAAACCAACCACGTCGTTCTAAAAAGCATGACATTTTAATTGGGCTTTTGTAGTAGGCTGTCCTATTGGTGTTTCCAGGCCAAAAAAAGGGGCCCTGGGCCCCACTGTTCATCCAAACTTTTCTGTACCATCAGCTATACACATATATACAGAGAGTTTCTATTGATGGACACCCCTTGTAGGCCCCACTCTGTATTATATTTCACTAATCCAAACCGTCTATTTTGTAGATACTCATTCAAAGATCATCTCTACAAAAAATTACTTGAATCCGATATCATTTGACCACTCATTTGAGTTATTGAAATTTTAGTACTTTCTTGAAGGACCGTGTTCATTGATTTTGTAAGACACAATTGGATGTCGAAACGGTTTCCGATTTGTCTAATTTTTTTGTAAGGATGATCTATGAATGAAGACCTAAAAAATAGATGGTTTGGATTATTGGAAAAAAAATTGCAGGGTACCTAAAGGGCGTCTCTCAAATAAAATTATTTGAGGGATCCCTCAATAGAAGGGGATTGTATATATATATTCCTACAGGCCTTTTAGCCACAAAAATTCTCTCAACCGTAAAAGGTTACTTAGTCACAATCAGCTGTAAAACTGTAAAGGTAAAATTGTAAAGGTAAATCAATAAAACCAATTTACACATCAACATTACCTAAATACATCCAATCCAACTTGCACTCCTAGCCCAACCCAACCTTAGAAGACCCGGCCCGTTCATAAGTTTATTGCTTATAACATGTGTACTTTACCTAGTCACCATTTTCATTCTCTCAAAACTCACTGAGCTCCAAGAAAACCAAGAAGTTCATCTATTTTAGGTAAGTCGTCCTAAATTTTGTTAATGCACTATGCTTGTCTTTGTTCTGTATGCGTATAGTCAGTGGTGGATCCATGAATTTTGCTTGCAGGGGTCAACGTCTTACAGGTGCAGCTCATTGCCCCCATGTCTATGTTGGTGGAGCTATGTTTAGATCAAGAGAAAATGGGAATGAAGATGCCATTTTATTTCTTAGTTTGAAGAGATAGGTTTAGATCGAGAGAAATGGAAAGGAAGAAAATTGATGGAGCTAGGGTTTTTCTCCCATTGTTTTCTTTTATAGACGTCCATTATGACCCTCGAGCTTCACATTGTGGCATTGTGGCTTTCCGTCTCCGTGATTTCCACTTCGTGTTTTTTGGCTTTCCATCTTGAGCTACACACCCATGGCTTTCTCTGTCTTTTAAAATTTATGAAGACTTAGACCTAGATTTGTGTGCTTGCTTGTTTAATGAAAATGAACATATTTTTAATTACCTGAAAAATAAATGAACAAATTTTTGAGTTAGAGACTTAGACCAGCCCGTTTGACCCCACCAAAAAAAAACAAAAAAACCTGTTCAGACAACCTATTCAGCAAATATTAGTAACTTATGTCTGTCCAAGCGAGTGACTAATGCAACATGTCCCATGACTTACAGATGGACAAGGTTGTGCAGGATGCTTCAACTTGGTGAATGAAGATGATGGAAAGCTGCTCAAAGAAGACGAGTTCAAAAAGATATTGACTGAAATCCTGGGGAGCATCATGTTGCACTTGGAGGGAATTCCTATCTCAGTTTGTTCAAATTCAGTTGTGCACAAGCCCCTTGCCTCTTCTTGTACACTATTGCAGCCATCTTCCTAGTTATACAGCAATAGCTCTCGCGAATATATCAAGCGTAACAAAGATAAAACTGGCAGTAAAATTTTGATGAAGGAAATGTTGACTACCACAAGTTTGTGTGTTGCTTAGTTAGAGATGGAGCCCAGATTTATCAATGTCCACTACTGTGTCTGTTGTGACTGATTTCTGTTTGATGCATTCAAGGTTTGATCCGAAATTGTTACTAGAGCAAATGGAACCAGGATTTGTCAAAGTGTTACCCTACTTGATGCAATTGGTCTCTGCTGGATATAAAAGCACCTTGCCTTGAATATCAGGTTATAGTATCCACCTTCGTGTATGTGAGACTGGACGCAGGCCCGATTTGGGTACTGTAGCAATTGTTCTTGCCCGATATTGCTAGAAATGAATGCACTGGCTTATATCTGGATTCAGAAATTTGGTGATTGGCATTTTGATAAGGTTTTTACCATCTAGTTTGGATTTTGTAACTTATGTTCCACCATTGCATCAGCTATGACTAAATCACTTTACATTTTCTTTTTGGCATTCCTTGAATTCTTTCCCCTTAAGAGAACAATAATCATAAGACAGATATTTCTGAGTCACGCTCTCGTAGGAGCTTTGCTGCTCTGAGGTCAGTTCCAAGTAATTCTCCTCGTTCCACCAGTAGGTTTGAGATTCAGAAGAGCACTCAGATCCATATTGGCAGCCATTTATGTTGAATTTTCGATAATGAACTTGGAAGGGTGATTTAGACCAATTTACTTTTCTGCCATTGGATGCCCAACATTCTCCATTCCATATGCTTCCCTCCACAGACATCTACTGTGTAGGGTACTTTGCACCCAAGCTTGTGTCGTTCTTGAACACTCTAATGGGGATGTTGTCCACCAAAAACCTAAAATTCAAAACGAAAATATTATGAGAAAAATAATAACATTAATATCGAGCTAAACTCCGATCCTAACGCGTATTAAAGTTAAAATCAAAGCATAAGCATTGTTAGGAATATAAGATGACTATATCCATGTCAAATTGTTTGGTAAAATAGCATTTTCTTAAAAGTTAGAACCTGTAGTCTGGTCCAAAGAAAGCTGAACATCTCTTCCCTGGTTTAGTTGCAAGACATGATCATTTCCATATCAGCTGCTTCACCTTCCACATTACGCTTTGTGCAAACTAGTACTGGAAAAAAGATAAGAGAAAACCACATCGTGTAGGGTCCAAAAAAAAAAAGCAAAGAAATTAAAGAAAGGGTGTTCTTCATAAAGATGAGTATAGATTTATACATCCTCTAATAAGAATTAAAAATGATTAAATAGACTGTTTAAAAGCTTCGATATTTGCAATGTGTTGCCTCTAATTATAATAATTATAATTATTTAAAATTAAAATATCGAATTAAACGCCTATATATACTTATTATTGGAGATAAGACTTATTTTTTTGGCTCCGATGTTGATTATGTTAAACATATGCCACAGAGGCACAGAATATATCAAGAACTACGCTTATAAATAATTGCACTTGAAGAAACCATGTGGGCAGCGATATGATATAAATACCTTTGTTTTTGTTTAAATAGATTAATTAAGCCAACATGGTTTAACCTAGTAGAAAATGACATTGACTTGCAAACAAAAGGTCTCAGGTTCGTACCTGTGCGTGTAGTTTAGACTATCGCTTGTGTTAAAAAAAAATATATGGATGAATTAAATTTGCAAATTTATAACAGCTGTTGAAGTTTATATATTTCTCAGCTGATCGTGCATAGTTACCAAAATCGGTTAGAAATGTCTATGTAAAATAAAATAATTCAGTTACCAAATTCTGATTGGAGTGGGTTTTTTTTGTTTTATTTAACGTTTCTTAATTTCAGTTACCAAAATCATAATGTAGTAGCAAAGTGTAGGAGGGAAGAGTAGAGGTGTCAAACGGGCCGTGCCGTGCCGGCCCATCCCATTTAAACTCGTGCTTTTAACGTTTTCGTGTCGGGCCGGGCCGGCCCATTTAATTTATCGGGCCGTGCCGTGCCGGCCCATTTAGTAAAATTATTGATCCCGGCCCTGCCCAAAGCCCATGTCCATATTGGAACGGGCCGGGCCGGGCTCGTGCCGTGCCCGTGCTCGTGCTCGTGCCATACTCGGGCCCAAGAACCAATCCATTTAATTTGAATTTTTTTCACTTCATTTTTTTTAAAACTAGATAATTCAAATTATAAATATTAAAAATATAATTAGAGGTAAGAAATGATGAACTATTTGAAAACATTAATCAATCAAACATCCAAACAATATGAAAATGGCATAGGGCAAAAAGTGTCAAACTCTACAAAGTCCACTTCAACTTTTCATCTTTAAACAACTTATGATTTTATATGTAAAATAATGTCTTACTTTGATTATAAGAGAAGCATATATGTCATATGTACTGATTAGATAGTAAGTCCAATATTGTTTAATTAATTTGTAGTTGATATGTTTAATTAATTAAGACAAATTAATTAAGGACCCAAGTAATTTCCCTAAAATGAAAGACATTATATATATTTATGATTAAAAAAACATATAAATAATGACATTAGATGTCAAATTATTTCATTTTGACTTTTGAAAAAGAAAAAAATGTTAAGTGGGCCGTGCTTGGGCCGTGCTTGGGCTCGTGCTTGGACTCGTGCCGTGCTTGAAGCGTGCTCGGGCCATGGGCCGGCCCGGTCCATTGGACCTCATTTTTTGATCCCGGCCCGGCCCAAGTTTTCGTGCCGTGCCGAGCACGGCCCATTAATATTCGTGCTCGTGCCGTGCCGTGCCTCATTTAAATGGGCTGGGCTCGTGCCGTGCTGGGCCGGCCCGTCCCGTTTGACACCTCTAGGGAAGAGTGGGAAAGAGAAAGATAAATAGTATCGCCGCGCGGCTATGCTCGTTTTAATTTTGTTAAAAATTGTCTACCCGATCGGCTATAATATATATACATAATATGGCATCCTTTTTTTATATAAATCGTCTATCCGGGTGGCTATACTTATTTTGACACGTGGCGTGCATTTGTTTGATGAGTCCTCTTTTTTATATATAAATAGTATAGCCGTTCGGCTATACGCTCCTTTTTAAAAAAAATAAATAAATCATATAGCCGGCCGGCTATACATTTTGACACGTGGCGCATATTCGCTAGGCGGTTCCTTTTTTATTTATATAAATCGTATAGCCGCGCGGCTAGACTCGGTTGTTTATTTTTTTAAATCGTATACCCAGTCGGCTATACTGATTTTGACACCCGCCTGTTCGCTAATCCGTATAGCCGCTCGGCTGTACTTGGTCCAGCCTTTTTTTTATTTAAAAACGGTACAGCCGTCCGGCTATACTCGGTTGTATTAATGTTGCTAAAAATAGTATAGCCGCCCGGCTAGACTCGATCTAACCCAAAAAAAAAGGGAGTTGGGTGGTTTCAAAGAAAGTGTGAAGGGTGTCAATAAAATTTCCCAGTCTAAATTGGGCTATGTTGACTTGAAAGTAAAGATCCACCTTGGGCTGGCTTAAAAATGGTAGGCTCATTCAAACCCAGGAAGCCCAGTCACAGTCGGTTTTGACTTTTTTAACGGATAAGATCAAAATAAAAAGAATCCACTCCAATCAGAATTTTCCAGATAGAAAGTACACATCACCCAGACAAAAAGGCCAAAAAAAAAGCAAGAAAACGACTTCTGAATTCAATCCCACCGCAAAAACTTCCACACACATTCAATCTCATCCGTCAGATTCCTCCCCAATCAATTTCAGCCGTCAGTTCTGATTCCGCACAGCTTTTACCTTTCATAGCCACAAACGGCAATTCCCTTTCCCCCTCCTCCCTTTTGTTCCCGGAATCCAAAATACATTCAAATTCAGTTTATTCTCCACAAAACTTCCCACCCAAGAGAGAAGAGAAAAGAAAACACAAGGCCTACCTATATATAACTGTGAAGCATCAGATATTTTTGTATCTGTGTTCCAAATAGAAAATTCCATTGCTTGAGAGAGAGAGAGAGAGAGAGAGAGAGAGAGAGAGAGCAACATTGTAAGAAGATGTCTGCAACAGGAGGTGCTGATGGTCAGGGGGAAGAGAAGAAACCAGGGGATCAGTCAGCCCACATTAACCTCAAAGTCAAGGGTCAGGTATATATTATGTCATATGTTCACAATGTTTGGCACGTTCATGTTTTTTTTAATAAAATTTTTGGTGATTGTTATGTTTTCTTGAGAGATTGGTTCTGGTTGGGTTTAAATGGGATTTGGGTTTCTGTTTTGGCACCAGTTTGGTTACTGAGAAAGTTTGGGAAAGTTGGGGTGGCACTGAGAGTATTTTTTGTTACTGTTCTACCTAGTTGGTTGAACAATTATGCTTATGAGCAATTTATTATGTTATGAGAAACATGGTCGTCTGTTTCAATTCTCTACTTCCATTCATGTTTCTTTTGTGTGATTGTTAATGTTTTTTTAGATTGATTCTGGTTGGTTTCAAATGGGATTTGGGTTTTTGCGTTGATACCTGTTTGGTTACTGAGAAAGCTTGAGAAAGTTGGGGTGGCACTGCGGGTAATTTTTTGTTTTGCGTTCTCTACTTCTAATCATGTTTTTTGCGATTGATTCTGGTTGGTTTGAATTGGACCAGTTTAATTACTGAGAAACAGAGTCTTCTATTTGCATCCCCTGTTTCCAGTTATTTGAATTATAGTTAAATGGTTTGCTTTGTTGTTCTTTATTCCTTATTTTTATTTGCAAAGCGAAACTTATTTTTATTAGAATAAGTTCAATCCTTAACAGCCATTCTAGTTTTGAGAATAAGTTTCTGTTGATTTTTTGTTGCATTATAGGATGGCAATGAGGTTTTCTTCAGAATCAAGCAAAGCACCCAGTTGAAGAAGCTCATGACTGCTTACTGTGATCGGCAGTCTGTCGACATGAACTCGATTGCCTTCTTGTTTGACGGCCGTAGGCTCCGCGCAGAGCAGACTCCAGAGGAGGTTGGATTTTGAGTTATTCCCAAAATTTGAGCAATGTATATTTGGCTATTTGAATTGAATTTGCATCTCACATTTTTTCTTTTGGGGTTGGTAGCTGGAGATGGAAGATGGTGATGAGATTGATGCAATGCTGCACCAAACTGGAGGGTGGGTGTGAAATCTTGTACCTTGTTTTTTTTCATGAACTGCAAATTGGGTAAATCTTATACTTTGTTCTTACTAGGGAACATTCAATCTATATTTAAAAGAAAATGTATGTGAATTTGAGGTTTCTTTGTGTTAGGTTAGATGTGTTTTTCCGACTTTGTATTTGGCTAATGGGAACCTCTCACAACCCGAAAAATAATAGGGTTGAATATTGAAATAAATATTGCGGTTAAGATTGAATTTCATGACACACATGTAAAACATTCTGAGAAGTATTGTATATCATGACTCCAAAACATGATATTCTAAGAAGTATGTGTTCCTAAAGTACTGAAAGCAGTTGTTGCTTTGAGAAGCCATGTGAAACATGATAACAGTGTAGACGGCAAAAACACAGAGTTTTGACAGTCCAATAATAAGCATATATCCCGAGCAACGTATCTAATCCTTTTGCGTATCCTAAGAGCATGAATGAAAAGCTAAACTGAGCTCTGAGTAAAGGGTGGTTGAACGAACTCACGCCGGTAACTGGAGCTTTTTGTTGTTTTTCCAGCTGCAAATCATATGATTATATAATATAAATGAGAAAAGGCTCAGATAAATACAAATAATCACCAAAAATTGAATGCATATCATCAACGGGAATATTTACCTGTGGAAATAATAGTAGAAGAAGTCACCATATAGCAGTGTTTGAACAATCCCGGCAATCCATGCTGCAAAAACCAAAGAACAAAGAGCATAAGCATATAGTTTCTGGTGGAAAGCAGTAGTCCATCAAGTCAAACTAGAACGTACAATGTTGAAACATATGGAGGATGTGGTGCCTAAAAGATGGTGATCCTCTTCGGTTTCAAAAGAAGCCAGGCCGCTAAACTAGAGTATGGTGCAAGCTAACTGAGGCAATCTAACAATCATGCATGCAAGCCTACTGGTGCCTCAGGGACTGAATTTACTCCATGCAGGATCAGAAGTGTAATGTGAGGTACGGGATCTCAGAACATGTTAAGGCTTATGCTCAACATATTAGATAGAGTTATCAAACTTCACCACTTTCAAACAAGGAAATAATTAAAAACACTAACAAAAAGTTAAGTTCATATTTTGATGGTTCATAATAACCTTTAGAAGAAACGAGAAATCTCTGTGGTGCCATGCTTATGTGATATGTTACATTTCATATACTGCCTGCATTCGACGTAACATCCAAAGAAGTATGTGTGCATTCGATACATCCATCACAACATCTCTACTTATCTCTATAAAATAATGGAAACAGAAAAAATACGAGCGAATGCACACGGGACACACACACACACACAGGGCATAGATACAATGAGAGAGAGATAGAGAGGGAGAATCATACGTATCCAATGGACATAGTGTGGTTCAGTGAAGTAACGGTAAATCCAGTTGAGAATGTATAACGCTCGGTATCCTCTGCAAAAATAGTTGAGCACATCAACACAAACATCAAATACGTTTTTTGTTTTTTTGAAAGAGCACCAAATAAGTATATCATCAGGCACAACTAGCATAGATAAACATCTTGTAGGTAACAAGTTGCACGAGATTATTTTTTTCAAATGACACTGTTCTAGAGGATACTTCGAAGCCTAACAATTATGAAAAAAGGAAACAGCATTTAACTTAGGAAAAGTATTTACCTAAGAAGAAGCTACCAACTATCATGGCTGTGCATTAACTGTTAAGAAAGTAAAGAACTAACAATTTGATATGGTATGGCAAATCACAAAGTTGTTTAGAAAAATATACCCAAGAAGAAATACATATTGCCCAGTCAAGTTGTCAATGTTTCTCGTTCTCTGTAACAGCACAAGCTGAGGAAGTATAGCAACGGCTTCTAAATACAATGAAAATGTCCACATGACCTGATCCATATCATTACAGAGCATATAAGAAAGATAAAATAAGAGAGAAGAAGGTGCAGCTATCTTTCTGGCAGAAGTTCTCTAAACAGCAACTAAAAGATATGCAAACGAACCTCCTTGAAGGTGAACTTCTCATTGATTATTAGGGCGAAGAATATGCACGGCAGCACAATAAAAACATAGCGGAAGGTGTCTTGGTCCTTATCATAGGACCTGCGAACAATCTTGTGCTGCCTAATGTACCAAACAATCGAAAATGAGCTCCCCAAGAATATCAACTTCATGATGGTATTATATACAGATATAAAATCAGTGAAAATGTCCAAGTAGCGGGTAGCGAAAACAACGGCATAGAGTTCTTGAGTCTTCAAAGAAATTCCTGCATACAAAGAAACACATTAACCAATGTTGGTACTAGCAAGATGCAACAGCAAACCAATCCCCTATAAACCCAAATATTAAATGGTAAGAAAGATTTCAACTTTAGCCCTCTAAATTATAAATAAATAAATAAAAGGAGGCTTTTAGGACAAAATTAGTAAACTAACACAACATTTTGGCCTTTTTCCACTGTCAGCTGGATTATAAGTTAGAGCTCAGAACCCAATATTATTTTCAGAAAAATTCAACTGAAAATGATTCATTCTAGCTATCTAGGCCACCAAATAAAATGTTAGACAGAGTTTCACATATGATCAAATTGAATTGCAGCTTCAAATCTTCATTGGGTTTCATTCAACACAGAATATGAATGCAAGTATGCAAGAACATGCATTGCTTGGTAAGTATTTCAATTAGAAACATACATACAGAGAAAACTAGAAAAAGAAGATGGGATTGTCGTACCGGCACAAGATTTGATTGTGTGGATCTTGAGGAGCAAGACGAGGACGCTGGCCAGGTGGGTCATGTCACCCGCTAATCTGAATATATTCATTTTGTTGGATCCGAATGGTTGTTTGTGTTTGGATCTCCTGGGAATTTATGAAAGAAATGAAATGGCTTACTAATTGCTTCTCTGCCAATCAAAGAGCCGAAAGGCAAAGAAAGCCAGCAACTGGTTTAATTCCTCTGCAGTTTTTACCGTTTCTGTGCTCAGTGACGAAACATTTCACCGAGCGAGTAGATCTTGGGTTGCAGAGTTGTTCTGCTTCAGTCGTAAGTTGGGCCTCTTGTGCTTTCTGATTCTTTTGGAGCCCTAGTACCTAATGGGCCTTTGGGCCTTGGTTCGCAAGGGAAGTTTAGAATTCTTTTGCATGTGATATGCATGTGCACTAAAATTGACCAAAAAACCAATGAATGACATGATCATTTTTTTATTTACAAATATATATTTTAAACTACTTTAATGTACGGCAAGGTGGATCAAACTCAGGTGCAAAGAGGCGAATACACTTCTTTAATGAATTTCATGACTTTGGATCAAGTAAACATTTGAAAGCATTAAAAATCAAGGCTAATTGACAAGGAGAAAAAGTGTAATGTCCCATTTCATTGTATTTTACATGTTATAATGAAAGAATAATTCTCAAGACACCCAAATAATCCAAAAGGTTACATGAATAAAATTTAGGGAAGTTTTGACCTCTCTCTCTCTCTCTCGGTGGAATCCCACCTATTATGGTGGTTGTCACCTTTCCGAATGATATATGCAGGCATCCAAAAGCTATGGAAGACGACATAAAATCATTCTGTTATTTTGTTTCCAAACCAACATTCTTTTTAAGGCCATTGATCTATTCTGAATATGTTTACTCACGTGTATGCAGCTTCAAATAGAACTCCTCTAACTTGGCGGACTAGAGTCCAAATTGCCATTGACGTGACTAATGCAGGAGTATCTCCATTTCTATTGCGATCCTCCTCTATGCCATAGAGATACTAAGTCCAGCAACATCTTATTGGATGAGAGTTTTCGTGCCAAGGTATATGGTTGGCCTTGCGCATGCATCGAAAGATGGTTCTATTTGCTTTGAAGCGGTAAACACGGATATCCGGGGCACTCCAGGTTAGAGTCAAGCTTGTTTAATAGCCTGAAATAAAAAAGATATGTTTTTTTCTTGCTAAAGAACTTAAGAATATTGAACGGATGACTTGAGGTTGTATGGATCCTGAGTATGTGGTTGCCCAAGAGCTGACGGAGAAAAGTGATGTATGCAGCTATGGTGTGCTAGTGTTGGAGATAGTGACGGAGAAAGATGGCCGGGATAGGCCTTCAATTAAACAGGGGCTCAGGCTTTTGTATGAGAGTTCAGATCCAATGTATAGTGGATTTCTAGCAGCTGTGGACGACGAAGAGTACGAAGAGACTGAAGGACGGGGAAGGAATAGATGCATAGGAATGACATGATTTTTCACAGTGGGGATGGAAGATATCTTGCTTCTTCTTCAAGTACATCCAGGTCCTACTGTAGTGGAAGCTTCTTGCTGGAAAATGGTTCCCCACAATCCCCTCCAAATATTCTATCCGTTTGAGGCATGCATTTAGCCATTATCACCAATTAGAAAGGGCTGGTAGCATTTGATCATTTTTGAAACCACTGAATCAGATTGCCGGCCTGTTGCGAGATTCGACCCAGTACCGGCCGAAGGCCAAAGAAAATTGAGAGGACGGTAATGTTGCATTGCATCCTTTTGTGTTTTGCCTGTTAAAAGTTTTGGGGAAGAGAAACATAGATACATATCTTCGCTTGTATGGGTATGAAAAGTTTAACAATTTTATAACCAACATTTAGTATAAATTAGTGTTATACCTAGAAGAAATGTCTTTTGGATATGTAATTCCACATGAATTCGAGTTACTTGTGGTGGCCAAAACAGATAAAAAGCAATCTTCCTCATCCGTGCCCCAAAAGGGCTGAAAACAATATAGTGGTATTCTCTTTACAAAAGGGTTGTCATTGGTGATAATAATGCAAACGTAAAAATTAGATGACTGAGGCTTGCATTAGAAATAAGCCTGCATTAGGGATGTTCAAGATCAAGTCCAATCCGCTCAAACGAATCGATTCGATGATTTTGCACATTGCATTGGATTGCTAAATTTCAAATATGAAATTGGATCGGATGTGAGAACCCAATTGAATCAAATCAAACGTAGTTGGTTTCATGCGATTTTTCCTCTTTTAGTAATTTGAAATTGAATCAATTATGAACATTTTAAAGTGATTTGATGGAGAATTATGTCGGTGTAATATATTATAATGGACTGGCATACATACGGTACGGCCTCAGAATAATCCTCAACTCAAGCAATCAAACATCAAGCTTGAAAAGCAAAAGAACAACAACAGCAAAAGGAAGCAAACCCACCCTCAACTCAATTACATAGTATTTTCTTTCAGAAATTAACACTCGACGAACAACAAACTTTTATTAGGAAAAGCTAAAGAAACAACCTGCAAAATAACCCAAATAGCTAGTAGAACTGGAGGAAATAGACAGACCAGCGAACAAGGAGAAATTTAAAGAAATAGATAGACAGACCAGCCAATATATATTGGACAGCGGCTTATCTTTAGAATATTGAATTTGCCTATGTAGTCAATAACTTCAATCGTTCTGGAATCTTTTCCAATCTTGGACAGCTGTCTGACTTTAGATTCTTGAGCTTCATCATTGCCCCTTCTTCCAACTCCTCCAAATCATATAAAAAATTTAGATGTAGAATGTGCGACTAAGGAAACCCTTCTGAGGAGGAGCAAACCAGTTTTGTCCATTGGTATGAACGGTATCCCAAGAGAAGCATCTTTAGGTTTGGCAATCTCCTAAAGCTTAATTATTGAATCTTCCTCGAGATAGGAAGACGTCAGAGTTAGCTTGACGAGGTTTGGTGGGAATTGGTGTGGATCAGGTAGCTTCTTTATCTCCCCATCCAAATTGAGCTTGTGGAGATGCTCCAAATGAGAAAGGCTTATTGTTGTTGGCAATGTTGGATTGGACAAAGAGAAAACCAGCGAGAAGGATTCAAGGCAATGCAATCTCTCTATGTTGGGAACCAATGAGTTTAATTCTTCTTGCGCTGAAGTATTATTTTCAGTCGTCGCAGATTAGTCAAGCTGGCTAAACGGCCATCTTCCACCCGTTACCGCTTTTAGGGTCCTTAAATTGTTTGAGAAAACCAATCTAGAATTCATTACAGCGGCTACATTGACGCCCACCAAATGTCTCATATTCTTCGACTTCCAAATAACATCAAGAAAATACAGATGTATGGAATTTGTTACTTAGAGTGTTGTAGATTCTTCAGTTTTCCAATTGATCGAATTTCAGTTTTATAGTTGATTAAGGCTGACCTAATCTCATGAATACTCCTAGATACCTAAGTTGAATTAGGTTTCATACAACACTTAGTGCTCGAGATGGAAATCAAACATCATCTAGGACCCTGAGCAACTTGAAATCCTTGAAACCAAAGTCGAGTTTTGAATACTGTATGTTGAAAAATAGAAGGGAGCGTAAATAGATGGCATACGACTTTAGAAAAACATACAGGTTATCATGTTCACCATGGATTGCAAGCCTTCGACATTTGGTCTGTTGTGATGTTGGCGATTCAATTTCCTGCCCATTATAAATTTCAAGAAAACTTTCCTCTCTGCCCTTGGAGATAGAGAAGTCTCTGAGAACATCATGCATGCGAATGGCTTTAAGACTTTCAAGTGAGGTTAGTGTTCCTACCTGGATCATGCACCTATCAACCAACTCCTTTAAGCAATTTTCGGCAACACCTTCTGCAGCTTATTCTCCTTGTTGTGGTAAGAATCCTTTTGCAACCCACAAGTGTATCAACTTTTTTTTCGATATAGAAGAATCCTCAGGAAAAATACCCAAATAGAGAAAACATGATTTTAAGTGGAAAGGCAAATCATTGTAGCTTAGAGCTAAAACTGCATAAATGTGATCTTGATCAATCAGCCGCCATGTGATGTTTTGAAGCACACTTCTCCATTCCTCCGCGATCGTCCTTTTTGTGGACAATAATCCTCCAAGCTCACAAGCTGGATCACCGAAGAAGCATTATTGTCCACAAAAAGGACGACCGCAGAGGAATGAAGTGTGCTTCAAAACATCACATGGCGCTGATTGATCAAGATCACGTTTCTGCAGTTTTAGATCTAAGCTACAATGATTTACCTTTCCACTTAAAATCATGTTTTCTCTATTTGGGTTTTTTCCCTGAAGATTCCTCTATATAAAATAAAAAAAGTTGACACAATTGTGGGTTGCAGAAGAATTCTTACCACAACAAGGAGAATAAGCTACAGAAGGTGTTGCCGAAAATTGCTTAAATGAGTTGGTTGATAGGTGCATGATCCAGGTAGGAACACTAATCTCACTTGGAAGTCTTAAAGTCGTTCGCATGCATGATGTTCTCAGAGACTTCTCTATCTCCAACGGCAGAGAGGAAAGTTTTCATGAAATTTATAGTGGGCAGGAAATTGAATCGCCAACATCACAACGGACCAAATGTTGAAGGCTTGCAATCCATGGTGAACATGATAACCTGTATGTTTTTCTAAAGCCGTATGCCCCCTATTTACGCTACATTCTATTTTTCAACACAGAGTATTCAAAACTCGACTTTGGTTTCAAGGATTTCAAGTTGCTCAAGGTCCTAAATGGTGTTTGTTTTCCATCTCAAGCACTAAGTGTCGTAGGAAACCTAATTCAACTGAGGTATCTAAGAGTATTCATGAGATTAGGTCCACCTCAATCAACTATAAAACTGAAATTCGATCAATTGGAAAATTGAAGAATCTACAACACTCTAAGTAACAAATTCCATACATCTGTATTTTTCTGATGTTATTTGGAAGTCGAAGAATATGAGACATTTGGTGGGCGTCGGTGTAGCCGTTGTAATGAATTCTAGATTGGTTTTCTCAAACAATTTAAAGACCCTAAAAGCGGTAACGGGTGGAAGATGGTTGTTTAGCCAACTTGACTAATATGCAACAACTGAAAATAATACTATCGGCGCAAGAAGAATTAAACTCATTGGTTCCCAACATAGAGAGATTGCACTGCCTTGAATCCTTCTCGCTGGTTTTCTCTTTGTCCAATCCAACATTGCCAACAACAATAAGCCTTTCTCATTTGGAGCATCTCCACAAGCTCAATTTGGATGGGGCAATAAAGAAGCTACCTGATCCACACCAATTCCCACCAAACCTCGTCAAGCTAACTATAACGTCTTCCTATCTCGAGGAAGATTCAATAGTTAAGCTTGGGAGGTTGCCAAACCTAAAGATGCTTCTCTTGGGATACTGTTCATACAAGTGGACAAAACTAGTTTACTTCTCCTAAGGGTTTCCTCAGTTGCACATTCTACATATACAATTTTTACATGATTTGGACTTTGCCCCTATAACCCCAAATATTAAATGGTAAGAAAGATTTCAACTTTAGCCCTCCATATTATATATTAAAAAAATGAGGCTTTTAGGACAAAATTAATAAACTAACACAACATTTTGGCCTTTTTCCACTGTCAGTGGGATTATAAGTTAGAGCTTAGAACCCAATATTATTTTCAGTAAAATTCAACTGAAAATGATTCATTCTAGCTATCTAGGCCACCAAATAAAATGTCAGACAGAGTTTCACATATGATCAAATTGAATTGCAACTTCAAATCTTCATTGGGTTTCATTCAACACATAATATGAATGCAAGTATGCACGAATATGAATGCAACTTCAAATCTTCATTGGCCGAGCCACAATCCTCGCAAGCCTCGGAGATACAACTTATATTCGAGCCGCAATCCTCACAGGCTGAGCCGCATTCCTCGCTCCGCACGGCTTAGGGGTTCCCAAAACACATGGGGCATTAGTTATAGATGACATTATTTCGAAGCAACTAGGGGGTACCCTCGTGGTGGGTTTGAAAAACCATATTCCAAACTCATATCAATACTTTCCTTTATTACTCAATCCATTTCCCGACCTTTATATTAACTTTCTGATAAATTGATTCTCAACTGTACTTAAAATATTTATGCTAAAATCTGATAAAAACCAAGGGCCAAGATTCATCATTTTCAGCTACTGGGTACATTAGCAATTTATAAATAACTATTTATACTCAATCCATAACATGACCCAGATAACTCATTCTCAATCAGGACTTGTTTACATGATCATTTAAACACTTCTCAAAGGATATAACTGCCTCAGAAGACTCCCGATCAACCGAGGGGTCAAACTGCCTAAACTTGGTCAACCAGGCCCGTGGGGCCCACGACCTCCGATCACATATCCGAGAGTCTCTAAAGGTTCCAATATGTCTAGGACAAATGGTCCGAGAGTTTGGTCTTGATCAGACGGTCGAATTACTCACGATCGCACAATCGCACGGTTACTGTAAACCTAGCCCTAGGGTTGGCATTTCCAGAGTATTCGGGACTCCGTTATACGATCCTGGAATTATCTAGATCAACATATATGAAATTGACTATGATCCAACGGTTAAAGCATATCGAACCCGGAAATTGCACAATAGGTGAGATTTGTTCGAGACTTAAACGATATCCAAATTGAATTCCGAGCACACCTACGTGCTCGTGAAAACTAGGGGATCGCACTGGGACACTATGCCCTCTGCTACAGTACCCACGCGCCGACAGCGCATGGGTGTCCAAAGCGATACTGTTAGCCGGAGAACTTCAAAATCACGGGCCACCCTCCGGCTATAGATACCACTCGACGATTGGAGTATTTTATCCAACTACGGAGAGGTCCAATTTGGACGGCAACCGGCCGGAATTTCACTTTGAAATCCGGCCAAAACCTACGTTCAAAATCAAATCCCAAAACACTACAATCGTTCAATTCCTACCCAAAATACAGCTAGGGCTGGCAGAGAGGGTTCGAAAACATACCTGATTCGACAGAGGAGCTCGCCGGAAACGCCGGGCGTCGTCGGGAACAACCGGAGAAAACTAGTCGATATCGCCGACTGGTTTCAGGCTTCCCGACCAGGAAACCTGGAGGGTCGTGACAGCGAGCTCGAGTCGGTTCGAATGGGACCAGTCTCATCGGACGGGGTGACCGGAGATGGCGGCGGCGTGTGGATTTTGGTTCGGTGAACAGTTTGCGCGCAGAGGGAGCCTCCGGGGGAGAGAGAGAGGTCTGGATTTTAAAAATCCAATTTCACAAAATTACCATTTTGCCCCTGCATAAGTTTTAATCATATATTTCCCAGTACAACTCGGATTTGAGTCCACTACGTTGGACTCATCTCAACGTGTTCTATGTAACGGTATAATTGAAATTCCCAATTTCCTTCTCGATAAAAAAATTCAACTGTGAACCCGATAAAATATTCTATAGGCAAAATAGTCAACTCTAATCTAACCTTTGTATGGTAAAATTTTAAATTTAAATAGTGTTAATTTGTATTGTATTGCATTGCATTTACTTGTGATTTTTATTTTTATTTTTTATATTTTTTAAAGCTTTTATTATGTATAGAGATGCATTTGAGGTAAGGCTCATTACATTCACATGAGTAGATATATCTTTTTGTGTTTAATAATGAATTCACTTGTAATCTCAAATTTAATATGTAAGTTTTGCCCAGTCGATTTTCAAATCCTGAAATCACCACTGGTCACCCGCTAATTTGAATATAATCATTTTGTTGGATCCAAATGGTTGTTTGTGTTTGGATCTCCTGGGAATTTATGAAAGAAATGAAATGGCTTACTAATTGCTTCTCTGCCAATCAAAGAGCCGAAAGGCACAGAAAGCCAGCAACTTAATTCCTCTGCGGTTTTTAGCGTTTTTGTGCGAGTAGATCTTGGTTTGCAGAGTTCTTCTGCTTCAGTCGTAAGTTGGGCCTCTTGTCCTTTCCGGTCCTTTTGGAGCCCTCGTATCAAATGGGCCTTTGGGCCTTGGTTCGCAAGGGAAGTTTAGAATTCTTTTGCATGTGATATGCATGTGCACTAAAATTGACCAAAAAATCCAATGAATTACATGATAATTTTTTCATATTTATAAATAGATAATTTAAACTACTTTAATGTCGCGGAAGGTGGATCAAACTCGAGTACAAAGAGGCGAACACACTACTTTAATGAATTTCATGACTTTGGATAAAGTAAACATTAAAAATCAAGGCTAATTGACAAGGACAAAAAGTGTAAAGGCCCATTTCATTGTATTTTACATGTTATAATGAAAGAATAATTCTCAAGACACCCAAATAATCCAAAAAGTTACATGAATAAAATTTAGAGAAGTTTTGATGACTCTAAATACTATTAAGGATGAAAACCTTATGTTCAATTCATGCAATATCAATAATATAAAGGATATATAGACAACGTTTCAAAAATTAATTAAAGAAATTATAATGGACCCAACATACACATCATTTTGCATGCCTTCTATTTATTCGTTTTTCTTTGTATTCCAGCACAAATAGTGGATCCAACCGTCGGATTCATTATTATTTTATTTTTAAGTATATTTTTTCAATATATTGACTAACGAAGACAAACACATGAATTAAACTAGCCAAATAGAAAATACTTGAATTAAATTGATGAATTAAGTAAAACACAATATATTTTAATATTTAACATTTTTTAAATTATAGAAATATCCTCTGGTTCGATTCTCCGTTTTTTTTTTCGTGATTAAAAAAGAAACTTAATAATTGATCTTTATTATTTTGTATTTAAATTTCATATCCATGGACAAGATATCAGCCCAATTCAAATGAAACTAAGTATGCGAGCCCAACATGATCCATCGTCACACTCAAAAATGTCATCGTCAGCAGAGACATGAGAAATAACAAACTAACAAAACTACATACTCATTATAGTAGGAAATCAAGAAGCATATATCAAAAAAGACAAGCTTTGATCCAATAATCTCAATGACTATAAATATATGGTCACCAACATAAAAAATAAATATCAACCTTCATCAAAATTTGAACATCAAATCTAATGGTGAATTTTTAGGTGACAAATTTATTGTCAAAACAAAGACATGTATCTGCTATATATATAAAACAAAACGTAAAGAATGGTGAAACATTTAAAATACCAGAAAATGATTTAGTTAATGCAAACAGTAAGAATTAAAATTATTAATTAAATAGGATAATATGATAAATTTACACTTTTTTATATTAAAAAAATTAAAATTAAAAGAAAAAGCAGATAATGGATCCTATTTTTATGGAACACAACTACCCATTATCTTTTTTAATTATAAAATAAATTTAATTTTTTTTAAAAAAAATCTCATAATATGAATATGTGAAGAGACGTGTGTGAAGAGAAAACAAAGTGTAATTAAAACAAAGACCAAAATATGAAAAAAAAACAAAATTAAAAAATTTAAAATAAAAAAAAAAAAAAAAAAAAAAAAAAAAAAATAAATAGTATTTATTGAGGCTAATCCCACGAGTAACGGACTCGGCGGGTCCACGTAGAGTAAAAGCGTGCTCTGTGATATCTCCATGTCTATATATGAAACTTCCTTATAGAAGAGAGAGAGAGAAACACAGAGGGTCGGCCGCTTTTTACTTCGTCTCTTCACAGACAGAAAGCACGCATCTCAAGCAGCAGACAATATATATAGTGAGTAAATCGGTCTCTCTGTAACGGCTACTTTTGGTGAGAAGTGAGAAGTTTGTCTGTGAGAGAGAGCAAGAGAGTTTGGTCATTTGGCGAGGAAGGACGGTTGGGTTGGTGGTTGCTTCATAAATGGATTACAATAATAACAAGTAAATACCCCTCTCTATGTCTTTTTGGCTACTGGGTTCGTTTGGAAATCGATGTTTTTGTGATAAGTTTGCTTCTTTCTGTGTATTTTGGAGCTGTTGAGGCAATGTAGACTGGGATTTTGCCCCGTCTTTTTTTATTTAGTTATTTGCATTTTCCCTTATGATTTGGGGGATCGAATGCTGCTTCTGCAAATTGGGTTTGCTTCAATTTTGACATAGGTTTTTAGTTATTTAGAGATGATTATGATTCATCTGGAACTTTAAGGCTGAAATGAGGATGATGTGGGCTCTCTGATTCACTTGGTGGGTCATGGTTTTGTGCTTTTTCTTTGCTGATTTTTTTTTGTACTGTGTTAAAGTAAAATGCCCCAATATAGATTATGATATCCTTCTATTCTAGCTGTATTTATCCTTCCAGATCTTAATTACAGAAGTATACATTTATTGATATTTGTTTAGCATCTAGAATTGGATCAGATGTTCCTTTCCTATTCTTCTTTTTCTTTTTCTTTTTTCTTTGGGACAAAACACATTTGGTTTGCTTTACTTGTAGGTGCTGCCGCTTACTGTTTGGTTACATTTCCATTTGGCAGCTTTGTCGATTACATTGATCTTCTACTCACTGATTTGTTTATTTCCATCTTTATAGAATCAACCAGCACACAGAGGAAAAATTAGAAATAAAAAACAAGTATAGATTCACAATGTATGTTAAACATTAACTGATTGTATTACGTTAGTAGTTTTGTAGTAGTTTTGGAACCTGAAATCGTGCACATTGTGTAAACTTTGCACTGTGGCTCATACTTGAGATGGGGGTAGTTTTGTGGTTTTCCTTTCAGTTGTTTCAAGCATATGAGTTCTTACTTCTGACCTCATTTTACTTTATTTCCTACTGTGTGAAATGATGATAGTGAGAACTGGGATTGGCAAAGGAATAATCATAGTACCCCAAAGAACTCCAATTATGGTGCGCTCTTGCCACAGTTCATAATTTGCTAATAAATTGTTATTACTAGAATGGAGTTAGTGATTTCTTGCTTGGTACTATTGCTTTGAGCAGACATGCCTGAATACCTGTGGAATGGAGTGCCTCAGAATGAAGAAGATCTTTCGTACATGCTTGATGATGAAACAACACCAGTTAAGGCTTGTGGGGATTTGGCCTATCATGTTAACCATAGAGGTTGGTTTTCCTTGTTATTCTCCTCCTCAATGTTCTTTGAGATTTTCTTGCTTTTCTTGTATGTGCAATTCAGAACACTGCCCTTTATGTTTGTTGTTTTAATATCAAAGAAGTGGATTTCAGATAATAGGACCAAGGAACCAGAAGAACCAAGGGAGTCTTTTTCACAAGTAAAGAGGCGACGGATGCTACAATTTGACACTCAAGCTATTGATCCTTCCCTCTCATGTGACGAGTTGTCATCTTCATTCCTGAAATCAAATGTCTGTTCTGAGTATCTCTTTTCTTGTCTGAAATTTAACATAGACAATGCATGTTGTATTGTTCATTGGCTGTGTGCCAAACTACTCTTGAACTTGTCATGTGGATCAGTTAGTGCATATTTTCCTCTATCCCAATGATACTACTGCATTGCAATAGTGATATGGTTGTTCATTAAAAAAAGGACTGTTGCATCATATCTGCCATTCATTTGTGGTAAATATGTCAAATTGGTGTGCTACATATGTTATTTCTTATGCCAGACTGGAGTACCAATGTTGATGGGACTACAGTTTCTCCGGTAATCTAGCTATGGGTTGTACTTTGATAAGGGACTTTCAAGTTGTATGCCTTGGAAGTCAAAAGTAGGAACTTGAATTCCTTGGAGACAAGATTTCAGTACATAAACAGCATATTTCATGTTCCATGGATTTTTCAGACTTATTTTTCTGCTCTATATTTAGGAGAGGGCTGATTCAATTGAAGAGGCTTTATCTGAAGCATCACAATGGGTATCGGGGTTTTCAGGTTTGTCTCTTCTAGAATATGTTTTGCCATATTTACTTGAACATTTATTCCCAGGGTTTTCTGATGACAATATTATTTGTGTTAGAAAATGCGTCTGCATCTGGCTATGAGTGCCTTGAGCAGTCACCTGATGAGTGGATTGCCGAATGCTTCAATGATACTGAGATGCATTTCAGCCCTGATGATTTGTATGCCTCTGGAAGCTCTATATGTATCTTTTACAATTCAATCAGTCATTTACAATAATATGATTGCTTTATTATTTAATACTCAGGAATTTCTCTGGGGCTTCTGATGTTCAAATTGACATTGCAAGTACGTTACATTGGTTCTTCTCATGAAATTTGTATTTTTGCATTTGTTTCCCGTATATCCTTACCCTTCAATTAAGTATATAAATCAATTTTCTGTTACAGAGTTATGTGACGTCCGACCTGAGCATGAAGCAAATGTGATTCAACAGCGAGTCACCCGAACACCTCGAAATGTTGTTTTTAAAGGTACTTCCATGTTCTTGACTTATCTTCCTGTATTGAAAATGTACTCAAACAATCAGAGCTCCCCAACCTCTCTCAAAGTTGTCCCACGACTATATGGCAACTTCTTGTTGAGGTAACTTGAATACAATAAGGAAGCCATGGATAATGTTAAAAGTCAAGAGATATTAAAGATACTCTCTCTCACTCTCTCTCTCTCTTTCTCTCTCTCACCAAATTTTATACCCGAGTATTCAGTTTAATAACCTGCTACTAATTCTTCTTCTGCTTATGGTAAATCAAAAGGTAATCTCTCACTTCTGCTAGGAAGAAATGATAAAAATGATAAACCCTATAGGCTGACGCCACAAATTCCATCCCCAAAAACTGTATTTTGATTGCACCTCAACTTTATCAATTATACTTGAACTGTTAGATAATCTCTCTCTCTCTCTCTCTCTCTCTCTCTCTCTCTCTCTCTCTCTCTCTCCATACCAAAAAAGAAGAAGGATTCTTCTGCTGTATGTAATCTAGAGGTTATATTGTACTCAGGTACACCAGGATTCCTTGCCTGGATCACTATAAATTATGCTATGAAATTATTGATATAAAAACTTAGTTCTCGAGGCTCTCTGTTTCTGTGCATAGGTAGGAAGTCTTACATTCGGACTCCCACTAAGTTAGCTACTTCTGTGGCATATCCATTTGCCTTCATTAAACCCTCTGGGGCTCATGGAGATGTAACTCTGAAGGACATAAACCAGCGGATCCGCACTCCACCTCCTTCAAAATCAAAGCAAAAATATGAAGACCCTGCTGCTTACCCCACTTCGGCCTTTTCGGGGAAGCCTGTCGTTGGAAAAACTAAAATTCGCACTGAAGGTGGGAAAGGCAGCATTACAATAATGAGAACCAAAGGCTAAGAGTTAGTAGATAAGTGTTACTCCAATCTTCCCATTTTGCGGCTCTTCTGCTTTGCCTGCTATTTTTTGGGATGAATTTTTCCTGTAATATTCTAGGGCAGTCAGGTACAGAAGTTAATCTTTATTTCTTCTTTTGGAGTTGTTTTCGGAAATCATAAATCACAGTGAAGTGTTTATGTGTCCGAGTTAATATTCTAGGTGTCATATAGTAGCAGTTCTATACATTGTATGACTGAGAATCTCAAAGTCTACTAGGTACTCTTGTATTTTGGTTTCTCAAAAACCTTGGTAATGCTTTCAGGAATTCCATGATATGCAAAACTTGTGTATTTGAATCTGATGTCTGAAAGGTGTATTTCAGATGAAATGTAAAATGCAGACTTTATCTGATTTTGCATGCGTTAAAGGCATCATTTCTTCTGAGCCTTTCTTTGTAGTTTGAACATATAACTAGACTAACTTCATAGCCCCTGCCTTGTGTATTTCGGAAAATCTTTCTTATACATAATGGCTTTCCCTAAAAACTTGCTTTTTAGCTAGGGCTTCTCTCATGGATGGTATTTTGTAAGATTATATTCTAATTATGTATAAAACGTTCAAGTTGATACAGAATACAATGTGCTTGTTAGACCTAGAGAGAGCCTATTGTGACCTTACATCCAAGCATTGTTCCTTGGGAATGAAAACAAAGTTAGAGCATGCTTGCTTGTGGCAGGCTTTAAGGGGAAGAGGAAAAGCAAACCATTGCTGAAAGTAACATCCACACTGTATTCTGCATCAGTCTTACATGTTTCCACTTTCAATTGTATGGGTTCAAAAGTTTTATAAAGCAAAAAGCTAAAAGAAAAAGTTAGTTTAGTGATTTTTTTTTTTTTTTTTTTTTTTTTTATTTCAAGTGATAGTCTAAACTACAATAAGGGGAGGGAGAGTTTCTCACACACGCACTACCAAGATGTCATAGATGTTCGAACCTGAGAACCTCTCATTTAAGTCAAGTTCATTTTTTAATGGGCTAGACCCCATTGGCAAGTTTAGAGTGAATTATTAGACTATGTTAACTTTACAAATTAATTAGCCAAAAGTTAAGCTTGGGAATATTTGGAAGGGAAATGCTAGCAACCTTCTCTCTAACCTTCTCCTTTGGACCTTTTCCCTTTTTAGCTTGACATGTGTCATTCTCCTTACACTTAAAATAATGTCTTTTATTTATTATACAAGTTAACTTTTGCTTTCCAAGTTTACCCTTATTAAATGTATTCAATTTATCTATAAAAAATTCACAACTTTCTTACAATCTTATTAAATTTTTTTTAAACGTCAATTATTTTTTTAAAAGAAAATGTCTGCTTCTAAACCCTTTGTGTTAAAAAAATAAAAAACCCAGACATTTCCTCTTTTTTGAAAAAGCATATATTTTCTTTAAAAAAAATAATTGACATTAGAAAAAAAAAAATTAATAAGATGGTAAGAAAGTTGTGGAATTTTTTTGGATAAATTGAATACATTTAATAAGGGTAAACTTGGAAAGCAAAAGTTAGTTTGGATAATATATTAATGACATTGTTTTAAGTGTAATAAGAATGACATGTGTCAAGTAAAAAAGGAGAATATCCAAATAAGAAGGTTAGAGAGAAGATTACGAGTATTTCTCTATTCGGAAATGACTGGCATTTGGCCTAACCCTACCTGTCGTGGCCTAACATTGACAATGTAATAGGTGCGTTGATCCGAGTGGTCAAGAATAAAAATGTTTTCAGTCCATGGACGTGATTATAATATCACTAAACAATCACCTTTAGATCTGGCTTGGATTCTAATCTAAGGCATGCATCTAAGCTCCACCTCAAGCTCATTGATCCTGGCATATCTTTTAATAATTCACTCATGACAGATTAATCAATGGTAACAAATTTAACTAATTAGTAATTCCCCTTAATTGTATTCATTTTAGTCTCTAAACTTTTAGCAAATATAGTTACGTAGTCTCTCCCCCAAACCAGAAAACACAATTCGCTTTAGTAAAAGTTTGGGTTAAATCAATTTTGAATTTTTTTAATTAAAAAAAAATCAAATTCTGGAAAAAAGTTAGAGCTCTTCAATTAGAAGTTGGCTAGACTGGGCTAACCCACCCAACCCCAACTATAATAATAATTTGTTAAGTTTATTTTGTAGCCCATAAATCTTAACCCACCTTAAATTCATGCCTCCAAGGCCCAGCCCCTAAGTCCTCATGAGATAGATAACACATTTCTTATTGATGATTAATGTCACAGTTTTTAATTAGTTCAAACTCAAAGAAAAAATATTTCCCACACCTAAAGTCATCATAGTTACTTTTGCCTAGACCTAAAAAATAATGGCAACATTTTATATTTCAGTGATTGATTGATTGACAAAAAATATAAAGAGTAAGTTAATTTGGATACGAAAAACTAGCATGTTGAGTTTAAGTTGAACACGAAAATGAAATGACACAAAGACTTTAAGATATAAGACATTACTTAGGTCAACTTTGGCTTCATTTGTAACAAAAAAGAAAATTCAGGGAATATAAATTACATCCATACTGAAACTATTTTTTTCTTCATGATTTATCGAAATGAAGTATTTCTTCAAGAGAGGGGGCTTAATAGGGGTCCTCCAATTTTGTCATTTTTAGGACGTTTTAGAACTAGCGTGTATCTATATAAATAAAGCAAAAAGCAGAAAATTGTGAAACATTCAAAATATCAGAAAATATCCTTAGTTAATTTAAATATTAAGAATTAAAATTATTAATTAAATGAGGATAATATGGTAAATTTATTTTTTTATATTAAAAAAATAAAATCAGATAATAAACCCTATTTTTATAAAACATAACTACCCATATCATTTTTCCTTAATTCTAAAAATAAAATAAATAAATAAATAAAATCAATTGGCATATACGGTAGCATATGCCAAGGAGCTAGTATATATTATCAAAGAACAGAGGACGCGAACGCGGGACAATTGGGCAGAGAAGTGATATATAAATCCCAAAACCAGGAGAAACAAAAGCAAGCCCAGAAGAAAAGCAACTGTTCTACTTTTGGCTGCAAAAGACAGAATTCTTCTCTACGTCACCATCATAAATATTCCCTTCTTTCGTTATCTGCAACTCTGTATATTTGTTTTCCGATGGAGAAGAACAATAAGCCATAAAGCAAATGCCATTTATTCTTCCCCAAAAGAAATGACATTTTCTTCGTCCTCGTCTGTTCCAGCACTTGCTGCAATAACATGTTTGGTTGTGGTGGTGTTGGGTTGCTATTGGCCCGTTGAGGCCCGAATCCCCACCACTTTGGACGGTCCGTTCGAGCCCGTAACTGTTCCATTCGATCAAAGTTTGCGCGGCAACGCCGTCGATTTGCCCGAGTCCGATCACCGAGTTCGCCGCCGAGTTAAAGGCTTCGAGCCTGAGCAGATTTCTGTTTCGCTTTCAGCCAATTACGACTCTGTTTGGATCTCCTGGGTTACAGGTTTTGATTTTGTTTTGTTTTATTTTTTGATTTTGTACTTGGGTTTACAGCTGTAAGCTTTAAGCTTTATCGTAAATGGAATTTCTTGGCTTTGCAATTGAAAAGTTTTGATTTTTTATTTTTGGCCAATTGGGTTGTTCATGAATTTTTGTGGCAGGGGAATCGCAAATTGGCTACAACATAAAGCCATTGGACCCCAAAAGTGTGGCAAGTGTTGTTCGTTATGGGAAGCTGAGATATCCACCAACACATGAAGCAACAGGATATTCTCTTGTTTACAATCAGCTCTACCCTTTTGAAGGCCTCCAAAATTACACTTCTGGGATCATCCACCATGTTCGTCTTACAGGTTTCATTTCGATTTTCTTCTTTTGCTTTTAAGTTTTAATGCACATTTACAAAGTTGGGTTCTTTCAACTTTGGCTGAATGAACTTTTAACTGCCTCAAACGTAAGTTGTGATGAAAAATGATTGTACTGCTGATATATCAAAAATCTATGACCATGTTGTTTTATGACCTCATCAAGTTGTGCTTCTTCTAGTAAGTTGGTGATATACTTTCTGATTCTGTGTAGGATTGAAACCGAATACATTGTATTTTTATCGTTGTGGAGATCCTTCTATACCGGCCATGAGCGAAATCTACCATTTCAGGACCATGCCAGTTTCTGGTCCGTGGAGCTACCCAGAGAGAATAGCAGTTGTGGGGGACCTTGGCCTTACTTACAACACAACTACCACAATTAGTCACTTGACTAGTAACGATCCTAATCTTGTTCTATTGATTGGTGATGTTACTTATGCAAACCTATACCTCACGAATGGAACTGGTTCTGATTGTTATTCTTGCTCATTTCCACACTCACCAATACACGAGACCTATCAGCCTCGATGGGATTACTGGGGAAGGTAAAATATAAGTTTCTTTCTCTCCACCGCATGCAATGACTTCCGTAAAGTATGACTGATGGAACTTGTTTTCTTATGTTGCCAACTTGCCATTGCTGGGTAATTTGTGTAGGTTTATGGAGAATTTAATTTCTAAAGTTCCAATAATGGTGATAGAAGGGAACCATGAAATAGAAGAACAGGCTGAAAATAAGACATTTGTGGCTTATAGTTCTCGGTTTGCATTCCCATCTGAAGAAAGTGGATCCTCATCCACATTCTACTACTCCTTTAATGCAGGGGGGATTCATTTTATTATGCTTGGAGCCTACATTGACTTTACAAGATCAGGTAATAAAAGTCTGCATAACTTTTTAGCTCATGCTTTGCCTAAATATCCCCATTTTTGCATTTTCTTATTTCTTTCCTCCCCCACCCAAACAGTGATTACTTAACATGTTTTTTCCCCTTACAGGGAAACAATACAAGTGGCTGGAGCAAGATTTGGCTAATGTGGACAGATCCACAACTCCATGGCTGGTAGCGACTTGGCATCCACCCTGGTATAGTACTTATGAGGCCCATTACAGAGAGGCAGAATGTATGAGGATGGAAATGGAAGAGTTGCTCTACTCTTATGGAGTTGATATAGTGTTCAATGGACATGTAAGTAATGATAACCGATTATTAGGATAGTCTCTGATATTAGGTAATATGTTTCATTCTAATAGTTAAAAACTATATGAAGAAGTGGAGGGGGGCCCTTTGATTGGGGTTTTCTTGTATGCCAGATAGTGATAGAAACAACTGCATTTTAATTTTTTTACTTTTGAGAAAACAAAGTATAACGTGAAGTCAATTGATATTGGATTCCAGTGCAGCTAAAACATGCAAGAACTTATTTTACATGCTATCAGTAGCAAATAATTGCTGATGGCTTACATGAAGAAATGGAACTCTGCCGTTTCTTTTTGGTATCTTGAGCTAATGATATTATCTTGAACCTAGTTTCACCACAGTAGCATTTGTTTCCCATCCCCTGCATGTTTTCATTAAGATTTTCATTGCTTTCTGAGACTGATGAATTCATGTTCCCCAGTTTAACCAAATATCTGTGTGTTTCAAAGTGCACTGAAGGTTGTTCTGTGTTTTGACTAAAATAATAGGTTCATGCCTATGAGAGGTCAAATCGTGTATATAATTACAACTTAGATCCCTGTGGCCCTGTATATCTCACTGTTGGTGACGGGGGTAATCGGGAGAAGATGGCAGTTCAATATGCTGATGAACCTGGTAATTGCCCAGAGCCATCAACTACTCCTGATGAATACATTGGTGGCTTTTGTGCAAAAAACTTTACCTCCGGCCCAGCCGCAGGTAAATTTTGTTGGGATCGGCAACCGGATTACAGTGCCTTCAGAGAAAGCAGCTTTGGTCATGGGATCCTTGAGGTACTCTTTTTTCTGTCTCTCAGTTTGAGAATTGTCTGAGTACATTCAATTTGCTACAAAAGCTTTGCTTTAATTTCTATGACCCTACATATAATACAACTTGAAAAATTATTGATGGAAATATGAGTATGTGCTTGAAAGTCAATGTGCATATAAAGACCATTCTCAGTAACCATACAAGATTTCTTCACTCAGTAATAGGTAATCCTAGTGACTAGAATATCCTTGATCCAATCCGTGACTAATATCCTTGATGGGTTTTGTGTTGCAAACATACGGCTCAGTTTCACGACCTGAATTATAATCTAACCATGGATTGCAACCTGCATAACTTGCAGGTGAAGAATGAGACCTGGGCTCTATGGACATGGTACCGGAACCAGGATGCCGACAACAAAGTGGGAGATCAAATTTATATAGTGAGGCAACCTGACAAATGCCATGTCCGCCAGGTGCTAAAGAGTTGGATTGTTGACATTTAGTTTGTACTGCTGCCCTCTGGGAAATTGACTCTGGTTTTCTCAAGTCTTTAAACCAATTGACCATATCTAGTTACGAATAGGAAAGGACTTTCTGAGGTTATAGGTGCAAAAAGAATAGGATGGCATTTCCTGTATACATTTATATGTAAAGGAGAAGCAGAAGAAGATGAACTCAACCATTGTTTTATGTAAAATCATAAATCTCATTTTATACATCTCAATTGTATTATGATAGACTTCAAAACAAATATGTGACATTGATACATATGGTTCTGGTAAAAATGTATGCTAGTAATGATTCAATTCAACCACCATCTGTGCTAGTGCTCTGACCAAAATTAATGTAATTGACAATTGGCTAAATTAAACCCCACAATTCTTTATTTTGGAATACAAGCGATGGTATAAACTACATGGGAGGGAGGTTTCTCTCTCACACACAATCAAAATGTCATGGGAGTTCGAACCTGAAATCTCTAGTTTGCAAATTAAGGCCTTTTTCCTGTGGGCTAGAACTCGTTGGCAAACCCCACAATTCTTTACCTCCTTGCCCTGTTGTTGCTTAATAAATAAGATCACAAAACCAGCAAAATCTTCACTTTCTGTAATATTTGTTTTGGATAGCTTGATAAATGTGGTAACTTGGGATATGTTATCATGGTTAGGTTAATCCAAAATCCAAATTCTAGCAATTAAGCACCAAATGAGCTCTACCCAAACCCAAGGTTATCATAAATTATGTACAGAAAAGAGCCCAGAAAGAAGGCATTCATTCATTCCCTGAAAGTCTGAAACTAATGATACATCAAGTAAAAACTTTAAACCAAATATACAAAAACCAAAAATAAAATAAAATTGTTTCTAATTACTCCAATTAAGAAACAAAGTGGTGGAGTGAAACAGAGAGAAGTTCAAAGTTGTACACCAATTAAAAATGACTTCTTTCGGTTCTTCTTCAGAAAATGTCGAGAATTTCCAAGATGAAATTGTTGCAGAGGGGGCAATTGCCCCTCTGCACCCAGAGCTCTCTGGAGCACATCCTGCAAAACGTGTGACCGCAGGGGATAAATGCCGCACCTTTATGCCTTACCATGCACACGCAGCAATTATACTCTATTTTCCCTACTTCCGCCTGTTCCTCCTCCTCTTCTTCTTCCTCCTCGTACTCTTCTTCATCCTCGTCATCCATGGTGTAACTCGACTCCAGCCCCATCTGCCTGTCCGTCTCCTCCAACAGGTCCATCAACGACATCCTCACCGGCTCCGCCTCCGTCGTCGTAGCTGCTGCATCCCCTTCCGCCGACGGCACGTCGTTTTGCGCCGCTCCATGCGTCGCTTCCGCCTCTTCGGCCGACGCCGCTGCGGCTGCGGCCTCAGCGGCCACTTGCGCCGCAACCGCTTCTCTTGCCGACAGCGACCTCTCCTCCTCCAGCGCTGCCGACAACCGTCGCCGGGGCGAGTCTGTCGCGATCTCGTCGGCCGTGAACCGGACAGAACTCCGACGAGAGAACATCGGCGCCCGCCCGTTCTGACCCGAACTGTCCGAGTCGGGCTCGTCGGACGGGATCGACGCGTTCGGGCCGAACCGGGTTGAGCTCCGGCGCGAAATCTGCCGCATTCCCGCGGAATTGCTCTCGTCTACTTGCTGAACCATGTCGAGATTTGTCTCGGGCGTAACGTATCTCACTGAGCTGCGACGCGATCTCAGGTGAAGGTGAAGATGTTGGTGATTGGAACCGTGAACAGTGTTATTCCGGATAGGGATATCCGAAGTGGGGACACGGACGGAGGAGGCCCAAGCAGAGCCGGCGCGTTTTAGGCGGAGGCGGTCTTTAAACGACTTCCAGGCTTTCTTATCCTTCTTGCCAATCAGGGCCCGGTAGGACTTGGGCTCCTCGTCTCGGATTATATCGAGCAAAGTCCGACCCGAGATGGTTGGGGGCAGGGCAGGAGCTGGAGGTGGCTGTTTGGCTGCAGGGGCCAGCAACACGTCGTCCAGGCTTAAACCAGCTAAGTCTCTCCCGTTCCCACTTGCTGACATCTGATCGAGAAGCGTTAGCCTCCGGCGACCTTCCATGACAGCAAAAACAAATACAGACAAAAGAAAATGATGAATTTCTATTGGAGGATTGTGAGGATTTCAAGGATCGGAATCATCCTTTTGTTTTGCTTGGTTTATGTGATTTTAGATTTCTTGGAAATGTGAAACGGCTACTAAAATGGATCTATCATTCTTTATGACTGCAATTCTTTTATGTTGACATATACCCCTTCACTGAGGGCATTTAAGCAAAAAAAAAAACATTAAAATTTTGTGAAGAGGTTATTGTTGGTCTGTCTAGTTTTAATTTTTGGCAATTTGATTCTTGTAGTTTGATTATATCACAATTCAATGATACATCAAAATTTCCATTCAAAATTACGTCCAAAATACACTTATACCATGTAAGTGACACATGATTATTTCATCACTAAATTGGGAGGAAATTTTGGACGAATCTTTAAATTGCAATGGATATCAAACTACAAGGATCAAATCACCATAATTGAAACCTCATAAACAAAAGTGATTAGTCCAACAAACTACATAGACAATAAATTGGTAACTCTTGAACATCGTAAATCATCAATAATTTACATAAGATGGTTATGGGATTGATGCAAGAAGTAAGTGTACGTCGACTCATACTTACATGCCAGTCGAAAGGACACACACATTCTGCATTAATCCCACAAATTTCATCTTACACTGGAGAAAATAAATTATGTACGCATTCAAGTGTAAAACGTTCGAGTTTACAATTACATTGAGTTTTGATAATTTGAGGGAGGAGCTAAAAATGGCATGGGATACCTTACGTCCCGTGACCGTTGGTACCGTCAGAAACGATGACCCGGCCAGCTTTCAATTATTTTATTTTTATCTCTCCTCTGTAAAAAAGAGGAAGAAAAGTTGATTACCTCGGAGAGAGAGAGAAACATTCGAACATGCATATGAATATGATGAGGAAAAGCAGCAAAAGAAAAAAGAGCAGTAATTACATTGTATAAAAAAATTAAGAAAAGAAGAAAAGATAAGATAAGAGAGAGAGAGAGAGAACATGGCACGCACCAAAAGGCAAAAAAGCTAGCGATGGATCGGAAAATTGGCAATGGTGGTGGGTCAGTTTGTTTGTGTTTTTGTTTGTTTCTTTTAAGCCCAGTTAGTTGAATGGTTGGTGGTCGATGGATCTCTGTGTGTGTTCTTTTTGTTTGGTTTTTGTATTTTCCGATTTTAGCTCTCAAATTGTAGGAGGAAAATAAGAGGATAGTTTTTTTTTGGTTTTTTTGGGGTGTTTTGGCAGCGGAACGAGTCTTATGGGAAGCAATAGGGTCCCCGCTTCCCCCTTAATTGCGGGAACACATTGTGATATACTTCAATTACATGCTCACCATATATTCTACGTTTACCGAATGTTTCACGTGAAAAGAGATATAAAGAGCAAATGTATATATGATACGGATAAAAGAAATTTATTCCATATACATAATCACATCGTGCAATGCAATAATTTGATAGTAAAAAAGAAAGAACAAAGTGACGTTTTTCGGAAGATTCAAAATATTTTTATGGATTAGATTTTCTTTTGCTTTTTATGATTGGTTAAGATCGATGAAATGGCATTTGGATGTCTAATGTAAAATTTGCATAAAAACAGAGACAAAGGGGGGAAAAGAGAACAGAAAAGTCAAAAGAGAGATTAGGACTTGAGCATGGCATGTGTTGGAAGACAGAGTATGGAACATTAACTAAGGAGTAAGGACAACATAGACTAGACTTTCACTTTTGTTCATTTGTGATAAGTGGTGAAGGTGGGATGCTTTGTTAAAGTAGAATATAAATTGCAGACACCCTAAATTAACAATTTTTTATTCATTATAAAAACCAAACCCAATGGAAATTTTCTCTCATGACAGTGACGTGGATTAATAAATTGGGTCACGGTTTTGGCGTTTCAAAATTACCTTTAAATTACCTTATACACTTCTCATATTATGTTCGTCTTGCAAAAGAGCGTAAAAAGTGAAACTTGGACCGTCATTGATCTTCTCTATTTTTTAAAACAAAAAATAATTAATGCTACTAATTTAATACGGTTGTTTGGAAGGTTTTTGGTGGGAATTTGTTTCGAAGGTGAGAGTGGTTGAGGTTGCAATATTGTTATGAATTAAGAGATAACGACTACCTAGTTGCAAACAAAACAGAATTATTAGTTCCACCCGCCCATCAGCTCATGAACACAAATAAGATCTAAACAGAATTAAAAGAAGACTTGCAGCCGTCTTAATCTAAAATCTAAACCGTACGATGCAAATATACATTTTTAATATAGGTAGGTTGATATTTAACTTCTCTTTATCTGCAATTGATGACTTCACATGTGTGACCAGTGACCACTACTGCTTTAAATACTGTGTCACTATAAAAAAATGAAAAATTAAAGACATGGCCTACCAACATCATTTTCCTTCTTGAAAGGAGGACTAATAAAAGAAAAAGGAAGAAGAGACAGAAGATGATAGTGTTGATGAGAGAGGGAGAAGTAGCCGGAGTGGAAAGAAAGGGAACCACCGAAGTCGAGAGAAGAAAGCCGCCGGTAGGGCGGCAAGAGGGAAGGGGTGATGGTGGGAGAAGCTAACATATCTTTTATAGTTCATGTTATTAAAGCACATTTTATAATGGGATATAAATGTTATTACTTATATATTTTAAATAAAAGTAAATAAGAGAGGGAAGAATCGAACACGCAATCTCTAATTATAAGAGTGAATGTTATTGGATTGATGTAAGAGGAAATTGAAAATACAACTTCACATTCAAATACGAATGCTCACAACCACTTCAACTATAAACTCTTGCACTCGTAAACATATCTTAAATCATAAATGTACCAATCGCACTTTTGGGTTCATGTAGAATTTCTCAAATGAAATAAAATGTAAGTTAAAATTGAAAGTTGATCTGGGCCTGCCTTGTAGGTCATCATCTGAGGCCCATAAAAATGTAGCCCAAATTAAAATTGCCAAGAAAAAGAAAAGAAGAAAAGAAATGCCAGATAAGCACTCAACTAAAAATTTAATTTATTGTGGAAATTAGAAAAACCGCGGCTTCTCGAGACTTCCATAGATTGTTTGGTTCGCAACAGCTCGTCCTTTTAAGTCATCAACTCTCCTCGGACGCGACGTCAAACCAAAGGTTTCTTCAGTCTCTCGCTCGTTTCGAGCTCATCGCATAGATCAGGTATTTTCAAAATTTCCATTTCTTTGATCTTTCTCGTCTCGAAATCTCTGGTTTTGATTTGACGAAATCGCTTATTGATCGTTGCTTGATTTGACCGTGTGAAGTTGCAGGGGTTTATTGTGTTTGTGATCTTGTTTGGCTGTTTCAGCTTCACTCGCACAATTCAATAATGTCCCATATCCTTGCAATTCGGATCTGTTTCTTCCCTCTATTAATTTTTCTCAGTCTTAACTATTTTGCCTTGTTTGGTTGGCGAGAAACTCGATGAAAACCACCAAAGATCAGATCATTTGCTCTCGATCTCTGATTTTTGTTTTTAAAGTATTGAAATTGATGTTTTGAAGCGCGTTTTCTCGGCAACCAAACGAGTTATTGTGGAAATTAGATCAGGGTTTGAGAGGGGAAGAAGAGAGTGGTTTTGTTTGTGATGCTTGTGTGTTTGTTTGGCTTAACTGAAGCGAACGCGGAAGCCAGAGAGAGCGAGACCGTGAAAGGGCTCAAGCCAGATCTGGCGGGAAATCCAAGCAGCCCAAAAACGATGGATTAACCCCCGAACAACGCCGACAAAGGTATGCATTTTCTCTCAATCTCAAGCCTTTTATTTTCAATTCCCATGTTTCAACTCTGAATTGGGGTGTTTTTCAATTTTTTGCTAAATTTCTGTTTAGGGACGCCAAAGCGCTTCAAGAAAAGGCGGCGAAGAAGGCGGCGCAGGCGGGAGGGGTCAGCGGCGGTAAAAATTGACATGGGTTGAAGATTAGGGTTTAGATGAAATGGGCGTGTGTAATGTGATTGTGTGGTGAGCATTAGATGGGGGATTTTTGGGTTTTGGATTTGGAGTCTGTTTGAGTCTTTGAGAATATTGAGATGAACAATCTAATTGAAAGTGTTTGTCTTGGTTGGCATTTTGGCGTTGTGCTGTGTATTGTTCGATTCTGAAAGCTTTCAACTTAATGCCTGGTAATCTAGCAATTGACTATTTATGTGATATGCAATTTCCTAGTAATCTTTCTAGCATCAATCAAGAATCTCAATCTTACATTCTTACTCAGTTATAACCACACAAATTCATGGTCCCCATATCTAAATTAGATATCACACCACTTGTCTGCCTGCATCTCCAACCAAACCAATGTAGATTGCTGTGCAGTTAAACCCCTGAGGATTTCTCCTCATCTCATGTTATCTCATGATTGATAGGTGCACTCTTGGAAATGCAATACTTGAGTCGTGAGTATGAACTTCCCATGTCGGGGGAAATGTCGGGGGAAATTTCTTACACTTGGCTCCCCTTGGGAATCCTTTTCCCTCACGTGGAAAAACATTTAATACACTTTTTTTGGACTAAATTATCCATATTCTAAATTTTTAAATACCACTTTTTGTTAATAGTTTTAAATAAAAAATAAAGGGTGTTATTAGAAAGCTTAATTAACTTTAACCAAACATAAGAATGAGAGAAAGGACATTTCTTGGACCTTATTTCTCAGCATTCTTCTAAATATGAGAATGAACATATTCCATTTCCATTTTGTGCGATTAAACATGAGAATTTCATTAGCAAGAAACTCATTATGTGCATCAAACGGGGCCCTTAGGGTTTTAAGGAAAGTATTAGCACAAATGAGACAAAAGCTATGATGTAATTTGGGAATGTCTACATTTTGAAAGTATTAGTACAAATAACACTATAGAGCTTATATATGGACATGAGACGCACAATTAATATACCATACATCTAACTTGCTGAAGGAAACAGAGAAATGTGAATCTTAGCAAAAAATAAATAAAAATAATTAATGACACATTAATGTGTCGCACGCATTAATAATTGGTGAGGTGAGGTGATAGATGAAGGAGATATGAAAATTTACGTGTGTAATTATCAGGATTCTATTAAATTAATCATTAGACGTGTTACCAAGTATTTAATAGAGAAGATATGACAAGTGTAACTAAAAGGCAATTTAATAAGCTGAGAAGCATGAAAAGTTACAGCTTTATCAGATAACTATATAAAAAGCTTATCAAGAACAGAAAAGCAAACACACAGGAGGTACCATCTATTTCGGCATACTATTATGTTCCAAATTCAACCAGTTTGTAGAACATCTCTGAAACAATTCTTTAATGCTCAACAACAAGCAGAGCTTCCATGGCCACCTTCTTAAGTCTCTTCTGCAGCTTGTCATCCATACCAGCAACAAATCTGACTCTGCGGGCTTTCAGGTTCCAGCCTTGCGCTCTCATCGCAGATATTAGCACGTTCAACTCTGCTAGTTTGTTGACGATGACGGGACGTGCTGATTCCAGTATATCTAGCCGGGTTTAGCTGAGCGGCTATACAATCTTTGGAAAAAAAAATAATTAAAACCAAGTATCGCCGTGCGGCTATACTATTTATTAAAAAGACCCGAATAGCCTTTAGGTGGCCACGTGTTAAAAGCCTTTAAAAAAAAATAAAAACCCAGTATCGCACTATAGTATTCTTAAAAAAATTAAAAACCGAGTCTAGGCGGACGACTGCACTCTTTTAAAAAAGAAACACGGTATAGCCGCGCGGCTATACTATTTTTTGAAACATTAATCAACCCTTGTGGCTATACTATCTATTTAAAGCCCCCTAGCCGGACGGCTATACGATTTTAAAAGAAACATAAATATCGATGACGGGACGTGCTGGTTCCAGTGTAGCTTTAAGATTTGTCTCTGCTATTCCAAAGCGAGTCAAGGTATTCCTCTCAGCTGCAAGCAATTCTGCATATTTCACAAAATAAGGGTCAGTCTGCAAATACAGATCCCTTGCCTGAGTCGGCTAGACTGAACATTTCAAATGCAGGCCCTCTGCTGACTTACTCAACCACAATGAGTCATCCAGCCCTCTGTCAGAACGTATGTAAACCACCGGATCCCAATCAGGTTTCCTCAACTTCAGTTGAATCACTGCCTGCATCTGTAACCAAAATGGTCATGAATCTTCTTATCTCTCTACTAATCTCGTGAGACATCAAATTCGAACGTGACACCTACGAACTTCATCTTTGTACTGCAACAAATTTGCTAAAGACATTAATTGTGTCTGAAAGTAAAGAAATCTGACGAACAATGTAATTATCAAAACTATTGATATCTGGGAAATAAAAAGGTGCTTTCAATTCAGTGCAAAAGCCAGTGCTTACCTGTCTTGGACAAGTCGAGAGGTTGTCTGGTAATCACCCTCATTTTTCACTTTCTAACCTTATCTTGAACAAAATTTGCATCCTTTATTTCTTTCCCTTTCGCTTATTGTTATCATGGTTATTTCATTTATGCTTTTTCTCTCGTAGTCTATTATTTCTTTTCACCAAGTATAATTTGAATAACTGAGTTTGATATTGCTGTTGGTGGTTATGTAACTTAGTCATAGCGTAAGATAAAGAGAAAAATGATGTATCTTCATCGACGACGAGTGAGCTAGGTTTTTAATTTTCATTTCTTTTCACGGGCATATAGTAAAATCTTTAATTTAAGTGACATGGAATGGGTGTAGTTTTTTAATTTCACATGCTTATAGTATAGTGAAGATGGGTTTGTCTAACAATTTGTGATCCAATGCAAGAACCAACAATGTGTTTCACTGGACGGTAAGTTATATATATATATATATATATTCATTTGGCATTTTCATCAACCGGCATGCATGTGACAAGAACTTTTACTCAAGTGACATGAAATTTTAGTGCAGTAAAATTCTAACAGTCCAACATGTTCAAAATATCGTCGTTTGTTCACACCAACGGTCTCATCTCGGTCCGCTATCGCTTGCCCCGAAAACGGCGCCTCGTTGGATGCCGTTTTTCCCTTCTCAACGATATTATAGCGCGCCCTCACTCTCTCTCTCTCTCTCTCTCCCAATCCGACTCGCAGAGAAACACACAAATTCATGGCCTCACTTTCGAGCCCAACCCAACCACCCCCACCACCGTTTAAGCGGCCACCGGTTACCAAACCGGTAACTGTACGGTCCAAAACCACACTCAGTCCCCAACCTCCTCCTCCTTCAAACAAAACACACTCACTAACAGTGACACAGAGAAGCCGAAGCAAAATACTAGACATTCAGAAGCTGAAAGATAAGGAGGCCAAGGAGAGAAAAGAGGAGACCAACAAGAAAATAGCTTCCCGGAAAGCAATCTCGGTCATACTGCGAAGAGAAGCTACCAAAGATCTGATCGAGAAGAAGAAAGGTTCCAAGAGGCTGCTTCCTAGGACCGTGCTCGAAGCCATCCATGAAAGAATCACTGCTTTGCGTTGGGAGTCCGCTCTCAAGGTCAGTCCTTTTTCGGGTTTCTTATAGTTCGAATTGGGTTTTGGCGAATTGGGATTTTGGAATTTCTATCTGGGTTTGCACTTGTTCTCCGTTTGGTTGCTTAGAAATGCAGAAAGAGAAGGGAGGCCAAGGTTTTAAATACCGGGTTTTGGTGTTTTGTTCAAGCAATTTAGTTGCTGGTTAGCCATTTTATTTATTCAACTTTGGACTCTGTTTGCTTCAGCTCGAATTTTGTTTGGTTGCTGAGAAAATGTAGGAAAGCATAGAAAAGGCTCGATTTTTAGCTTATCAGAAACCTCGGATCATCAGATTGATGTTAGTTCCAGAAGATTATTTTGATTGTTTTTACTAATGATATAGTCATAGAGGTAGATGAATGAACAAATAAATCCCAGAAGCTTATTCTGATGCAACCTTTATAATTATCTATTTAGCATTTTCTTTTTCAATTTAACATTGTAATTGTTCATAAGCCTAATACATAGTGAGTGTCTCCTCTCATGGCCATCTTATCTTTTATGTTTTCAGGTTTTTGAACTACTACATGAGCAGCAGTGGTACCGGCCCAATGCTGCTTTATATGTTAAGCTAATCGTCATGCTTGGAAAATGTAAGCAACCAGAAAAAGCCCACGAGCTGTTTCAAGCTATGATTGACGAAGGCTGTGCTGTCAACCATGAATCTTACACTGCTCTTGTATCTGCCTATGGTAGGAGCAGCCTCTTTGACAAAGCATTTTCCCTCCTTGAGCAGATGAAGAATACTCCTGACTGCCAGCCTGACGTCCATACTTATTCAATCCTTATAAAATCATGCCTGCAGGTTTTTGCATACGAAAAAGTGCAGGCTCTGCTTTCGGATATGGAGAGTCAGGGGATAAGACCCAACACCATTACATATAATACCCTCATCGATGCCTATGGGAAATCTAAAAAGTATTCCCTCATATCCTTCCCTTTCAACATTTTGAATGCTCCATCAATTTCTTGTGAATATCATAATGTAAGGTTGCATCAAATGTTATATTTGTGCAGCATTTGATCACCAGTAAAATCAAAAGAGGGTTATAGAGAATTTTGAACATACAATTGTTTAGATCATATGCCTTTTAAAGGGTTGGGCAATGATAGAAACATGGGAATAGTGAACACAACCATTACCATTAACTTCAAACTTCACTTTCATTACTCCTGCTATGTAACTGCCTTTCACCCTTATCATTTCCCACATTATAATCATTTTGTTTCTGGTTAATGAAATAAAAGAGTAGATCTTCCATTTTTACCTCATAAGTTTCTTTTATATTCTTCTTATAAAAAAAAGAGTTCCTATGATGTTTGTGTCAATCATATGGTCAGCATAATTTGTTGTTCAATTTTGAAGAAATTATTCATTCTCAATGTCTTTTTTCCAAAAAGATTTGCAGAGATGGAATCGACACTTCTGGAAATGCTTGGCGAACAGGATTGTGAGCCTGATGTTTGGACCATGAATTCCATACTGAGAGCCTTTGGCAACAGCGGGCAAATAGAAACAATGGAAAAGTGTTTTGAGAAGTTTCAGAGTGCGGGTATCCAAGCCAACATCATGACTTTCAACATTCTTCTAGATTCCTATGGAAAAGCTGGGAATTATGAGAAAATGAGTGCTGTGATGGAGTACATGCAGAAATACCATTACTCATGGACGATCGTGACATACAATGTGGTGATAGATGCATTTGGGAGGGCCGGGGATTTAAAACAAATGGAGTATCTGTTTAGGCTAATGCGGTCAGAGAGGATGAAGCCAAGCTGTGTCACACTTTGCTCACTCGTAAGGGCATATGGGCTAGCAGGTTTGCCTGAAAAAATTGATGGTGTTTTACGATTTGTGGAGAATTCAGACGTGATGCTTGATATTGTGTTTTTCAATTGTCTGGTTGATGCTTATGGGAGGATGGGATGCTTCGCAGAAATGAAGGGGGTGCTTGAGATAATGGAGCAAAAAGGATGCAGGCCTGACAAGGTTACTTATAGAACTATGATTAAAGCTTATTCAGCCAACAAGATGATTGGCCATGTGAAGGAACTCCGTGAACTTATGGAATCAACAGAAGGAAGTCAGAAGCCTTGGTTGCACAGAGAAAAGCCTGACTTTCGATAAGGTCTTTTTAAAGTTATTTAGTATTAAATCATAAGTATAAATTTTAGCACATATTTATTGTCTTGATAATACCACATATTGTATGTTTATAATCAAGAAAAGAAAATGCATCTTCTTGTTGGCTTGAGTAGGTAGTGTGAAAAGTTGCTATTTGTAAAGAGTTTTTCTATTTAAACCCCACATTTTCTTTGTTCACCCCAATAATTAAATCATTAAGATCTTAAGTTTTATTATTGTGTAAAAAGGTCATCAAACTTAGTATTTAATCCTAGTACATCTATACACACCCCACACACTTAGAATAAACATCTATGAGAGCACTGCCAGCAATTACGTCCAAACAGTACCCATATTTGGTGACTATGCCATGGATTTACTTGCTCAATTCCAAAGTAAATAAATCAGCTGAAACACCAAGAAGGTTGACAAATGTCAATAGACTCGGGTGGAGCAATCTATGCCTCATCTCATTGAAAAGATCAAGCGCTTCAGACATCTTAATTATCCTGTCTTCAGTAACCTTCAATCATTGCATTGTAAGAGACCACATTATAATGCCCACCTTGGAGGTTTTGGGTTGGAAGACATGGGCCTTGTTGTGACTGAAGAACAGGGCACGCAAAGGTGGAGAAGTTGAGGGCCTGTGTCTTTGTAATGGTCTTCTTGCAATGTGTTAGGTGTAGTGCAAAGTTTCTCTCATACCAAGGGAGAGGATGCTCTATTGAAATTGTGTGTCTTCTTTCTTTTATAATGCTGGTACATGACAGAGGGATGGCTGATTGTAGTTTGCACCCAAGTTATACTTTCATCTATATTATTCGCTGACAACATTGTGATTACTGGTTTTGAACTCAACCAATTTTTATTTTTATTTTTTTACTTTTTGTCTATTTTTTTACAAGCAATATTGAGGAAGAGGAAATTCGAATATAGGACATTGAGGGATAACTGCTTCTAACCATTTCAGCTATGGTGAAGGGCAAGATAGCGAGGTGTTGGGTGTGAGGTGTGAGGTTGATGAGTTCTTTATTTATTTATTTTTTATGCTGGGTGTGTATTTATGGGTAGTTTGGGAAGATAATGGGGTTTTCTTAGAAATTGTGAAAATTTGAATTAGAAGTTGGGGTGAATTTAGAATATGGGGTGAACAAAGAGAAATGCGGGGTTTAAATAGAAAAACTCATTTGTAAATTGTAATGTAGCTTCTTCATTTTTGGGAGCTGTGTGCAAATGAGAGATTGTAATTGAACTAACTAACTAGAATTTTGATACTGTAGCAATGCCTTTAAGCCCATATAGAAATTTGAAACAAGCAACATAGATGCACCCATTACAAACGAGAGGCATATTGGCTGAAAACAACAATGGAAGAAAATCTTCCTCAAAATTCATCAATTTAATTTCCTCCAATATTTTCACTCAATATTGAAAATAGTATCAGAATGTAGATTTAGAAAAGTAATGAACTGTGTAATATAGACATGATGCATCTTTTCAACTATCTTTATATATGATTTAATTTTAATTTTTAAGTGAGAAAACCATTGAAATGTCACAAAATATTCATTTCCAATGCTGCAAAATAATTGTGATCGTCAAATTGATTGTATTTCATAACAAAAGTATGAGAAAATCCTACAAATACTTTTGCACCTCGCAAGTCCCCATTATATCCTCCTATCTCTCTCCCCATGTGACTTGCATGAGGAAAAGATAGAAAGAAAATGGAGACATGCAACGAGAGCATATAACTTAGAGGTGGGCATCGAAACCGAAAAATAGAGTCGAATATTATTGGAAAGACCGGTCAAAATTGGGTTGACTAAAAAAATTAACAAAAGTAAAAAAAAAATTCAAACAGGACTGGTTTAACCCGATTTTGATTTCAGTTTTGCATCTTAAAAAACCGGTTCACACCAAACCAAACCAGTTGTGCATATATATATATATATATTATTATTATTATTATTTTAAATATCTCATACAACCAAACTCCCCTAAACCCAACTTCAGAGCCCATATACTTTTTATTTTGGGTAGAATCCATACACCTTTCTTTTTTTTCTTTATATTTCTCATTTTCTCTCCTCTTCCTCTCCTCTCCTCTCCTCCCTCTCCGACTTCTCTCTTTCTTTTTCTCTTTTATGTGTGTGTTTTTTTTAAATAAACTAAATTAAAAATTAAACTGGTTCAAAACCAAAAACTGGTGACACCACACTGGTTTCTCTAGCCATTTTGGCAAACCAAATCAAACCAAACCGCACCGGACAAAAAATTCCAATTCCGGTTCCAAGGAGAAACATCACTGCATTGTGCCCACACGTAATAGAACTTAAATTCAAAATGCTCAAGGAAGCTGGACAAAAAGCATTTTATATATACAAAAAAAAAGTATCCTCTTATCTTAAGTTAAAATTCAGCAAACAAATCATAAAACTCTCAATTATATACCAGTAACGATAACGCCTCGGTTCTTCATCCTTGTCTTCTCTCATTGCATCATTCATCGCATCAATCTTTTCTTTGGTCCCCTGCATTGATTCATAAAAGTGCACGAACCTTACCAGAAGAAAAATAAGAACAGAATTTGCTGAAGCTCCACTGCGAGTGGTTTCTGTATGAACCATTCCCATGGGAAATAAACCAAAATGGCATGCAGGATTATGAAAAAAGATATGGAGACACTAACCTGCAAATAGAAATCCATTTAATTATCCACAACCCGCAAAAGCAATGGTTTATTGGAGAAGAATGCTTCGAAATTCCCTGCTACTAGTTCACACAAAGTCATGAAACATTTGTTAGACAAAGCTTATCTGCTTGTTCAAATTCGAACTCTGTAACGGGTGTGGAGAAGGAGTCTGTGTGGACTTCTTCAGTTGTAATCTGATATGGTTTTGTTTGTATTTCAAATGTATAATTTTGGCTCCCACTTATATAGAGATACGATGTAATCTTTGTAACTGATACATTTGTTTTGCTAATATAAATAGCTGTTCCATCGTGTTGATGGAGATAAGCTCATCAAACTATTCTTGACAATCACACCCTCTCTTCCCAATGCTGAAAAGACTTTCTTGTTGATCATGTGGTGGGAGAAAGCAGTCAATGCACAACAAATGTTAGCTGCAAGCTCACATGTATCAAAATAGAAAGGGTGTGAAACGTATGACTTTGCCTTCCTTGAGTTGTAGATGTTGCAGCCTTTCAATCATTTCGTAGTTCAATATTCTGTCGACAAACTTGAATGAATAACATAATTATTAAGTTGTGAAGAACTGTTAATAAAACCCTATCATGGTATGTTTAGAAAAGCCTACTTTCTTCAGAACAACATGATGTTATTGGCAGCAAAACAGTCATAAACTTTGTGAAATGGTTGCAGTTATCGGCCATAGTCATACTTGTAATCAAGAAATATTGCAGTGGCTGGTGAAATTGAAGAAAACGTTTGCAGAACTTTCATGGTGAAATTGAAAACTACATTAAGATACAGAAAAACTAGCACAAATTGCAATTAAGATCATGCAATAAGAAAGTTTCAAAGCTAGAGAGAAACATAACAATAATGAGACTGTAAATTGTAATATAGCTTCTTGATTTTTGGGAGCTCTGTGCAAATCTTTGATTAAGTTTAGAAATTGTAGATGGTATGGGAATAAAGATAAGCTAAACTTCTCTTTTATACTAAGAAGGGTTTAGGCGCCAAACGTTTGATACTGTAGCACTGCCTTTAAGCCCAGACAAAATTTTGAAACAACAAAGTTGCACCAATTACAAACAAGAGGCATATTGGCTGATAAAATATTGTCAAGTGGTGTCACTCCTATTGAGCAAATCAAATTCTAATGACGGTGGGGCCGATAACTCGAAATTAATGAGTGTTGAGAAATGTGGTGTAGATTCAAATTATATGGAAATTATCATTTCCATGTTTGGTAAGTGCATTTTTGGAAATGCAATACGCGACTCGCGGGTATGAACTTCTCAAGGGAGAATTTCATGGACCACATTCCCCAATGTTCCCAAACATGGAAATGAACATCTCCCATTTCCATTTTGTGAGATTATACATGAGACAGTGACATTTCATGGACCACATTCCCCAATGTTCCCATACATGAAAGTGAACATCTCCCATTTCCATTTTATGAGATTATACGTGAGAGATTCGTTCTTAAGAAATTCATTCCGCACACCAAAACAGTCTCTTAGGGGTTTAAGGAATGTACTGGTACAAATAACAGTAAGCTATGGTATAAATTTGGGCATCTCTACATTTTGAAAGATCATTCATGAGATAGCTGAGGATGTTGACATACAAATCATAATCTTTGATGTTATCCATTCAAGGCACAACGATTTGTTTTGTAATATACGAGGTGAAGTAGATAAGAGAGAAGACAAGCATGAATCTATTTTAACCATAAACCTCTTGCATTTTACGAGTACCAACGACATTGGGGATGAGAGATTCAAGTGCAAGAGTAGTGTTGTGAACCTACTGGATCTATTAAGCTTTTTGCATATGTTTTTAAAAAATAAAAATAAAAATATAAGACATAATATAAATTATTCACGTCCTAACCAACTGGCTTAATCTATGTTCTCCTCTTGCATATTTTATTAATTAAGCACGATAAGTTTAAACACCATAATTAAGTAAGATAAGTTTGTTCGTTAATTACGACTACATTAGAGGAAAGTTATAATAACTGAGCTGCTATGTTATGCTAATTTGGGACAGATTTATTGAGTTCTAATTTTAGCATATATATGCATGCCATGCCATGGCATTTAATAGGCTGAAAGTTCTAATCACGCATTTAAGATAAATATGTAAAACAATAAGTATTATTAAAATGTAAATAACTAAAAAGAAATAAAAGAAAAGAGTCGGTGTGCAACAAAAATGTATGTAAAAAGACAAACTAAATCGAATATACTACAAAAAAAAAAAAAAAAAAAAAAAAAAAAAAAAAAAAAAATAACATAAAATAATCAAAATAAACGTGGCAAAACGATTTTCTACTTCTATTGATAATAAATGAGATTCAAAGAGATTATAGGTTATTTATGTAAAATAAATAGTCAATTAAGATGTAAATATTTAAGGACAAAAAGAAAATAAGACCCTATGTCCAACAAAAATGTCTATAAAAGGATAAAATACTAAAAGTTATTAGTCCGTGCGAGCATGTGTAGAGAGGCAAGTGCAATATAAGACACCAAGAATCTAAAATAATCAAAAAATAAGGCAAAACAAGGTTCAACGTGATTCCAAGTTACTTATGAATAAAAATAAAAACAAGATAGTCAACGAAAATTCAATTTATCTATCTAACTATTGATTCTAAATGTGTATATATATATAAAGCAAAATGTAGAAAATGGTGAAACATTCAAAATACCAGAACATGCCCATGATTAATCCAAATATTAAGAATTTAAAATTATTAATTAAATGAGAATAAATGGTAAATTCACACTTTTTCTTATATAAATAAAATAAAATCAGATAATATGTTCTATTTTTATGGAACACAATTACTCATTTTCTTTTTCAATTCAAAAAATAAAATAAAATATTTATAAAAAAACAATTGACACACACGTAACTAAGGGGCTAGTTTTGAACAAAGTTACAAAGACATTGGAAGTAACTAGTCATTGTATTCAACATATATAGGAGATCAAAATGGATCTAATAACAAGAGATGAAAAAAAATGAAATCAAAAGGGTCAGGTATTTTTTGGGTGGTAAAAAAATGAAAAAGATTTCATGTTCTTAATTTTGGCAAGTAAAAATGTTTTGATATCTCCCCACGGCCTGTCTCTTCTTCCTCATCGAACCCCAATCGAAGCAAAAAGCTTAGACAAAAATAAGTAATAAGACTCGAGAAAATTAAAAGCACGTAATAATAAAAAGCCCAAAATGGACGTCCAATTTCTCTAAGCCCTCTTCTTTGTTCGTCTTCTTCCCCATGCGCACAGCCCACTATTCGCAGAGGTCGCATAGTCCCCAACACACCCCCAACAACGAAACATCAAACCGAAACCTAATAGAGGAAAATCCAAATACCAGTACACAGAAATCAGACAGAGAGAGAGAGAGAGTTTCATAGCGAGTCTAAGAAACCATTTCATGGCTGACATTTGGAGCGAGGTGTTGTGTTCTAGGGCAAACTCGGCCTTGTTTCAATTCTGAGCGTGTGCGCTGTTCAAAACCCTAGGAGAGAGAAATTAGGCGAAATTGAAGTCCTCACTGTCGTGCCCTAGCTCTCAATTTTGCTACCCTGTCCCCAATTTCAGGTATTTTTGTTGCTCTGTTGGTATTAGGTTTTTGCTCATGGAAACCCTAGAATTTTGAAATTAGGCATTCAGTTAGGGTTGAATGGAATTAGGGTTTCGTTCGTTGGGCAATTTGTGTGGAGTTGTCTTTCGTGTGTGATTGTGTAATGCATTGTGATTGAATGCTCGCGGTTTATAAGGTAAGTTTTGCTCTCTATGCCCTTATGGTATTGGCATGGGATTAAGAGCCAGAATTTGACGTTCCACACGGGGGGGATTGATTATGTTGTTTCTTTGAGTAGTATGTTAGTGGTTTTGAAACTGTAGTGGATATGTGTGAGGGTGCCCATGTGAGAATTCGAAGGAGATCATTGGGCAAGCCTCTTGCATGCAATTGTTGCTATTAGTCATAGCATTATTAGTGCCAAATCATATATATTACAGTATCTTCCAGTAATGACTTACCATATTTTGGTCATCGCTTACCACATTTTTCCTTTTCTGTTCTTAGCTACGTGAACTAGGTTTCATTTTTCAATTAGTGCTTGGTTTCGACCGGAAGATATGCCACTAATGCAGTGTGTATTTGTATTCTGAGGTTCACAATAGTTCAGTAATGTAGCTACTTATATTTATTGCCTTTAAATTCCCTTTCGATTTTTAGCGTCTCACAGACTTATTAAAGATTGAAAACTGTGCAGCCCCATAATTTTGAATAGTGAACTAAAAATCATTGATAAAATTTTTGTGGAAAATAGTTTTCTGAAAGATGGGGGAATAATGAGTTTATGATAGTGCTGAATTCACACCTTTTATTTATTTCTATGCGATTGCTATATTAGTTTACATTTCCTATTTTAAAATTGGACAGGTACAACGAGTTCATTTTCCTATTTTCAAATTCTTCTTTAAATACTTATAATTTTTCTTTCCTCCTTCAACCTGTTGATATCTGGGAGGAATGGAACTATGGATAGATTTGATATAAGAATGCAACTGTGTTATGTTGTGCATATTTCATATGTACTTTAGCGGGTTATCTTAGTAAATTGTAAGTTTGTCATTTGGGCTCTATAGGTGTTCAATAATGTACCTATCTTTGTGCCTGTCTGTGTGAATTGTGATATCGAGCATGGTGCTAATGCACATCATGCTATACCTGTTTCTGCATTTGTTTAGAAGAACATCATAATTTGAGATTGGTCAAATGCTTTTGTTTTGCTCTATAAGAGAAAACCGTTGTAGTACAAATCGTAGTAGTGAAGTGACAATTAAGCTTTGCCTCAAATATTTAGGTAATTTCCATTTATGTTTAATATGATTAGGTCCAACTCATAAGTCAGGCATGTGAACATCAGTGTGTGCTTGTGTTGGATGGTTGAGCGAATGGGGATTGTTTATTTCTAAAATAGCCGATGTCATTTGTCATCCGATATAGTATATATATATATTTTTTTTTTTTTTTTTCTGCCGATTCTAATATATTATGTTTACATCTTATGTCCAAATGTATCATTTTGCTGCTTGTGTTGACATTTTGGTATGTTTAAGAACACTGTTTCTTGAGGGACTTATCATTTGTGTAACTAGTTAAATGACATTCATGCTATTTGATTCAGTGAAATGGGGACATATTCTCCTCATTTTCTTTAGATACAGCATTTAAAATTTAGTGAACTGATATATTTTTTAACTTATTACTTGTGTGTAAGGTTATTATCCTTCTTTTAAGTTAAAAAAGTACTTTCAATTCTCTATTCTTATATGACTTTTTGATACCTGTTCTTTCAGTGAGTTTTATAGACTTTGGATTAGATGGGAGATTAAAGATTGCGGGCATTAAGGTCGGAATGCATGGATGTAGCTCAGGATCTGCTCTCCTAGTAAATGCAGAGGTTGATTCCATGGGTGGAGTGGTTGACGGCGGAATTGGTATTGGTTTGAAAACCTCTCCGCGCCGAGCAGCAATCGAGAAGGCTCAAGCAGAACTTAGGTATGATTTCTCATTTGTGTTTACCCCTCATCCCTTCCAACTTCTACTTTTGGATGTTTTCCCTGTCTACATGAGGTATATAATTAACTGTTATTTGCTGATAACAGACAGGAGTATGATGTGCGGGAGGAAAGAAGAAGGGAGCTAGAGTTTCTCGAGAAAGTATGGAAATTTGATCTCGTGGTGGCTATTTATTTTTTGACTGCTTTATGTAGTGATTATCGCAACGCTCTTACTTTCAGGGTGGCAATCCTTTGGACTTCAAACTTGGAAATGGAGCTTCTGTTAGTGTCCAGTCTACTTCACTCACTGATCAGCATCCAGAACAGTTTGTGACCAGGTAGTCTTTATTTTTATATAATTACATGATTTTTCAATTAACCGGCTCAAATCTCTTCATTTTTTCTTTTTCTTATATCATGGCGTGATCTCAGTGAAGCAAAAGGTAGTTTTGCATTGACTGCATCACCGCGTGGGGACTCTGTTGAAAGTAGTGGTCGACCAGAGGTTCCTACACTTTGTGAACCCAATAGTGCTGATAATCTCTTACTATTTGATGGTGACAATGATGTGCCTGATGGGGAAAGGAATTCTATGCATCTTAGTAGAAGGAACAACATTGGTCCATCGGAACAGTCGTCCCAGATGGATGGGACTCAAAATGCCAAGGAATCTGAAGACTCTGCTATATTCCGTCCTTATGCTCGAAGGAACAGGTCCAGACCAAATCGTGATGGTACTCGATCAAATTCAATGGATATACAGGGTCGTGGTGGTCAGGGATCTTCTTTACCTGCTCGTGGGGTGTCAAAGGATCCTAAGAGGCTGATATCTGAAACAAACAACCAAAAGGACCAACCTCCTGTCGCTAGCCTAAAGTCTGCGAGTTCAAATGGTGATATCGCTCCCAAGATTGTAACTTGTGATAATCAGTTCGATATGGAATTGGAGGGGGTGCAGGCCCTTGAAATAGTTACTGGTCCAACGAAAGATAGTTCTGAAAGCAAATTGGATGTTACAACTCCTAAAAGTTTGAGAGAGAGCGAACACAGTCAACCATGTCAGGTTGATTCTCAGGAAGCGCCCATTGACGTTTGTGGGAGACCAGATGTTGTTGAAGAAAGGGAACCACTAGTATCATCTGTTCTTGAAGGTCCTTGTGCAGCTACAACAAAGACTGAAAATGAAATCAGTTCTGCGCAGGTGAATGGGTTTAGCAATTCAAATAGAGAGAGTAAAATTGTACCAAATGAAGTTCACGTTAGCAGTGCAGCCTTAGGCACAAAGGGTTTAGATTCAGAGTCTTCTTGCACCCAAACTAGTGTAGGATTAGATGTAAATAATGATAGTGACATATGTACTACTACAAGGAACGCTGATAATGGAAATATTATCGAATCATCAGATGTTGATGGGGCACAAAATCTGGCTGGTGGTGAAATGGTACAAGAAGGTAATGAAACCAAAGCTGTTGACAGTGGTTGTATTGTTAATGATCACCAGGCTTCTATTTGTCAAAACCACTCTGGCAATGGTGAAGTCAAAGTTGAGGAGGATATGAGTGAAAGTAGACCTGAGTTGCATAATGAAGCTAAGCTTCATTCAAACATTGAGGGGGGAACAACTGAGTGACCGTACAATATCAGGAACTGATAAGAAAGTGGATGATGTGTTGGATAATAGTTCTAAAATCAACAAAGAGAACTCTTGCACTGGCATATCTCAGGGTCCTCAGGACTTATCTATGTGTGAGGTCCCTGAGACTGCTTTGTCAGGGAGAGATACAGCTGCAGGTTCTGACTGTCAAACTCCAGGAGTTCACTTGAAAGTGATAGACAAGGCACATGAAGATTCTATACTGGAAGAGGCTCGGATTATAGAGGTTATTTCTCTCTTCCCCTGCGATTTATGATGTCTAATTTTACAAACTTTGAAGGAGCATCTTACTTACTCCATCAAATGTAATAACCAGGCTAAGCGTAAGAGGATTGCTGAATTAGCTGTTCGTTCTTTACCCTCGGAGAATCGCCGAAAGTCTCAGTGGGATTTTGTCCTCGAGGAAATGGCGTGGTTGGCAAATGATTTTGCACAGGCATGATATTATGATTATGCCCATATAGTTGAAGCTAACTAGTATTAACTATATCAATATTTTTAAAGTTCCCTAAACATTTTTGTTCAATTATTATGCGTTTATAGGAGCGTCTTTGGAAGCTAACTGCTGCTTCTCAAATATGTCATCGTGTTGCTTCTACTTCTGGGTTGAGAATGGAAAAGCAGCATCAACATTGGGTGCTAAAGAAAGTGGCTCATGACTTGGCGAGGGCTGTCAAGCAATTTTGGCATTCAGCTGAGACCCTTTTGAATGGTGACGATTCAAGTTCTTGTAAAAAAAACTGCAACTCCGATTTGGTTGGATCAATGAGTATTGATAGCAACGAAGCTTCTAAAGCCAAGGATGGAGAATCTAATATGGTGCTGGTCATTTATCTGGACCTATTTTTTTAATGGTCTTTACTTCTGGTCAATTTAGTGCCTAGAAATCCTATGCTATTTAAATGGTTTGTTTCCCCTTATCTTTAGCATATGATAAGTGTTTAACTATGGGTCCATGTCTACTAATCTAATGAACTTTTCTCGTTGATAGACAGCTTTGTTAGTTACTTTTCTTGTTGAACTCTTAGATGTTTACTTAGTTATAAACTAATCAGCTATAACCACAGAGAGGGCAATAAAATGTGAGCAGAGAGAGTAAGTTTATGCCACTAAAAGAATAATCTGTCACCTTAAGCATGGATCAGGTTATTTTCGCCCCCATGGTTGAAGTTATTTTGAACTTGCTGAACCTTTATTGTTCCTAATTTTTCTGTGGATAGGGGTAGATCAAAGTACAGAAGTGTATTAAAGCTCTTGATGAATAATTCTCTTTTTTCAATATGCCAAGTGCCCTTAATAATGATTGGAGTTATACTGGGTTTATAGTTCCAAAAGAGGTTGCAAGATGCTTTGGTATCCTCTTGGAGAAAAAAAATACTCACATGGATGTTTGAAGTTGAGTAATGTAACATTGCTTCATCTGTCTGAGGTGGAAATGGGTCCTCCAAATTTTGAAAATGTTGAAAATGTTGTTCATGACTCTAATCTGTATGTCACTGATATTGTACTTATAGACCAGAAGTTTTGAAAGTTTTTGTCTTACCTGCATGTGCCATATGTTGTTGATCTAAATAATGGTCATTGGCAGGAGCCAAACAAAGATTTGGAGCCGCAATATTCCCGAAAAGATCTTGCACTATCTATGCAGGGATACGCAGTGAGATTTTTGAAGTATAACAACTCTCGGGTTCCTCTTCTTCAAGCACATGCACCTGCTACTCCTGAGAGAATGTCTGATTTAGGGATTACAGAAATGTCATGGGAGGATCACCTTACAGAGGTGTGATTAAGTTCTTTATGGTCTTTTTTGTTGAGTGAAGCTATCAATCTTGACATTGTCACGCATCTCTCCATCTACTTTTCCTTCTCTCTCTCTCTAGGGCAAACTAAAGTGCTTTTATTTATTAGTCATGGATTTGTGTGGGTCATTTGTTAAAAATGAGTTTATGCTTTGGCAGGAAAATCTCTTCTATGCAGTTCCCTCTGGCGCGATGGAAACCTACAGAAAATCAATTGAATCTCATTTGGTTCAGTTTGAGGTAAATGCAATGCCCATCAGTGTAACTGACATAGGTGCTTCCTGTTTCTGGTTTCACAAAGGAATTATTACATTTAAAAGGAGAATGATGGGGAATAAAATGTTCAGTGTGAATAAGTTGTCACCTGTCTATAACAGTACACCCAACTGTTTCAGTTATTATAGGAATGAAACTCATGTTTATATTTGGTATGATGTATGGTGTTATCATTATTGATTTGTGTTTTTTGTGGAAAGTTGCTTACATTATTGATTTGGTAATTGTTTGAATTCTTTTCTTTTTTTGGTTATCATTGCTGATTTAGTGACCTAAAAATTTCAGAGAAGTGGCAGTAGCATGCAAGAGGAGGTTGATACATCTATGTATGATGCTGGAGCAGGTACAAGCTTAGAATATTTTGATATAAGTATAAGTAACTTGAGTTTATGCTTGTTTTTATTTTCTTAGCGATCCTGTGCTCATTAAATTTACATTTTAAATCTCAGAGTTTAGTTTTCAAGAGGCTGCATATGATGAGGATGAAGGAGAAACGAGCACCTATTATTTGCCTGGAGCATTTGTAGGTAGCAACTCCTCAAAATCTAACCAGAAGAAGCGACAGAAGTTGAAGATATATGCTTCTAGGTCGTATGAAGCAGGTGCTGATTTGCCTTTTGCGCAATGCACATCTGCAACTCAACAGCCCATGTCGATGGGGAAAAGGCCTGCTAGTCTCAACGTTGGTTCAATTCCAACAAAACGCACGCGCACTGCTTCCAGGCAGAGGGTCGTTGGTCCATTTGGTGGTGGAGCTACTGGGAGTAATGCTCAGGCTCAGATGAAGACAGATGCTTCAAGTGGAGATACTAATTCTTTTCAGGATGATCAGAGTACTTTGCATGGCGGATCTCAATTCCAGAAAAGTGTGGAGGTTGAGTCTGCTGGGGACTTTGAGAAACAGTTGCCGTATGACTATGCAGAAACATCAATGAAACCTAAAAAGAAGAAGAAGGCAAAACATCTGGTACATAAAATATTCATATTTCAACTGGATAATAATATGGAAGGATCTTTAGTTCTTTTACATTAATCACTGGTTAAGTTGCTTGTATTCTTTATGGTTGCAGGGTTCTACATATGATCAAGGATGGCAGCTGGATTCTGCTATTCTTAATGAACAGGTATTTAGTAAAGTTGTTAGATATGATGTGGGTCTGCTATTCTTAATAATTTTTTTAATCTTTATTTACAAGTTATTTTCATTGTGTTTTCTATTCTATGTAAGTTTGGTCTACAATTTTTTTAGTCTGAATGTCATTCTCTCTCAGTTAAGTGTTGCTTTGCATTCTATGAATTATATTCTAAAGTTGCAAGCAAATAACTGATGGTCCCTTAAATTAGCAGAGGGATCATTCGAAAAAGAGATTGGAGAGTCATCATTTTGAATCGAACGGAACGATCGGTAACTATCTCCAGTGTGATATTTGTTTTAGCATTTGATTTGAGAACGCACTTGCTGTTCTTCTCATTTTCATTTTGAACTGTGTTTCTATAGGTTTATATGGGCAACATATTGCCAAGAAGCCGAAGATATTAAAACAATCTTTGGATAATACTTATGACAGTATTACTCCAATGGCTGGGTCCATTCCTTCACCAGTAGCATCCCAAATGAGTAATATGTCCAATACCAGTAAATTTATTAAGTTGATTGGTGGTCGAGACAGGGGACGGAAAACTAAATCGCTAAAGGTACTCTTTGGTGGTACCCTGTTTGACAGTATGCTAACACTTGACCCCCTGTGTTGTGCTGTTTTTATTTACCATGTCCACTTATACCATCAATGTGCATTTAAACTTTTTGCAGATGTCTGTTGGGCAGGCAGGTTCTGCAGGTCCATGGTCCCTGTTTGAAGATCAGGTTAATATGTTATTGATTTCTTTCTCAAATTTTTCTTTCTTCTGTTGATATAGAGGTACCAATAATTACCCAAGATTTACTGTTTTTGTTACCTTAGGCACTTGTTGTTCTTGTACATGATATGGGCCCAAATTGGGAATTTATAAGTGATGCCATCAACAGTACTCTGCAGTTAAAGGTTAGTATAATTTTTGGAGCACCTTCGTGTGCTTATTGTCTATTGTGAGGATGATCTATGTGCGTTTCAAGACAGTCTCAAGCACTTCTATAAATTAAACTTTGCTTTTGAAGTGTTGGTTTTCGTAGTCTTATGTATTGAGTGTTGCTCTCGTTGACTTTGTATCGTGCAGTTTATTTTTCGCCAGCCTAAAGAATGCAAGGAGCGTCACAAAATATTAATGGATATGAATGCTGGTGATGGGGCTGATAGTGCTGAAGATTCAGGATCTTCTCAGCCTTATCCATCTACAATACCGGGCATTCCCAAGGCAAGAGTGTGTTCTTTAAAGTACAAGTTTACCTCATATTTGTTCATGTTCAGCATGATAAACCTACGTATATCAGTTTAATCTTACTTTTGTTTGCTGGCGTTTCTGCATGCCATGCAGGGCAGTGCCAGACAATTATTTGAACGCTTGAAAACCCCAATGGAAGAGGAGACTCTGAAATCTCATTTTGAGAAAATAATTAAGATTGGTCAGAAGCATCACTATCGGAGGAGTCAGGTTTGTGAAAATTAAGTATAGATTTGTTGAATATGTGCAGATGCAGTGGCTCGATTTTGGGTCAATATTGCTATCAGTGTCTCTGTAGCTTGCCCATCCTTACGATCAGAAATATTCTACCTTTCCACAAAAGGCAAAATCTTTTTGCAGTAATTAATGTTGGAATCTTCCACTATTTGTTACAGCATGATTGCATTGATTTTTTTTTCTGTATCTTTGCCATATAAGATTTTATGGTTGGATGACATGCTACATTTGAGATGATAATCCTTTTAGTTTCTGTGCTCTGACCTGGCAGTTCTTGATGTTGTCATCCTGTAGAACTAACTGTTTTTATCCATAGGATTAGGTTGGTAAGATTGAGCAGTATTGTAGCTTCTTAAACTAACATATGATGATAGAGTGTTGTCAATTTCCTGTTAATGATCTGAGTTTGAACAAAATAGATTTCTCGACCCAACTCAAAATATTTGTGAGTAACAGGCTTAGTTGGGTTCAGTTGAAACTTGAAATAAAGTATCGTTTAGATGTTGAGGAGAATGCACGCTACATGATTGAGACCTGGAAGCAGTTTAAGTACACCATTTTTTCTCTTATATGTTGCTATATGTATACTCGAACTCCTTCCTGAATCCTAACAATAATTCTTTGTGATTGTGTATTTGTGAAGAACGATAACCAGGATCCGAAACAAATAACAACAGTCCACAATTCTCATGTTATTGCCCTCTCCCAAGTCTGTCCAAATAACCTGAATGGAGGTCTTCTAACGTAAGTTCTGGTTCTCGGATTTGATAGTACTTTCTGCTATTTAATCAAGTCATTGTTGATTATTTGTTCATGTCAGTATGTTATCATGTATTTTCTTCATTTTCTTGCTTGTATGCTTATTTCTCTTTTGTGACTGTAATATAAGTATTTGGGTTTTTATCTGTGAAGCCCCCTTGATCTATGTGATGCCCCTTCATCAAGCTCAGATGTTCTTGGGTATCAAGGTTCTCATGCTAGTGGTCTAGCAATGTCAAATCAGAGCGCTATAGGGTCATTACTTCCTTCTGGGGCAAATGCCTCACTACAGGGATCTTCTGGTGTGGTTCTTGGCAGCAACTTGTCCTCACCGTCTGGCCCACCTAGTGCCAATGTCAGGTAGTGTCTGTTTGGGGTTGGGTTTGTTATTGTGACCTTGATTTACATTTTTCGTTTATAAGATTGATCTTACGTGCTTTTGTTTTATTTTTTATTTTTATGGCTCCTATGGTTTCTCATTATTCATGGTACAGGGAGGGTAGATACAGTGGTCCAAGAGCATCATCTTTACCAGTTGATGAGCAGCAAAGAGTGCAACACTACAATCAAATGTTGTCTGGTAGAAACATTCAGCAGTCCAGCTTGTCTGTACCTGGAGCTCTTGCGGGAACTGATCGTGGAGTTCGTATGGTACCTGGTGCAAATGGTATGGGCATGATGTGTGGGATGAATAGAGGCATGCCGATGTCAAGGCCAGGGTTTCAGGGAATGGCTTCCTCATCTATGCTGAATTCTGGGAGTATGCTTTCATCCAGTATGGTGGGGATACCAAGCCCTGTAAATATGCACTCTGGAGCTGGTTCTGGTCAGGGAAACTTGATGTTAAGACCTCGCGATGCTTTGCACATGATGCGGGTGAGTTATTGACACTTAGTGTGTTGCTATGTGCACTGGCTATAGATTGCAAAGATAATATCAAATGGTTCTTAGCCTATGATGCCTTCCTCCTCTAGGATCAAAGTTTTTTAAGTTGAGATAAAAATGTACCGAAGTTGCAAGATGTTCATTTTTAAAATCTGATTATTTTGTTCTATTTTTTCCTGCCACTTTGGGAGTGAAGTTGAAGAAGGAAGTCTAAGATCACATATGCCAAATTGCATAATGTCAACCATGTTTGTTACTTTTATCTGATTGTTTTTTTTTATTCCCACCACTTTAGGGGTGGTAAGAGGAGGAAGAAAGAGGGAAGAAAGGGATAGGTTTGTCTTTTGGGTGTTCAATGTTGGTTACTTTCAGTTTGTTGGTTTTCTGCCTCTATTCTTTTGTTTGTAACAAAATGCGTCCTGAAGTCTGAAATTGTCGCATGTGTACATTTGATTTTCTTATGTTTAATGACCTGCTGGGTAGTGGATCCCAACTAGAACATAAGTAAGTTTCATGGATTAAAAGTTAAAATCTTAGCCCTCGCCCTCTCTAAGCTTGTGTTGGTGGGCTTCCGCACTAAATTGATTTTGTTACTTTTATTTAGTGTTCCTCTTGATTTTAAAATAATCTCTTTCCATTTCACTGCTTTTCTAGATTGCCATTCTCGGCGGACACTTTTGATTTTATTGTTGCATTTTCCCCCTCAGTAGTTTCTGTGTTCCGCTTGTAATTGTCCTGTTCTACCAAGGCTTTATGTTTGTTTGACTGAGTTTTTCTGTCATAGCCTGGGCATAATCCGGAGCATCAAAGACAACTTATGGTTCCAGAGCTTCAGATGCAGGTTACACAAGGGAATGGCCAAGGTATTGCTCCATTCAATGGGTTGAGTTCTGGTTTTCCTAATCAGACAACTCCACCATCTGTTCAAACATATCCAGGTCATGCCCAGCAGCAACTTCAGGTATCCCAACAACAGTCTCATGCACTCAGTAGTCCTCATCACTCTCATCTTCAAGGCCCCAATCATGGTACGGGGCAGCAGCAGCAAGCCTATGCCATCCGTATTGCGAAAGAGAGGCAGCTGCAGCAACAACGGTATTTGCAACAACAGCAGCAGCAGCAGTTTGCTGCATCTAATTCCTTGGCGCCACATGTCCAGACACAGCCCCAACTTCCCATTTCATCAACTTTGCAAAATAATTCCCAAATTCAGTCGCAAACTTCACCTCACCCAGTATCTCTGTCCCCTATGACACCATCTTCCCCGATGACTCCCATATCATCCCAGCACCAGCAGAAACATCACCTGCCGCTGCATGGGCTTAGCCGGAATCCTGGTGCAGTTGGGATGACCAATCAGATGGGGAAGCAACGACAAAGACAACCCCAGCAGCACCATCTTCAACAATCTGGTAGGCACCACCCTCAACAGCGGCAACTTGCCCAGTCTCAGCAGCAGGCTAAACTTTCAAAGGGAATGGGAAGAGGGAATTCAATGTTGCATCAGAACCTCTCCATTGATCCTGCGAACCTCTCCATTGATCCTTCTCATCTGAATGGGCTTCCAATGCCTCCAGGAAGCCAAGCTCTTGAGAAAGGAGAACAGATCATGCAGTTGATGCAAGGTCAAGGTGCATATTCCGGGTCTGGCTTGAATCCAGTAACATCGAAGCCTTTGGTCCCCCAATCACCAAACCATTCTCAGTTGCCGCAAAAGTTACTTTCTAGCCCACCTCCTTCATCAAAGCAACTCCAGCAAATGCCTTCTCATTCTGATAACAGCACTCAAGGCCAGGTTCCACCAGTTCCCTCTGGTAATACAATATCAGCTTCACATCAAGCTGTCTCCCCATCAATTAAGGGTTCCAACCAGCAGCAGCTGCAGTCGCAGCAACAGGCACAACAACAGAAGCAAGCTAATCAGACTCAGCCTTATGTTCAGAGAGTGCTCCAGCAGAATCGTCAAGTAAATTTAGAGATTCCAAACAAGTCTCAAAATGATCTAGCTCAGGTTGATGAGCAACCTGTCAATGGCACTTCACAGGTGGGTGTGAGCATGGCAATTCCTCAGTCCAGTATTGATTCATCTAATGTAGTACCAGTTCCTTCTGCCATTACTCCTCTGTGGAAATCATCAGAACCAGTGTATGATTCTAACATGTCAAATTCAACCACTCAAGTGGGTCCGATTGGGAGCCCACAACTAACAAATTCATCTGGGAATGAGCCTGTGCCACCTATCAGTCAAGGGTTAGGCCCTAGACAGTTATCTGGTAGCTTGCCCTCTCACGGGCATAATGTTGGAGCACAGTGGCAGCAACAGCAGCAGCAGCTACTGCAACAGTCTCCTTCGCTGCCATCCCCATCGCAACAGCATCATCAGCAACAAGAACAGCAGCAGCAGGAACAACAGTCACCCCAACATCAATTGCCTCTGCAACAGCAGTCTCAACAGCAAATGCAGCATCTGCAAGCAGGGCAAGGAAGTTTGTATATGATGACTGGTAATTCAAAACCAGAATGAATGATTCGAAGGAATTGAGCAGCTGCAGCAACCGGTCCTGCCAGGGTTGGATCCGCATACCCTTGGTACAGTGGTGTACAGGTAGTTACTATTTAATTTCATATTGTATATCCATAGTATTAGCCTCATATTCATGAAAGAAGAAATTGATTGCTTTTCCCCTTTTCAAATCAATTCTTAAAAGCTTTTGTACCCCTTTTTAGGTTGTTTTCTTGTTGTCTTTCTTCATAGTAAGATTCGACTTTGAATTCACTGTTGCAGAGTATTATTGCATGGGTGCTAAACTGCCATTTCATATTTTGTGTTTTGTGCAAACAATTTTTGGGTTGTCTAATATATATATATATATATATATATATATATATATTTGTGGGATTTAAAGGAGTGATGTATTTCAATCTAAAAGGTATCTGATTCTAGGTTTGGGGTTTGGTGCAGATGAAGCTGATTATTCCATAAGGGCATCAACAGGAAGAGCTGGTCATGGTATTTGCAGGTTTTGTTAAAAATTTAGCTGAACTAATGAAGTGATGTTGCAAAGGCATTTTCCTTTTGTTTTTGGAAAAATCTTGTAAATTACCACTGGTCTAGAGCTCTGGGAAGATAGAGACTGATATAGAGGTACGTGTACAGAGGTCTCTTATCTTTCCTTTTCCTAGTACCTGTTTCTTTTAATTTTTTTCCCTTATTTTTTTTTGGTTTATTTTCCCCGGTCTCCCTGCAAATTTGTGGAGGGTGACCCTATTTCTTTTTGCCCCAGTAGATTAGCGCATGTATTAGTACCCTTTCAGATTAAGGGGGTTGCAATCATTTTTATGGGCAAAAGCCTTTTGCAAATCTTGTGAATATTTAGATGTCTGATGTAATACATTGGTCAATGGGATTAGAAAATATCAATCATCTGTGACTGCCATGTGCTACCTGGAATTACTGTAACTTGTAACGGTTCCCAGTCTTATAATGCAACGAGTCTTGATAGCTCATCCATATCTGATGTTTTTATAAAGGCGGAAGCATCTGCAATGCCAATTATTTTCTGTTTTGAACTTGGTGCTGGAAACTCCACCTGAAAAAGAAAAAAACAGTCGGGACTTGGGAGCGCCATTATATCTCATGTTTGATTTAAGTTACAAACTTTCAGTGTTGATGCTGGTTCGTGTTAGACTCATTCCCTGGAGATTTGTACATATGTTTGAGAGAATACTCGTAAGTAAATAATGTTTTCCTTTATTTTTGAGCCATCGATGGTCCGTCACATGAGGCATTGAAGAGGGTATCTTTTGCTCATACTGACCAAGAACATTTACAGACAGCCTGCTATTTGTTTGGTAGCATTTAAAGATAAGAAACAAAAGAGGAGCTTTGGGGCCCAAATTCTAAGTTATAATTTTACTCTTATCAGCCAAGCCTTTTTGGTAGAAAATGGAAATATGTAGTTTTGAAAAATTAAAAAGTACAATCTTTCACCATCCTCATTTTCTTGGACGCAGCCCATAGGCTAGTCACCGTTTCAAATCTCAATTGCAAGAAAGCCGGAATGTAAACAGCACAAGTCTCTGATATATGCTCGCACTTCATAACCATAGTTTTCTTAGAATTCAAGGAGCCCTAGGTCCGGGTCCGGGTCCGGGTCCCGCGGCGGAGAGGGAGGGATATGCCTAAAAGAAGCAACATGAAACTTTAACAAACCTTTAAGGAGACAGATTCACATGCATTGCGAGAGCCATGGCCAATAAATGTGCCAAAAATAACCAAGCAAGTGCTTCTCTGGTTTGACCAATGTCCAAGTACATAGGCTAAAAGATTGCATCACATCAACTCTTTGGGCAGGGATCTTTAACAAGCAAGCATATTATGATAGTTGAGAAGGGCAAACAGTAAGAAGAAAGGCAAATTGTTAGATTGGTAAAGCAACCAAGAACACAAGCAAACCAGAAGCTACTTATAGCAAAATTAAGCATAACAACTAGAATATTATACTTAAGGCTGAATTTGAAGCTACTCATTCCCAAGGTTTCTGATCAAAGCATGAAAATGTATTAGCTATGCTAGGAAAACTACCACTAGAACTAGAATAATAACAATTGCACATAAATGGGATTGAATCCCTCAACAAATTAGACCCAGAACCATTCTACAAATTCTGGGTTTCAACTGTCAACTATACAAATCCAATGGAACAACAACACAGCTAAAAGATCATAATTTTACAACAAAAAATAAAGATTGAACCTTCAAAACAGATTAACTTGATAATGAGCAACAAATCATCATGATTAGCTACTCAACTTGTTGGTAGAAGAGCCAAAGGCCTTGTCAATGGAGTCAACAATCTTTTGCTGGGATTGCAGAATCATATCAATCCTCCTCTTCTCCATCTCCAATCTACACCTCTCTGTTTCCTTCATGATCTCCATCCTCGTGTTCTCAACCCCAATGAACCTTTTCGCAAAAGCCCTAATTTCGTCTGCTAATTCCACAGCCTCTCTCCCCCCATCTGGAGCGGCTCCACCACATAGCCATTGTAGCCACCGCCACCGTCCACCGCGTCTCTCGATCTCCTGGCTGCCGCTGCCATCGCCGCTGTGTCCTGCCAAAACGAGGCTTGTCCTCCAGAAAACCTATTCACAATCGTGGGCCTCCGTAGTATGTAATCAATACTCCGCACCTTACTGGAATTCTCCTCATCATCATCCTCACCATCAACATCAACGCCATGACGATCATGACGCTGCCCTTCTTCTTCTTCTTCTTCTGGCTGACATGGCATCACAGCCATGGGTCTGGAGGAGATGGGCATGGGACCGCGCTCCAAGCTCTCCATGAGCTCGAAGAAGGGCCAACGCGACCTCGACCCGGGCCGGAGGCGCTTCTTCAGTGTACGGTGCCGTTGCCGGAGCTTCTCCATCTTGTGACGGCACTGAGTGGCGGTCTTGGACTGCTCGGCGTGCTCGTAGCCGCATCGAGCTGCCACCGTCACCGCCACCTCCTCCCATTGACTCGACTTGAGCGGACCTCTTCTCAGCTTGTACCACTTTTCCTGGTAGGCCCGGATCATCTGCACCGTCTCTTCGTGCGTCCATGGCAGAGGCTGGGCCTTCTTGGTGGAGACTGGCGAGGCAGGGACCGAGGCCGAGGCTGAGGCTGTGGGCGAGGGCGGGGGTGGTGTGGACATTGTTCTGATGTCTAGGATTAGGGATTTGGAATTTTAGGGTTAGGGTTTGATGGGAATTGGGGGTTTTTGTGTTGAGTTTTGTGGAGGTGGTGGTGGCGGTGACGGTGGTGGTTATGGTTGAGAGAGGGTTGATTTTGGGTGGGGGCCTTTTAAGTTTAAGTCAATGGATCCGAACCCGTATTTGACATTTTAAAAAGACTATTTGGGCTTTATTTGTACGGAACGACCCGCAATTCGAACCCGAAGTTAAACAAGTGCAACGTCAAATGATTGATTTTTTTCTTTCCAAGGTCAAATGATTGAATTTGATTGGATATATAATATGATTCAAATTCAACGTGGGGCCCCATATTGAGATTTTAATTTTAAATTCTAATTTATTGTTTTTGTTTTAAATTGTCTTATGTTATTGTATTAATTTTGTATTTGCCACATTACTGATTTTTTAAGTGTAGTTTGTAAGATGTTACATTTACTTATGTTGCGTATAGCACAATGAAGAGAAATTTTAAGCTAGTTTTTGGTTTAGTGATATTTTTATTTTCAATATAAAAAGAAGTTTCGAATTCGAATTTCCACACTCTAATTGATAAAAAAAGAGACCATTTTATTGTTATTTCATGCTTAGTTTCTGGTCGAAAGAGAGCAAAGGGCCTATTAGAAAATTTCCATTAGGTAGATTAGAAAAGGGTACAAAGGATAGATATATCTTAAGAAACAAGAAACCAAAGGAACATATGAAAAGTGATCATCTTTCGTCCACATTGAAGTGATCCTTTTTCAACACATTGTAACGCAATAAAATAAATTTTTTATTATAGAAAATATGAATAAATTGCAACTGAGAAAAAAATTATGAAGAAATTTCTTCCATCTGTTTCTTTAAAAAGAATACATGGCCTTTTATCCCCAACAGATAAATAATCCCAATTCACGCATTTTGGTTTCCTTTTTTGGGTGATGGGGGGAGGGGGACCACACACCTTTTTTGCATTTAAAAATGCTTTTGTTGCTTGTTTTGGACATAAGAAAAGTGCAAGCTTTTGTTTCTTCCTTTCATGTAATTACTATGTTGACAGAGAGAGAGTCAAAGATATCAGAAGATACAGAACAGATGGAGATTCATGGGTTATTGATGGCAATGCAAGGGAACCAGTTTTTCGTTTAAAATTTCACCCAAAAAAAAAAAGAGGGAATCATTTTCACTTCGCTACACAAAAACTCAAACTATACATTCTTCAAAGCTTCAAGCTTCACTAACATGGAGCACTCTCATCCTGAAATGGGCCTCACTGCTCTTGATCATTCACCTGAGAAAACTCAATCTCCTCCAAATCCCAACCATTTCATCCCCAGAAGGTTTTCCCTCTACTCCTTTTACCTTTTGTTAACATGTTTGTTTTTTCAAAGGTAGAAACTTTGAAAGTTTTTTGTATGTGTGCGTGTGTGTACAGCTACCAAGTGAAAGTGTTTGAAGTTGCAAAGCGAAAGAACACGATTGCGGTGTTGGAAACCGGTGCTGGGAAGACCATGATAGCTGTGATGCTAATCAAACACATTTCTGAAGATATGATCAAGTCCCATGGCAAAAGAAAGCTGATAATTTTCTTGGCTCCAACCGTTAATCTCGTCACTCAGGCAATTATCACTTCTACTGTTGCAATATTCTATGTATAAGTGTTTAGGGGCCTTTTATCATTGAAATGCTGAATAGCCTTTTTGTTAACAGCAATTCAAGGTTGTCGAAGATTCTACAACTCTTGAAGTGGGAGAGTACTATGGAGACAAGGGAGTTGATGAATGGAGTAGGAGCTGTTGGGAAATGGAAGTTCAAACACATGATGTAGGATTCTCTTCCTCTGTAACTCAAATAATGAAATAAAGTTTTGGGTGTTTTTTTATAAAAGAAATAACATAAAGGACAAGAAGACTCTCCATTTCAGTGTAGCATGGAATTGTTATGGATCTCAATGTTAGTTTCATCTGTTACCATTTCTTAGACTATTCTTTGTTTGTGCATTTTATGTCAGTATTTTGATATTCTTTTTTAGCTAGATTAAAAATTTATTCAGTATTATCCAAGTGATGCTTAATCAGTTTTTCAAGTACATATGATGGTATTTCTGAGATTTAGAACTACTGATTTTTCGTTCTTCTTATCTGGTAGATACTGGTGATGACACCACAAATTCTCTTGGATGCCTTGAGGAATGCATTTTTGAGCTTAGAAATGTTTTGCTTATTGATCTTTGACGAATGCCATCGTGCTACTGGCAATCATCCCTATACAAAAATAATGAAGGTAGTTGCTAAACGACTCCCACTTTTAATTTTGTTTTATTCAAATAATGTGAATACACTTAAATGATAAGAATATTCTTTTGGAGAAGGAATTTTATCATACATCCGGCAACAGGCCAAAGATTTTTGGAATGACAGCATCCCCTGTTATAAGAAAAGGTAAGATATTTGTGTTTCTGCATACGATTATCTGATGTTTTGTTGGCACAGATAGGTGAACTCAATTCTCTGCATGGCTTCAATGTGGTTAATACAAAACACTGCATTCACCACAATTTGAGAAATCTTGAACCTCACTCAAAGATTCTCACTTATTATCACCAAAAATCATCCCATAATAAGGGGACGAGATTTTTTCTTATGCTCTCTACAATGTTATACATTATTACAATTTGCTGCATGTTCATGATCAAGCTAGTGCTATTTTACAACATGCTATGCAAAATTATGAAGACAACCTTCTCTGCATATCAGGTGTCTCATCCACCATGGACTGTGAGAATCAAATATCAGCACTGGAAAGCATCTTGGATTCTCAGGTATTTTGAGTTTTTCATGTCATGATTATTCCCTACTTATTATGAAAATTAGCCTCTAAATGTCTACGTATCTTGATATGTGCTGGTAAGGTTTATGCTATAGAAGACAGGACAGAAATTGAAGCATATATTCCCTCAACAGTCCAAACTTGTAGATTTTATGAGAAAACATGGTTACTCATGAATTTGGGTCTGAAAGGCGAGATGGAAGCTTTGTGGTCTAAGGTAGTCCTGCATCATATCAAATATTTCATGCCAAAGGATATAACAGTATATGTTTTTGCTATAAAAAAAATGTTATTCAGTCTTAGCTTTCACTTATGTACTTATGGGAATACTAAGAGGTATTTAACTGCATGGACAGTATGCTTCTATGTTAGAGTTGCAAAGGGAAGTGCCAAGTCAGTACCAGTACTACCAGGACATTGATGATAAAATAAAGATGCTGAGAAAGCGGATGTCCAATGACTACATGAAGATTTTATATTGCCTTAATGACCTTGGCCTCATATGTGCATATGAGGTATGGTTGTTCTCTAGCTAAGTACAAACTGAAAAGCAAAAAAATAAAGAAAAATAAAAGGAGGAATGTGATCTGTTTGGTGTGTTCCTTTTCTCTTCTTTTTTTATTTTTTATTTTTTATTTTTTTTTCTCTCTCGTTTAAGATTTTTTCCCTTGGTAGAAAACCCTTTCTTAGAATTACTTATATGGTTTGAATCCACTCAGAACATTAAGAAAACCATGAACGAACAGAGCTTCAGTTTTAAACTTTACTCACATCGTGACGTTCTTACCTTGCTTAAACTTAAGTCTGTCTAAAGAATGCCTCCGATGTCGAAGAAGAGTCTCAATTTTACAGTAGAAGAGAACGGCTCTTCTTCGACGTCGGAGGCATTCTCTAGACAGACTTTAACAGCCACTATTTGAGTAAGGTTTAAAACCGAAGCTCTGTTTGTTCCTGGGTTTTCTTAATGTTCTGAGTGGATTCAAACCATATAAGCAATTCTAAGAAAGGTTTCTCTAGAAAGATATGTCACTGATGGAGCTTCCAATAATCATGTACTTAACTCAAAGACAAGTCACTAGTGGAGCTTCCTATAATATAACTCAAGGACCAGTCACTAGTGGTGCTTCCTATTTTCAATCTTTTTTTCAGATCTTCATTTTTGTGTTCTGATTTCGTACTATTACATGATAATACCTTTTTTGTAGGCTGTTAAAGTCTGTCTAGAGAATGCCTTTGATGTCGAAGAAGAGTCCCAATTTTATAGAGGAATTTCTTTGAAGTTGAAATATTTTCTTGATGAAGTCTTACATATAATTGAAGGATTTCTTCGACCTAGTATGCAGCTCGGTGAGTTTGTATCCTAATTTTGGATTGATATTTAGTTCTTCTTATGATATAAATTATAATATTTCTTTACTGATATACTTCCTTCACACTGCTCAGGCAATAACATTTGTACAGATTTTGAGTTTGACTATATAAAGGCACACGATTTGGGCTACATATCTCCCAAGCTACATGAACTTTTACAAATTTTCCAATCATTTGGGTAAATAGAACTACTTCACTGGTAAAGTCCTTTTAATTTTCTTATAAAGTCAATTGATCAGCCTGCTTTGCCATTGCAGAAGCGGTAGCCAAGTTCCATGCCTCATATTTGTAGAGAGAATTATTACAGCTAATGTAATTGAAAGATATGTTAAGAAAGTAACATGCTTATCTCATTTCACGGTTTCATATTTGACCGGAAGTAACAAATCAGTTGGTGCAGTTGCACCAAAGTTTCAAAAGGAAACTTTGGAATCATTTCGCTCTGGGAAGGTACCTAATCTTTAACATGACAGATATCACTTTATATGAAGCTTTTGTGTGTTTGAAAACCATATAATCAGTGAGGAAACCCTTCTATCAGGTCAACCTATTATTTGCCACTGATGTAGTTGAGGAGGGAATTCATGTCCCAAGCTGTTCCTGTGTAATCCGTTTCGACCTGCCCAAGACAGTCCGTAGTTATGTCCAGTCCCGAGGACGATGTCGAACAAGCGATTCTCAGTTCATCTTAATGCTTGAAAGGTGAAGGCTACTTTTTTTTTGTTTTGTTTTATATAAAAGTCATTTTAAGTCTACTAAGATTGTTTTTGACATATATTTACAGGGGCAACAAGAAACAAATAGATCAAGTATTTGACGTCATCAGGAGCGAGTATTCAATGACAGAGACGTCAAGAAACAGAGACCCTGAAGTATGCATTTTAAGAAATTGTAATTTTGAGGAAACAAAAGCATATTATGTAAATGCTACTGGAGCATCAGTTACAGCCGATTCTAGTGTCAGTCTCATACATCGATACTGCGAAAAGCTCCCTGGCGATAAGTACGGATATTTTCCCTTGTCACAAGTTCTATTATTCATTGGAGTAGTTGTTCTTCTACATTTTCTACATGATTATTGCAAAATGTAGGTACTTTATTCCAAAGCCAACTTTCGACTTCGAAATGTCTGAAGGGTTGTACCAGTGCAAAATAACATTACCTCCTAATGCAGTTTTTCAAACAACAGTTGGTCCTCTGAGCAGCAACACTCATTTATCAAAGCAGCTCGTATGCTTGGAAGCTTGTAAAATGCTCCATGAAATGGGAGCCTTGGATGGTCATCTTCTCCCACTTATCAAAGAGCCTTCAGAAAATGATCTCATTACAAAAAGCAAAGAATCATCTGCAGGTGCAGGTATGTGTATGCATGAACCTAATTTTTTGGCTTTCAAGAGAAGACTATCTACAACTTATAGTTTTGTACTATTATAAATATGTTTATTGGTCATTATCATTATCCAAGGATTTTTATTTTATGTAAGGAACGACTAAAAGGAAAGAACTGCATGGGACGACTTGCATTCATGCGTTATGTGGAACTTGGGGAGAAAAACTTGATGGTGAAATTTTTGAGGCCTATAAATTTGACTTCTTCTGTAATATTAATGAGACATACTCGGGATTTGTTCTACTGATTGAGTCAAAGCTTGATAATGATGTGCAAAATATTGAAGTGGATCTTCAATTGATTTCAAGGATGGTTAGATCTTCTGTTTCTTCTTGTGGAAAAATGCACCTGAGTGCAAAAGAGGTAAGCTTGTTATATTAACTCCCCAATTTCTTCTTCCGTTATTTAAAATTTGAATATAGTTTTAGAAAGCACTTTCTGTAACTCTATGCTGCCTATTTTCTAACCAGGTAATGCAAGCTAAGTGCTTTCAAGAATTTTTCTTTAATGGCTTGTTTGGGAGATTGTTTTCGGGATCCGAATCAGAAGGGACAAAGAGAGAGTTTTTACTTCAGACAGAAACAAAATCACTATGGAGCTCATCATATATGTATTTGCTTTTACCAATTGAGACATTGGACACTTCTAATACCAATCCTTGGAGAGTGAATTGGATAGGAATCAGTTCTTGTGCTAATGTGGTAGAGTTTTTGAAGAAAAACTATTCCGTGGGTCCTGAGCATTTTAACGGTGATCAAGGAAACTTATCGCTTTCTATGACTGGTTCATCCATGACAGAGTGCATGGCTTCAGATCTAATCCACTTTGCTAATACTTCAATTGATGTTCATAATCTCCAAGATTTGTTAGTATTGGCTACTCACACGGGAAGAATCTATTCAATCGTTGAAGTCATTAGTAGCGAATCTGCTGAAAGTCCCTTTGAGGAAGCTGTTGATGCTGCCTCATTACAATACAGCTATGCTGAGTACTTCAAAACAAAGTAGGTGATATGTGATCCTCTACAATCTGTCATGCTTATTAAATTTTTCTCCCTGACTTACCATATATAACTTGCTGCTGCTAACACGAACATGTTCAGGTATGGGATTGTCCTTGTGTATCCTGGACAGCCGCTGTTACGGTTAAAGCAAAGTCATAATCCCCATAACCTGCTTGGTGCTGAAGGTTTGTTAAGTTGTACACTTGGTGCTTTGTTTTACATATTTCCTCATCCAATGCGGTATGTGATCTTTTCTCGAAATGTTTCTTTTCTTTCATTGATGAATCCAAATTGAGCAGGTGCTGCATCAAAAGATGGTCGTTCTGCTGAGATAAAGCCACAAGCTCATGTTCACATGCCACCTGAGGTCTTAGTTAGTATTGATTTTCAAGTAGATGTTCTCAGATCATTTTACTTGCTACCATCATTAATGTACCGTTTGGAGTCACTAATGTTAGCTAGCCAGCTTAGAGAGGAGATCAATGGCAAATGGGGCAACATTAAAATATCAAGTTCATTGGTTAGTTCTATTATTTGATTCCAATATCAACGTAATTCGCTATCATTCGGTACTATAAGCAATCTAATACGAAATGTTTTGCGATTAGATTCTAGAAGCACTCACAACACTTAGGTGTTGTGAAAATTTCTCATTGGAACGTCTGGAGTTTCTTGGAGATTCAGTTCTCAAGTATGTTGTGAGCTCCCATCTTTTTCTTAAATATCCCGAGAAACATGAAGGGCAATTAACTGCTCGACGCACAAGGGCTATTTGTAATGCAAACCTGCATAAACTAGGAACAGAACGCAACATACAGGTTTTGGATCTTCTCTCCTTTCTTTATGCCTTAGATATTTCAAGCTATAATTTATTTTCACATTGCTGAATTCATGAACACAAATACAGTCATTTTTCTGCGTTTATCTTTTCTGGATAATTTTATGAACAAAGAATTTATTTCTTATTTGGCAGGGATACATACGAGACGGTGCATTTGAACCACGCCGTTGGGCTGCTCCAGGGCAGCATTCTAGATTTCCTGATCCATGTAAGTGTGGAGTGGATACTTTAGAAGTACCTTTGGACAGCAGATTTCAAACTAAAGCTCCTGTTAAGGTTGGAAAGTTCTGTGATAGAGGTCACAGATGGATGAACTCAAAAACCATAGCTGATTGTGTTGAGGCCCTCATTGGCGCCTACTATGTGGGTGAAGGATTGTTTGCTGCACTTCATGTAATGAAGTGGCTTGGTATTGATTCTGAATTGGAACTCTCATTAACCATTGAAGCCATTACGAGGGCATCCCTCCGATCCTACATTCCGAAAAATGATCAAATTGCTGCCTTGGAGTCGAAGCTTGACTACAAATTTTCTGTCAAGGGTCTGTTACAGGAGGCCATAACACATGCCTCTCAGCAAAAACTAGGTGCCAGCTACTGTTACCAGGTTGCCACTGATTCTTTCTGGACATGATAGTTTGTTCTATTCTCTTTTCAAATAAAGGGATCCACATAATAGCTCACTTTTGCTTCTTGAATTATTGACAGAGGCTTGAATTTCTTGGCGATGCGGTGTTGGATGTTCTAATCACACAGCATCTCTATCATAGCCACACAGATGTCGATCCAGGAGAGCTGACTGACTTGCGTTCAGCTGCTGTTAGCAATGAAAGCTTTGCTCGAGCTGCTGTAAGAAGAAACCTTCACCCACATCTTCAACATTGCTCTGGGTTACTTCTGAGTCATATCACAGAGTATGAGAAGTTGTGTACAGAAGCTCTCAACAACACCAGCTTATTGGAAGAGATAAAAGGTCCAAAGGTAAGACTATTTGGCTTTCAAAGTTTTATACAGTTTGCTGCTTTGCGTTAGTGTGATGTTATGCCTCTAATTATGTATTGTTTAATGGTAATGCTCTTGTCTGATACAGGCTCTTGGTGACATGGTGGAGAGCATAGCAGGGGCTATACTAATTGATAGCAAGCTTGATCTTGATGAAGTTTGGAGGGTGTTTAAACCACTATTATCTCCGATCGTGACCCCTTCAAGTCTTCAATTAGACCCGCTACGTAAATTGAAGGAACGATGTGATTCTCTTGGGTACTTCGTGAAAGAAACATTTACTAAAGAGGATGCAGTTGTCAATGCAGAGCTGAGTTTGAAGCTGGAAGATGTTATTTTGGTTGGAAAAGGATACGAACGGAAAGCAAAAGCTGCAAAACAGAGAGCAGCTCGTCAATTGTTGAAGAAGTTTGAGGGTTACTTGGTAAGATGTTGTTCATTATAACATTTGCCTTATGTCTCTGATTAGTGTTGGCTTCTCACCACCTAGTATGTTACTTTCAATGCAGCAGAGGTGCAGAGACATATCTTATGTCCAGTTTGATTCTAAAAGGAGAAAACTTGAACGTGGGCATTTGGATGATTTATCATCCAAAGACATGAATATTGATACCTGCAGCAAATTAACTGATGATGGTTCTTCAAAGCCAATCATGCATACAAACGAAAACATGACTCAAATGTTATCATCTGCAGAGTCAAGAGTAGACTCTACACCAGCCAATGGCTGTTCCAACAAAGTCTTCGGTGACAACATTGAAAACTCAGGCTTACCTGGTTAGTGCCGCAAATGCATTTCATTTTAGTTTTTCAATAAAGAAACAAGATATGTAGTTATTCTGTTTTATTTGCTATTGGTTCTTGTTTGCAGTTATTGATTCGATCAATACAAGGAAAGGCGAACCTCGGAAAATGCTCTACGAACTATGCCAGAAATTGCAGTGGCGAAGGCCTGAATTTACAACAACAGAGGATAAATCAAGGTGATTAAAATCTTTCAAACGACACTTCTACTCTCTTTTGACCGAGAAATATAGAAGAAAACTCTACTTCTCTTACTTTCTATTTTCCTATGGGTTTAACTAACTAGTGTCTTCCTCATGCAGAACCCCAATAGAATTTGGTGAGGGCTCTGAAAAGAGAAAAGGTTTCAGCAGTTTTGTTTCAGACATCAGCTTGCAGATACCCAACTTTGGCACTATTGTATGCAGAGGAGAACCTAGAGCTGATAAAAATAGTTCATTTGACTCCGCAGTAGTTGCCATGCTTTACGAGCTTGAACGACGGGGAAGACTTACCATTGGATGCTCTTAATATGCTAAAATATCAAATTGTGAGCAAAACTTTATCCTAATACAGCCTGAGCTTCTAATATTGACTTGGCTCTCATACACTGTAGATGTAAAATCTGCTTTTGTGAATTTTGCTATTCGTATAAAATGCAAAAAGGTCAAGTATTACAGTATCAGTCACAAAGGGGGGGGAAAAGAAAATTGGTCGTACTATGTACACAAACAGCAAGAAGGTTATGAACACATTTTTTTTTCTTCTGAAAATAGGAGTTCCATGACACTTTATTCTCTTTACTCTTCACTCACAACTACTTTCAACCGCCAACTACAAAAAACCTGTGAAAAAAAAGATAGAAACAAGAAGATGAACATAGAGAGAGAGAGAGAGAGAGAGAGAGAGAGAGAGAGAGTCAATAATCTTGTATCAACATAGGATGGAAGAGATAAGTCACCTTAAATGACAATCCCATTAGAACTGGATCAGTGAACTCAGATGTGGTAATGAATGCATTGGTTGAGTCAACAGGCATTGTTGGCAGGCAATTCAGTAGTCTTTTGTTCCAAGAAACTGGCGCTCATCTTCCCGGGTTGTGATTATAATTGCAACTTCTTGGCCAACAAGAGTTGGATCCCTGCAATGTTCAATAGCATATTCAAGTTGTCAAGTGATAAGAATTGGTCATAAGAATACAAGCCAACTGCATACAAGGAATTAGAGATTCAAAACTGATCCATGTTTATAAACAAAATTCAACTTATCTCCATGGTTAATAGGAACTTACAGTCGAGCTGTCTGCCTTTAAACTTTCCAGTGACTCAGCAAGCTCCACTTGTTTTGATGCAGTTGCAAGCAATGCCTGCAAGAAAAGCTCTTGGTTTTAGTAGTCAACTCCATCCTGATTGGTAGAAGTAGTTTGGTGTAAACCATGGTTATAACAAAAAAGGTTGTCTTACTTTCTTTGTCTTCTGTAAGTCATATTCTATAGATTTAATACGACTCAAAGATTCATGAAGCATGTCTTCTTTCTCTGGAGGAATTTTTGTAGGTTTGTTAATCAACTCGGTAACCAACCCTTCTAATTGCTGCAGCCTCTGCCAGAGAGGGTCTACTTCTATTCCCTGTGAAATGTGCTGTTCCTGAGAACTTGAATTTGCAAGCAGCAGTGGTTTGCATGAACTTTTTAAGTGGTTCTCTTCATGACGTGCGGCAAATATTCTCCACAACCTTGGGAATACAAGAAATATACATGCTAATATTTTTAGTGTGAATTGAATAATTAAATTCGCTCCACGTGGAATGAATGACTTCAGCGGCCTTCCCGGAGTGAAATTCACAAGTGAATTACCTGTCAAGAACAAGTTAAGAACATGTAAAAGCATCCTTGCATAACCACACCCTCCCAGTATTTACGATTCCAGTGAATGAAAGAATCTGCACTGAAAATTAAAACTTAGGAAACTCTAATGAGAAACTAACTACAATACAGCAGTGAACCTTATTATCTTTTCATATTTAAAGGGAAATTCAGCTGCAGTCCCTGCCTAAAATTTGGACTGGCTTGGGAATTCAAAACCAGCCTGGCCAGCCCTACTGGTTTACCTATACTTTTTTTCAATGTTATTCTTGTTGTTTTCACCAAATAACATAATAATCGTTATTTCCCAAAAAAAAAAGGGCTGTAAACCAGGTCGGAGGCATGATTAGAAAATTGATCAATCACTATATGAGTAAATCTAGGCAATATGATAATGACTGATGATCACCTACTTGTTGAACTTGAATTAACAACTTCCATTCTTCCAGCAGCACTGCCAAGTTCAACTGGGCCGCAGATAGATGCAGAGTCACTTGCCCTCCTCTGAGACAAATCAGACAAAATATGGTGGGAAGCAAGAGTTAAAAATCGATTGACATTTTATAGATTTTGGTCTATGAAGAATTCAAAAATTACAGAGGGGCGAAGATTACAAGGAAAGTAGCTTAAAACTTGTGATTATATCGTTAGTCATAATCACAAGTAATTTCTCAGTAAGATAGATAGATGCTATTAATGAAATAGCTATTAAAGATGCAGTCACTAGTGAAGTTAAAAGATAAGGCACCCAAGCAAAGAACTTCAGAAGTTTACCTTGTCAGAATGAGAGGTCAGCAATTGCAAGAAGCCAGAAACACTTGACATCATTTCTGATCCTGACTCAGGTGCAGATATTATTTCATTTTCTGTAACCTGAACAGTAAACCCAAGTAACATGAAATATGGCACGAGTAGAAGGTAATAAAGGACATAATCTATGGTATATTTGTCTTCAAGTCACCTTAGAGGCAATCAGTTTGACTCCTAAATCATCGCCATCAGAAGAACCATTGATTTTCCTCAAGTCCATTGTTTCTCCAATGTGTATCAGCTGCAAATACAGGTCATATGAGTAATGATGTAAGTTTTCAGGCAAGAAAACCCCATTATATATCGGCCTATTAGTTCAAAGTATTGATATAGCAAGTATAAATGTGACAGCACTGTTACTCGACTAGAGTCATACTTTTACTATCTCTGGATCATTCCAGGGCCCCTTGCCAGACCTAAGGCACCCGCCTTCATTTGGACACGAGCAAGTTCCCCCAAGGAAATCTGGAAGTTGACTGTTTAAAGAGAGTTGCTGAAATAAGTTTTGTAGCTCGAACCGAAAATTTCCAACAGTTATTATATACTCAAAAAACAAACCATTTTAACAGATAGTAAGACGTCCTAACCTTGAGTCTATAATTTCCAACAACTTGCTTCTGAATTTGTTGCCTAATACCTGCAGAATCAATGCAGAGGCACTTATGAATAGTTCATAAAACCTTCAAAATGAAAGTAAAAACCCACAAATATATTCTCATACATGTATCTTTCCAGTAGTCCTTGGGTCAAGAAAGCCTTTTGCTGTGTTCCAAAGTAGCTTGAACCCATTACCAGCATTTACCACAAACATCTGATGTAATGTCTGGAGAATGAGCTAATATCAGAATAAACACATAGATTTTCGTTAAATGATATTAGTTGGTTTCTTCATGTAACAATAAACCTACCTCAGGATAGTTATCACCATCAATTTTCTGCATGCGCATAACAATGTCATGTGCAACCTTACCAAAGCTCACCCAATTCTGCATAAGAATAAAGAAAAATAACAAAAAGACATAAGTAGAGTTATGGCACTAAATACATATGTGCACAGAGCTGAATAAGTGCATTTGTAAGTTAAGAAATTACCAGCCCCTGGACGTCTAGTATAGTTGTTGTAGAATCTATATGCCTTTTGGCTGCAATAGAACATGCAGGAAATTTCTCAGCAAAGGCTTTCTCAAAACCCTGGACATGATATTTTAGAAACCGGTCCACTGTGGTGACATTCATAAGCTTGCTAAGTTCAACTTTGCCAACTCTTTCAATATAAACAGGCCGTCCCTCCTTGTCTACACCATGATAACCATGAGGGTAAAAACGCTGAACCTCTTCATACTCACTGTACACGAAATCCTAAAAATTTATCATTATATCAACACCTCCATTAGAATTCTGAAATTGAAATTAAATCTCAGCTAATACAGACATTAAAAAGGTTAATCTTGTTCAGAACTCTGCAGTCTATAAGGATTAATAATAAAAGCTTATTTGTTTATTAAAAAACAATACATGCATCCGTTGTTCATCACAAGACTCTTATAACATTATACCTTCACAATAGATTCTACTCCAAACTCTTTCCTCCAGTTGAGCATTTCTGCCCACATGTGGACAGCTTTATCAATGTCAAACTTCCTTGCCTTTAAAAATCTGCATAGACAAGGATTAGTTATTTTATTTGTGATTAAATGCAAGAGCTAAAAGGAGAATTAAAAAGAGTACTGTGTTTAATTTCCTCTGGGGAAGATCTGTAAATTAATACTTTTGGATGCAAGCACCATTTTCAACAAACAACAAAAACTCATGGACATTGATATTTTGAATTTAATTGGTTTCCCTCTTCCTGGATAGATCCACCATAAAATCGGTCTTCTACAGTGGTGCATCAATCTCAAACCACAGAAGTTATCACCTTCAGATAGGGTTGAGAGGCAGAGTAGGACTCACATAATCAACCCAAATTAGATCAAGTTAAAGCTAAATAGGATATTACAGTACTGTCAACAACAAAAAATACTGTATATCACAAACTACATGCATATGATCCTACTAAAACAGCTGCTGTATTGAAGCCTCCTCTAACATCCATCTAACTAGCCAATTAATATGCACTGTGTGATATACATACTATCATTACAGTGATCCAGTTACCTCAGCATTGTATGATAATCATCGTACTGAGCCGGGAGCATATCTCTAGCAACCAATGCCTCGCGAAACGTAATTACAGCTTCTTCCTCCTCAGCATCCCGAACATCTTCGATTGAAATCAACGCGTACCGGCAATTGGCTACACGTTTTCTGCGCTTTCTAAGACTATTTGTTAATCTCAAGGAAGCGTTCGTGGTCTTTTTCTTCAGAGATCTGCCGCGAGACCACCGCCTCTCGTCCTCGGAGGTTTCAAAATCAAAAGTTCTAGATTTTTCATCTTCTTGAAACGCAACTACTTCTCCTACAATTATTTATCAAACGCAGAAATTGAGAACTGAAACTAAACAACAACAAAAAAGATCAGATTTGGTTGAGAATAGTATAGCGGCATTGAATTAATGTACCTGGCATTGTTGTTCACCAAATCTGTCTACAGCTTGAGCTCAGATTACATCTAAATCAAATCAGAGCAACAAAAACAGTGAAAATCAAATAAACAAATCATCAAATTAACAAATAAAATGTGGTCTTCGAATGAGAATTATCTCAGTAAATACTCATAGTTAAAGAAAACGACGAAATCTACCAAGAATTTTTCAAAAGCTCCGATAACACCGACAAAATGGATCGAAACAGAATCCAGAAACGAAAATTCAAAGCCACTGAAAAACAAAAGAAAATACGAATTAAATTTTGCATTAATATTACCCTAAGCAATCAGCTATAGATGACAAATCGGAAGCACAAGACTTTCAATTTGCAATGAAGCGCATTCGCGGAATCGAGCGCGCGTGGTCAGAATTGAATTTGCTGCTTCTCTTTCTCTCTCGCTCTCTCTGAATTTACAGCACCTGAGGAGAGACGAGAGAGAGAGGAAGAGAAAGCGAAATGGTAGTTGCTTTCGGATTAAAATGGCATTTTCTTATTTGTTTCTCTCTCTAAACTGTGTGTCTGAAGAAGAAGAAGAGAGAGAGAAAGAGAGCTAACACAGAAGGAACGTAGAGGTAGCGGAGAGGAAGAGAGAGAGAGAGGCATGTCGTTGTCAAAAGCGTTAGTAGAAGAAGACGTAGCGTGCAACGGCCGCTTTGTCTCCGTCACCTGCTTCGTTTACATTTTTTCCAATTTTCAGTTTATTTTTTGTCCTTCCTTTAATTAATTAATTAATATATTTATTTTCTTGGCGCCGTTTGTTAACGGGAGACGGAGGAGGTGTTGGAGTTGATTAGGTGCTGTAGAGTTTACGCTACGCACGAACGGAATTTTTGGGGTGTAAAATTTCATTTTTTGTTTGTGCCACGTCATCGTCCACTCGGTGGTGACACGTGGAATGCGCGTCGGTGATGTGATGTGATGTGAGGTTGCTCTCAATTCCTCCTCAATTGGATGCCGATTCGAGAATAAGAATAAGATGCCACACTTTAAACAAGGATCGAAACCCGAAGGCGGCCTCGTGCGCCTATCACCTTTACTCACCCTTTATTGGGTTCTAAAGCACTAAGCTAAGCCAAAGTTCATGGATAGCGGCTAGGTCAGTTGATCAAAATAGTATGTTTGATTTTGATCTCTTCTCTTGTATATAAAAGTCTTTTAGAATAAATTGCTCCTATTTCGGCTCATTAAATGAATTTTGTGCCTAACTGAATGATTTGTGGAATTATCATGATCTTAGCAACAATGAAAGATTGCCCATCTTATTGTATAATACAAAGATTGAATCTTTGAAGGAAGGGGAAAGAGAAGATCTAGAAACGCTCTTTTAACTTGTTTAACATCGATCAACTGATTATTATATCATAGACAATACCTAATCAATTTGATAGGAATTGATGTCACATGGAGAAAAGACGATAAAGGGCCAAAAAACGCTCTTTTCATGCATGTGACATGAAATGCTCCCAAGGCTACATAGGAACAAGAAAAACCAATCTCGTTGGTGACAAAAATTCTAATTTATATACCTTTTTCTTCGTTGGTTACTAAATTAAATTAAATTATATTGTCAACATCTGCTTGTAATTGTTTATATTATTATCTCATCCAATCCCAAATTGTCTGCTAATTAGGTTGCAGTAAATTGTTAAGTATTTTACTCTTCATTAGCCATAAAACAAGCATATTCCTTGACAGGGATCTTTGCTCCAAAGACTGAATTTTAATTTTTGTTGGTCTCAAGTGTTCACATGAAACCTTGTTAGGTCAAGTCAAGGGTGGCAAAACATGGGACTTGATCTTCCTTCTTAATCCCCTACCTTCCTAGAAGAGTTGTCCCTATGGATTGTCAAACTTTGCTTAGGAAGTTTATCTATAAATACTTCCATTTATCACAGATTCCCTCTTGGGATAAGTGGGTCCTAACCACTAGAGTTATAAGTCTCCACATGCAAAGAAAGACTAACAATCGGTTGGAAAATTTGGTTAAATCTTCCAAACAAGATGAAAATGTGATCAGACCACAAATATATATATATATATATATGAAAATGTGAGGAAACCATGTGAAGAACGTGAGGAGTTGAAGGACAATAATTATATTCATCTGCAGCCATCGGACCCATAAGTTATGGTGTGGCTATGATTTGGGGGACATTTTCTCTTCCTATCCATTTGCCAACAAGACAAGGTGGGACAGATCACTTGAGAACATGGCTGTGATCCATTTTCCCTAAATTCAAAATTTGATACACAAAAGTTATTTACAGCAAGCAACCGACAGAGCTAAAATCTAACTACAAACCTTTGCAGTGGAAATATACAAGTATCGTGGAATTACAGTTTAATTTTTAACCATCAATCAGATATAGTAGACTTGAAGCATCAGCCCTCACATTGTTCACAAATCTGGGAATTACTGTACATGTTTTAGGAACTTGCGGATTGAAGTGCTTACAAGGACGTAGTTTGGCAGCGTCTTTTCTTCAAATGCACCTGAAAATGAGGACATTATGATCAGCACGTATCATTTGGAGAACATATAATAATGCACAAGGAAAGCATTAAGGGGAAATATAGCATGAATGTCAATGTCAATGACAAACTGCTTGAGCCATGGCCATAAGCTTATAACATGGACCTTTACATAGGCATGTGTGTGTTTTATGACCACAAAGGACACTTCATTGGTTTTGTCTGAAGCCTAAACATTGTCTACACTGTTTCATTTTTTGATTTTGGATAGGTTGTATCAAATGTTAATACTCATCCCTCTGTGCACGTTCCTATATTTTTGTGTGTTACGAACGGTAGAAGCAAACCGTGTTGCTTCGTGAGTGAGGAAAACAAAAAATTACAGCACAAACTTTGATTGTAACAGCAGAAGGCATGGAGGGTTTTGACAAAAACATGTTATAAGAACTTGCAAAAATGAAAGATGCAATCCGGGAACTCTGTGATTCACCTTAGAAGACAAAGGAGGTAAAGAAGCCCGGCGGAGTCCTGATCTCCTCCAAAAGCTTTGTTGGAGATTTTTTACTTTCTCCATGCTCAGAAGAGGAAGAGGAAGCTAACTTCTCTTTTATCTCTTCTAGCATTTGTAAGTTCAACCTCAGTGTCAATCTTCCACCTTTCACTATTTACTGCAGACAAAGAATTCTTTGTTGAGTCAATGACCAAGGTTTTGCATTGGGAGTTATCCAACATTGGTAACCCACAACGCACTTCCAAAGAACTTGTATTAATTTTAGGTTCAGTATCTACCCGGCTTGTGCTTGGAAAAGCTTGTACTAACTCACTGCTTGCAGAAGCTCCAAATGTAGGAGTCAAATCCTGGGATCCATCCAATGCAGTATACATTGATGATTTACTTTCTTCTTTCCTAAGTTCAGTTTTACCATCAATGACATGAACATCATAAACAGCTGGCTCTGTATCAAGCATTGAACTATGCAAACTGCTCTCAAGATTCCCACGTTGCTGCTGCTCTTCATCATCAGAATATAAGGTTTTCTCAATATCAATATTCTCCTGGGATGCTTGAGTGGTCATTCCTTGGTACATTACATCATCCGTGTGTACTTTTTCTTCCCCTGCTGAAATAACACATTTCTCAATTGAACCATGCCCATTATGATGGATTTGTTTTTCAACAAATGAAGCCTCATATTCAGAATTACTATCTGCAATATCTCCGAATTTCTTACAGTTATATTTAGTATCATCAGTCTGCTGCAGCATCATTAGAGGATCTGTATTAAATGAAGATGAAGGCTTTTGTCCCAATTCACGCAACATATCACTCAAATCACCATTACATTGTTCTTTTCCTGAAAAGCTCATCTGCCTATATGCTTCAACTTCCTTCTCCAAGAAATGGTTCTCCTTCTCCCTCCTAAGAAGAATCTCTTTCAGAACATCCATCTCCTCTTCATCATAAACAAACTTTTCTTCTATCATCCTTTGGTACTGTCTCACTTCCATTTCTATTGATGCTTTATCCTTTTGCAGACGAGATATCATGGCCATCGCTTCATCAGCAGCAGTTGCAGCAGCACCTCTCTCTTTCTCTAGCTCCAGATAAAGAGCAGCACAAGAAGCTCTCTCTTTTTGCAGCGCTTCTTGCAATATCCTGATTGTATCCATTTCGTTTCCAACAATAGGAGCCTTTTCTTTTATGTCCACACCCTTACTCTCACCAGCTGGTCCACTCAACTTAGAAGTTTGGCATTCCTCCATATTATCTCCAGTTGGTGCTTTCGCATCATCTAAAATGAAAGAACCACACAAATGAGCAAACACCATTGCCAATATTCCAAAGCTAAGAGTTCATATGCAACCAATTCCAGTTTTAAATATTCTAAGAACCAGAATCGCAACAAATTTGTTAAACACTACATTCTAATAGACATATGAATCCACACTTTAAATAAATGGTTAGTCTATATCCAAAAACATGAACTTAAGTAATGAAAGCAACTACTAAACAAGTCACTCACCCTGAGAACCATCTTCTCTCCCAGCTACGGCAACTGAGCTTTCACCAGATGTCTCTCTTGTATCTCTGTCATCACATGGAAAGGGGAATATACGAGCAGCTGACCTCAAACTATCATTTGACAATGGAGAAGGAAGCTTTCCGTATTCAGGAGCAGCCCTCCTAGAGCGTCGAATTCCAGGCCTTTTCTTTAGAACCATAATCCTCTTCCCCTTGGTATCATACCCACTTTCCCTATCAACCAAATTTTGCAATTTTGGACTTGAATACGCACTAGAATATGCTTCACTTTCAAACTCATGAACTCCATTCTCACAATTCACATCTCTAATCAATTTCAAATTCAAGTTGGACCTTTGATCCTTAGACCAAACAACATCAAAAGGGAACTTGCTCTTCACCAACTCCTGAACAACACGGATCCTTGCAACTGGCCCATCAATAAGTAACTTATGCAAGCAAAGATCACGGTTTCTATACCCCAAGAACCCATTACAAGGACATGGCAAATAAACCCAAAAAATCTTCAAAAATTTCGATGCAAAAAACACAAAAGTAGATACACATAGCAGGAAATAAGCCAGAGCAAGGTCGAGAAAAGCTCCTACAATAACACCTAAGGTCCACGGCGGAACTTCCTGGCAAGCCAAATCCATCCTTAAAAAAAAAAAAAAAAAAGAGATCAAACTTCAAGGATTCCACTGAAGTGTGGCAGAAGATTTGCTGATTTGGGTGCAAAGAGTTCACCAACCCAATTGGTCAATATTAAAATATTAAAAGAGAGAAGCTATAAAACAACCCTATACTTCTAATTGAAAATAGCGGATAATGATTATTTAAAAAATCCTTTGAAGAAAAAAATAATCAAAGATTCTCTAGAAATTGTGAGCTGATAATCATGGCCTACACAAGCACGCATCTTCAACTTCAAGTAAATTAATCACTCCGCCTAGAATACAAGTCAAAGAAAATGAACCATACAAAAAACTTAGCCAATAAGGAAGCAGAATTAAATGAAAAAAAATTAAAGGCCTTAACTTTAACAGAAAATTAGTAACTTGGAGAGCTGAAATGGAAAACCCACTAAGGATTTGTGAAGATCGTGATGGGTTTGGAGCCGCGAGGTCTGAGAAACTTCGCAGAGCTCTGGAAAGAGACGGGTTTTGAATTGGGAAAGAAACTCTAACCGACTGTTGACATTTCAGGGGTCATCTACTAAGTTGTTTTTACAAATAAAGCCAACTTTCGACCCAAAAAAAGTACAAATAAAGCCAACTACTTTTTGGATTTTCCCCAAAATTCTAACGCGTTTTGGTAAACTGTAATATCTGCGCGCCAAAGAGCCACCTATTAGGTGGTAGGGTGCGACGTTGTATGGTGGACGGATTGCGACATCTTTTTTAGTGTCGCTGTGGATCATGTTGGGCCGCTTTGTGAGCCCCTTACGAGGAGGAGCAGCTTGGGCCGAAAGGGAGAGAGGCAATATAATAGGTAAATTATTATCAATACAATATAATATACTTACAAATTTACATATATATCTTGTATACTATATCTAATACGGGTAGATAAATTATTTTCACAATATAACTATAAATATGTTGGCTTTAATATACTTGCAATATACCCATAATAGGTAAATTACAAGTTATATTATTGCATAATAGGAAATTATTAGGTAAATTATATCCAAGATGCGTTTATAAAATTTGAGTATATTATTTGAATAATATATAAATTCATACTAGGTAATAGGTAGGTTATTTTTTCAACGAAAAATTGTATGTATGCTATTATATTTACAAAATAATAAAATAATAGATAATTAATCACGTATACTTCATAAGTAAATAAAAAAATATTTTTTATAAAATAAACCGATTAGATATGTTAAATATGAATTTATTGTTAATTTTTAAAGTTTCAAATTAATTCATACATCCATTTGGAGATCTTTCCAAATTCAACGTGTGTTATTAGTTACAATCCAATTAAAATTTGTTTCTATATTGGTTCCTACATTAATATACAAAATGCAATAATGGCTTAGTTGGGGGTATTTTAGGAATCAAAAAAGTATAGTAAATTCAATTTTGCGCTTGATTACATAACTTGCTAAGTTGAATCCTAGTCAACAGGCTTTATTTAGAAAAACATGATTTTATTCAAACAAAAATAAAGATGGGTTGTAGTTGAGGAAAAACGACTTTGAAGGGGGTTAAGCTCAATTTACTGTTATATAAATTGGCCTAATATAATATAATGTACTTACAAATTTACCTATATATCTTGTATATATCTAATACAAGTAGATAAAGTATTTTCACAATATACCTATAAATGTGTTGGCTTTAATATACCTGCAATATACCCATAATAGGTAAATTACAAATTATATTATTGCATAATAGGAAATTATTAGGTAAATTATATCCAAAATGCATTTATTAGTTTGGGGTATTTTAGGAATTAAAAAAAAAGTACAATAAATTCAATTTTGTCGCTTGATTACGTAACTTGCTGTGTTGGATCCTAGTCAACGGGGTTTATGTAGAAAAAAAAACATGATTTTATTCAAACAAAAATAAAGAAATGGATTGTAGTCGAGGAAAAATGATTTTGAATGGGTTAAGCTCAATTTACTATTATATAAATCCTTATTATATTGTAGGGTTTGGTCGATAATTTGCAATATTAGACCTCGGTTTATAAAGAAATTTGCTAGTGTGATTAGGATTAGGAACAATAATAAAACTTAGAAAATGATTAGGTTTCTCCCATATTATATAAAAGGTAATGATTTCCCCACTCCAATTTTATCCACTTACACTCATTTTTTAGTTATAAAATGGAGTGTAAGTGGATAAAATTGGAGTGGGGAAATCACCACTCTATATAAAATAAAACCCCAAGTCCATAACAACAATAATATTAACTAGCCCCTTGGCACATGCGTGAGCATGTGCCAATTGGTTTTATTTTTTATTTTTATTTTATTTTTAGAATTGAGAAAAAATAACATGGGTAGTTATGTTCCATTAAAGTAGGATATATTATCTGATTTTGTTTTTAATTTTAATTTTTTTAATATGAAAAAAGTGAATTTACTATATTATTCAAATTTAATTAATAATTTCAATTCTTAAAGTTTGAATTAACCAATGACATTTTCTTGTATTTTGAATGTTTTACCATTCTTTGCCTTTTGCTTTATATATATAGATAAACAACAATAATATTAATAATACAAATAATACAAAGAATTGGATCATCTTGGACAAGGCTCCCGAAAAATCATATTCGAAATCTTGCTAAGGTTACCCGTCAACTTGAGCTCAAAGTGAGTGTTGGCCACGTTCACTTAGTCATGTATGCTTGTACATAGAGTCTTGCCTTGCTTGACCACCTTAATGTATTTACATAAATGCAACAACATGTTGAATAAATTTTAATTCATCAGTTAGCACTTGCTTTTCTCTTATTATGTATTATGTTTTCTTAAGTTAATTTCAAAAGTTCAGGTTTTTTTTTGTAAAATTTAAATATGCTTTCACTTTCAAATTCAAATTCAAGGGTCTTAATAAGGCCCTTGCTACAGAATGACTTCGGTTTTTGTACCCTAGGAGCCCATTACAGGGACAAGGTGCAGAAACCCAAAAAATCTTCACAAACTTCAATGCAAAAGTAATACACATTGCAGGAAATATGCCAGAGCAAGGTCGAGAAAAAGCTCCTACAAACAAGACCACCTAATAAGGTGTGGTACGGCGTCGTATGATAGACGGATTACGACATCTTTTTTAGTGTCGCTTATGGATCATGTTGGGCCGCTTTATAAGAGGAAGAAGCGGGTTGGGCCGATATCATCATTAACTAGAAAAGGACTACTATGTCCCCATAAACGAAGTGTGAGCCAACCATCATGTAGTTGGAGACATGATATCGGTACTTCAAAATTTCTTTTAAATTACTTCGTGCACTTCTCGTGTGTGAATGGTGAAAGAGTATGAGAGATGAGATTTTGATTGCCAAAAATATTTTTATGTTAAGAATTGCTAAGAACTTATAATCTCAGGAATCCATTAGATATGGTAGTGAGTTAAATACTCTTTTAAGATGTGCCTACATACGATCCAATAGTTAAAATACTTAATGGAGCATTTCTCTTATAATTAATATCTGCAAAAGAGATGACAATTTCACAAGAAGCATATAATAAGATCTTCTTTTTCCCCGATAAATGTAGCTCCAACGGTAAGAACATTTTGGAAAGAAACAAGATATAAAAAAACTGTAAAATTCATCTATTTCCTTATAAAAACGTTTTGAGAAAAGTAGATGAAGTACAGTTTTTTTTACTTCCAAAGGTTCTACAACAAAGGGGCTCAGCTGTAGACGATGCTGGAGTGGTAGAAATCTTGGCGGCTTTGTTTCCATGTGTTTGAATGTGATTGGTTTGTGAGATGGGAAGGGAAGGGAGATACATGCTCTACTTAGGAAGAGGTTTTTTTTGTTGGGACAAAACTTGGGAAGAGTGGGATACTCATACATTTGGATTTGTTGGTGGTGTCCTGGGATAGGTTTTCATTTTTTTTTCCTTCCTATATTAAGAAAAAAGTAAAAGGGTCTTTTAGAAAACCTAGCCCACCACACCACACGACCGAAAAATACAAATCTGTGAGTATCTGAGTCTTTCGTAGGGCATGGACCTCTCCCTCCCGTCCCATCCTCACAAACCACTCACGTTCAAACACATGGCGCCGCGCCCATCTTTCTTTACCAATGCCACAATAGTCAACAGCTGACCCACTTTGCTGGCTCTGACAGTGGTCACACAGACAGCTCCACAAATCCAGGAGGACAAAGCAGATGTCTCCAATGTCAGTTTTAGCACAAGGGTATTCGCTACGCCCACCCTTTTGGACACCCAACTTGTCAAATCGACAACTTGGTAGGCTTTCAAGCTGTGTCAGTGGCAGAGGCAGATTGTTGACGAATGGGAACAAATATGTGTTAGTTTCCCTCTTCTCCAGACCACAAACGTTCAGGTAACTTAGCTTTATTTGGTAATTTTTGGTTATGCTGAGGCTTGGTTGCTGAGAAACAGAGGGAAAGAAGAGGGAAACTATGTCATGAAGACATGCTTAAAGGGTATTGAAAATGAAAACCCAACTCATGAATAAGCTTTTTTTCCTGTCACAAGCACTTTTTTCAGTCGTTACATGGTAATCTCTGTAAGCTTCGTGCGCATAATTTAACATATGTTCAAGATAGTTCAGCATTGCATTCTCATACTTAATCTAAGAAGTTCAGAGGAAATCAAATTTGGTGGTATGAGTGGTTGAAAGTTTCAATATTTGCTCGGTTTGTTCATTATGACTTCAATTTTTGTACAAGCAGGATTAGAAGCTTTTCACAGGAAGATGCAGAAAATAATGAGGTTGCAATGTCTAATGACAATCTGGATGGGCAAAATGTGACTGCAGATGAGCTGCTTGGAAATGTTAAAAATATTCAAATTAGTACAGAGAGTTCATTTCTCGCTAAAATAGCAATTGCACTAGGCATAGCAGCAACAATCACTCTAATATCTGTAGGCATCAAGGGTCCCCCCACGATTGGGTCATCAAATGGATTTCAGTTCCTCCCAGAAAGTGCAACCTCTTCAGTAATGGCTGCAGCCCCGGTCGGTTTCACTGTCAAAGCTTTTGGGTATAGCATTGTTCTTCCAGCATATGCACCAGGGTATATGCTCAACTTCTCTTCTTGCTAGGAGTCTTTTCTTAAACTAGCCTGATGGCAACTGTCTTAACCTTTTTGGTTATAGCCATTTGAAAGACACTGCCGTGTTATTTATATTCCCATTTATAAGTAGAATATTACTTTGTTACTTCCTGTTCTTCACAATGCAAGTTGTGATTCTTGATGAGCTGGGACAAAATACAAAGATGAATTAGAGGTTCAAGGATAGGACTGACAAATCAAGTTTGCTTTACCTCATTCGGTAATTTAATTCTTGATTTGTTTCTGAATCATGCATGGCTATATCATGTTGCAGGTGGATCTACTTTTGGTTGCTTATGGCTGCAGCCTGTGGACTTTTCATTAGTGAAGAGGCTCTAAATATTTGGGTCTGTCCTCTGTTCTGGTATTCTGTTTCACAAGCTCTTATATTTGACTTGTTGGGTTTATTACTGTTTTGATCTCCATGGTTTCAGTGCTAGTTTGAACTTGTGAATAATCTCTACAAAACCACCTAGGTTGGCATATCTTTGGCTCGAATGCTGTCTTTGGATGGAACATGGCAGTCTTTTGCTGAATCTTTCTCAAGAAATGCTCCATACATTATATCCACAACTCTTTGGGTGTATTGGTAATTGGCGATGCCATTTAAATTTTTAGCACTGTACATGCCATGGTTACCTTTATTATCCTAAAAGAAAAATCAACTGTGTTTAGTAGAGCTTCTCTATAGGATTGTAGACATACTTTTTACAAATACTGATTTATGTGCAGGCTATCTGTCTATTGCTACACGTTGTAATATGACTAGGCTAATACAACTGGATGTTTTCATATTTCAGGGGAGTATGTATTAGTGATCTGATACCATTTTATCTTGGGAAGCTATTTAGGAAATCCAGGGCCTCTGATGATATTTTGTCAAAGGTTAGTCCTACTCCTACCTTTTTGCTTCTGTTTCTTATACATTCTGAGGAATTAGGACAAAACCCATACATGAGCTGTACATACATTTTGAGTGTTAGTTCCCATGAAGCATATATTTGTGTATTTTAATTTTTAATGAATTTTAACCTGATGATGGATGCAGTTAGGGATTGGAAAAGAGAAAGCTTTAAGCATAACCACTGAAGTGCAAAGATATGGCAACCTCATTGGGTTTGGTGAGCTCTAGAGCTTATTTATTTTAGTTGCATATGATTCTATTTTGAATGTCCAAAAGTTCATGAATGATTCATAGTTTCAGTCATGAGTCAATGACTAAACATACTCCTATAGGAAATATACATTCAAATTTCAGGTGGCATTGAATAATTTGACGGGTAACAATTCGGGTGATTCACAGCTGTAGTTGTGCTTGGTATATCTAATAGCTCATATGTTTTTGCAAGCTATAACAGAGTTTAGTTGCTATCTTGTATGTGTAAAAATTATGCATTTTTTGGGTAAGAATTATGCACTTTTATAGTCTTTGCACGCAAGTATACTCAACCATTTCTGATTGTAAACATGTTCAATATTATTTTTCAGTCGATTACATGTGCAGCAGCTTGAGCAATCCATAATTGCTTGATTCTGCTATTCGATAGTAACATTTTAGTGCATTTTGACTTTCAGTTGAACGATTTTCCCTTGGAGTCAGAAATCCAACAGCTTTTGTAGCAGGGGCCTTGGTTAGTCAAATATAATTCACCTCTTACGGTTGATTGATAATTGCTTCAACTGTCTTGGGAATGACATGCTTTTATCTGAGTGCAGGGTATCTCTCCAGAGTGTTTCTTTGCTGGTGTTTGTTTTGGTGGTTTGATCACCCTTCCCATCCAGGTCAGTTCAGCTCTGTTAGAGATTCTGCTGCCCTGTATGCATGCATAGCTAGTTGTGAAATTGTAGCATACTCTGAAAACTAGGGAGAAGATATGTTGTGCAGCGAGTTTGGGTGTAATCCATTACTGAACTTGCAATACTTAGAAATGAGTTTGCAAGTTTCAAATTTTCGCGGTTTTTGAAGGGTTTATGTATGAAAATATGCTGGAAAAACCTATACAATAATCAACAGCGTTTTCAAGATTCTGTATTTGGAGCCTATTTGATTCTTTAGTCTGGAACTTTGCTTTCTTGGCATGACTAAAGTTGGCTCTATAGGAAGACAAGAAATTGATATATAACCTTCTAGTTCAACTACTAACTCAACTCATTCTCTTTGCTTTCTGACCTCAGTTGTTGATAGGATTCTTCTTGAGGGAGCGCCCTGTCTTTGCCCTTGCTACTGTTGCAACAGCAGTGGTATGCTCTTCATTTCATATATCAAAATATTCATTTCATTTATCAAATTATCACTATTGTAACTACATATCTGACTTGAAAATCAACCAGGGCATTTGGACCGTCTTCCCTTATCTTGTGGCTGCATCAACAGCATTGTTCCTTTACCTGAGACGCCATTACTCTCCATAGTCAGAATGGATTCCCAGAAATAGAGGATAGAAGCTACTCTATGTATATAACTATATATACAGAAAAATTACTGTGATTATTTTTTGGAGAAAGATCCAATATAAAATTTGCTATTGGACACATTGTAGATATAAGTTGTCATAATAGACTTTAACACGAAGCAAGTTTTTTCTAATTACAAGCTCAAACTTACAAATCCCATGGTCCCTACGGCATGCGTTTGAAATTGAACCCAAAAAAAAAAATTCATTTGCTTCAATTAACAGATACAATAGAATTTTAAAGACACAGAATTTTGGAATAGATTTATACAATAATAATTTAGTCTTTCCAACAAAACAAAACCAAAAAGGTGTTCTTTATGAAATAATTTAATCTCAGCTCTCCCCTCAGTTTTCAGATGATTCACAGAACAGACCTGTAGAAGTTGTAAATTTCGAGTTCACATTTCATGTGATGCGAGATATGATAGTTGAATGCTGTAAGCTTCTTTGAGCTCAGCCAACACCTCTGCTATGGTTGGCCTCTGTGATGCATCTCTCTCTACAGACCTTATAGCAACTAAGGCTGCCTTTTTCATGCTTTGGACATCAAATCTTTCCTCTAGGCTCTCATCCACTATCTCATATGCACCTGCCTGTAAGTAAGGCTTGGCCTGCACTTGTCAAAAAAAAACAAAGAAAGAAGACTGATATTTGGCCCAAAGAAGAACATTGACTGACAAAGAACAAGGTAGAAAGGAAGTTAGATGTTTGGTTTACCCATAACACCAAATTAAAGGAGTCTGGAGTTCCAGAGTGGCTCAATGGCTCTCTCCCACAAATGAGCTCCAGAAGAACAACTCCGAAGCTATAGACGTCGCTTTTTTCAGTAAGCTGTTGGGTTGAGTAATATCTGTGCAGTTCAGTTTGAATCCATCAACAGGTGAAGAAAAGAATCGGTCAAGAATTAACAACATTACATAATGTTTTCAAAGACCTACTCAGGATCAAGATAGCCGGCGGTGCCCTTGACAACAGTGGTCACATGAGTTGCGTCTGCCTGCATTACTTGCTTCGACAGGCCAAAATCACAAACCTTAGCATTCATTTCCTTGTCTAAAAGGATGTTACTGCATTTCACATCTCGATGTATGATTCGAGGTTCATTCCCATTGTGCAGATAGTCCAATCCTTCAAAAGAAATGAGGTTCATAATTCAGATAGAGCTTTGAAAACAGAATATGAGAACATTAAGATGGATCAGAAGCAGAAACACAAGCATACCTTTTGCAGCATCAACAGCAATTTTCAGTCTGCGAACCCAGCTCAGTGAAACTTTTTTACTGTTTGGACCTGAAAGTGACATAAGTTATAAGTTGGGAATGCAACTTTGCAACAAGGAACTGTAATGCTTCTATTTATGCATAATGTTTAACAAACCATAAAGGTGGTCAGCCAATGATCCACCAGGAAGATACTCATAAACAAGTATTTGCTGCTTTGCTTCATGACAGAACCCTTCCAAGCACACAAGATTTTGATGCCGAATTCGAGACAATAGATTCACCTAAAACAAACCAAGGAAGGTACAAGTCACCTTTTGCAATATAAGATTGAGAATTTAATTTCTCTGCTTTATAAGCAGGCAATAATATGCTAAAGGAGTTCAGATGGGGAACCTCATTGATAAAAGAATCAGCCCCAAGTTGGCTTCTATCAAACCGCACTTTCACAGCCACCAATTTTCCATCTGAAAGCCTTCCAAAGTAAACAGAACCAAAACTACCACGGCCTATGACCTCCTTGAAATTGTTGGTAGCTGCTTTGATTTCTTTGTGGGTAAAAACTCTTGCTGCATTCCAGTTACGCATATCCGACACTGCCCCTAAACATTAAAAAAAAGTTCTCATGAAAGACTGAAGTAAAAGGCTTCCATGCACATAATCATAATCTTGGATGTTTACGTACTTTCTGTGGATGTGATTTCAGTTCTCTTTTTCCTCATGTACAAGAATGCTAAAATAGAGAAAAATATCACAAGTGCAAGTAAAGCTCCTCCAATTGCACCAAGTATAATTGCTAACTGATTGTGTTCAGTGTGTTTCTTTCCGGTGAAGATAGTAACTTGTGGGATCTCAATTGAAGAGTTGGCTGAAAAATCATTGCATCTCAATGTTGAGAAAGAGAGGCACAAATTTCCTGATGCTCTGCACAAAATTGGTGCATCAGCAAGCAGAACAAATGCACAGATGATGAGAGACAACATGATGACAATACTAATTCCATACCGGATTTCCAAACTTTCTCTGTTCAAGGACAGCGGAAGAGCGCCTTGTAGTTTGTTATTTTCCAGGTTCCTGATGAATGCAGAGGATGTATATACTTGAGTGAAACAAATGATCTTGCTCATATAAGAATCACAAAATTCAGAAAACAACAAGTTCGTTTGTATTATTTTTTAAAATGTTTCACTTACAATAAGTGGAGGTCTTCTAACTCTCCCAAGCTCTCTGGAACAATTCCCTGTAATGTATTATTTTGCAAGTCCCTCCATATAGAATAGGACAATGCAATATGTTAGTATCAGTTTTTGGGTCCACAGACAACATCTTACACGTATGGTTTAAAAATGTAGAAAATTCAACTTACAGAATTTGAAGGCTAACCAAGTTCTCCAAATCAGTACCAAAGGATGTTAACCGATTGAAACTCAGATTCCTGAAAGTTTCAGTCATGCAATAATCGTCATGATGTCTAAAGAAACAGAAATTCAGTTCATGAATGAAGATACATTACAATTTCTCAAGACGTGTCAAGCTACCCAAATTCTGTATCTCACCAGCAAGCGATGTGTTATGCAAGTCCCTGGAGCACAAGACCACCAACATAAACATAAGAAAATGGACCAACGAAAACGTAGCATCAGTTATCTAACCAGTGTTAAGCAGCCTCAAGAGTTTACAGTGTTTTAAGATCCAGCAAGTCACCGATGGCTGCACTAACTGACCTCAAATAGATGTCTGGAAGCTCCCTAAGAAAAACATACACAGTAAGTCCACATCTCTAGGTAAAATGCAAGGCACCAATTCAACTTTAACAGATAAAAATGGACATACAATGATGTAACTATGTTTCCTTCACATCCAATTTGATCCCATGAAACAGGAGAGCAAGGGTCATCTTGCCATCCCAGATCTAGACCAGTAGATTGTTGAATAACCTGAAGAGCTGAAACTGCAAGCAAAATAAAGTCATCATCAGTTGTAGCAGCAACTAGAAAGTAGAGTGACCATAAATTAATTAACAAGTATGCAAATCAAGAGTGGTACCTGTGGTGGAGGAGGCTTCCTTTGGAATATCAAGAATTTCATACACCTCGATTGCATTGACTTGAGGATAGAAGCTGGTGCTCTTCAACGTGATGTTCAGGCTCTTCGTTCCTCTCAGTGTAAAATATAGTGTTCCAACTTGTGAGCTTCTCACAGTATAGTTTGATTGAACAACATCACCGTTAATTAAGACGTCGAATGAAGGAAACACAGGAAGAATACCGGCGAAGTAGAGGACAATGTAGTAGTCTGCCAAGGTATCAAGAGGAAAGTTATATGTCAACACATCCCTTCGTGCCAAACTCTAGCAGTTTGAAGAATAGCAGCAGGGGGAGCCTCCTTTAAAGCAGAGAAATTGAAGCTAAGCGGAGTCTTAAACCCAGCTGACACGTGAAATGGTGCAAAGCTTTGATCAACATCCCAAATACGATCATACGGGTCCAAAGGGTACCTGTTGTTAGACAAACCAATGACTAAAAATCCAACAAACCATCAAAGCTACATACATATAAGGAGCTCAAAAAGTTCATACCTCAAAGATCCATTTGTGTAACCACAATTTATTCGGTAGCTTTTCCTAAGTGACTTATTTGGGAAATCTTCCATGCCACTTGTGTAAGCTCCTTGAGGAAGTGGCCTAACTTCAATTGTAGAAATTACAGGAGTCCCTCTATCTGCAATAGCATGCAAACAGAAGGAGACCGCGTCCTTACCAGTTGGCCATAAAAACTCTTCTGTCCATGGATCGTTTTTTCTGAGGTCTATGGTGCTAACAATGGCTGTCCCAAGAGACACAGAGAATGATGGGGGTTTCCCAAGGCCGTCATAGTTTTTGTACACAAATTGAGCTCTAACAAGAACCAAAGATGACACATTGGTTACTGGTAGTCCATAACATTTGCGACCTTGGGAAACTGGGAAGTATCGAACTGGGGCGCCAGATGAGGAGGTTCCATCAAAGTAATCAACGGTGGTGGTGTTGCCTATGCTTATGTATGCACTGTCTGGAATCCATGAGATACTCGATGAATCAGTGTAATTGGTAGTTCCACCACAAGTTAAGCTCAAGAAACCTGTCCCATATACATGAACAAAAGCAACATTTGAGCAAAAGTCTTAAACTTGAGTTAAAATTAACTTTTGAACAGAATGAAGGCTCTGCTGTGATGAGCCTACTGTTATTCTTCCACCAAAAGTTTTAGTGACATACAACAAAACTAATGATGAAAAAGAAAAAACACATACCATCTTGATCACAGAAAGCAACTGCCCAAAAGCCAGAAAACAGAAAGAAGCCAACCCAGAAACAATGGAGGTCCATAATTTCTGAACCAAGAAAGTTACCCAAAAATACTTGTAATATATTTCCAAGAAACAGAACAAAGTACTTAACGTTATGAACCCAAGTGGTTCATCATAAGAAGGGGCCAGCAGGTTAAAAAGATATTGAAGAGTGAAGATTTCAAAAGAAGCGAAAAAGATATCGGGATATCCAACAAAATGATTGTTTCTCTGGTGGGTTAACAAATTGGTACTCTGATTGTTTTGAAATTAGAAGCTGTAAAGAGGAAAAGAAGGTTGTGATTGAGGAAATGGGGCACCAAGGTGATGATGAAAGAGTGGCAAATAATTATAATTATTATGGTGGTTGTAAAAAAGCAGCTCTTGAAGAGGTAAGCTAGCTTTCGGTTGAGATTAAGGAAGTTCGTATATGTATAAACAGAGTGCTAATTTGGACTTTTACTGATTGGTTTTTGCATGCATGCAAATTACAATGGTTTAACTCTTTTTTGCGTTTTCAAATACAAGCAAAAAGAAATGGTCTTCTTGCTTCTCTTGAAAACAAGCAAGAACTTGCTTGGATTACATTAATCTTGCACCCGAGTTCGAATTCCCTTTCCCATAAACCGGAGTAGTTTAAAGTATTGTTTTTGTCAAACAAAAAACAAAAAAGTCAAAGGCTTGAAATGCAAGTTCCACTACTCTTTAACGTGGGTTAGTGGAAGGAAGATGATTCATTCATAGGATGCTTGCTTTGCTTAGTACGGGGTGCATCAAAGCAATGATCTTTTGTTGCTCTCTTTTTGTATAGCTTTGCTTGTAATTCCCTTCTCACTATCTTTTTATGGATATGGAAAGCAAGAAAAAGGCACTTTGTGTGAACCAACTCAATCATTTCAAGGCCTATAGAGAGGGACAAAATCTGAAAACTGAACCAATGCTATATATCTCTCATGCATCAATAATGTTTTTTTTTTTCCTGTGTCTTTGTTCATATATGCTATGCTTGCTTAATATTTCAATTTCTTCTTTCATGTATCTTTTTGGGGCGTTGATGTTGACGACTTCAACATATGTTTCTTCACAAGTCATGAGAATCATAAAGAGCTCCAGTTTGGCTCCTTTAACGTTTCTCAAACAAATGAGCTGTATACATATATATCTACTCAATAGAGGTGAGTACAGTTCGATTCGACCTGGTTCAACCACAAAATCACTAACTGAACCGGGTCTTATATGCATTTTCAGTCGGGATCGGTTATTGCTAAAATGGCTCAGTCCAACCGAACCAAAATTCTCCAGTTCGGTTTTGAGCAGCTGGGCATGCCCATTATCAAATTTATATCAATTTTGGCCCATTTGATTCTTTAAGAATTTTAAGCCCATTTATTTGGAAGGCCCAACATTCAATCTAAAGTAAACCAAACGGGGCTTCCATCATTCCAACAATGTAACGACTAGCAAGAAAGCGAAAAACATGCACATAAAATTGCTTACAGTGGCTAAAAAGCAATAGGAAACTCAAGACTTGTATTATATTCATCAACAATTAGTATAAAAGCAAATACTCCATATGCCTCTTTCCACAGAGATACAAGTACATGGGTTCCTTGCTTAGCACAAGTCACATATCTGCCACAGACCAAAGATAAGCTTCCGCCTCCGTAGCTTGTTTATCATTCTTCCTTTTAAACATTCCCTTCTCAAATCCTGCAAGACCCAACAGAAAAAATTAGTAAATTCTGACTTAACTGTGCATGTTATTGCACGAAAAGTAAGAAAAAGATCCAAATGTAAAATGAGGAAAGAGAACCTACCATTACTGCGATCAATTCCATCCCAATGTCTTCCTGGTCTTATACCATATCGATTTGGTGCAGCATCTAGTCCTCTTTTTAACCAGCTATGATTAGGAATCTCCTGAGGAATAATAAATCCAGATTCCTTCATTTTCTCGTTATCCCCCAAGTCAGGGAGAACTGGCTCGGAATACTTCTTCTGCAGAGCATGACAACAAAACAAATGTCAAAATCAGTTACTACTTTATGTAATTCTAGACACCACATACTGAACTTCACTTATTACCTTTACCAAATGTGCCATAGGATCGCCCCATCTTACTCTCTCCTTCAACATTTTGTCGAGGTCTGGATCATCTCTGTAAACATAAGATAAAATCTGAAAATGCTATACATATAGGAAGAAGGGATAAAGGCACTAAACATTTCCCAAACGTATCAAATGACAGTGATGTAGGATATAGGTGAATTGCATATTTAGGCAGATTAGCGTAAGCAAAAACAATGAAAACAGAAAATTGGATGAATAAAGATAAGTCTGGAATCACTCCAGGGGCTTCACATCAGAATCCCAAAACTTGTATTTCTCTTGTATTTCTTTAACTGAACTATGGATAAAGGGAATAGTATTAAACTACGCAATACCAGGAAAACAGATGGAAACATAGCTTGGACTTTTGTAGCATTTACCTAGTCCGTGCAAATGGTTTCTCCTTCTCAATTTCTAACTCCTCCAGCTTAGTTTCAGCTTCCCGCTTTTGGGCCAAGCCTTTACCCCATTCCAACTTTATCTCCTGATGAAATTACAGACAAAATGACCATAAGTAATCTATTCAAACAGCTGAATAAATAACAAAATATAAAATCCATTTTTCACGTGATGAAACTTATGATAGAACCATAATACAACTCAAACACCCAGTGTGTAAAACTAATAGATGATTAGCTAGATATTGCACCACTCAAGCATGACCCGTTCACTATGTTCCAACATACCTTAGGTTTTTCTTCTACTTTCCTTTGTGATTTCAAAAGCTCCTCCTTTGAAATGCGTTCCCCTGCAGCATTGGTTGTGAGATACGGATAAAAGCACAAAATACAAATATAACTAACAAAAGGTGAACAAACAACTTCAGCTGACCTGTTTTCTTATCACGGTATATAGGCACTGCCTCCCTCCCACTTATAGAAGGATCCATCTGTTGAAATCTACAACCATCAATATTTTGCAAGTCAGAATATGCAACATCTATCTGTGAAACACAATAAAAGGCAGCAATATTATTTGAGCCATAACCCCTTTACACTTCTTTCTTCAATGTTTCTTAAAATAAATAGAAAGAAATAAAGTGAGATGTTTTTTTTATAAATGAAATCAAAGGCTGAAGAAACTGAACAATATCCAAAACAAATCAAGGTAATATTTTGAAGTACATAAATAAATCATCGGTGAGCAAAAGTTATAAAAACTTCTAATCAGATCACAATGAGATGAAATTGCATTTTGTGCAAATTGGAAAATGTGCTGAACAATGACCATTTCAGTACTTCTACTTGTCACACAAAATGCATACATACACAAAAAAGTGTCATCTTAGGTGACTAAAGTAAACAAAGGCATCCTTTTTCTCCATTACAACAATTTTAAAACTTCTACAAGTCTACATAACTAAGATAGTAAGATTTATAGACCATGTCAACTGTCGAGTTTTCAGTACAAGGCCACATATGCCTCATCGTTAGTTAGCAGCTAACAGAGCATCCATGTGGCAAGACAACACTAATTCACAGGTCTCTAGATTCATGGCCATCATGGAAAACAGACAATGAATGCATAAATGACACCATCAGATCACAAAGGGCAAAACCATTAGTTAAGTTTTCATTGAAAGGGACAAACAACCAATAGGAAAAACAAAAGTAAACAGAGGATGACGGTCCCTCAACTTGATCTGAAACCTTAGCTGAATGAAACACTACGCATATTACTTATTCATCATGAAGCATTGGCATATATATGTTGGTTAAAACAGGCGCATACCTTAACCGCTCATCCTTCTTAGTTCTAGTGATCTCGTCCCTCATTTCTCGGCCAGAGATCAAACCAACTTTCGGTTGCTCTTTCAAAGAATCCGGAGGAACTTGCTTCTTTTTCCTTGGTGGAGAAAGATCAACGTCCTTCCTACTCTTCCTTGGTGGAGAAAGATCTCTATCGACATCCTTCCTACTCTTCCTTGGTGGAGAAAGATCTGAATCAACATTCCTACTTTTCCTTGTGGGTGAAAGGTCTGTAGGCAACTGATTTTGATTTGTTGCCGGTTCAGGGGACGGAGTGTGGTGGCGCTTCCGTCTCTGCCGTGGAGGTGACAAGTCAACATCTTCTCCCCTATCTCCCGGAGACATTGATCCAGGTTCCGAATTAATCCTCTGTCTACGAGGTGGAGATATATCGGAACTTGAAATCTTAGGAGGCGATGATTGTCCAACTGGAACCCAACCACTTCCATCTTCAGATATGGCATTAAATGGACGCTTAGCCCTCAATGCTTCAAGTCTCCTCATCCTCTTAATCTCAACGTCCTCATCAACAAAAGGTTTGTCTTCATCTGTTGAATGTTGTCATTATCTTCCTCAAGATTCACCGGTTTCTGCCACGCAGGGTCTTCATCCACCACTAAAACCCCCATTGCTTCTGCCTTGCTTTTCTGCTTCTTCTTCTTCTTTTTCTTCTTCTCTTCTTCATTAATCCCTTCATATCGTTTCAAATACTCTTTCAGTGATTTACTCGAAGACGCCATAGCTCATTCAACAGTCGTTACCTTGCCCTTCCAAATAACTGTAATTTGCAAACAATAAAGCATGAGCTTAATAAAAATTCGAGGTGATTAATTGACTGTAAGCAAGAAACAAAATCAGAACCCTAACTATGCACGAAATTGTAACACCAATAAAATAAATTTCGAAAACAAAATGAGGTGATTAATATGCCTAGCTCTAGACGCCGTGCATTACCTAAATCAGAACCCTAACAATGCACAAAATCGTAACACTAATAAAATAAACTTTGCACCCTTAAATTCTGCTTGGTTCCCGAGAAAAAGGCAAAACAGAAAGAAAGGCGAATTCGAAACAGAAAAAGAAAATTCTGAAAGTACATACCACTACCAGGTCGACGAAGACAAGAAGAAGAAAGAAATAGCAGATGGATTCCGTTCCCGCTCCGTCCTTCAAGTTTGACCGAAAACCGCGATGGGCTGAAATTCGTCAGCTGGGAATTTGAGACTCAGAGAGAGGGTCGAAGCGTCGAAGGAAAGAGAAGCTGAGACAGAAGCTTTGTGTGGAAGAGTTGAGAGAGACGGTGGGTAACCGTGAGTTTGGCGGAGCTTCTAGGAGAGGAGAGTTAAACCCGTTTTTACTTAATTTTACTTAATTTTTTGAAAGAAATACCCGTTTTTACCAGTTTTTGTAGTATAGCCCCACGGCTATACCCGTTTTTACTTAATTTTTTGAAAGAAATAGTATAGCCCAGCTGCTATAATCCCTTTTTCCTAAATTTTTGAAAAGAAATCGTATAGCCGAACGGCGATTTTTTCCTAATTGTTTTCATAAAGAAATTGTATCTCCGCGTGGCTATACTCGGTTTTTCCTAATTTCTTGAAAAGTAGCTATACTCTTTTCTCCCTAATTTTTGAAAAGAAACAGTGTAGCCAGGCGGCTATACTCGGTTTTTCCTTTTTTTTTTTGAAAAGTAATAGTATAGCATGTATTTTTCATGTATAATACAAATATTTTTTACAAACTTTTCAATAAAAGAAATAAAATTAACGTATTATATACATAATTCTCACATATTATTGAATACAAATAATATAGATTAAAATTATTAAATAAATTATATTAAAATATTATATAGTGGCCGAACTTTTAAAATGTAATTTGCCAAAATTTTGCCGAATAAAAAAAGTACAACAAATTATTCATATAGCCACACATCTATACCAAATTAATATTTATAAAGTATAAACTAATGCAACGAGGAGGGTTTTTTTTCCTTAATTTTTATATTAAAAAAAAAGTATCGCCACACGGTTTCCTAATTTTTTAAAAAGAAATAATACAGCCGGCTATACTCGTTTGTTTTATTTTTTTAAGAAATAGTTTAGCCTCGTGGCTATAATCGGTTTTTTAAATAAATTATTTTAAAATATTAAAATATTATATAGTAGCCGAACTTTTAAGTTGTAATTTGCCCAAATTTTGTCAAATAAAACAAGTATGTATTTTATTTATATGGCCACACAACTATACCAAATTCATATCTATAAAGTATTAACTAATGCAACGAGTAGGGTCTTTTTAAAATTTTTTTTTTTTCAAAAGAAATAGTATAGCCGCCCGGCTTTACTCGGTTTTTGAAAATAAATAGTTTAGCCGGACGGTTATACCTGGTTTTTTCTAAATTTTTTTGAAAGAAATAGCATAGCCACATGACTATAATCGGTTTTTTCTAATTTTATTAAAGAAATAGTATGGCAGCGCGGATTTTTCCCTAATGTTTTCAAAAAGAAATAGTACAGCCGGACGGCAATACTCGTTTTTCCCTAATTTTTTAAAAGGAATAGTATAGCCGCCTGGCTATACTCGAAATTTTTCCTAATTTTTTAAAAGAAATAGTATAGCCTCTTCTTCGTAATTTTTGAAACGAACAAGTATAGCCAGTCGGCTATACTCGGTTTTTCCTAATTGTTTGAAAAGAAATAGTATAGCACATATAATATATATCAAAATAGTATATAATGGCCAAACTTTTAAGTTGTAATTTGCCAAATAAAACACTTACGTTTTTTTATTATTATAGACGCTTTTTTCCCTAATTTTTTGAAAAGAAATAGTCTAGCCTCCCGGCTATAGTCATTTTTCCAACTTTTTTGAAAATAAATAGTATAGCCGACTGGCGATACTCGGTTTTTTAAAACTTTTTTTAAAAAATAAATGGTGTAGTCGCCTGGCTATCCTCGTAATTTTTCCTTTTTAAAAAAAATAGTATAGTCGTCCGCCTATATGCTGCTTTACTAAATTTTTATGAGAAATGGTATAGCCGCACGGCGATACGCGGTTTTTCTAATGTTTTGAAAAGATATAGTATAGCCGCGCAGCTATACGCGGATTTTTCCTAATTTTTTTTAAAAAGAAAAGTAATCGTACAACTATACTCTCTTGTTCTTAATTTTGGAAAAAGAATTAGTATAGCCGCACAACTATACTCCTTTTTTATTTGTTTAAAAAAAATAGTATAGCCGCACGATTATACTTGGTTTTTTCTAACTTAAAAAAAAGGAATAGTATAGCCGCACTATACTATGAATTTTTCCTAATTTTTAAAAAGAAATAGTATAGCCGCACGGCTATACTATTTTCTTCCTAAATTTTTTAAAAGAAATAGCAAACCCTAAACCATGTACTAGTACTTTTTTAGTTTTTTTTAGTTTTTTTTAAGAAATAGTATAAACTAATTCAATGAGAGTTTTTTTGTCCTAATTTTTTTAAAAAGAAATTGTTTAACCATGAGGCTATACGCCGATTTTTTCCTAATTTTTTTAAAAACAAATAGTATAGCCGCATGGCATGTTTACTAGAAAAAAAAATCTTTAAAAAACAGAATTTTTTTTCCTTTTATGTTTTATAGTATTTGGGATTCTTTTAGTTTGGTTTTCAAAATTGAGACTACCAAACAGTCTTTTTGGGCTTTGGCTCAAATTATGTTATTAAATTTAAATTTTTTTGATCAGTATAATACTAAACAAGCCCTTAATGACATCTCTATTTACAGCATGTTTACTAATCCGTAATCGAATTAAAGGAATTGAATCGAGGATGAATGTAATTGAGGAGGAGTTAGTTGAGGAGAGTTATAATTCGGATTCCTATTGAAGTTGTTTACTGAAGCATATGGAATTAGGATAGGAGTGGTATTAATTTCTTATAAGTTGTTTACTAAATTCCCATGAATTGGAATTGAAATCAAATTGATTACTAAAATGTCCTCATTGTTGGGTTAAAGTAGATGACAAATTTGGAATTTTAAAAATTGTATGGATAATGGATAAAAAATGGATTCCTAATGTGTTAGTTATCTAGGAATTAGAATACTATCTCCCACCCAAGATTCCAATTCCTCCAAAATAAGGAGTTGAATTCCTGAATTGGTGTGGGTCTCACTCGCATTTTCATTCCTCCATATGAAGTAAACACAGGAGTATCCGTAATAGGAATTCAACTCCTTATTTTGATTCAAATTACGGATTAGTTAACATGTCTTATATAATTAACTAGTTTGGTTCAAATGGGTGCATATTTATTAAGCAAAAACTGTGAACCAAATCAAACCAGACCAAACCAATCCAATTTATGACGCTACATTCACTTCTTTGGTCAACACAATTTTCTTATGTATTCTTTTTGGCCTAATTCAACGGGCGGCTGATTCAAATGCCTACACCCTACTACTAGTTCGACTTTTGAGCTTAGTTAACTTTATTTAATTTTGTCAATTTGGTTTTCCATTTTTGGCCTAGTTCAACAATTCACGGGTTTCAAATGCCCATCCCTAGCACGCATGAATAAAAAAGGATATTGTTTGCCTCATTTCCTAAGTAGATATTCCTCCTTGAAATATAGGAGTTGCTACTTACATGGTAAGGAGGGAAGTACAAGTAAGTAGCTAAGGTTACCTTAATCCGCTGAAGCAAGGATTGGTAAGCTCCGGAGCAAAAGTAATTGTAGTTGCTACGTCTGGTCCCGTAACTGCAGCAGCTCGAGTTCTAGTTTTTTCAATAAAAAAATTGAGAGCATTTATGCTCACCAAGGTGGTGAGCATTACCATCACATCAACTGCCAGTAGATGAAGTTTGAGATTTGTGTAGCAGATAAGGTATTTTTCTATTATATATTTTTTTTTCACACAAGCTATTATGAGGTGGTAAGCAAAAATGCAACCAGGTTGATGCAGGGCAGCGGCTATAAGCTGCTGTCCAGCGACCCAAACATACCCAAAATACAGAGAATAGAAGGATAAAGCAGTAGAATCGAAGTTGGAACGAAGATAATTGAGTTCTAGGGCAAAATCCCAACAGAAACTCTATAGACTAACGTCTGAAATTATATTCATCAACAAAAACTAAATACAAAAGTCTCTAAATAGCCTATTTATACTAAAATACACCAGCCAAGCATTCCCGTTCCTAGTTTAATAAGAAACCCTAATTGACAAAGGAAATTAAAACCTAAACAGGAAATTAAACCAAATCCTAGTAAGAATAGGAAAACAAGTAATAAAATAACCTATTAATTTAATATAACCAAAACTTAGCCTTATTGGCTGATGCCCACTTAGATTAGGAAGTCTAATAGATGCTCCTGCATCAACTCCACCGGGTTGGGAAGAATTCTTCCTCGAATTCCAATCGTTTGGTGAAAACCGCCTAGACATAACCTCCTCTTAGATAAGTTGTCCATAGAACTTTGGCCTTGATATTGAACCTTCCCACACCAAAGAAATAGATATTTAGAATATTTGATCCTTCTGGAACAGTACCAGATATCTTCTGCAGCCAAACTCTTAGTCCAAAAACTCTTCACGCCAAAAACCCGTAGTCTAACAAGGTCAATGACGTTCTTGGTAGTTTGCAAATTAAAAGAATCAACCCCAAGAAAATCAGCATACTCATAAGTATCACCTTTGAAGGAATTCATCTCATCTCCAACAATTCCCCCAAGAATTTCTTGAATCTCCTTTCCTTCAAATGTGGGTTGATTGTGTTGCTTCAAAAGTTCAAACCCAGCTTCTTCGTGATTCACTGCCTTCAAGATTACACTAGATTCAGCTTGTTTACTCTCATCAAATACCTTGTCAAAAGCTTTCTCAATTCCCAAACAAACTTCACAATCTTCTTCCAAACAATAGTCAAACATGGGTGGGTTTTCTAAATTTAGGATATTGTCATCTTCTAATTTATTCGAAGCTCCCTCAACATCCTTCTTAGTAACAAGTGGATACACAGACGCCACCTTCTTGCTCTCAATGTCAAACTCATGGCAGAGTCCTTCTTCAAGCGACTGCAAAGTCCACTTTCTCCCATCCTTATAGAATGAATAGGTGTTAGCTTTAGTAGAATGCATCATGTCTTTGTCAAACAACCATGGTCTTCCCAATAAGATATGACATGCGTCTGTGGGAACAACATCACACCAAGCTTCATCCTCAATGGTATTACCAATAGTAAATTTAACCAAACACCTTGAAGTGATTGGTACTTCGCTTCCCTTTCGAAACCATGCAACCTTGTAGGGATTAGGATGCTTCTCAATTGGTAACTTCAATTTTTCTACCGCCTCCTTTGAAATAATGTTTTCACTACTTCCTCCATCAAAAATCACGTTGCACACCTTTTCCCCACAAAGGACTCGTGTTCGGAATATATTATGTCGACGCCAATCCTCTTCCTCAACTTTGGGAGTTGTCATCACTCGTCTTACCAACAAACATTCTCCTTCAACTGGTAAGAGATCAATAACTTCCTCTTCGTTGCCATAAACATCATACGATGGCTCTGGAAAGTTGATCTTATCACCTACCAAATTTATTCTTCTTTGTGGACAAGCGTAAGATTTATGCCCCGCCTCTCCGCAATTGAAACATCGAGCTTGTGAAGTACTTCCAGCCTTGGAATTCTTGACATTAGCGTCGTTTGGAGGATGAAATTGTGTTGTTTCCTTCCCCTTTTCACTCTTATTAGCACTCGAGTTCCTACCACCTATTCGGGTACTTGGATTGGCTTCTTCATCGCTTTGCGAACCCGTGTCTGGGTGGCTGGAAACTGCTCTCTTTCCACCACGACGCGATAGTCTTCGCTCTGCCATTAAAGCATATTGTCTAGCATCTTCAAGGTTGAACAAACGAACCACCCCCATCTCATCTCGAATTGTCTGATTCAAACCAGAAAGATAACGAGATGTCATCTGTTCATTAGTCTCATTCAAACCAACTCGAATTGAGAGATTATTAAACTCTGATGTATATTCTTCAACAGACATGTCTCGTTGCTTTAAGTTATGAAACTGCTCATATAACTCCATGGTATAATCAGCAGGTAAAAACTGCTTTCGTAACTTGGATTTCATACGATCCCATGTGTTGATCTTCTGCTTCCCCTGCCGAGCACGCTGCTCTTCAACTCTCTTCCACCATTGAAGCGCGGTACTCTTCAATTTAAGCTTTACAAACAACACCTTGCGATCTTCTGCCATAGGCTTCCATTCAAAATAATTCTCTAGACTTGCCTCCCAATCCAAATAATCTTCAACATGCATCTTTCCATAGAAATCAACAACTTCAATTTTAATTCCTCCACCATTCAAATCCAACGCACGAACCAACCGCTCTTCCAATCCACCTCGATGACCACCACCATGGTTTCCAGCTTCATGAAAAAGGTTGTCGACGTCCGTTTCGTCTTCATATTCATCCTCACCACCACCTTCCGGTATGTGTAAGGGTCCACGGTTGCGTTCCGGAATCTCCATATAGGCATCCGCGCGTTCCTGTCGTTGGAGGGCTTGCACCGCTCTCGACAAGTCTTCCATCATACGCCGCATCTCAGCCATCTCTATGTGTTGGGCTTGGTTCCCTCGTCCGCGACCTCTAGCACGTCCAACCATGGTGTGGAGCAAGGATTAACCTAGGCTCTAATACCAATTTGATGCAGGGCAGCGGCTATAAGCTGCTGTCCAGCGACCCAAACATACCCAAAATACAGAGAATAGAAGGATAAAGCAATAGAATCGAAGTTGGAACGAAGATAATTGAGTTCTAGGGCAAAATCCCAACAGAAACTCTATATACTAACGTCTGAAATTATATTCATCAACAAAAACTAAATACAAAAGTCTCTAAATAGCCTATTTATACTAAAATACACCAGCCAAGCATTCCCGTTCCTAGTTTAATAAGAAACCCTAATTGACAAAGGAAATTAAAACCTAAACAGGAAATTAAACCAAATCCTAGTAAGAATAGGAAAACAAGTAATAAAATAACCTATTAATTTAATATAACCAAAACTTAGCTTTATTGGCTGATGCCCACTTAGATTAGGAAGTCTAATAGATGCTCCTGCATCACAGGTGTAGCACCGCCATATAAAGGAAAGCCCGCTATGATAAAAGGATTTCAAGGTTTAAACCATCACAAGGGCAACCAAGTTCAAAAGTAACATAAAAGCACAACCAAAAGTTTTCACTTACAGAAAGCACAACTAAATTGGCCATTTCTGGCTTGACAGTACAATTTCAAGGCTCATGCCAAGCTTATTCATTCTTTGTACTGCTGGAAGCGTTGGAGCACTTCACTTTCGTTTTAGCTGCTGCTTCCTCTTCTTGCCCTTTGAAGTGCTGGCCTTGCCTTTTCGGTTTGGACCCGGGTTTTGAGTTGAACAAGGGCGCTCAGTAGGATCATTGTTTTTCTCACCTATAACAGAATAATTAGGGAACTCATATCAATAATTATCATCAAGTATCATCATTATAACAGAATAATTAATTGAACCCTCCCTTCCTCTCCTCATTATAATAAAAAAGTTGACAACTCTACCATGTTCAGTCATCGCTGAATTTGAGCTCAGACCTGGTGAAGATTCTTTCGCAGCTTTTGCTCTCTTCGCCTTCATGAAATTGGAATCCTACGCATGATCGGTAAATTCATATACAATTATGTAAAGAAAAAAATTATATTCAATTTGGACCGTGAAATGGATTAGGGCCCTTTATGTATAATGAGAATGAAAAAAGATAGAAGATTTTCCATCATAAATTGCTTTCAAATATATAATGAAGCAATCCCAAGAGACTGGTTGACATGACCATTTATAGTAGGATAAAACCCTTCTTCCATGTTAACTAATGTAATGTCCTCCCACTAAAACAATAATTAAGTTTCTTACTACGGCGCTTCAAATTGCTCACAGAATACCTATACCTTGTTGGCAACCGGGCACCAAAAACCAGAAAAATAAGGAGGCAACTGAATAGGATTGTCTCTAAGATGAGGCCAGAAGGAACTCTATAGTTAAGCTGCCGCACAGTGCTGGGAAAGGTGGAAAACAAAATACCAAAGTAGTTACCCTACTCTAATGCAAAAACATAATTGAAGCGATTTTCATATAGGATCAATTTCCTTAGCCATCCTGTTAAACCTAAAAGTGTTTAAATATGACCGATTTGTTCCAGATTAGGAAGGCTGAATATTAGATTTTCAAAAATCTATAAAATGTACATGTTTAGTCGAGTAGTAGATTGTTTTCTGTGAAACAAAATTCACAAAATGAAAATAATACACCTAAAAGACATTTACCAATGAAGGACGCCTTAAACGTACTTTCAAGGAATGCTATGTGCAAATGATACACACTAAACTCAGACCTTATTGTTTGAAGGAACTTACGATTCTTAGTTCAATAATGATCAGAACCGCTCTCTATTACATCAAAAGACTTCTTCTAAGTAACCTACTCTAAAGAATTGGAAACAATCAGCACAAAAGAAAGGTAGACAATGATAATGTATATGTATCTAAAGGCAATCATAAATAGAAACAAACGACTAGATAAAACCATAAATTTCCTTTTCATTGTTTTCTCATGTTGAAAAAATATTTTAGACTTTGAAATCCACAGATCATCTGGATATATGCACGATAAATAATAGAAAAAAACATCAAAAAATAAAAAATAAAGAAGCTAGGAGAAGCTCAAACTCACTGGTGAATATATCGAAAGCTGAGCTGCTTTCGCGTAACGCACATAGCGCATAAGGTCCTGATAAGTCGAAAACTCCTGGCCTGTCTCCGGACATAGGAAGCCCTACAATAGCCATGCATAAAAAACATATCAGCCCTTTCAACTCTGAAACCTTTTTATGTTTCAACTATTTTTTCTTCATTGTCAAGACTTTTAGCTTTATTTCTCTTAATTCTATCATAATCAGCACTATATTATTAGTTGCATATTTTTTAGCACGCTAAAAGCCAAACAATCTGATAAGTATGGTACATATCCAAAAAGAAAAAGGTGGAGCAAATATCACTAGCCAAGGAAGTTGTTCTAATATAAAGGCTTAAGATTTTGACAAAAGGGAAAGAATAAAGTCAAAATCTAGACAGGACTCAAGTTCATGAATGCTTGCAACTTTTTCAATCAACTTTCTTATATTCAGAAAGCAGCACATGTTTCTTTCATTGAGATATGCTCAGAATACAGTATAGAGTAGACAGATATAGGATTTTGCTCAATCCAGAACCGTTAAGTTCATGAATACTAATGAACAAGGCAATCTGAAATCGAAAAACAGATATCAAGATTAAATGCACATACTTGGTAAAATTACAAAAATTACTTATATGTTATATAAGCTAAGGGAAAAACAAGTTTCCACATATGATGCGCTATTTAATGCTATGTAAGACATTCTTTTTAAGTAAAAACCACCACATTCACGATAACCACCAAAAATCTTGTGTCGCTTATTGGCAGAATGCATCCAACATTAATTAAGCTCCTCTATATGGTCAAAACAATTCAACACATGCAGCTATTTGGAAAACGACATTACCTAGATTCATCTTAAACATGTTACGACAAAGCTGAACAGAATGTTCAACAATCGCATACCATGCATTGAATATGTAATAGCTGCATGTAATTCAACACGTGCAGCTGTTTGGAAAATGACATTACCTAGATTCACCTTAACACGTTACGACAAAGCTGAACAGAATGTTCAACAATCGTGCACCACGCATAGCTGCATGCAATTCAACACGTGCAGCTATTTGGAAAACGACATCACCTAGATTCACCTTAAACACGTTACGACAAAGCTGAACAGAATAGAATGTTCAACGATCGCATACCACGCTCTAAATATGTAATAGCTGCATCCAATTCAACACGTGCAGCTATTTTCAAAACAATTTTACTTAGATTCATCTAAAAAATGTCATGAATCATGATGAAGCTCAACTGAATGTTCAATAATTTTGTCACATAATGCCAAATACATCTTTTCAATGTTAACTGATCTCTCAAGATCTAGTATCTGAGCACATATCTAATAGATCACTAGCATCTGTGCAAATCAACGTGTTCAAACTTACAAACACTGCAATCATAAGCAAACCAATTTCAACTTATATCATCTAAACCAGATCAATGAGTAAGGAGTTCTCTTGTTGTGGTATCGATCATTCTACATGGACAAGATTCCTAAATGGAGTAGCGCTCTATGCAGTCCTAATAATCAAAATTTTCCCCACTAAGTTGAGCATGAACAGAAAAAAGATTTTGATCAATGCCAATTAAACAATGTAACAGCACTTAAAACCATTTTTTAAGAAGAAAAAAAAAATCACTGAAAACCTTAAATCTGCACCTCCAAATCCAATGACCAGAGTAAAAGATTTTATTTTCAGAATTCTTCATTGTACGCAATTGAGAGCACACAGTTGCCGCTTTGCTCAATCAACAGGTTACGTATCTCAAATGCTCGCCTATATCACATCACTCAATGAACAAAAGGACGATCACAATCACAGCACAAAAAACTTAATAAAAAAGACCCGTCTCGCCATGATCAAAACTGAACATAAAGCTTTCAAATGTACAAAGATGAGACTTCTACCGCACTGAAGCTTTACTAAACATCTATACAAACGAAAAGGGTATAGATTTTAGAGTACCTTGACCTCAGTCCCATCCTCCTCAACCCTTGTATTCAACACCCAACCATCAGGAATCTCAAGCGAGTCATTCTTCGACGCCATTGCTCAGAAAAATACCAACCCAACAAACTGCACACTCAGCCCAGCTTAAGAACAAAGTAAGTGGGTTTTTATCAGTGAGGAGGGGGCGATATGAACGAGGCAGCAAAGGCAAACATGGTAGGCAAGGTGAGAAGAAGAGAGAGCTGGGTTGGAAACCACGTGGTTCCATTTCTGCAGAGGATGAAGAACGTGTAAAGATGGTATGGTAATTAAGAGGATGAAGAAGAATCTTTGCTGGCTTAGTTGGTTCTGGAGTGTTCGTACAAATGGACAAACGAGAGTTATGATTTTCTGGGTTGGACTTTGCACATCTGCATGTTTTGTGTGAGTGAGGAGATAGAGAGCGAGAGAGAGCGAGCGAGCCAAATTTAGGTTTCTGGGTTCAGAGATTGGGGAAAGCAGCCGTTACTGGTTTTGAATTCGCTCGCTCACCGAATACTCTCTTAAACGACGGCGTTTCGTTGTTTGGGCCATGGGGACAATAGTATTAAACGGGCTGGGTCTTTAAGGTTGGGCCATGCGGACAATAAGTAAACTTTTATCGGTAACATAATTATATAAATTTTCTCTGGTTACATACAGTTTAACATCTTATAAATCAGTATTTTTTATACAAAATTAGTGAAATACCCAATTCTAGACATGAAACTATAAATATACCCTACACTATTTAAAACATATAAACACACCCAAAATATACCCAAAACTGACAGCTGTTATATTTTTTAGTTTAATTACTTAAATGAAATACCTTTATTACCCATTTAGTATTAAATTAGTTTTTTTTGAAAAATTTGGGCTCTCTCTCTCTCTCTCTCTCTCTCGTCTCTTTCCCTTCGCAGAAACCAAGCCTAGGCCAACGATCTTGGTGCTCCGTCCACGGCCAGCATGACAGCGATCGGAAAAGGATCGGTCAAGGCCGACGATCAAGTCTGGGCTAAAGCCCAACCACATCAGCCATTTACGACGCCACTGCGAACTCAAAACGGTCTGTGGATTTCAAGTTTTCCGATGTCGTTTCCGGTGACTCCGGCTGTTGTTTCCGTCGATCGAGGTATGAAACTTTATCTAATTTTCGTGCTCAAGCTGTTTATGTATGTGGTTAGGATAGATTTTGGAGTTTTGGAAATTAATCAATACACCCTAGTTTGACCGACGGCTTTGGCAGTGTTCCGGATTACTCCGGCCACTTTTTGGCCGGGGTCCAAGACCAAAAATTTCCCCTTGTTAGTCTGAATATGTTGGTATAGGTATTGTAAGGACTTTTTTGATTTTATTGTAGTATGATTTGGGTGATTTCATGTTCGATTAATTAAGTTGCTGGTTAAGTTTTCATAATTTTTGCAGTTTTGGAGTTTAAATTTGAAATGTAGATCCAATTCTTCTTGATTTTATATGTTTATTTTTGTTATTGTCGATTTGGAGATAAGCTATTGGATTTTCTAATTTCGTTCTAATTTGTATTAGATATTCGTTTGAGTTTTAAATTGTGATTTTAATTTTTTTTGTTTATAATTTGGATTGATTTCAAATTTAGTTTGGTTGTGGATTTGCTTTTTGTGTTTTGGTTTGAGCTGTGTTACAGATTTGTGATATTTGATTTTGTTATCATATTAATTTTGAATATGAGTATATTCGTGTTTTTTCTGTTTATGCACTATTGGTTTTTGAGTCGACTATAATTTGTTGTTAGGTAGCAGTGTTATTACCTTATATTGGAACTTTACAGACATGCATTAGAAATATGATTTCATAGGAAACAAGCAGTGTTATTATCTTATACTGGAACTTTACAGTGGTAGACATGCATTAGAAATAGGATTTTATATGAAACTAGCAATGTTATTATCCTATACTGGAACTTTACAAGGGGTAAACATGCATTAGAAATAGGATTTCAGAGGAATCTAGCAGTGTTATTACCCTATATTGAAACTTTACAAAGGGTATACATGCATTAAAAATAGGATTTCAAAGGAATCTAGCAGTGTTATTACCCTATATTGGAACTTTACAAGGGTTAAACATGCATTAGAAATAGGATTTTAGAGGAATCTAGCAGTGTTATTACCCTATAATAGAACTTTACAAGGGGTAGACATGCATTAGAAATAGGATGTCAGAAGAATCTAGTAGTGTTATTACCCTATATTGGAACTTTACAATGGTTAAATGCATTAGAAATAGAATTTCATAGGAAAAAAGAAGTGTTATTACCCTGTACTGGAACTTTTGCATTCAAAATAGGATTTCATTGGAAACAAGCAGTGTTATTACCATATACTGGAACTTTACGGTGGTAAACATGCATTCAAAATAGGATTTTAGAGGAAACAATCAGTGTTATTACCCTATACTGGAACTTTACAGCCATTAATCAACATGAAAGTAAACTAGCAGTATTAAGAATGAGTATATGACTAAATATCTCTTTCTTTTTTGAGTTGCTGAAAACTGACTATTTTATAGTCATATGCAGTTAGTTCAATAGTGAAAATCCAATATAATTTCAAAATTTTGTCTTGGATTCGAATATAAAATACTGTTATTATTATAGACTGGAACTTTACAGCAATTAATCAACATTACAATAAAGGTTTGGTTTTTAAATGTCTTACCTTTGAAGCCTTTTCTTGTTGAAATTGTTCTCTGAAATTTTATCTTTGTTTTGCAGGTGGAGGTTAGTGTGTGGTGTTGGTTTTTGAAAGTAGATCAAGCTTGGTGGTTGTTATGGAGTTTCAGTTTGCATAAATGATGAAGACGGTGAAATGAAGAGATGTTTTGTTGAGATGGTTTAATGAAGATGCGTGCTTGAAGTTACTATTTTCGAGACAGTTATGTGTTGTAATAAAATGTTTTGGACTTTTTGTAACCAAAAAAAAATTTGGGCTTTTTTATAAAATTTGATTGGGCTTGTTTTGGATGTTTTTTGAGTTTTTTTTCAATGGCAGTCCTGTAATTTATAGGAACTTCAACACCAATTTCTTATATAACAAATGGATTTTGGGTGTATTTCTAAAGTGCATTCCATGTGGGGTTTTTTTATAATTTCAGCTCCTATTTTGGGTGTTTTAGTGAAACTCCCTTATAAAGAGGCGATATTCTAAACTACTCTAATAATGTAATAGAAGGGAGATCGAACTCGGGTGTAAAAGGACAGGTGCACTGCCTTGACCAACTACCCTAACCAACATTTGCTATTATAAATCATGTTAGGAGCTGGGATATGATTGCCTAACATAGAGCGTATTAAGAGGAATATGAATATCTTCTTACGTTGTATAATGGTCTTTTGGATGTGTTGATATTGACAACTTACGTGCATAAACATTTGAAGGTAAAATTGTTGTCGAGTTTTGATGATCAAGATGGTGTTAATCATCTTGGTCATGTGAGGAGAGAGAGAGAGAGATGGAAGTTATCGATCTCTAAGTGGCAGCATGTTAATCCACCCACAACTAAGACTACTCATGCAACAAAAATGTAAAGGTGAACCAAGTATGGCACCCACTATGATAAAAGGATTTCGAGGTTTAAGCATCACAGAATGAAGGTAGATCCCAAGAAAAAAGGGACATATCCATGTTCAAAGTACTAAAAAAGGGCAACCAATAGCTTTACAAAATTGCCCACACTTCTGGCTTCTCACTACAAGCGAAGATTCATGTCAAGATTGTTCAATCTTTGTTTATACTGGAAGCTTGGATTCCTCACTTTCGTTTTCGCTGCTGCTTCTTCTTGGCCTTTGAAGTGCTGGACTTTGGATCTGGCTTTTGAATTGAGCATGCAGGATCAATGCTTTTCTCGCCTATAACAGAATAATTAGGGAACTCACAGCATTACTTAAAATCAAGTATCATCATTTACAACAGAATAATTGATCCCTTCCTCCCTCTCCCCATTAAAATAACGAAGTTCACGACTTTACCCTGTTCAGTCACCAGTGAATTTGAGCTCTGGCCTGATGAGGAATTCGTCCCGGCCTTTGAGCTAGCTTCTTTCTGTGGCTTGTTGGCTTGGAAATCCTACACATGATGGGTAAATGCATATTAAACTATGTATAAGAAATAATCATTCAAATCAATGTGGCAGTGCATGGAGAAGAGGCTCTTTCTTGTATAAAGAAAAAGAAAAAAGAAAAAAGATTTTTCCATCATGCATTCCTTTCTTGAAAAGCCTACTCTGGAAACCCAAGAGACAACAGTAGAGTAGGATAAAACCCCTCTCCCCCTTAAGGAATTAACTGATGTAATATCCTACCACTAAAATGACAATCAAATTTCTAGCTTTGGCATTAATTACTCACAAAGCCCCAACTAGACCTTGTTGGCAGCCGGGCACCAAAACCTAGACAAATGTGGAGGCAACTGAATATGATTGTCAATAAGATGAGGCCAGAAAGAATTCTGTAGTTAAGTTGCCATGGACAAGGGAGGAAAAGGTGGAAAGTACAAAATCAAAGGAGATACCCCTACTTTAATGCAAGTATATGATTGAAACAAGTTTCCAATCTCAGTTTTGGACAGGATCAATTTCCTTACAATCCTTTTCAACGTAAAAGTGCTTAAATATGACCAATTTGTTCCGGATTAGGAAGGCTGATTATTAGATTTACAACATTTTTATAATATATGAGTGCAAATGATACACAGGAAACTCAGAACTTATTGGTAAAGGCACTTAAATTTTTTTTGTTAAAATATAATCAAAACTGCTCTCTAATACATCACAAGATTCCTTCTAAGTGACCTAACCTAATTTAGAGAATTGGAAACAATTGTAGCACACAAAAAAGGTACACAATATTAATGTATTTGTATCTAACGGCAATCGTAAACAGAAAAAAATAACTAGATAAACTCATGAAGTTCCTTTTCATCATTTTCTTATGTTGAAATAATTTGAAATCCACAGTTCGTCTAGATATATACACAACAATGAACAGAAAAAACATAAACTAAAAACATTATGAAGCTAGGAGGAGAAGCTTAAACTCACCGGTGAAAAGATAGAAACTTGTGCAGGAATTGCATAGCTGATATGGTGCATCAGCGCATCATATGTGTAAAATTCTTGACCTGTTGCATGACAGAAGAATCCCTACAATAGCCATGCATTGAAAAGTATCAGTCCTTGCAACTCTGAAATTTTTTATGTTTCAACTATTTTCTCTTTATCATAATTAGTACTAGATTTAGTAGTACAATACTATTTTCACCATTTAATTTTATCATAATTAGTACTATATTTTAGTAGTATGTCTTTGAGCAAGCTAAAAGCCAGACAATCTAATAAATTTGGTTACAACTTACAAGTGAACCAATTATTCAGATCAAAAAAGAAAAAACAAGAGAAGCAAAAATCTCTAGCCAAGGAAGTTGATCCAATAAATAAGGATTAAGATTTTGAAAAAAGGGAAAGTAAAGTATCATCTACTGCCCTGCTAGAAGTTTTGTTCACAGCTTAAAAATAACTACCATTGGTTTTCAAAAGTATATTTGAACTGCTACATTTAACAAAGGTTATTCAAATAAGAGTAAAAGGGTGCCACCTTGTTTCTCTTTGTAGCAGTTCAAGTCTTTTACGTAAAGCAAACCCACCATTAGGGTTTAGAGTTTGATAGCATTTTTTAATGAATTTCACAGGGCGAGAAAAAAGAAGAAGAAGAAGAGTGCATGATTCAATGCTTCATGGTAGCAGCGCACCTGTCAATAATTGAGATATGTTCAGAAATATCGTAAACAAAGATCATCTTTAAATACACATAATTGGTAAAATTAAAGAGCATATGGAAAAACAAGTTTCCATATATAACGAGCTATTTAATGCTACAAAGACATTCTTTTTAATTAACAACCATCGCATTCACTATAACCACCAAAAATCTTGTGGCGCTTATTGGCAGTATGCATCCAACATTAATTAGGTTGCTCTAATGTGATGGTCAAAGCAATTCAACACGTGCAGCTATTTGGAAAACGACATTACAATTGAATGGATCATGTACCACTTACTAATATATAATAGTTGCATGCAATTCAACACATGCAGCTATTTGGAAAACAATTTTATTTAGATTCATCTAAAACATGATGATGAACCAGAACTGAATGTTCAATGATCTTGTAGTATCTTGTACTACATACTGCCAAATCTATCTTTTCAAAAGTATCTGAGCACATATCTCATAGATCACTAGTATCTCTGCAAGCCCACGTGTTCTAACTTATGAACACTGCAATCATAGGCAAACCAATTTCAACTTGTATCATCTAATCCATATAAATGAGTAAGGAGATTTCATGTTGTGTATCTAACATTCTACATCGACAAGTTTCCTAAACAGAGCATGGTACTTATGCCTTGACAATATAAGATCTACACAATTATATGAACAGTAAAAAGATTTAGGATCTAAGATCTAAGCCAATTAGACAATTTACAACACTAGAAAACCATTTTAAAAAAAAAAATTCACTGAAACCTTCAAATCTGCACCTTGAATGATCAAAACAGTGGTTCTACTGCTCGTAAATGTTTTTATTTCTAAAATATTCTTCTTGTACGCAATTGACAGCACACAGTTCCCATTTTGATGGAGCAGCAGGGCACGTATCTCAAATGTTCACCTATATTACTCAATGAACACATATACAATCACAATCAAAGCACAACACATTCAAAAAAGACCCATCACACCATAATCAAAACTGAAGTTAAAGCTTCCAAATTTTCAAAGATGACAGACTTATACCAGACTCAAGCTTTACCAAACATTCATACAAATAAAAGGGTACAGATTTAAGAGTACCTTGATCTCAGTCCCATCCCTCTTGAGCCTTGTATCCAACACCCAACCCTCAGGAATCTCAAAGGGGTTATTCTTAGGCGCCATTGCTGAGAAAAATGCCAACCCAACAAACTGTACTCTCTGTGCAGCTCCAGAACCAAATGAGGGGCTTTTTTATCAGTGATGGTGCGATATAAATGAGGCAGCAAAGCCAAACATGGTAGGCAAGGTGAGAATAAGAGAGAGCTGGGTTGGAAACCAAGTGGTTCCATTTTTGGAGAGGAGGAGGAACGTGTAAGATGGTATGGTAATAAAAAGATTAAGAAGAATCCTTGCTGGCTCAGCTGGTTCTTGAGTGTTCATGGGACAAACAAGAAGTACGGGTTCTGGATTGGATTTTGTATATTTGCATAGAGGATGAGAGAGAGAGAGAGAGAGAGAGAGAGAGAGAGAGAGAACGCGGGCCAAAATTAGGTTTGGCGGGTTCAGGAATTGGGAATCAGCCGTTACTGGTTTTGAATTGGAACGCTCCTCGAATGAGTTCCTCGAGCACACCACTTGTCAAAACCCGTGTAGCCGGGCGGCTATACTATGTTTTTAAAAATAAAAACGAGTATACCCAAACGGCTATACTATATATGACTACGTGTCAAAATCCGTATAGCCGGGTGGCTATACCGAGTATAGCTGTTCGACTATACTATTTATATATAAAAAAGGATGACCCTCCTTGCGATTAGGTGCCACGTGTCAAAATAAATATCGCCAAAAGTAGAAAAAAAACCCAGTATCGCCAGGCGGCTATACTATTTAAAATAAAATTTTTAAAAACCGAGTATAGCCGCCCGGCGGTACTATTTATATATGAAAAAAAAATGACAATTCTTGAGATTAGGCGCCACATGTCGAAATCAGTATAGCCGCGCGGCTATACTATATATGTATATAAAAGCGGGACCCATCTTGGGATTAGGTGCCCACGTGTCAAACTCTTTATAGCCGCGCGGCTATACTATTTTTTTAAAATAAAAATTTGTATAGCCAGCCAGCCGACGATACTATTTTTAAAATAAATCAGAAGAGGGGTATAGCCGCTTGGCTATAATATTTATATTAAAAGAAAAAGGCCCCACCTTGCGATAAGGCCCACACGTGCCAAAATACGTATAGAAGCGCGGCTATACTATTTTTAAAAGAAACAGCACCTCTTTACAAATCAAAAGTTCGCCACTACATAATATTTATATATATATATATATATACCTATTATTTTTATTCAATGTATGTGAAAACTAGAAAAGAATCTAGTAAAGCCGAGCGGCCATACTACTTTAAAAATATATAAAACCGAGTATAGCCGCCCGGCTATACTATTCATATATTTTTCATCTATACGCCAGCCTGAAAAATGAAAACTAAAACCTAAAATTAAAATGATTATCATACCGGCTCTAAACTAGTCTACTTCATATTAAGGTTTTTATTAGGGTAAAACTGCTAACATACTTATGTCATTTTTTTTTCTTTTTCTTTTTTATGCCAAGTATTCATTTCAGATAGAGTAATTCCAAATTTAGGAATTTATTTAACATCACAAAATTAAATTATTTGTATAAATATTTTAATTCATGTATGTATATTGGATTTTTTTTTTAAAGAACAAATGCATTTCAAATGATTTCTTGATTATAGCCATTTCAAATTCATCCAAATGTACTTGTTATCAAATCCAAATTCCTTCTTTCAAATTTTCAACATCCACATGGAGCCATACACAAAATTTTTGCATGGTGGAAAACTAAATTGGGAATTGCAGGACCAGAGCGAAGAATGCAAAAACGATGAAGGATAATTTTATCTTATCCTACTACAAAAACAAAATTGATTTTCATACTCATATGACTCAAAAGCTCAAAACAAGTAAACAATTTTCCCATCCAAAATTATCAGAATTAAGGATCCAAAAACGAGAACCCTGACAAGAATTTCACTAAGATGTACTCAATAAAAAGAATGTATGACACTTTGCAGTCCCTAGATTTTAATAGGTAACCGAAGCCAGGATTTCGAGCTGGGAACCAAGCTTCTCCTCTGCAGATTTTTCAGCCTTCAACCTAAGTTTGGTTAGCTGCTTCTTCCTCTCATATGCCAACTGAGCCCTTTCTTTTCTCTTCTCTTCTAGAGCCTGTGAAGAAGAAATAAAAAAAAGTGTGTTCAGAATACAATGCGTAGCATTTTACCAACAAATGTCATTTTGCTTCATGGTAACTACAAATGGAGCAATGTATGAATAAATACATCAAGATGGAGCAATGTATGAATAAATACATCAAGATCATAAAACCCAAAAAGTTAATTTCACTAAAAACTTGAAATGAAAGAGATTTTGACTCACAAATTACGAGAATTATAGAAGCATAAAAATTTTAGTTGAGCTTCATCTTACCTTGATGGTGTCAAAATGGTTCCATCCAACCTCAGACGAAAGCTGACCCAACAAGCAGTACTTGTGGCCCTTCTGAAGCCTCAAGACCCTGATTTCAAATTTCACCCAAAACCCATTTCAGAGAGACAAATCAACAAACACTTGGAAGACAAAAACAAAACTTCCCACCCCAAAACCACACTCACTTGAGAGCGTCAGGAACAACCATCCTCTTCGTCTTGTCATACGGCGGAGGAATGCCCTCGTAAGCCTTCAACCGCGCCAGAGCCTCAGCTCCACGCTTCGTCTTGTGCGGGATCATCCTGCAAAACCCAAAGCAATCGCCATTAAAACCGCGAGCGAGCAAAGAAACAGAGAGGGAAGCGTGCATTGTGTAATTACTGAATTACCCTCGGACAGTGCGCCAAAAGATTTTGGCGGGAGAACGGAAGTGGATGGGGCCGTGAGAAGGCTGAGTGTTCATACGCTTTCGCCGGAACCTCATGTACTTCATCTTCTGCCTGACGAGGCCTCCCGATATGGCGATCTCGTCGCAGCGTACGACGGCTATTCGCTGGCCGTTCAGGAGGTCCTTGGCTACGACCGACGCCAGACGACCGAGCATGTGGTGTCGTCCGTCGACCACCACTCGCTTCGAGCAGATCCCTGAGCCGGACACCATATTCGCTCGCTCGCCCTCTCTCTCTCTCTCTCTCTCTCTCTCTGCCACTCCGACGACAGTCTATATATGATAGGAGTTTCAGAGCTAGGGTTTCTGGGAGTGGTGTGTGTGAGCCCGGACCCTGCATCCGAGTTTGGGCCAGGTATCGGGCAAGCCTGATTGTTTTTAAATGGGCTCATATTGGGCTTTGTATATTCGAGTTGAAGATTTTGAAGGCCCAATTTCCCATCTGAACGTTCTTTTATGTGTCACCTACCAAAGTCAAAATCTTTTTTTTTTCTCGAACTACTGAATTGTGGTTGTTGAATTGGATGGTAGAGCTAACCATATTTCCACACAATAATTTGTTTGCTTATAAATTAATCAAAATATGTGTTTTCAATTGTGTATAATTGATGTTCCTTGTTCACTAAAACAGAAGGATGATAGTCGAATTCTTATTCATGAGCACAATGACAAATATTTTACCAATATAACTATAAAATCATCGCTCACACATTATATTTTATCAAATTATTGAAGAAAACAAAATAAAATCATTATTTAGATATTCAATTGTTAACCATTAGTACTGTAAATTTATACATTATTGAAAATCATCTACTAAAAAATGGACATTTGAATTCAAATAAATTGCATTTTTGTGTCCTGCAAGTGCCCTTGTGATATGTGCATGTGAGTTAGGCCAGTTGATTAAGGAAGTGTGCTCGTCACTTTACACCCAAGTTCAGTCAGCCTCTTCCTATATTAGAGTAATTCTCTAATAATTATTTTATGTTAAGGATTGGTTACATACTTCTAATCTTGACCGTTGGATTATATTCATTGAATGTGTTGTTAGTCTCTTAGATACAATCTAACATACAAGATTAAAAGTATGTAACTAATCCTTATTAAATATTTATCGAGAATCCACCTCGATTTGATATGATCTTATTTGTTAATACAAGGGTGTAATAGGAAATTCCACAAAGCAATATGCCATACTTGAAAAACCACCAAACTCATAGGGATTCTGTGGTTGGTGACGACTCTGCCATCTCACCCTTACTTACCCCATACTTGCAATTACATTTTTCTAAGCGCCTCACCAACCCACCACTCTCCCTACTTTTCTGATTCAAATCAAATCCCCGAAGTCTCTGTGAATCCAAGCTGCACAAGCTTTGATCAGTTTCAAAGTCTTTGAAGAGAGAAACAGACCATCCTCTAACAATGGCCGGAGGCAACAAGGTCTACACTTTAGCTGAGGTCTCTACTCACAGTGACCGCAAAGACTGCTGGCTCCTCATTGATGGCAAGGTCTGTTATACTTTCTATGCTCCAATTCTCAGTTTAATTTGGTCATGTCATCATATCCAATCATGGGTTTTGTATAAATTGCCTTATTTTCTGTGACTGAACATGTCATTGGTGTCATGCAAGGTTAAGGTTAATTGGGATTGCTCTGATTGGATCTGGGTAGATTATAAATTGTTTGATTGTGGATTTTACTGCTATCCTATTGGTTTATCATCTGATTGCATGTGCTGGTTCTGAGATGAGTTATGCTTGTTTATCCTTGTACATATTCAGCAAGTTGTGATTTCTGTTGTCAAATTTCATTAGATAATTAGATCAGGAAGATATGGGATGGGACCTAACAATGTATAGTTGAGATTGCTTTTGAAACAGAGGGAAAAAAAAGTATGGGTGTTTGATCAGATTGGTATGAATCAGTTGATGATACATGTCATGGAACTTATAGAAGCTTCAGCAGCTGTTTTTGATTGAATTTCTTGGTTGAAAATGTGATAGCTTGTGCTTATACTACACATTGGTGTCTTTCTAATATAGGTGATAGTTTGTGAGGTTGTAAAGATAGTTCCTATGTCTAATATACCTCTTAGGTTATGATTTTAAGGATAGTTTATGTAAATCATGCGTCACTTTGTGCTTACTGACCAATCCTTTGGACTAGGCAGAATAATTGTAAACTGTAATGTGAGAAAATGTATTGGAACAGGTATATGATGTAACGAAGTTCTTGGAGGACCATCCTGGCGGTGATGAGGTCTTATTAGCAGCCACAGGTTTGACACAATGGCAATCTCTTTCAAACACAAAATATATGCGGAAACCTGTTGTTGCCCCTGATGTGATTTATGGTCCTAATATGATCCATGATTTGCAGGAAAGGATGCAAGTAATGATTTTGAAGATGTTGGCCACAGCAGCACTGCTAGAGCAATGATGGATGAATTTTATGTCGGAGACATTGATTCATCATCCATCCCCACAAAGAGGGCGTACACTCCTCCCAAGCAGCCTTACTACAACCAGGACAAGACAACTGATTTCATCATCAAAATCCTCCAGTTCCTCGTTCCCCTGCTAATTTTGGGTTTGGCTTTTGGTGTCCGCTTCTATACCAAAACTTCAACAGCGTAAACATTGAAGCCGAAAGAGAAGTGAGAAATCTTCCCAATAAATTTATGTTAGCGTTGAAATTGGAAGACCCTTTGGTAATTTTTGTGTTTGGAACTGTTCATGATCATGGGATGTTAGGATATTTGAGTTGTTTCTGGTTTTGAGTTTATGTCTGCTTCTTTCTGGTTTGCAGTTAGCATCCGTATACTTTGGTGATTTCACAAACTTGGACTTCATGAGCTGATTTGCTCTTACATTGTATGGTCCCCTGGCTTAGGGTTCAGCTTGTAAGATCACCACTCTTTTTCACCATTTTTATTTTCATTTGTCACTGAGAAGCTTGCGTCGGCTCATTCCATGGCGTGGGCTTAGGTTCCATACCTTGGAGCAGTTGCAATGTGCCCGTGTTGTTGGTGGTATAAGTACAACAATAATGTGGCCTTGGGTCTAAACTCATTTATACGACATGTCGTTGGGCTGATAGGATGGCTTGATTCAGAGCTGCCATTTACACAGGATTTTATCACCACACCCAAACTTGTTTTGCCTTTGCGTATTTTTACTTTTTCGTATTTTTTAAAATTATAGGATTGATATTGGGAGGGGGATTCGAAGACAAAATCTTAGCGCAAGAGTAACTGCTCTTAACTACTTGAGCTTTGCTTCTTGCCACATATTTCTACTTTTATCAAAACAAAAAAATATTTAAAAAGAAAAGAAATCATGGTAGCCCATGGTCGACCATGGCCTCCATCTCCAAAACGGAGGCTAGTGTTGGCATCCATCTTGATAACAACTAGCCTTCCATTTCCATTGTGAGCTTTGAAGCCAACCATGACTTCTCTCTCTATCTCTCTCTTTTTCTTGAACAATGGGTGAGTATCAAATTGAAAATAGAGCAAATTTTTGGTGCTTGAGTGTCATGATCAAATTCTTGTATGCATATAGAAACCCTCTTAGGTTTATTAATGATTTATCCATTTTTGGATAATTTCTATTGGGTTTAGGGGCAATTTTGGATAATCCATTGATAAAATAAGCAGCAAAAGCCAGCACGAAAAACAAGGAAGAGGACAGACAACTTTGATCAAATGGAACTGTGGGAAATGAGAATGCTCATAAACTTCACAAAAATATTTAAACCAAAATAATAGAGATTACGATGTGCGTGAATCACATTTTCCTCAGTGTCAACGGCCGGCGGAAATCCCAAGGCCCTCCGTTTGGCTCATTACAGCTAATATTGTTGTTAATTAATTATGTTTTATGTAACACAGGTGATCCTGATGTTGCCACCCACACTCAAATTCGTCCAATCCAATGCCATTGACGCTGCTTTACTTACTAAGCACCACTCATGCTTAGATAAAAAAAAAATTAGCACAACAATGTTAGATTCGCTAACTATTTATCCCGATTTTTGTAACTAATGTGCTAATTTCTTATTTGACGTTGATAAATCTAAAATGGATCCATACATGAATAAATGAAACACTACCTCATCAGTTGAGATCTAAAAAATTATTATAATAAGTCGACGCCTCTATAACTACTCTTTCGAGCACCACCACATAGACGGCCACATTGTCATATTGCATAACAAATGAGTATATTGAATGCCAACATATAGTGTTGTTATTAGAAAAGAGCCTATCACCAAGCAAAATACAGTGTGACAAACATACAAAAAATCTACTAAATTGTGATTACAGAGTCTATCTGGACAAAGGAATTCACATTCTTCCAGCCAATCTTTCATGCCATCCAAAGATTCTTCATAAGTTTTGCCACCAAACTTTATCATTTAGTGAGTTGAGGAGGCCTATAAGAAGAAAACTTGAGCAGCCTGGTAGCTTCTCTTGCTTGAGTTTTTCTCTTAGCCCTGTTTGCTAAGAGAGCATTGAAATCAAATAGTGGCAATGGGAAGCATAACAAGGGAGGAAGAAGGTGTGCTCAAGTTGGTGCGTCCGGGGAGGTGTGTGGAGGTTCACAAGGAACCAATAACAGCTCAAGAGGTAATGAGAAAGTACCCCAGGCACTCCATAACTAGGCCAGACATCTTTGAGTTCCCATGGATTGTGGTTAAGGCTGAAGCAGTTTTGACTCCTGGAAAAGTGTTTTTTGTAGTTCCTAACCGCACGATTTATCAGCTGCTTAAAGCCCGAGAGCACGGTGACCAATATTCTTCTTCTTCTTCCTCACAGCAGAGACAATCTGCTAAAGATCATGGTCACCATCCAGCATCAGAACAACTAACTTCCCCACCAAAGGCATATGCTGGCGTGACACCGAAGCATCAAGTGCAGAGACGAAGGCTTAAGCATCAGTTCTTTGCTTGTGCTACTGTAAGCCCTAGTGATGAAGAAGTTGAGCCGGACAAAGGGCTCCAAACAGATTCCCAGGTTGGAGCTTGGCCGGGGTTGTCTTCCACAAACAAGAAAACTCACGGAAAATCTAAACAGAAGCCACAGATAAATTCAAAAAATAAAACTAGACATGGTAGAGCATATGACTACAGCAAGAAGAGTAACATTACTGCCAAACTTGCTGGTCTTGAGATTACAGACAGTAAACAGGTCACCTTGTTGAAATCTTGTTTAAGAAAACCCGATACTGCTCGTAATTCTCTTCGTCTTAAGGTAGCTTTTACCTTGCCAAACAAGGACAAGGAGCGAGTCGAGTGACAGAGCAAGATCACTCATTCTCGGATGCAATATCCAGACTACTCAAGTTGATTACTCTGACAGGCATTCTTTAAACTGTGTTTTTGTATGTTGACTGTGCACCAGTGTTTTGTTACCTTACTAGATCAGATATATAAATTTTAGTTTGATTTGTTTGTTCTAAATATCCAGTATAGAGTCTATAAACTTCATGTCAATCAGAAACCAATATAATGATTTAAAGTTTAAACAAATGTCAAAACTGTACTCACCCAAATTACAATCAAGAAGCTTTCCCTGCTATTGCTAACTCAAAGCACCAAATCTTATTTACAAGGTGGCCAAAAGAGGCATATTGAAGTAAAAAATGTCATAACAATTGAGCATGGCTTGCACTTACTCAACAAAGCATAAAAGTTTAGTTTCCCTGGTAATGTGGATTACCTAATCTGTGCTTGCACACGTTCTCTCAATCACTTTAGAATCAGTTCTATACGACTGCCTCGATGGAGAGGTGGATGCCCTTGAAGAACTATGTCCAAAGAAGCTCAGCTTGCCAATTTTCTTAGAGAAAGAACTCATAAATTTACGAGAATTGGACTTCTCCATGTCTCTCTTCATACAGACATGTTCTCTCTCAAGATCATTTAGTCTCATCCGTAACCGAGCTAGCTCAAGTTTTAGCTCACGGTTTTCTCTCCTCAATGATGCATAGTTGTCTCGCGGAGACATTGCTGCACTGAGTGCACCACTGCTGATCCGCCATGACTGGTGCATTGGCTTGGGTTCATCTTCACCTGAGCAGCCCAAGGAATTTCTGAGCCTTATTTGCTCAAAATAAAGCACTTGTACTATTGACTGCAGAGGGAGGCGCTCATTCTGTGCAGCGTGTGCACCAGCTTCTTGTGAGAGCTTTTGGAAATCAATCATTTTGCACAGCTTCTTCTTGTCTGTATCTGATAAGCCTTGATGGGCCTGTCACAAGCCAATGTTAGACAAGGGAACTAAAATTGTCTTCTTAATGAACTGAGTTATAAACTAGAAAAACAAGAAAATCAAGATTGTTTTTTTCTCGGAAATTGTTCAGATTTTACTTTTCATGTTCATTCTAGCAAGATAGTGGTCAGGCAAGTCTTTGTTTTTCCCGAAGGGAACCAACAATTATCTACTCTATGCAACTGAAAATGTCTTCATTAACATGTAAATTAGATTCACACCATTCCCACAGAAAAGATAAGAAAGACATACTTTTAAGTAAATATCAATGGCTCGATATAACCCATCATGAACCGTTCGTGCATGCTCGGGCAAAGCATCAGCAATGACTAGGAATTTAGCAAGCTTGAGGTTTGCATCAGGGGCTATTTCAGCAAGGTAATTGTCCAACAACTTTGAAACTTTAAACAAAGCAGTTTGGGACGGAGAATGAGGACTGTCTGATTCAAAGACAGAGCCATCTTCCATATCTTCTTCACTGTCGTCTTGCTGAGAAAAGTTAACTAAAATCCTATGCACTGTATCCACATCAAATAAAGTATCACCTGCGTGCTTGAAAGAAGGGATCAGAAGATCATCAAGAGTGGCAATATCCAACTGGGAGCCAATCCTCCTCTCCAGATCAAGTCTGCAAGCAATTGTGCAATCAAGCATTACAGCACTTCGCAAAAGCCCGAATAGGAAAGTAATCGGAACAACAAGTTTCTCAACGGGCAGAAGGCTGACAATTGTCTCAACCACAAGTTTTTCGTGTCCAGTTGAAGCTGGAATTACATCAACTTTTGTCTGGCCAGATGGGTTCCATAAGCTGGACTTCTTTGTCAACTCCTTCTGGGCATAGTTCACAAGAGATGCACCGATACTCTCAGGGCGAACTCCACGACACTTCATGGCTGTTATGACTCTTTGGTACAAGTCGACTCGAAGAACAGAAAGATCTTCTATCCACCAGTCCCCATCACACTTGGCTTGCCTGTTCATGTGAAGCCTCCCTGAGCTGCTGTACTCCAACCGCGAGAAGCTTGAAGCAATTTGCTCTACACAAGCCTTTGAGGCTATTGCATCAATGCAGCGGCTAACTATCTTCAGCTCATCAGCCAGAGGGAGTAAACTCTCACATTGCAGCAAAACTTCAACACACATTTCAAGGTTCTTGCAGACAATGCATTCAAGATATTCTTCAGCACGTGAACCAAGATTGTCTTTTGAGAACTCTTCAGTCATTTCAAGGTAATCAGAAGCACAGCAAAGCTGAGCAACATTTCCAGAAGTGATTTCAAAGTTGATACCATAACAGAACTTTGCTGCCAACTCAAATGACTCAGCACCTCCTGGTAGATGAAGAAGCTCTACTCTTGAGATATCAGAATCCCTATGTTCAGCGACTAACTTTCGGATTCGTCCACTTCGAGAAACAAGAGGAAACTGCATTCAAAAACAACATTGTCAAAACTCCATCAAGACAGTCAAAACACAAGTCATGTATAGCATGCTTTGATCACTGCATTAAAAGTTTATAGAGAGAGTCAGAGAGATCTGTTGGAAGAGCCATTTTTGAAGAATCGAAAAGTAAATGTAAATAGAACAACACAAATAGTTACCTTGTGTAGTGAGAAAGCCCCTCCATTCACTTGTATTGTAATATCACTGGGAACATCCCGGAAAATCCTACAAAATATAAACAGCCACACACTCATACAACAAACCATTGCAGCTATTTGAAAACAAAAAAGTTCTCTTTATAGAATACATATCAACAAAACAATCACCAAAGCTTCCATCTTTTATTTTTCGATAATTAACACAACAAAGCACAAAAAAGATATCAAACACAAAACTGAAAGTATCACTCAGGCAATACAGTAAGAACAAGATTACAAGTATTCAAGTGAATTACAGCATCAAAACACATCAAAAACAAAAAGAAACTAACAAACCATTCATTGTTTCGCTGCTGCCGTGAACTCTTAGCCAAGGAGAGCTGCTGTTGCTGCTTGTCACTGCGGTCCATGGAGAGAAAGAAGGCAACCCAAGAGAGAAAATTAATGGAATGTCAAGGCAAAGAAAAGAAAATGGTATTAGTGGGGTTAAGGGGGAGAACTGGGAAGAGAGACTGGAACCCAGTTGGAGATGTTGCTGTTGGTGAACTTCTTTGGCCATTTTTTTTTCTTTTGTCAAACAGGTGGTGTTCAAACACAGATTGCAATTGTCCAAAGCAATGGGCCTCTTTGGTGGGTCATGCTTTTCTGCTTTTTTTTTGGGTTTTAGTAGCACACTCAAAATCTTGCATAATCTCTTCCTGTTTTTTCTGATCTCTGTTGGATTTAATTTGTTTTTTAAATTAAAGGTGGTGCTGTTTTTCTCTGGTATAAATATTGTAGTGTAGCAAGGGAAAGAGGAGCACAGAAAGCAGGGGTTTGTAACTTTGTTCACAAATAGAGTCAAAACCTCTCATCACGAACAGGCAAAAAAGCGGGAAAGAAAAAAAGCAGTTTAGTTTGACAACTTTGACATATTTTACTTTACTTTTTGTCCCCTGTAAAAGTCTGTAAAAACGATAATGAAAAAAAGTGAAAGATTCCTCCTCCTCTGCCAATAGTGGTAAAATGGTGAATTACAGAAAGATGAGTTATGGACTTAAACATCATATATTTCAATTCTAAATCATGCAAAAACACACTTAAATTTACTAAACACATGTGACTTACGAATATTTGCAAATTGCATATACTTAGAAGTTTATACCCTTTTACTACTTATAATTTTGTTACAATTAACCACTATGTTATGAATATTTTCTTCTATATAGCATTGTTATTTTCTTATCGAATGGAAAATTATCCTCACTTCAATAATAAAAACTCATGCATAAGGTTAATTTCACCATGTGATCATGAAATCCCGTGTGAATCAGCAAGGACTACCTTAAAAGGCTAAATACATGCACAAGTTTAATTTCATCGTCTTGTTAGACAAATACAACTAGATTCAAAAGGCATTTAGATATGATTTGATGGCTCAACTTGAACTGTTAACAAAGAGAAACTAAAACGACTAAAACGAGCAACTTAACGGTGGAAAGTAAAATGAGGCATTCACCTTTTGGAAAATTTTTGCACCGTCCACGTGAGGAAGAGCAAACAAAGAAAAGGTCAAAAAGAGAAAAGGAACAAACAATGATCAAATTTTGGATAGGGAGGGAGTGAGGTGTGGTGTGGCCACTTTTGATAATTCTATGATTTATGATAATTACCCACCACCTGCGGTGGGCCAAATATGTTAGGGGTTTTCAATGTAAAGGCAAGTGGCTTCCGACCACGGATTATTACATTTGGTATGATATATATCATTTGATTTGATATCATATCTTCCACTACCACCACCATCCCTTCGTTGTAGATGCGAACAAAAATAAAAATAAAAACTTTGGTTTTAGTCAAAGTCATGAAACCATGCGCGACATGCATTGTTTGACACAAGCATAAATAAGCTTCATGACCATGGAGGGCAGGATCCTAAAGTTAAGGATTGGTGGTCGATTTTTTATGAGTGCATTCTAAGGTTTGAATGCCTTTTTGACGTAGAAACAAAAATCTTATGTTGTGTCAAATGACAACTCGTATTTTATTAATTTAGCATCAACTCTGAAAATATCGAGTTCAATTCGAGATTATGCTTTGTTAGTATTAAAATTGAGCTAAGCTGTTTTATTTGATTTAGCTTAGTCGATTTAAAATGTTGAGGCGTTACTTTGATTCTGCCCCTATATATATATATATAGATGCTTATGTTTTGCAGAAGTATTCCCTCAATAATTTGTGCCATACTGGGATACAGTCCATGGATTAAAAGGGTGAAGAATATTGAGGACTGAAGGCGTGCATCTGTTGGTGTGATGGTGAGGAAAAGACAGTCGCATCATTAGTACTTTTGCACGCGAAGTGTTTTTTACCAAGTAATTAGTGACATGCGACATAAACATATAATAAAGGCATCCTCCTGTATTAATCAGCTAGTTACAATTTTCGTGTTCTGACTATGCATAATGCATCATCTCACTATATAATACTTTAAATCCTCACCCATTCTATCTATACACGCGAGGATGATAGTTATTATTGGAGGAGAACGAGTTTTTCACATACAAACTACCAACGTGTTATAGGGGTTCGAATTTGAAATCACTGATTTGCAATTCAATATATTGTTTCCACTAAGCTAGACTAGTGGCGAAGTCACCATGAGGTCAATGGGGTCAAATGACCCCATTGCAGTAATGGAAATGGGCTTTAAAGTCGTCGTTTGCTAGTGGTGCGACCCCTCAGAGTTGCCCACCAACTGCTCGACGAAAGTTCAGAGAAGGATAAGGGTTTTTGTTGGGATCTAATGGACCAAATCTTTTAGAATTCAACCTCTTTGTGAGGCCATCGTTGAGGATCTGTGCCGGGTGACGAAAAGGGAGGGGATGCGTTATGGGGATGGTTGGGGAAGAGTGGATTTGGGTGGGGTGGGTTGTTTTTCTTTTTCTTTTTAGTTTTTTTATTATTTAATTTGTTTAGTAATTTTTAACTTTGAGAACCCTTATCCATGTACAATTTATCGAATAGCTATCTAATATTTTTCTTTTGCCATGAATTATAAATGAAATACTATTTTTATATTTTTACAGCATGACCCCATAAATTAACAATCCTGGATTCGTCACTGAATTAGAACCCTTCCACGTCTTTCTTTTCCTTTTATCAAAAGCAATGCTGGTATAAATAACGATAAATAGGTATTGTGAACGAAAGTTAGCAAAGTCTCTTCTCTTAAATAATAGTGTAGATACTTATGAAGGACATGCACCTTTCACTGAATTGGACACCACTGAGACATGACACTAACCTCTTTGAATTATTGATTTTTTGTTTGATCATATAAAAATAATTCAAAGTTGCATCCCAAGCTCTATCAATTTTCGATGCTTCCCATCTCTCAATTATTGGGGACCACGTTTTTTAACTAGTCGTGCACCTTGGGCGGGTTGAGACTTAGACGGGGCTACACCTTTTGATAAAAATAGAGTTCATCTTGAGCTTGAGTCTCAACAATTTTCAATCGATCCCGATCGACATCAAGATAAGTTTAGATTGGGAGTTCATACCAACCTTTCAATTCAAATCTCAATTTGATTGACCTAATAATCACAACTCGTTGTTCATTGTTTGAGTAAATTCATCCAAACTCAACCCCGAAATCAATCATAACTCATCATCACCATAATTTAAAGGAAAATTATGAAAAGTAGCCAAATTTCGTTTACCTTTTAAAGTTTATTTATTTATATTGTTAAAATTTTATCGACCCGTTAGAGTTTGATTACTTGTTGAACGGTTATATTTAGAAACCATTAAAGAAAATTGACGAAATGGAACTTACGTTTGTCACATCAACGCAAAAAAATAGGGCCCATGTAACATACCTACTAATAGTTTGTGTAACGGAGGATCTCATTTGTAAATTTGAGTATCAGATTGTAGGATCTTCAAAGTTCATGTATGACTTTGTAACGACCCAGTAGTTGATCCAAAAAATATACAGGACAGAGTTTATTTTGAAAAGGGCCTAAAATGAAAAGAAGAAGCCCATCCTTGTTAATAGTCTCAATCAATTCAAGCCCATATCCACGTCATATGTAATCGGGCCGTTGACCCATTTGACCATTGGCCAGCCGCAGCAAGTTGTAACTTGTTACTTTAAGGCAGAAAGCAGCAGATCAGACGAACCGCAACAACAATACTCAGGTTCATTTCTCTGTTTTCACCATGCACTCTGTCGCCAATGGATTTGTCTTCGTGGTTCCGACGCAGCCTCTTAAGGAAGGGTGAAAAAACCAAAAACCCAGATCCCTCTGAGCAAACTCTCCTGCCCCGAAGTGAAGAAGAGCAGCAACTGGGAGTCACAGAGGAACTGATCGACCATGTCAAGTCTTTCACTTTAGACACTTTCAAGAATTTCCCTCTCCCAGGTATGTAAAAGGGAAGAGCTTTATGAATTTTTTGCTTGTTTCGGTTAAATTTGATATTGGGTTTTTTTTGGGTTCATTTGGTTTTGGGTAAATAATAAAAATCTTAAGCTGGGTTTCTCTGCATACATTTGAATCTGTTCATCAGTGTGCATATATGGACTGTAATGGGTTCTTTCTTTTCTTGTTGATGGAATTAAATGTTGTACATTGAATTGATTACTGTGCAGATGATGAGGGAGCTGACAATTCTCCGACAACTTCGAGCAACACTCAAAAAGATCTATCTGAATGGCAGGAAAAACATGCCACTCTTGTGCTCTCAAAAGTGAAGGTTGAATTCTAGCTTCTTGCTTGTCTTTATAGATTCTTGTATTTGATGTCAAATTCATAGCTCTGAAGTTGGTTTAACATGTGACTTTGTATATCAACAATTACCCTTATAGAATCCTGCTCCCTGGCCTTAGAGGAATTTTCTCTAGCAACTAGCAATTTGAAATTACTTTCTAATTGGTTGGTGCCTTTGATTTTATTAACTTTTTAGTACGAAAAGGACTGGTTTTAGTCCAGGAGCTCAGGAAATTGAATTAGACACTAAAAATGGGATTTTCCAGGCACCACAGCTAGATTGCTTATAAGTTATATAACTTGGAGCTGCATCATACAACCCTTTACGAGCATAATTGCGGATCTTTCTTGTTTTTCAGGAACTTTCCCATCTGAGATATAAACTATGCCCGGGATACTTGAAGGAGCATCAATTTTGGAGAATATACTTTCTGCTTGTAAAGAAACAAGTGACTGAGTAAGTATTTTATACGTTTTGGATTTTCAAGTATTTTGCATCAGCGTTATTTAATAAGAGCACGGTTCTGAATGATTGATTAGTTGTTGAGAGGATCTAGGAGTTTTCTTCTAAATGGTTTACTGTCAGATAGTATTCTGTATGAGTGACAGGACAGGAGGCTAGGTGATGAATTTCTATCTGATTTTTACACGAGTGTTTGGTCACCTACAGATTGCTCCTGATGGAGCGCTAGACTCTTATCCTCTTCCTATCATAAGGCCAGAAAAGAGTGTTTAGAAAATTAATCAAGCATATATTATCCACTAATCTCAACACTATTGAAAACTCTACATCCAGTTGGCATTGGCTTAGTCAATCACATAGGCTGTGCACCTCCACCATTTGAATCTTCTAAAGAAAAGCAAACTGAGTTGACGTATCGAAATTTGCTTTGTTGGGAATCAGATAGCACCAAGCTCATGATTTAGTCTGACGTCGTAAGGCTTATAATGGATCTTGACTATCTTGGAAATTTTTTGTTGACAACAGGATGATGTGTATGTAAAGGGTAATTTAAAAAGCATAATATGTTCCTATCTTCTTTTTGAAAGATAGAGAACATCAATTTACGGATACAAGCTAGAAATAGAGATGCATAAGAGTCCATGACTATTTCTCCAAACATGTGTCGTTCTTCTTTTGAACAAGTTCCTCTAGATTATGTTTAGTATCTGCATATTGGCCAACATGATAATGAGTTATCCCAACAAACATTCATGACTGAGTTTGTTCCTTAACAAAAAATTCATTCAAGAATTAACGTGATAAGAAGACTGCTTTGGAATAATGAAAGTTGCTTACTCATACAACTATCTTTGGTATGGACTTTTTTCTTTTCTTTTAATTATCGTTGTTAGCAACTTGGTTATCTTTTTAATATGCGCACACTCATTAAACGTGGTTTCCTGATTTGATTATCAGATACGAGCTGCGTGCCATACAACTAGCGAGGCTGAAAGAAATGGCAGTGGAGAATGAGAAGTCTACAAATTCCATTGCATATGAAGTTGAAATGTCAGAGGCAAAGCAGGGAGCAAGCTTAGCCCTTCCAACTCCATAGCTTTATGCATTTCTTTTTAGGAGTAGGAATGTATTGGCTAGTCGACTGACTGATCCACTGAACAGAAACGTATTGGAAAAATGTAGAATCGTTTATGCATTCATTTTCTTTTTCTTTTTTTAATTGCGCAGACGAAATAGTAGTTTCTTAACGGCTTTCTTATTAGAGCTTCTCCAGTAAGGATTTTATGTTGAGATTGGTTAAAGATTTCTAATCTCAGTCATCCATTAGTAATGGGTTACATAATTCACATACATGTGATCCAATGGCTGAGTTTAGAAACTAATCCTCAACATAGTTTTATGTACTACATGCAAAATCATCACTGTCTTTGTTTGACTTTCCAATGGTTGATTCCTTTAAGAATTGTGGAGACCTTCTAAAGATACGTCAGAGAGGCAATGTTCTTTTTGGATCTGATGGGGATATATAATGTTTGAAATGGCATTGAGCCTCAACCTGGGCTGGCTTGGGTTATGTATAGATAAATAATTCACATGCATTGGGTCGGATTTGATATGATTCAACTATCTATTGATCTTCCGGGTTCGTCCACAAAAAAAATAAAAATAAAGAGATCTTTCGGGAGCTTCTATAATGAGAGGGTTCAATCCAATTGCCCATAATAGCTTTGTAATTGATCGAATGGCTATTAAGGACTCCGCATTATTGTTCTTGAGTTCACCTTTTTCTCTTTTACTACTTGGCTACCCTTGCAAGTGGATTTCAAGCTTTTACTATACCGCCAAATTCACTGGCAAGTGGCAACACCTTCTTGCTCTCTGAGGCATATATTCTTTCAAGTACAAAACAAAGTGGTGCAAAATCGAAAAACCACACATCCATTTGGACTCGATAGCAACAGCCAAAAACCTCACAAAATCACAAAATCTTCTACTTGTGATGAATTCACTGCGGAACCGTACCATGTCCCCATGCGAACTTAAGAAGAAATAAATAAAATTAAATAAAACTCAATCCCCACAACTGTCTCTATAGTATACACATTCATGGTTTCATGCATGCTCAGTTCAGTAAATGCCCACTTGATTGACGTACTGTTTAGCTGGCTAAACAGTACACTGAATACCAAGGGATGTATGATTTGTTTTCTGTAGATTAGAGAAAGAAGAGAACCAATTAAAAATTCTTAGTTTGAATTTAACCAACCAGTCCAATTGGCTCCACGGATCACTCCATACAAGAAGTTAAAATAAGCAAAAGCAGAAAGCAATCTTACACATCTAACAAGGAAAACACCAAATCAGAAAGCTATGTCACTTAAGATTCATTCACATACTTGGATGGAAACATCAACATCAAGGGCCATACCAAAAGTGCAGGGTTATGATAAATTTAATTTAGTCATCAATAGAATGCGAGAAGAAATGAGTTACATTTATTTCCAAAGAGCACATGCGTTCTTTGAGTCATCACTACCTAAATATAGACAAAGGTTAATTTCAGAGAAGAAAAGGTGAAAATCTAGCAATTAGATATACCCCCCCTTAAAAATGACACCGACAGAGTCAGAAGTCACATAAAACATTCATGCGAAAGACCATCCACTCTTTTCCCCAATCTCTTCTCAAACGATCCCTTCATTCTTGATCTACGAATGTGGTTTTATACTCTTAAGGGCCACTTTCATAGCTCTGTTATTAATCATCAAATGACGGTCATATCAGTTCCCTTGATATGGGCTTAAAAGGTTATTTAGGATGCTGCACCCGTTCATTCCCAGTGCTTCCTTCGAATGCTCAACAAGAAAACAACTGAAAGACTTGGCATCAGAACCTGAATGATAGAGGCTCTGCTTAGGGAATCACTTGCTCCCATTCATATCTTCCGGGAAGGGGTAAATCACTGGTGATGTCAAAGTTGTATCTGAGAAAATCCAACAAACAAATAAGAGGATTTCATGGTATTCGTGGGTGCACGTAGCCCACCATTGCTAATCTATCTGCACTACAGAATAAAACATAAATCAAAATCAGTTAAAGTTAGTGCTGCAGTTTAAGTAACATACTTCTCAAGGAAAATTCTCTGTTGCTCCTGCTCGTGTTGGGCAAAGAACTCCTCCATCTCAAGTGTCGTTGGGATATTTCTTTGCATATCATTTCTAACCCTCCGGTGAGTTGCAACAGAACTTGTCCGCCTTGTGGTGGAACCGGGGGTTCCAATAGTGTTTGACTCCCTTATGAAGCTGCATGGTGTGCTTTCTCTGGTGCTCCTGTATAGAAACATGACAAAAATCAATAATAACTCTGCAGCCTTGCATCTAAACATTATTCACACATACAAAACACCCTTCATGTAAAATCTTATGCCAGCATTAGACTAGACTCCCGACAAAACTATTATTACCCCAGCCCTCCTCCATCCTTCAGAAAGTATATTTCTTTTGTGTCCTTGACAAAAATATTATTCGCACTTATAAGCATGACAACTTAAATAGTATCAAAAAGAGAAGAAAAAAAATAAGTGCATTGAATAAAACAAGCTCCATTTTGGCAGCGTATGCAATACAGAAAAAGCACGAGATCTGCAACTTTTTGTCATCTACTACTAACCCCAAAACTGAGTGTCCAACATAAATCACTGAAACTGGGCCCCATGAAAATGATAAGTTATTGCTAACACAAATGAAGCGGAAGAGCTATTGCTGTCAGTACTGCAAAAGATAATTTTATTTTTTCCTTACTTCATCATTACGGGCACGCCTGCTTTTCAGATATGCTATTTTGCAAATTAAAAGAGAAATAACCAAGCTGGAGAAAATGGATTTTTACCCCGAATACCAACCAATAATTTGTCCCTCTTCTCGCACTAGTACTAACAGATGCAAAAAAATGTTTCTAGTTAATTACCAGGTTGATGAGCAACTTTGCAGGAGATTATTGAGGGCCTAAACTAAATTGACAATGGCCTCTAACGATGACCAAAATTCGACTTTGATACTAAATCTACATAGATAATGCAGAAATATTAGTCAGCAATTAATATGGAAAAGTAGCATTTTTCATTTTTTTGTTTTAATTTTTTATGAGCCAAAGTTCAGGAGGGAGGGGATGCTACCCCATCCCAGGATCATAGCATACCAAGGCCTCTTTGAGGACCTACGGAGGGGGTCTTAGCCTTTTTTTTTGTTTTTACAAATTACCCACCAAAAGAAATTGTCGACAGCAGGACTGCAACCTAGGCCTTGATAACTAAGAGAATGATTCTTAACAGTACAACCAACCCTCATTGGCTATTTTTTGAATTATTCTTTAAAATGGAGCTTGATACTAACTCTACATAGATAATGCACAAATATTAATTTGCAATTAATATGGAAAAGTAGCCTTTTTGAATAATTCATTGAAGCACCTCACGTGTCAGAAACATCACTAGCCTTTTTATCATAGCATTAATGCATCAAATGAAGGTGAAAACACAGAAATCAATCAAGTAGTAGGACGCCCCAATGGCCGAGTTCAATTTATATATGTTTGTGGTGGTTTAGTACCTCGAAAAACACACAAAAAACACAAAAATCAGATGACAATGTAAATATCCCATCTTCTTATGTTCTTGCAATAGCCTGGTAGTCTAGCTTAAAAATATAAGGGAAATGACAACACATAAAACAACCACTGAAAAATACAAACCACGAAAAGCAAATGACTGTGACTGTGTGACCCAAAAGCCAAAGCAAAAACGTTTCAACAAGGTGTCAAAAACACAACCCGTTTCATGAGAGGGAAGAGATCAAGGGAAATTCACTTTTTCATGTATGAAAAGAAGCCCATATCTTTTCTTCCGTGTTTTTTATTTCTTGAAATTTATTAACAAAGTAAACACAAAAAGTAACCAAAAAATATTATATTGACACAAACTTTTCTTTTCAATTTCAAGAAATGCTGACACGGTTAACCCCACCATCACTAACAATTGCAGAAAATCATATTTCATAAACAATAGGCAAAAGGAGACGGTGAAAACAACAGAGCCATTCTTCAAAAATGAAAAAACAAACCTCATTTCAACCCACTTGAAATAACACACAAAGAAGCAAAATTTACCTGTCTCTGGCTTCAAACTCCAAGTTGTTTTCCCCAAATGACGCCTCAACGCCCAAATCGCTACCATACTCGGCTTCATTTCCAAAATTACCAAAACACCCTTCCCCGTCCTTCTCCTTTCTCTCAACGGACTCAGCCCAGCCAGAGTCCAACGACGAGCCCACACTCAACCTCGAATTGGGCCTCGAATCCATGGCCCTTCTTCGGCTTTCTCCACAACACCCTCTGGGCTTCTCCAAGGACTCAGCTTCGCTCTGGCTCTGCTTCTTGGCGACGTCGTTTCGCAATGGGGGTTTCTCGAGACGGCGACTCCTGAGCTGGAGATAGTACAAGGAGGAGGTATCTGGGTCAGGTTCCACAGAGGGCGATTGGTCTTGGTTCTCTTGCTTCTGTTGTTGCTGGAGTTTTTGGAGGGCTAGGGTTTTGGCTCTGGTTCGAACGCCGAGAGAGGACTGCGGTGAAACCGAAACCTCCATCACGGCGACGTCACCTGAGATTTTAGATTTCTTCATGTACTTCCCCATCTCTCTCGGCCTAGGGCCTCTATCTCACATTCAATTTTCTTTCTTCCTCTGTTTTTGTTGTTGTTGGGTTTTAAGGTTGGGTTGAATGAGAGCGACTGTGAAAGCGGTGACGAGAGAGAGAGAGAGAGAGAGAGAGAGGGACCAATTTTGTAAGCTGAGGTGATGACTAGATAGAGAGAGAGAGAGAGAGAGAGAGAGAGAGAGAGAGAGAAGGTTTTGGGGGGAGAAGACTGAAATGAGAGGGAAAGAGGGAAGAAAAAGTTAGGGTTGGGGTTTAGGGAACAGTGGTACTTTATATCTATATTCTCGTCGTATTTTCATTATTTACCCCTTCCCTCTTAAATGATTTTTGTGTGGACCCATTTCTATTTTCTCTATTTTCTTTTTTATCTTTTATATACAAATAAATTTTTTATGATAAGTTTATTAATTAAAAACAAAAATATTATCTTAATAAAATTTCATATAAAGATTTTATCTCTTTCAACTAAAAAAAAAATCCTAAACCCTAAAACCCTAAAAAAACCAATTGTTATGGATTTGCATGCAATTTTATTAATTTCATATATAAATTATGGGTTTTTAAGGGGATATTAAAAAAATTTTATTTTTTTTAAAGGATCTTTCATATTAAGAGGGTCGATGAAACATAAAAAAATTCAATTAAATATTAGAAAACAAACAAGGAGGTAATAAGGGTCAATTAATGTTTAATCCAACTAAAATTTCCTTATATTCGATAAGAAAAATAAATGTTACTAATTCAAGGAGACAACTTATTCAAGTGAAAACTAATTCAAAGTCTTCCACTTTGAATTGGACTAAGTTGTGCAAAGTCTTTAAAGTCTCTCAAGTCTTCAATTATGGAAGCAGTAAAGGAAATTTCTCCTACTTAATTAATGGAGATGGGAGTTTAGGATTACATCAATATGCTTTGTTGACTATAAAACTCTAAGCCATTCGCAAATTACATTAACCAGTAATTTGTTAGGATTCAATATCCTATGTTTGAAAACTAGTCTATATCAAAATGGTTTATAAACTATGAGTGGCAGAGCCACTCTTAGACCTGGAGTGGCCTTGGCCTTCCCATATTTTCATCCCTCTTTTATTATACTATATATAATATATAGAATTTGTAATAAACAACTTTGAATTTAAGTTAAAATTTTCTCTAAAACGAATTAGACCTAAGTCAATTAGAAATATTTAGCTCTAAACATATAATTATTGAATACTTAGGTGTTTTATATATTTGTATTCTCTACTTCGGCCTCCCAACTTTACAATTCTAGCTTCGCCGAGTTAATAGGGGCAAGATCTACTCATGAACTCATAGTAATTTGGTATCAGCCATGGCTACACGAGAGTATGAGCACCAGGAGCGAAGCCAACACGGGACCAGTGTGGTCTCAAGCCCCCACTCCACTTTAACCTCTTTTATTAGACTAGTTTATAATATATTAGATTAGTTTTAGGATATTTACTCTAAAATAAAATAAAATATTAGGTTCTTTTGGTCTACAAATTAACCATAAAATTTCTCGATATATCTTCTACGTACTGATCTCCCTTAAATCTTATAGGTTGTTTTTAGACATTTGCACTAAAACTCCTAAAGTTTTAACCTTTCTTTCTCTTCCTCTTTTGTTTTAAAGCTTTGTGAATTTTTTATTTTTCTCATTTTTTTATGTATGACTTGGGTTCCTTAATATTGCACTTTATGAACTCTTTATTTTTCTATTTAGTTTCTCTGTTGGAATATAAATGATTAATTTTTAAGTCTTTAATAGTATAGATAATGAAATTAGTATTTAACCAATTTAAAATATAAAATTCATAATAATTATGAAGTGAAGCCCCCCTCTAATTTGAAACCTGAGCACCATCCTTGCAAGCCATTTTGTAAGTTAACAGAAAAAAAAAAAAAAAAAAAAAAAAAAAAAAAAAAAAAAAAATTTGGGAATATGGAAATATAAATTAATTACACCAAAACCAAGACATACAAAGTCAAACAGATGGCGGTGAAAATTATATGCCATCGCTTTGCATTAATAAAGTAAACAGTAATTAGTTGAAAGTTTAACATCCCAGTAAGCAAGAGTATTTTTGTATTATTTCATTTTAAAAGTGGATAACTCAATGAAAAATGACTTTGATCAATAGTTTACGGTTCGAACCTTTATGATACTTTGTCAATGAAAAATAACTTTGATCAGTAGTTTACGGGTCGAACCTTTATGATACTTTGTCAATGTATGTGAGAAAATATCACTCGTATCAAAATACTCTTATAAATATCCAATAAAGAAACTGAAAGAAAAAAAATAAATTCTTTTTCCTTAGTTCGTACAAATTAGAATATCAAATTTCGAAGAAGCGTTGTTTAGAGAGAAGGGTAGGTAAAGGTAGGTGATGTGGACTAATAATTTATGCCTACCTATTTACTCTATTTTGTTTGGGGGTTTAGTCAAATTTCAATCTGAGATTAAGGCAGATTTGATGTGTGAATTTGAAAGAAGTTGGTTTGTTTCCCCAACCTAAAACAAAATCATTACCCAAAAATAAAACAAAAACAAAAACAAAAACAAAATCATTACAAACTTTCACTTCTGAGAGTTTCTTGAAATGCTCAAAAAACTCTTTAACATGATGATGTTGATTTGTCATTGGCTTTATGTTTTTAATTTAGATTAATAAATTAAACTTTTCCCCCGAATTTATGGCTTTTTAGTTTTTAGTACAAAAATTTGTGTGTTTAAGCGCAAACACCAATGCCATCAACCTCAATTTAATTCCTTAAAATGGTAATACCGGCATCGTAATGGAATCTTTTTATTTCCTCCCAAAATTTCCCGCCAAAACTCTGTCATCTCATTGGTGCAATCAGAATGCAGCTACCGGTCCACCTCACAATCAAATGCCAATTATTTTTTTGACTTACTTTTTAAAAATAAATAAAAAAATTAAGAAGAGAAGGTAATGCAGAATCAAATTATTGAAAGACCCCACCCACCAACACTTCCATATTGAACATACTTCTTACTTTTATCCACACAAATTTTGGTACTTATTTGCTTACATATAAATGATTGTCGATCGTTAATGTGTGTGAATTATTTACATAGCAATGATAAATAGTCGTTTACATATATATTAGAGCTACGGAAGCAAAGCTCTTGAAATTTGAACTAAGATAACAAAACAAAATGTGGAAAGAGTCGGAGGGTAAAGCATGAAAAATTGTAAATTTTATTTGTATTTTTTTTAACTTGAAAATCCGACGAATGCCATATTTTAAGGTCATTTCAAAGACCAACCAAACACTAGGTATGAAAGTTGTTAAGTTAATGTTAAGAGAAAAAATGAAAATCAAACACTCTATTAGATAATATTAGATGAGACTTGTTATGTGACATTCGTGAGTGACTTCTAATCGTAAATACATGTGAATCCTACAATTGTTCTCACATACATCAATGGTTAGAATAAGTGATGCGCCAATGCCCGTTATCGACCCAAAGCATTCCCCTAAGGAGCACACGTGGAAGCTAATGGAATTTACTTGTTCCCCAAGACCCTTTAAACTAGTATTGTTCAAACTTCCAAGGGGAATCTCCTAAAAACCCCAAACCAGAATAGTCCATGATGACACAAATTTCACAGCGTCCGTTCCCTCTGATTTTTAACCTTCTTTCCACCGGGCTCTGTTATTCTTTCCCTAGGGGGGCCAACTGCCGCACAGGTGGCTAACGTGTGGACTGCTCTACCCAATCATCACTCCCTCTCTCACTTACATCTCCAAAACTAATTTCAATCGTTTTTTCACGTCCTCCCGCTTCTCTCTCTCTTCAGGTGCCCATTTTGCCTTTCATTCATCACGGGTGTAAAACATCGCGTGATATGTAACCCAGAAAAGATAAAATAAAATATCGCGTGATATCACCGCTTGCGTAAATCGCGGTTTCCGAGGAGGCTGGTGGTGACAGTCGGAGGAGCAATCACGCACTGACACTCCGCAACTACTGACCCCCCAGCCAATCAGAGGGCAGGTGGCTCTTCCTTCTCACGGGTCCCTTGTTTCTGTCACTGACACGTAATTTCAACGGGCTCCGTCGGTAGATGTTTGGCCCGACCTGTAGCCACTCATTCAACTTATGGGCCTTCTCTTCTCGTGTATTTTTAAAAAATTTATGTTGTAATTTAAGTGATTAAAAACAGTTATCCTAATGGATGATTAGCTCGGAGCGACTCAACCTCGTTTAGTTTGTGTTAAGTAGTTGTGGTGTTTCCAGCTCATTAGAAAAAAAACCGTTATCCTTGAAAACTAATTAAATTTGTCCGAAGAGTCGGCCTCGATGTCGTGTGTTCGAATCCCTTCCCCAGTAATACCGAATTTTGAAACCAATTACTGTCGTTTTTGTTGGACTACAACTACAAATTTCATCTATTTGCATAAATTTACATACACTTATAAGAAAAATACATTTTCTAAATGTATACATATGAATGAATGTTGTATAGACCAACCAAAGTTCTAAAACTGTACAATCATGCTTCTTGATATGAACCCTAAACAGAAATTTATTAATACTCGGGAAGCACAGCATTTTCAACAAACACTACTGTATTCCAAAACTCTACATTTAAATACGTAACTACTAAGCTGAGGTTTTGCTGGTTTTAATCATTTCTCAATCTGAGGTTAAAGACTCATCTTGTTCATCTCCACTACTAGTGGAGGGAGCATGGGCAGCTGATCTATTCTCAGCATCTGCCGGAGCATCAGGAGAAATGGTTCCTTCTGAACTAATACTAGCGATAATGAGAGCAAGAGAAATATCATCTATGTCTCCGATCACTAGCTTTAACTGATTACGAATCGAGTCCTTGCGTACAAGCTTAAACCTGTGTTCCGGTGTATGCTGCTGATTAAATCGACCTGGAAGCTTAGAATTGGTGTTATAACAATGGCTGCAGAGGTCGAATCCTTTTTTCTCGAAACAATCTAAGCAATTGTATCTATCCCCAATGATGGGAAACATCTGCAGACAAAAACCAAGATGTTACTGAGCTGCGTAAACTTTATATACGGTGAATGAGCAGGGAAAAAACAGAAGAGAAGGACTGATCTAATCAACCTCCCATATTACGCAAACGTAAAGCAAATATAAATGAGAATGTCACTTCCATGAGAATTGAAATGCTATAAGATCAAATTTTTTTCCCAAGAAATGTTATAATATCCACATTGCATCGCCATAAAAACATGAACAATAAAGCGAAAAAGATGTTTTGAAAATGTATTGAGCAGACATGTCAAGCCACTAAATCGAAGCATAAATTTTCAGGGAAAGGGAGAGCTAGAAATTTACCCCACAAGAATCACAACCAAATCTTATGTGAACTTGGTCAGACCATGGTGATAACTTCTTTCTTTGCGTATCAGCTTTTGTTGCACCTGCGAGGATACACCAACAATAATATAACTGAAAAATGTAAGATATGACGAGTTCACACCATAGCACTACAGCAGTATAGCAAATAAGCTCAATCATAAGATAGATATATCAGCAACATCAAACCCAGGTACAATTTTTGTGTATCATTCTATGGTTGATACTAAGGCGAAAGTGACAAAAGCAATTTACTTTCTGAGGTATTTGATAATTGCAAGCCTTGATTAAACAAGTTGGAAATCTTTTATGTATTATTGCTTGTTGTGCAGTGAAGGTCAAAAATCTTCCATTAATCATATTTATAGGTTTGTAATTTAGCTTTGTTAGTGAAATAACCATCCAAGAAAAGTCGCAACCTATGTAAATTGATGTAATACTTCCAATCGGTTAGCAAATAAGATTTTGAGAGGTTATTCATAAACTACATGCTCTCAGTATTGTTGATGCAACTCTAAGCCTAGGATGCCTAAGGAATACTAGGGGCAAAGCATATAAACTCTTCTTCATCTATTTTCAAATGCTATATTAAATTAAACTAAAATTAAACCGCACAAGTACTACGAATCATGCATAACCAATGCATGATTCTATATCTAATAAACTTAATCATCAGAATCAAATGGAATTGAGCATTATTGGACTTACAGGCATTTGGGTTCTCATGCTTGGAATCAGCTTGTTTAAGCTGTACAGCAGCTCTTCTAAGTGCATATTCTTTTGGAAATTGCTCCTCCAGAAAGTGTCCAAGCACCAAACAAACTTTTGGAAATCCTGATGGATGAGAACTTTGACAAACGTTACATCTAAGCATCTGTTCATCTGGTTTAACAATGCAACTTTCACAATATACTGTACAGTGAAAAAAAAATGAATATTAGAATAACTGCACATACCAATTCAGAACAAAGGACTGAAACCTGATAACATATAATAAATTTGAGTGTTCAACGTACCGTGGCCACAGTTAAGAACCACAGGATGAAACGACAGTTGCTTGCATGCGGCACATATCGCATCAGCAACTGAAATCCGGTCGCCACTCCCGCTATCCGTGTTTAACAGGGAATTCTTTTCTTCATCAGCAACATTCCCAATTCCCTCATAATCTCCACCATGGGTTTGCTTAGGACCAGCTGTGCCATTATTCTGAATATGTAAGTCTTGACTAGCTTGTGAGCTGCATCCATGTGCATCTAACTGCGGCGAGAAGCAGCCACTTCTCTTCTCTTCCTCTGCAACATTCAAAGGTAACAATAAACGCAATCAGAATTTTATGAAAACTGACCAAAGTATATGATCGTTAGTTAGAACAATTGAAGCCAAGAAGAATAGAACAAGATAAGAAGAAGAAGTTTAAGAGGATAAAAAGATGAAGCAGAGCATACCAAGAATTTGCAATTCCCTTCTCTTATAGGCAACAGGGTACTTCTTGAGTAGCAAAAATGAAGCATTTGACAGATGGTTGGAAAATGATTATACTCATGCCTACACAGCGGACATTGAGATTGGCCTAGACTACTCATCGATCTATGCACACACCAGAAACACGAAACGTGACCACAGGCTGCAACCCACAATAAAAATACATAAACAAAAACAGTCAAATAAACATTTGAAATCAAATAATCAAAATTATTTGATGATACGATATATGTGAGTTTGCAGTAGCCCTAGACTTGGGTGTTCGTGTGTGTTGTTGGTGACTCTTGTTCATGAAATTTAAGTAACCAAGTATGCCGACTTACAGAGCACTATAGGCTTGTAAAGAAGATCCCTGCACCGTCCAAAAAACAAAAATGCACAGAAATCAGCATAAGCAAACGCAATTGTATTTACACAGCAAATTGCTCAGAATTCAGAGAGTGTATAGATTTGGGATACTTACAAACAAACGCAGCAGATGAAGGAATCGGGGATTTCCTCCTGTTCAACGCCGAGTGAAATTTGATTGTCGTCCATTGAATAGATTTGGTGGCTAGCGCTGCGAAACCCTAGAGTTGGTAGAGAGACAGAGAGAAGCAGAGGAGGCAATGAAGGTGCGAAGATTCTACACACACAGATTTGTTAGCTTCCTCTGTTAAGCGTCACGTCTCAAATATGGCGGTAACTAATTAGTTGGAAGGCGAGGCGTGTTTGTTGTGGAAGTGCTCGGTGTACCCATAAAACGGTGGTTCTTCTTGTCATATACAACTGGTATTCGAGGGATCGAAAGCACGAGATTAGTTGTTTACACCAGTTGTATGCAATGTTATTTAGACATGTGTTAAAAAATGCACGCGCATCGAATCCTAAATGGTTACAAGAGACCATATACTCATATTTGATACACTGTGTCATAGGGAAGGTAATAGAGGTTGCAATTTTTTTGTGGTAAATACCACAAGGTGTCCCCACACTTGAATGGTGGGATTAATCTCCATTTGGAGTTCAGCTTGCCCTTTGCCGCAAAGTGCTTTCAACGGGTTTCGAACATCAGCCATTGAGGCATCAGGTAGCTCGTCAGTTGGAGGTGACAGTTTATCAATTACACCACACCTTATAGTTATAGAAGTTGCAATTATGAGTTGGGCTATATTGTCAAAATTCTTGCATACAACTGTTGTGTATAACTTCATTATTGTAAAATGCAACGGTAAATCAGGGTTAAATGCGTGAAAGGAGTTGTATGTGACAATTGTGTTCAAGATTATTTTGCCGTGTTAGGCATGCACGTGTATGGAATTGGATTTATTGATGTTATTTGTCCCCATAGTTTTATGTGTAAATTTTAGATAAAAATAAGATATTAAGATGCACGTGCTGTAGAAAAAGTCTTGAGCACAAGAGAATCCGTGTTAAGAAACAAAACAATAATTTAGACAGAAAATAAAAGTAATTTGAGATTCTTAGGTCTAATCTAAGCTATGATTGGAAATAAGAGATAACGGTTTCATTTCAATCTTGATTCGCAACCCCACCACAAAGACATCACAACCATCACCATCGAAGTTGACATGACACCTATCTACGTCGACGTTGTCTTGTTGCCATGTTTTATTTTTTTTTATTATTTAAAATTTTATTTTTCATTTTGTCTGATATTGTAGTCTCAGACAGAAAAGAAAAAAAAAGATCTTGTAGTCATGCTTTGCTTTTGTATCGACCACATTTGAAGGAAGATGCATCATTAGATAGTATTACAAACAGTAAAATAAAAATTCGATACCCTAAACAAAATGACATTCTTGCCTCAATTCATGTAAGGAGATACTCCTTCCTGTAAATCACAATTTGACATGTGCAAAAATAATTCACTGCTATTGGTAGAAAAGAAGCATTTTTGGTAGAAAAGAAGCATTTTTGCTAACTACAATATGTACTCTCACCAACCTTATCAACATTAGACATATGTCTATTGATACAATCATGGTTCCATAAATACAAAGTAAAGAGTTAACTATAATTATGTCAATGGACACGTATCAAATGTTAAGAAAGGTGATAACATCTAAAGTTAAAGTAGCGAAAAAAAATGTTTCCTTATCAGAAATGTAGGAGGAAAGTATTTTCCTAGAGATTATGGTTTCAATTTGATAGCCGGGCTCGTTAATTCAGTGAGAGATTTATGACACTTTTTGTTATTAAGTTAATTGTTTGACAATTACAATGATATTGCAAGATTTTTCCTAATAAAGATAAAACACCCATAAAAACAGGCACACAAATCATTCAACCATAGAAACCAAACTTAAGAAATTACATTAGACAAAAGACCTAACCCGAAGGGAACAAAAAAAAAAGAGTTTTTCTACTAGATTTTAGATATAATTACTATATGATATTAATACTTTGAGAAACCCTGCCTATAAAACTATTTACCATAGTTGAAAACACCTGCATATATATGAACTCGAAACATCTGCCACTGAGTTTCCCCCTTCCAGATACCAACATAGTACTTAAATTTACTTCCATAGCTTGACGGAGCTGTCGTGACTTGCAGATGCAACCATTCCAGTGTCGGGTGACTGCGCAAGAGCTGAGATTATATTCTCGTGAGCCGAAATTGTCATTCTCTTGTTCTCAGTCATGTTCCACAGTTCCAAAGACTAGCTCGCAAGCATAAAAGCAACTATTAGCAATAAATCGGCTTTTTACATGACAAGATGGCTCACTCACATAGAAGAGTTTAAGAATTTACCGAGATTCCTCCAATGACCAAGAGAGTTGAATAACTTGGGTGAAAAACACAAGAATGAAACTGGTTGCCGTTAGAGCCAAGCTCCTGAATACACTCGCTTGAAGCTAACGACCAAATCTTCACCAAGTTCTGACTGACAGATGCCAGATAGTCTCCATTTGCATCCCAACAAATGTAGTTTACCATTTCAGAGTGTCCCTGAGAATGAGGATGATGAGTTAAATCATATAACTAATGAGACCTAATTACTTGTTCCTAAAGCAACAAACCAACATTTCCAATCAGAATATAAATTAGTCAACCCCATATTTACAGGCATCGTACCTGTAATGAGTGTGTTTGCCTGTCAGTTTCGACATCAAAGATGGAAACCATTTTATCTGATGCTGCTGCCAGCAGTTGTCCAGTTCTTGGTTGAAATCTCACTTGTGCAGTACCTCCCTATCCAAAACAATGGAGACAATTTTTTGGGTGATCAATGTAGTTTTCATACAAATAAAAAAAATGTAAATTTAGAAGAATGAGATCAGAAAGATTTATGAACCTTGGAATTACGAGTACAGGAGAATGGGTTGATATTCCAGTAGCGAATTTCATTGTCAGGATCACAGAAACAAAATAAGTCCGTCTTCTTAGGGTGGAAGTCAAGGGACATGATAGGTGAGTTGTGCCCTGTATATGCTTGTAAACAATAGTTTGGCTGCCACAAAATATAAATAAGTCAGCAATACTAGTATAATTAATGTGGATACGAATTAAACAAACTTCACATCTCATACAACATAGCATGTAAGATTAATTTCTGTTAGGTACACCCCTGTTGTGTCAGCTGAAGCAGACAATGCATATAAGAGATCAAAGACAATTACATTGGCTGCATCCCATAATCGCACAGATTTGTCAACTGAAGCTGTTGCCAGCTGGGATGAATTTGGTCTAAAACGAACATCTGTTATGACTAACTTGTGCTCTTCGGGAGTACTCTCTGTCTGCAGGGTATCCATGTTCCAGAGTGTCACCTGACATATATAACAAATACTAATTATTCTCATTCTATTAAGCCCCAAAATCAATTATACCATTTCCTTGCATGCATAAAAATAACTATATCATCAACTGAACCAGCAGTTTCTAACATTTATGTTAGCTTGACCACTCCATTCCTTCAAACATGTGCAGGCGTACACTGCTGGTTGAAACAGTGTTTTTGACCTTAATAGAAACTAGGCATGCGTTGTTATACTGTGTATATACCTTTTTGTCATGTCCAGCACTAGCCAGCAGCTTCCCGTCTGAAGAAAAGTGACAGCAAGTAACTTTGCTGTTTCTGGTCCGTATGCAACCAACTTCACCAAATGTAAAACCTGAATAGGAGAATGTGGCCACAGCTTAAGTAGAATGAAGAAATTTTTTCCAATTCCCCAGAAGATACAATGTATATAATATCAAGTTACCTTTAGAACACTCTTTATGGTGCCCTGCGGGACTCTGCTTTAGTGTCCCATATAGATCCCTCCTGTTTTCCACATCATGTGACAAAAATGATTCCACATTATCTTCTAAAGAACCAACATCTCCAAATCGTTCTATGTCATCCTGCACTAGGAAAAAATGCTCTTAGAAGTAGAATCATTCCACCTATCTTCCTTGTTTCCACATCCATAAAATATCAAAAAAAATTATACTCAAAACTTATTGATAACAACGATTGCTCAACAATCAAACCAAGCGTTTTGCAAAGTTGACTGATTTCAAAGTTTTTTTGGAAAATTTTGACAAAGTTTATACTTAAATTGATAGCTCAAGTACTATACCCATATTTGGGAAAGAATCAAATATCACAAGTACGAATATGAAAAGCAGCATAGTTCTTTCCATTAAAAAAAGAAGCAGCAGCATATTAGAAACCAACCCAAATATGTGTACTTCCACATATCCTGTAAGTAAACTGTATGCCATTCACATCCATATTTTAAAGTGAGCATACCAGTAAATTGGAAGACGAAGGAAGGCCTCCTGTTCCTTCTGGACCATACATCATCAAGCTTTTTGGTATGCTGTTAACGTGCTGCAGACTACTGGCTGTGTTAATTCCATCACCAGGTGTGTGAGTTGATGGGGGAGAACTAGGTGAAGGGCCAACAGTGTTTCCTGTGCCGGTGCTGTTGGCAGGTCCAGAAGAAGAGTGTTGTTTCCTTTTTCTGTTATTCTGCAGGGAAAAAACGGCTAAAGATGCTGATCAGCTTATCTAAATATCAGGTCCTTGTCTATAAATTTGGTTCTTTGAAACAGCTCAAGTTTAGAAATAAGCTCAAAAACTAAATATAGCAATAATTTTCCATGCCCAAACTTGAATCCGTAACCAAGGGCTGATGGAAAAAGTACAAAGTTTAGTTCTGCATAACTATGCACAACCTGTTGCAGTTGCTGCTGTTGCAATTGTTCATGTTGTTGGGAGGAGGAGTGTTGCATCTGGGCCATTTTTATCTGTCGAAAACCAACAACGCCTAAGATATTTTGAACCTTGCAAAGGATCAATGTTTTTTTAAAACATTAAATATAAAAAAATCACAAGAAACAAAGACTGTCAAACCAGTGAAAAAGTCATAAAATGCCTAAAAGGAAAATTTTGCAGAAAATGGTGCATGAGCATCAAGGACAATAGATTTAACAGTATCCTAAACTCTAAAACCCTAATACTAAAAACTGGTTCAATATGCTCTTTCCGTCTTTTGGGGCTGTTAAACACAAAGAAAGAAATAGCGATTAGTGTACAATCACCTGATTTATATTTTTAAGCTCCTGAAGTTTCATATTCTGGGGCAATAACGACATAGAATACATAACTTCTTAATCATTATAGGGCAAATACGTCACATACCAAAACCATAAAGGTAACCGACTAACATAAATAATGTAAGAAGGTAAAATAACAAAGTTTCTAATCTCTCTGTGCATGCGTACTTTGAATCCTAATCCTCATGAGATGAATCTATGACATTAGAAAGGTTACCTTTGGTGAACTTGATAGCACTGGAGAGCAGATAGATCCATCATTCCTAGTATCTTGACCATCTTTTGCATTCAAGCCACCCCTGGGCAAAAATCTACGAGCATCCATATCTCCGTAGTTCGTTGAATTTCCAAGGTTACTTTGTGCCTGAGCCTGTGCCAAGATTTGCTGTTGTTGAGATGCCAAAAGGAACTGATTTTGTGTATGAAGATTTGGCTTCTGTACTTGTACACCCAAGTTTGGTCGTAATTGGTCAATTCCCTGCATTATGGAACAGTTATCACAACAAAGATTTAAACTCACAATAGAAAGAAGAAACAACCAAGAAGAAAAAACCATATATAACTTACAGTTAGAGGCCAACCCTTCAAAGGAAGACCCGTAATACCTTGACTTAGTCCTGAAGGACGAAAGGAAGATTGCATTTGTAAAATTTCTAAGCACAATTACCATTATTCCCAACATGTGGGGCCATATCTGAGAAAGGTAGGGTAAAGTATTGTCACCTGCACCACCCAAGCCAGATTTCGACTGTAAAATTGCTTGTCCATAAATTGATGAAGGATCCATAGGCAAACTTTTCTGAGTTGCACCCAAGTTAACTTCGCTTTTGATTTCCTACAATCTCCACAAGTCCACACATTAAATTGCTCAGTATGCTAGAAAAAAAGAGGCAAAGAAACCAGAATATAATAAAGTTGAAAAAAAGAAACATGCATGAAGAGTAAAGGTAGTCTGAGTAGTTACAGTGGTTAAAGGAGTTCGTCCCTGGATTTGCTGCAAAGCAGCTGGCATGTTCCCAGAATTGCTTTGTACCAACTGGCTGAATCAACAAGAACCAAACAGATGAACGACCCATTCTTTCCAGGCAAATGAAATGAAGGGAAAAATAAAGCTCAAATAACTACAAAAACTGAGGACAATTTACCCTTGTGGATTTGCAGCTGATTTGAGTAGGGCCATTCTATTGGCATCAATAAGCGCAGGGGATGTCTCCGAATCCATCGAGTGAGGGTGCTTCATACGCTCTTCATACATTTTCATGGCTAGCACACTGGCTGAGGTTTGCCCCATTACTCCCTCAGAGTTTATAGCATTTATAGAACCACCCAGAGCAGGATGATTAGGATCCCTACGCTGTAACTGAGCATTGCGCTGCTGCAATAGCTGCAGCTGCTGCATCTGTAGCTGTTGTTGCTCCCTTGCCTTAATTTGCTGTGCCTTAATTTCATGAAAACATATTCAGGAGAAAAAAAAAGCCCGAACAGTAATTTTTGTTGTTGAGAAAATATGAAAATCTAAATATATGAAGGAACCTCAATGTAAGCTGCAGCAGCCTCTGAATGCTTCTCATTTGTCCTTGCAATGAATATGTCCCAGAAAACAGACCACCATTCAAAGAGGAATCCTCCTGGTGCATCAATTGCTGCACATTCAAATCTAAAACAGGTTTACTCTCTAGAAAATCTCAACATATATACCATAAGACATTCACACCAAAATCTATTTTTGGAAAGAAAAAAACATATACTATCAAATCATGCGGTCGCAGTGCAAGCACGTGGGCATAAACCATAAACCATGATATAAAATGACGTTCTGCAAATGCATGCTAAGTTGAATCTTCAAAATCACATAATCAGTAAGCTGACTGAGAATGAATTAGAAACTGACAACATTACCTACTGGATCTGTAGCAACCTTCCCTTCAGTCATAAATGCGTTTGCGGAAGCAATCAATTTTCTTTTCAACAGATAATCATGAATATAAACATCAAGCCTGTAGCAGAAAAGCAAATCAATAACTGGGTAAATATCGAACTGATGATCAATTCACAACAGTAAAAGGAAAGGAACAACACCCAGGAACAAATTATCATATAGAAAATTACAAGCAGATAGAAAATATAAAAAAAAATTGATTAATGCAACACTTACATCTTATCAGCTTCCCAATTGCTCTGTGCCATGTTTTACCTTTATTAAATAACTCCAAACAAATTAACCACGAGCAACCACTGTTTGGCCTGCAATTCTATATCACCACCCACAGCTTCAGTATCCCCTCATCAAGGTAAATTCAACCAAAATAACTAAAAATGATAATTCATTTGTGTAAAACAAAGAAAAAAACAAAGAGAGGATAAATTCTGTTCGGTTCCCAGAAAACACGAAAAAGAAAATGGAAATTCAACCGTTGTAGTTTATTATTTCACAATTATTACCTCAATTATGACTCGAACTTCAAATCATCTGTATGAACTCCACATAATTTTTTTAATCAACCAAAAGAAAAAGAAATCATATAATGCACAACTTCACGAACTTTTCCCTCCATAATCCTCGAGTTTCAGAGCAACCAAACAGAGCAAAACTCAAAACCAAAACCACAGAATTCCAACAGTTCTCATCGAAATTCAGCTGAAACCATACCAGTGAAACAACGGATCAACGCCTACAGTACCATTCCACCAGATCTCCACCTCATAAACTCTGACACAAACTTCATCAACCAGAAAAAGAAAAACTACAGAAAAAAAAATCATCAAAGATTTAGCTGACGACCATTTTCTCCTTAAAATGAATTGAAATTTCGTGACAGTGACAGTGATCTGAAACCTTACGTGCTTAATTCACTTAAAAGAGTGTGAAGTTTTTTCTATGATCTCCCTTTTTTTCCGAGAAAATAAATGGACTCTTTCTTGAGTGTAACTGAAGTAGAAGAAGGGCCTTCGAGCTTTTAACAGTGAAAAAGAAAAAGAAAATAGAGAGAGATTCGCGACCAGAGATATTAACGGAAGATGCTTATTAGGTTCGGAGCCGAAGCTGAGGCTTTGGAGCAACGTTCGTGTGAATTTGTTATTGTAGAGACGAGGTTCGGAGTTTGGCTCGTGCTTAAAGTGATGACGTTTCGGTGCGTTTCGGCGCGTTCTTTTGCTCGGTTGTGGGGCCCGTGATTGAATATTACGTGTAACTAGTTTCCCGTTAAACGACATAAGAACTATTTGATCAACAATTTGATCGAACAATGTGATTAAGTGGTAGTTGAATCTCAATTTAATCAACAATGCGACGAGGGAGATTCTATGACACCATATGTTCGATTGAAAGTGCTTGATGTTCTTAAGAATGTGGTCAAGTGGTAAGCTTTTTTAAGTTGTTATTTTTTTTATGTGAGAGAATATTCTTGTGGACCATTTGATGCTTAAAAGAGTATAATTAAGTGGTAAAATTTGTTACGCTACGATATTGGTTTTGGAATATGAACGACTTTAGATGTTCATATAATATATTCTTCTTCAAATTTGTGGGATGTTCATATAATATATTCTTCTTCAAATTTGTGGTATACAAAGAATTTTTTGTAATGACTAATGACGCGACTAATGTGTGAAAAATCAAATGCATATTGTATACAAATGATATAAAAGGGCAAGCATTTGCCACATTGTCTGTTGAGATGTTCGAATAAGATATTATTCTTCTAATTATTTTATAGTATATAGTGAATCTTTTATAATGATTGGCAAGTGACTAACATGTGAAATGTGAGTGACAGATTACCTTGAAAAACAATGAAAAAGGGCGAGCATTTAGCAATCTTTTCTCTTGAACATTTGTGCATAGCATTATTAACTTGACAAAAAAGAAAAGACACTCTCTCACCTCAAAAATATGGTAGAAGCCCAATAACATCAACATTAGTTATTGGAAAACTAATATTCGAAGGTTAATTAAAAATACAATAGTGCACCCAAAATAAAAAATAAAAAACTAATATATAATTTTTCAAGCTACGCAAATAAAATATATAAGAAAAAGTCGTTTTGGTCAATTAGTCAGAGTTAAACGAGAGGTGGCGCCAAAAAGTAAACTAAATATTTTCTATAGAGTGCGTGGGGTTTGAATGAGAATCCACGTGGCGAGAGGTAAGTGGTTAGTAGGTTCTAGAAAGTCATGGAAGTGAAAGGAATCCAAATTCTCGTCCCAATAGGTTGGGGCAAGCAAGTATTTAAAGGGGACCGAGCCAAGTTTCTTAATTTGTTTTGCACAAATTGGAGAGAAGAGAACTTTCTTCGTGTCTTCGCGCTTAGGTACGCCCTCTCTCTTTCTCTCTCTCGTATTTCCTCCTCAAAGCACAGCTCGAAATCTAATCGATCAGCCTGTGAGTAGTTCAATTTGATTTGCTCTATCTAATGCACTTTTAATGATAAATTTCTGAACTTTGTTGAGAATTGTAGAAAAATTTTAAACAGAGCTTGATCTTGCGCCGAAAGTTCGGAAATTTTGTGTGTGGAATTTGGGGTTTTGTGTTTGATCTGTGTGATATTTAATGATAAGGTTAATTGTGTAGTATTTTGGAATTTGAACATTGAAAAGGTCTTCTTTGGAGGTAAAAATGATTTGTAAAGTAATTGATCAAATTCTTACAATGTAGCTGCAATTATTTGGTTGTGTTGTTGAATTCTGTATGGAGCCTATTTGAATGCTGCTTAAATGTTAAAAATTGGTAATTTTTTTTTGGCATAGTTTAGGATTTTCCATTTTTGGACTTGTAAATTTAAGTTTGCAATAGGATTTGGGGCATGTTTACGTCCGTCTTGGGCTTTGAAGTGCCCGATTTGAGAGTCGAGTAGGAAACGTCTTTGTTTGCTTTAGCTGCACAGAACTGAATGGTTGTTTCCCCCCTTAAATTTCCCTACTTTATTTTATTTTATTTTTGTTGGTTATTCTTACCAGTGTTGTTTGTATAGGTGATCTTGATTAATTCAGTACCCTACATCTTCTTCAACTGAGCATTTTGATATTGAACGGCTAGAGATGGCAGAGGTGTGTATTTTTCTTTTTTATTGTATCGTAATGTTGTTTGTTATTTTCCCCATGTTTATTTCTTTTTGGGTTTGCAATTAATATATTAAAACTTGGTTGCAGGAGGGTCACAAGGTCACTTTGAATGTATATGACCTGAGCCAAGGACTAGCTAGGCAGATGTCCGTGGCTTTCTTGGGGAAAGCCATCGAGGGCATATGGTAAGTGTTTTTTGTTCATTGGAATACAAGTGTGGAGTGCGTTGATTTGAGGAAGTACTGTTATTTCCAGTTTTTCTTAGCAAGGCATTTGCATTGGTTTCAAGTCTTCATTGTTAATTTTTAATACAGGCACACAGGAGTTGTGGTTTATGGTAATGAGTACTATTTTGGGGGAGGCATACAGCATGCTCCTGCTGGATCGACACCATATGGGACACCAATACGTGTGGTAGAATTGGGTGTCACACATGTGCCCAAGGATGTATTTGAGATGTATTTGCAGGAAATCAGTCCCCGCTATACTGCTGAAACCTATAGTTTACTTAATCACAATTGCAACAACTTTAGCAATGAGGTTGCTCAGTTTTTGGTGGGTGCAACCGTTCCAGACTATATTCTGGAGCTCCCTAATGAAGTTATGGGCAGTCCAATGGGTGCTCTTATTTGTAAGTTATATTTATTTTCTGTCTGTTTTTGCCTATCATTAGTTAATACTTCGTTATATGGATTTCCTTTGTTTGAAGTAGCATTTTTAATATTTTAGTGATACAGATAAGTAAACTTAGAATCTTCCATGTTTGGTGTGTTTGGTTTTGGAATTTAAGATTAAAGAGAGAGAATTCAAGATAATGAGTTTTAATGGAAAGGAAGGTTGTGTGGATTGTTAATATGGAACTGTGGTTCAATAATGCAAGCCTTCTCTGAATGATCCCCCTTACTTTCTTTTGCAGTGCCCATGATACAGAATTTGGAAGCAACACTGAAAAGTGGTGCTGCTCCTCAAGCTCCGCAATTCAGGCCCCCTGTGGTTCAACCAACAACGAATGTCATGAAACCCTTGAGTAGTAGTTCTAACACCAAGATTGGTGCTAAATCGAAATCTGGAGGGCAGCAGCTCACCAAGTCCGAGGAACGGGGAACATCACAGAGTGCTGTCAAACCTGCCAATGGGGTTGTAGATCCTCTTGGGGACGCTCGAAGTAAGGTGCAAGAAGAAATCTCTGCTGAATTTGCTGCAATCATGGCAAGTGGAACATTCCGTGCAAGCGAGGCTGCAGCACTTGCAACAAGAAGAGTGATGCAAAGATACAGTCATGAAAGTTCAACGGTGTCGCAGAGTTAACAGATGTAAGGATGCAAGTCTCACTATTTGTTTCAGGGTTGGTCATTTGGATTTGGCAATTATTTCTAGGAAGCTACTGTCCAATTTGCTTCTTAACGGGGACTGGGGACTCATTCTCCCACCATTGGAATTCTAATATTTATTTATCGTAATATTCTATATTGTTATGAAGGAATTTGCTTGGAGAAGCGATCAACAATGGTACTTGTCAAGGTTGAGTCAGTAAGGCTCCTCTGGTGGACAATGCAGAGGGTCTTCGTAATTTTTAGTGTTATTTTTTGGCTTGACAATTTTTAAATTTCAATGATTACTTGGAGACGGAAAGGTTTTTATACGAGTGACCAAATGACACATGAAATCTAAATAAAAACCAAGACACGGGTCCTGACCTCACCAATGTGTCCCCATCACATAAGTTGGAGCAATTTAGAATATCACATTTGGGTAAAATTGAACAAAGAAAATCCACCAGAAACATAACTTACTGTTTCTTCTACTATCGAATGATTGGATGAGACAGACAATCCTAACATGAAAGTAAATAGTATTGCAACTAATGCTTCTTTTTATATCAGGCAATCAGTAATTACATAATTAACTAACTTTGATCGAAGTTGCATTTACAAAAATTTCTATTAAGCGGTATAGTACAACATATATTTGCATTCAGAGTAACCTCATCGTGCTATGAAGGGGCAGCTGAATCTGGCGTGCCTGATGAATTGTGAGCTTCAACGGTCAGACCAATATTTTCCTTCTCTAGTACATGCATAGATTCATTTGATTTGTTAAAAGCATCAGTGGGAATGTTTATGCCCGTGAATCCAATCATGACAGCCACAGCACCAAGGTAATCAGCGAGATGAGGAGCATGGCCAGTCATTGAGTCCACAATTGCCGCCAAAGGAACCTGTATCGTTAGACCGGCTGTTGCTACTGTGGTCGTTGTTAGAAGAACAGCTTTGGCCCATAGATAATCACTCAGAACGTTATCCAACAAACCTAAACACCACATAAAATTCCATATGATTTAGTATAGGTTTTATATGAAGTTAGAAACACAACATCAAACTCCACATGACCTATCTGTATGCCTGTGTGTCCCAAGCCAGCTATGCTCATATCTTGCCTAAAATAATGGACTAAAAATCATGCAAAAGAGAAATCGGTATTGGACCACAATGAAATCGGCCTATCATCAATAGGTTATGGGATTCAGTAACTAAAGGTTTATTTCAAACGAGCTACATGTACAAATAAATGAAAAACCAATATTACTCACAGAATGCTTTTCTTTAGACAATAGCTATAACAGTAGTCAAGCAATAAATGCAAGATCTTATCAGATTGCCTTGCCATAAAATCACCCAATACCTAATATATCAGCTTACTAGTTCTGGATGAAGTAAAAGTTTTGCCCCTCAAAGGATACCATAAGCTATTCATTCCACCCCCTCCCTCTTCCGGAAGAAAAAAAAGCATTAAAATTATTTCTTTGCATGTAGAACTGGGCAGACATAAGTATGTTGGTGTGAAGACCAATATACTAGAAGCACTTGAGTTTCAATTATCAAAGTTTACTCATCAAATGATAAGGAAGATGCTGCCATGCAATTTTAGTTGTTAAAAATAAATCAGGTTTAGAGTGAGACTAAATGAAACCCTGGGATATGAGTTGGTATCCAAAATTTTAAGATTGGTGTCTTTAGCATTGCTCTAAGAATACATGCAAAGACAAATAGAAAAAAACAAAGGTATATATCAGAACAGGTAACTCCAAGTTACAAAGCATATAATATAACAATTAACTACGAACCTTTGCCAACAATGAGACCAACCTGCTCCCAGGTTAGCATATTAAAGGGCTCCAACTTTGAGAAATGAAGTATAAGGGCAACTGGGAGAAATATAAGAATGTTGCAAAGCCCTAGAAAGCCCAGAAACTGGGCCATACTGGCACGGCCACTTTTTTCATCATCCTCATCCGGTAACTTCTTGCGAATTAGGGTAACATACACAGAATACAAGGCTGCCGAGACAAGAGCAAGTATGTCTCCGAGTAGAGGGTTCGAAGCAATTGTACTTAAAGTAGTTCGTGAGTCACCAAGGCTGACAATTATCGTTCCTCCCATGCAAAGAAGAACACTAATAAACTTCACCAAAGTAAATTTCTCACCTAAGAATGCTAGAGAGACCAAAAAGGTGAAAAGGCTGGATGCACTGCTTAAGATGGTATTCGACTGCATGCAACAAGAAGAACAAATCAATCATACAAAATTGATGAAACACATGAACCAATTTAAGAAGCAAGGTGTGCCATACAATGTTGAAAAATACTTACTGTAACTGTAGTATACTTCAATGACAAATTGAAAGTGAGCTGTGCAAGAAACCAAAATGGTGAAATCAATAGGCTAACTTTTGCCACTCGAGTTCGCGTCCATCGCCCTTTTTCATCCACTTGCTTATCAGCAGTTTCGTTGACATTGTCTCGAGTTGTTGAAGTCCCAACAAGCTCGTATGATACAACTTTTGGTTCTGTTTCTGTACCAAGATTAACTTCTCCATCTTCCGCATCCATTTTCACAATTGCATCACCCTCCTCAAGAAGAGTGGTTTGCTCTGACTCTCCTAATCTCTGCAAGGGGCTACTCTTCTTACTTTTCCAAAACCACAAACCGCCACATGAATCCTCCAAATACCTTCCAATCTCAACTAAGGGAATGTAGATCACAAACAGTGAATTGCATATGTACGTGATGAGAAATGGGGACACACCGGCATCTACAACAGACTGTACTACAAAACTGGCAGCTATCCAGATAGATGCAACAGCAAATATATATATCAAACCTAAAACCCACTTCCAAACTTCACTTTTCATATCTCTCCACTAAATACCAAATCAAATTAGCTCCCAAATCTTGCTTTAAAAATCAGCTCTTGAATTTCAAAAGCCCAAGAAGCAAACTTCCTGTGCTTTCAGAGGATTATAACCAATGCCCAAGTCACTATTAAACCCAGATATTACCTGAAACCACAAAAAAGCACCAAAAATGAGGGAAATAAAACTTGTAAAATTAACCCCATAGCACTAATTCGCAGCAAGACACAATGGAAAAGATACCAATACGATATGAATTGAATTTGTTTTACACCCAATAAACCCCGTCTTGTGTATGTAAACAAACAGGAAATTACCAATACATGAAAGATTTAATCAAATTAAGCTCAATGAGGATTTGAACCCAAAACAAAAATTCAATTTGCATTGCATTGCAAAAGTGTATACTGTAACAAATATATCGTATTGAAAAGGATGCAAAATGTACCTGGCATGAGAATCACATAGGATTCAGAAGTTCATTCTTTTGAGAGAGAGAGAGAGAGAGAGAGAGAGAGAGAGAGGAGTTATCGGATTTGTTGTACTAGAGTTGGATTTTGATCTTGGTTACCGGTCGTGAAGTCCACACGCAGAGACGTACAACGTTAGACAATCAAAGGAAATTGGAGGTGGGTACATGTCAGCCCAGTTATTCAGGCCCAGCTCCTCAAAAAATTATGGTCTTTTTTCTTTTAATGAAAAGAAAAATTGTGATGTTTAGCCCAAACCCAAACCAGTTTGGACTAAAAATAAAAAATAAAACCAAGAATATTAAACCAGACTATAAAATATATATATATTTTTAATATAATTGTCTTTTTTATTTATTTATAATCTTTTCTAATCAAAGTGAAAGAGATGAAAAATCAGAGAGGCTATGAAGAAACTGTTTTTAGTTTGTATTTTTAAACCCTAAAGCTATGATGGATGCGTTATTTCTGCTTAAAGAAAGCCTTGTGAAAAGTAATTCATCAGTAATTTTTTTTTGAGAAGTAATTTTTCTTTAATCAAAGGTGTTACGTTATAGTTTCATTTCATCCTAGGGAATGAGATGTGAACCAGCATTGATATTTGAAATTAATGGAATTACGCAATGATCATATACATTCAGTTTTTCCCTCAGCTATTTACGCAATGAAAAATCCTCCGGTACTTAATTACGGACTCAAGTAATGCTACAAATATCACATTTTATGGCTAAATTTGTATTTGTAAATCATCTCTCATATATGCCAGATCCATCTGTGATCTATGCACATGAACTTTAATAAATGTGGTACAAATGGATTTATGGTGAGGGCCTATGTCATTGATAGAGTGTGACATATCGGGTTGCTATAAAACCGGGAAGCAATGACAGATGAAATCATAAGTTGAGAAAACTTCTCACATGTGAAATTATTGTTCCTTCACGTTCTCTGTTGGATATATACAACTCAGTACAGTGTTACAATCTGGCATTGGCTCATACAGAAATGATTTGTTCTGTGGTAACAACACTGTGACATATATGATTTGTATATATAGATACATGCAACTTAGTTTCAAAATGAAGAAGTACTTGCACATCGTGATGCTCCATTGTGCCTTGAGCTTGAGCCCCATTCTATGGCTTCTGCCACGGCGCGTTGGCGTTCAATCACGCTTTCTTCCTCCTGAGGCTCCTCGGTGATGCTAGACATGGCTTGATCAGGTGATGGAGAGGGCATGCTTATAGGTGAGGTAGCAGTTTCTGGACCTGTCCCAAGGAAACTAAGAGCACTCACCACATCACTCATCAAGGGACGAACCGATGCTTCCTCATGGAGGCACATTGCTGCAACTGCCACTGCTTGATTCAATGCTCTTATTGGAAAGTCTCCTCTGAGAAGTGGATCAGCTAGTTCCGGGTACCGGTTTGGATCCTTAAATACTGGTTCTGCCTGTTAAAGACCCAAAAAAAAAAACTTTTGTAAGATAAAAAACACATGTGACACTTTGTGAATTAGAAGAAGAAAATGTGAGGGGAAGTTTAAATTTACCCAAGAAACTAGATTTTGCTCCCTGGTTGTTCTTGTGGTGTCAATGACTCTCCTTCCAGTGATCAGCTCTAATAAAACAACTCCAAAACTGTAGACATCTGACTTGACAGTGAGTTGGCCTGTTCTTTGGTACTCTGGTGCACAATAACCATATGTACCCATTACTCTTGAAGATACATGTGTCTTGTCTCCAACAGGTCCAAGCTTAGCTAGCCCAAAATCGGACAGTTTTGCATTGAAATCGGCGTCTAGTAAGATGTTTGAAGATTTTAAATCGCGGTAGATAACGGGAGGGTTGGCCTTGTCATGTAAATATTCTAGTCCCTTGGCTGCTCCTAGAGCTATTCTCATTCTTTTGAACCAATCTAATGGCTTCTGGTGTGATGGAATATCTGCAAAATAAGATACAATGCATGAGAAGCCAGACAGCGTATAGTTTTCAAAACTTGGTCATTTTTTGGGATCTTTCTGTGTTTTAAGTAACACTAGGAAGTTTTTATTTTTTATTGGCATTATAAAATGTATAATTTCTTTGCTCTTATCATATAAGGGCACAAGATGGTACAAAAAGAAATTCACAAACACATAGTATAGTACCTAATAAATGGTCTTCCAGAGATCCCAAAGACATGTACTCATACACCAGAAGTCTCTGATCACCATCAGCGCAATATCCGATAAGATTGACTAAATTTTCATGGTGTAAGAGGCTCAACATCAACACCTCGACAAGGAACTCTCTGTTTCCTTGCAAGCCATTCCTGTCAAGTTGCTTCACAGCTACAACCTGAAGTAATTAAGATGAGCCAAAGGGTCACAACTCAATCCTTCAAGTAAGTTTAACACTGAAAACATTGAAGAATCTACAAGGCCCAAGAGCCACTTTACCTGTCCTGTTTTTTCAAGTTTGCCCTTATAAACTCTTCCAAATCCACCCTCTCCTATCAGACATTCTTGCCTGAAGTTCTTTGTTGCTGTCGCCAATTCGCGGAAGGTGAAAGTTTGTGCAGCAATATTATTATTATTATTATTATTGTTTACAGCTTCTTTATTGGCATTCTTAGTGTTTGCTGTTTGTGCTGTTTGTCCTGTTTGTGATGTTTGGTTCTCAGCTGGTGGTGTAGGCCTTGGTTTAGGAACTTCTGCTTATATAAAGACAGATAATTATTTCCCACACAAAAGGCATGGATATGAAATACAAGAGGAGACTTAAATTAAATGCAACTATATTAAAAACCAATGTTCTAATAGGAAGGCTGTCTTGACAATCATTTTCTTCTTGAAAACAATCACAGTGCTTATAACAAACACATTAAGAAAGGCGAAAATGCGACTTACCAGCTGGAGGCTGAGGCTGTGCTGCAACATTGTGTCCCGTTTGAGGAAGAGTGGTGGGCAATTGTCCTGCACTCCCGCTATCCGATCTTTTATATGCTTTCTTTTCATGGGATGAAAAGCAAGAAAAGCAACTCATCTCATGTACTTTATAAATATCTTAAAACTTCCTTGCAATTATCTCAGTTTTTATGATCCTTGCAATGTTTTCAATCCACAGTTTTCAATATGAACTGCAGATTCTGCAGATGAAGAGTTGATCACAAAGTTTCCCAAAAACCAGAAAAGCAATTTTCACAAGAGGAGGCTCAACAGAAAGGTGTAATGGAATGGATTGATTTGCAATGCATATGGTATAGAAGAAAGACAAGGGAGGTTATAAACATTGACAGAAAAACAAGATTTTAGTACAACCAACCTTGAATTTCTAGAACAACAACCTAAAAACTGAAACTAGAATCAACAACTTCCAGGCATGCAGGAAAAAAAACGTTGTTGTCTTTCCCGGTAAAAAGGGATAGTGTAGGTCAGCAAGAAACCAAAATGGGTTAATGTCTTTTGGTGTTTCCGCATAGCATGGAAAGGAAAAAAGAAAAGAGGTTGTGAGTGTCTTAATTTAAAGAGAAAAACGTGGGAACCAAATCTTTTTAATTAATTATTAGTTCCAAAAAAAAAATTTGCTTAATTATTTTTGGCGGTTGTAGAGTTTTTGGACATAATGGGATCTTTCTTTTATCTTTCTAGCTGCGGTTAAATATAGATACAAGACTGCCCCAAAGCTACACAATGTCACATTGGTTATTCATACAATACAGTCCAATATTCAGTGAAAAATAAATACTCAAGCCATCTTACATAGAGATAAACATCCCTTCCCTCCCCTCCCCTTCAACTTATTTTTCCCACTGGTTTAGGAAGCATTAACTGAAATCTTCACTCCCCCATTGCAGTGGCCGGGGACGGTGCAGATGAAATAGTTGAGTCCCTTCGATAATTTGACTCGATCTTTGCCGGTGCTGAATGTCTTAGAGTTTGAAGAAGCGCTGCAACTAGTAAATTCATTGGCATCAACAACTGCAACATTGTGGGAGGATGGATCATAGTTGAAAACTGCACAAAAATAAAAATAAGTTGGTCACATAAAACGAATCGAAACAACCTTGCTTATAGAAAAAAAAGTATGATGCATGTTCTAGCTAGCATTACCAAGTTATCTCCGGCCTTGAACTTCTTTCCATCTGTCCAGTTTTCAACGTTAAAAGTCCACCCGGAATTGCCTCCGACTGTGAACGTAGTAGTTTTTTGAGCAGACACAATGATGAGGAAGAGAGAGGAGAAAAATAGTGGCAGGTTTTTCTGTTTTGGTTGCACTGCATCTTCCCTTCTGAGACATCTTGCTGTTATATGATAAAAAGAGAGGTGTTGGGAAAAGGGTATTCGAATTTAAAACCTCTGAGATGAAGGTAAGTGTCGCATACAAAGTTTGCTTATATAGAATAGAGGAAGTGGCTCAAATTCTCGACAATGAAAAGTTGCTGTTTCTTTTTATAAAAAAAAAATTCACTTTTCTGTTTCTCTGTGTTTCCTTTTCTTCTGTTTGTACATTGCAGTGATACTTTTCTAATCAAAGAAAAAGAACAAAGGCCTGCTGGTGGTTGCTTAAACCATGAAAGAGAAAACGACCTTAGGAAAATAAAGCTTGAGAATGTGCTGGACTGTTTGGATCGATTGAAAAGTGATGAAGAAAAAACAATTGGGTTTGTGAAATTGTAAGTCCTCATGGCACTTCTTCATAACCTCATGATGCTTTTTGTATGTAGTTCATATTATAATGAACGTCATTCCTTCACGGGCCTTGTAGGAAGCCAATGAGCGTTTTACAGGATATCAAAATAAGGCGATTCCATTGCTCTAAAGCACAAATGGAATGACAACAAAAAAGAAAGAAGAATAACAGGGAAAACATGCTTCCATTTACTACAAATTTAAGGCATAAATCACCTTCTTAATAGTTAAAACTTGTGAATCTTATAGTATCAATAAATATCCACTTATATTATAAAATGTGGACGAATTATTCATGCCACATGATGATGTATCATTACCCATAACCATGATGAAGTATACAACATTACAAATCAATAAAAAAATTACGAAGTTACAAAAGAATATGCAGGTAGCAACTCTGAATATTATGAGTTAAGCGATACATTGACCTCAACCTTGGAGTCTCTTAGGATAATATCTTTTGCGTTTTCAGCCTTTTCGTGATCAAGGCAATCCAATTTTATCCTCACATGTAGAGGTTTCATAAATATGAGATCTCTCAAATCTATATTTGATTTTAATAAGAATTGGATGCATGAATCTCTTCCTATCTTTCCACTTTTCTCTGAGTGTAAAATATCTGCTATCCTTGCTGCATATATCTCCTGATTATCCTCTAATAATTCTTTCTTTCTTCTAAGTTTTAAATACAGTGCCGCATAAACAATAACCTGCACAGTGCCAAGAATGAAGATGTAAGGGCAAAATTGGAACCATGGCCAGAGATTCTGTTGCTTTCAAACGACCCAAAACAAAACAAGTAAAGATATTAACTGAAGGTGCACACCTCACTTGTCCCGGGACTAGTATTGACAACACAATCGATGCAAACTTTTCCATTTTGAAATCCTACTTCTGAAGTTGTACTATCATCTTCCGCATTCAACTCTGATTCAGGTGGTGATATCAAAGAGGCAAGATTATCCAATTCATCATACCATTGTTGAGCAACACCAACCTGCGAACTCCAAAGAACTGAAATCCTAAGCTACTAAAAGCATGGAGTATAATATTTTGTACTGTAGGATAATGGAACTTAATCTGGTGAAAAAATGAATAAAAGAAAATAAGCTCTGCCAGATAGGAACCTTCTCTGAAGACCCTCGTACATCCTCTATGCCTGACACTTCGGTAGCGGATCCTCTTGCCTGGCACCATATACAACCTTCTTGTAACTCTTCTACAAGCTCAGTATCCACAGGGATATCTACATTTAACTGTATGCTAACTCTACCTGTTGCACAGACAATAAAACTCTAGGATCAAAAAAGCATTAACTTTTTAAGTTGCATAGATTACCAAAACAGCTTACTCTACATGAGAACTAATGTTGGGAAAGGAATTAGCAACAACTGGCAGACAATTGTTTATCTGCATGTTTGGCAAAATCTTTTTTTTTCTCTCTCTGGGTCCAGCATGTTGACTTGATGACAATAATAAGATGTGAGGAAGCTAAGACAAACAACTAGCACAACATTCCACCAAATAGAAATATTCTCTAACATCTTCAGGAAACTTCGCTCTTTTGCTTAACTTTGAAATAATCATAAATCATGGCAAGGCGATGCATATTCCAGTTGGAAATATCAAGAAAATATAGGCAGAACCAATTCAAATATCACACCAAAGAGTGAAATACAATGTCAAGGAATAGCAGAAGCATATTTAAGAGTAAGAAAAATACCTGGTAACAAACTAAAACATTGAAAATGATCAATCTCTTCCTGATGTTCACCAGCACTGTTAAATCAGCCAAAAATATGAAGAAAAACATGGCATTCGTGAGAAAACAATTCAGCAATTCATTGTCACATAATCAGAACACGGAAAGTATAAAAGAAAATTGGAATTATAAGGAAACTAGCATATTGTTGTCTTCGTAAACATACACAGCATAAACTTTCTCCAAAGAGGAAGACAACCAATAAGGCATTCCAAGGATGCCAAAATTTGAAAACTTGAAGCTCGAACATACTCCAGATTCTTCACTTAGTTTCAATATCCTCTGTCCAACTTCAAAATTACATGCATTGAAATGAGTAATTGAGTATTATAGACAAAGTACAAAACAAACTCACTTGAAGAGAAAAAAAAATCCAGTAAAAATGGTACCCATGTCACAAAGGATTATGTGATTCTGCAAGGTGGTCAACGAAGATAATAGACCAGCATAAGGAAGCCTCTCTGGTGACCAGACAGCATTCATCTGCTGTTGCAACCAATCATGTGGCATATGTTTTAACAGGGTTACTTTTTCCATGATCTGCGGTCCACAGACCTCCAAAATCTCCGGGAACCCTTTTAAATTCTGATGTTAGACTCAGTGAAATGTAATATAAACAAAGTGGCAAAAAAGTTTTTTTTTTTAAAAAAACAAACCTTTGACTACGTCTTTTATGTCTCCTGAAGCCAAATTTAGAATCCATAGAGTTTCAAAGCTGCAAATTAGATCAATTAATCTCATCAATGCCTATATAAAGTTGAAATAAGGCATGGCTTCATTCACCACTCATACTTAGGGTTTCACATGGTAAATTAATTTCAAAATAATCCAATCTCTAAGGTACTACTAATAAAGCACTAAAATTTCATAATCCTAATGAACAAGAAAAAAAAAAAAAAAAAAAAAAAAAAAAGAAACACATTTCACTCAAATGGAATACCACTTAAAAATTAAAGACAAGTGACCACGGATTATTGGTTAGGAAACAATAGCACTTGAAGGGTTTGTTTTACCTTCGGTTTATAATGAAGAGACTATCGTCAATGGATTTGATCAGATGCCAAGGAAACATTAGTGATTGTAAATCAAATTCTTCAGACCTTGTATCAGCATTACTTCTCAAACCTAGACTGAGCATGATCCAAGTCCAAAATTGATTACTCTTCTTAATAGTATCGCCCACTGGATAGAGGGTTTCTAAAACCCGCCTCCCCATATCAGCTTTCCTGATGGCATGATTCTTAGTAGATAGAGACCCACACACGTAAACTGGTAAGTTACAAAACTATGCAAAATAGCCCCAGCCTCATAATCACATATCACAACTTACAAGTCAACACATACCTCTGAATCAACAAAATATAGGCAATCCTCATCGGCAATATAAAATGAGGCTGCAGGGCGTGCCAACTTGGCAGATTCAAAATTTCCATCCTCAAAACCTGGGGAGGAACCGATCTGACACACAAACAACGGAAGTCCAAAATTGAGCTTGAAATTATTTCTTTAATTTATCTTTCAAAAAGTTCAAGCAAACAGACTATAGGAAGACAGAATACTAGGATTCAATTTAAAATCTACATGGGAACACACTGTCTAAGAAGAACTTTGCAAGGCCAATTTTGTGAAAACCGAAGATGATTCCCTAAGAAGTCCTTTCAATGTGGACAAGCAAAACTACCTTTCTTTTTCTATTGAGAGCTTAGAAACTTATAGTCATGCCTGATTTAAGCACTTCAGTAAATAATTAACATAAATTACGGTTAAGGACTAAAGTGGTAATCAGTATCTGAAAAGAATAGCTAAGTTGTCTTCTTGATGTGTTAATTCAGAATTGATATACATAAAGCACACAAATCAGATATAGAAAATCCTGATAAACATATTTGGACTACAAAATCATCAAATCAGGACCAGATTAGAATGTTGAATGGTCAATAATTGAGTTGCTCAAATCTTTTTTGATCCAGTTGACGTATAACTTGATGCTTAATTATGGAAATTGACAAGAGCAGTCCACATATGATTTAAATAAACTTTCATACATACACAGTCCAGAATCTTTCCGTTTCCATCAAATACAATAATCCGATGATGATTGCTGTCAGAAAGGAAGAGGCGGTTCCCATTTTCATCTGCAGAGATACAGCCTGTAATGGAAAAGAATAAAAGAAACGCTTAAAGATTAGGTTCTTAGCAACTTTAGAAACACTTTCTTTATTTTTATATATTCTAGGAAGAATGTTACAAAACTCCTATAATGCTCTACAGAGCAGATGCAATTATAATGCTGCAAGTCGGTGATGCATAGGGAGCATATACCCGGGAAGTATAATAGTAAATTCCTCAAAGAACAGAAATACGGCTCCTTGATGATCTCAGATTGCTTCAACCAAGTGATTTTCAAGTTATTGAGTGACTTGATATTCCCATCATCTTGCACATACAACTCCTCAACAGCTGCACAAGGGCATTAACATGTATCGTGGAATAAGTATATGTATTTAAATGTGTACATACATTTAAATATATGCATATGGCCCACATTAAAACTCATTGAACTCTATATATTCAGTCAACTGACATACTTAAAAACAATTAACGACAATAGAGGGGTAAGAGAAGCTTAACAGGCGAATAGTTTATCATGTTACTAGAGATCATGATCTTTCTCCCACCAAGTGTAACCAAGAAGTAGCAAAAGGGGACGAGGCAGAACCAACAGAGATATAAGACAACTACTGAAGTTTATGAAAAGAGCAAAGAGTAGTAATTTAGGCAGATTTAAAATCTAACACCATCAAATACTTAAAACAGATTCCCCCAAACAAAGTATGATGCTTTATCATAAAATAGAGAGGGAAGTTAAAAGCATAACTACTAAATTAAACTTTAGGACATCTACCGCCAAAAAAATCAGCATGCTACATAGACACTTAAGCAAACCGTAAGAGGAAGTCTGACTATACAGATCCCTTTGTCTCACAGCTACAGTTTCTGTTGTACATTGTTTCTTCAATATTATTCTTTTTTCTTTTTAAGGAGGGCCATAGTGGGGAGGGTGGGATGTCTGATAATATTAAGTCATTAACACTTGATTGTTCAAAATCTCATGATAATATTAAGTCATCAATACTTATTTGTTGAAAATGCCATGATAATATTAAGTCAACACTTATCAGATGAAGAAACGTATTCTTATCTCGAACAAACTTTTAACAAATCTATAGAGGGGTAACATGTGTACCTTTTTTAAGAACTTTGAGGTCCATGTCCTTCTCATGGTAAACCACTGGACTCATAAAATCTTTAAACAAGATGTAGCATGCCCCATTGTCCATCTATATCATCAAATCAACTATTAATAATTGTGAGAAAGAAATCTGATCCAATTATTTCTACCACAGTTTTTTAGGACTTCTAACAGGTTAATTACTGTTTAAAAATTATGGATATACATTTTTTTTTGTATGCAAAAGTCCTTTCACCAGCCAAACCAAGGATCTTTACCTCACCTCAGTGAAGTTCTTGTTTGAAAATAAAATGGGAAATGTGACGTATTCCTTCAGTATAAATTGGATTAGGTGGCTTCGATCATCTGCTGAGCAAATCAAACTGTCTGACAGAAAACCCATAATGTGGAGCTGAGGAAACCTACAATAGTGCAAACACAAAGAAGAGAGAGCTTCAGAATGACTACCCACCCAACCATAATCATCCAATTCTAAGTAGAAAAAACAAACATATGACAGATTACAACATATTCTATCTACCTCATCTAGTTCTAAGTGGAAAGAAATAATACGTCATTTTCTTTCTTTTACCTCTGTTGAATTGACTTCACTTTTTCTAACATGATAGTAGCTTCACAACTGGTTGTTAAAGAAGTTTCAAGAAAACGCCCAGTAAGAACCAAGAAAGTTCCATCTCTTTTAGAGAAATCTTTGCCTCCCTTGGACCTATTCAACCAACAATGGCAAGGACCTGTACATTAATATAGAAAGTAAACAAGGGGCAAAGCACAATGGGAATACAAAATATAAAAGGAGCCAATTAAACAACAACTGGAATTTGAAAAAATTTCTCTTTACAAAGAAACCAACAATAATAACCATCGTCCTAGCCAATAAAAAGAAATATCCAAGAAAGTAATTTGAGTACCTTCAAGCTCATCTAATGAGGATTTAATGAAGGATGAAAGATCAAGTTCTTGGGCAGACTCGTAGGATACTTGTGATGTGGTTGAAAGCCTGAAAGAGACTGTCAATCAGAAGGCAAAGCTCCGATTACAAAAAACAACATAAACCCGCAGTTACAAAACAAAAATTTGAACTGAGCCAATTAACAATAGGACCCAGATAGATATCACTAAACAAAATGGACAAGCGCCTAGACCAATCAAGATGAGTATATCACAAAATCACAGGTGATAAGCTCCAATTGTATAAAACAACATGAACCCGAAATTACAAACAAAAATTTGAATTGAGCCAAGCAACAATTGGACCCAGATAGATATCACTAAACAAAATGAACAACCACTTGGAACAATCAAGATGAATATATCACAAAACCGCAGGTGAAATTCTATGAAAAGATATGCCCTTCCATGGCATGGATACAAATTGGAACAAAAATTTTAAAAACAAAACAAACAAAGTTGGATATAATTACCGCTGAGCACGGCACCCACTCGGTGGAATCCTTGTACCAATTCTTTCCCAAGCATTTGAGTGAGGAATTTTAGACAAAGATGATAACTTGGTAGCTGGTCTACATTGTAGATGATGATCACCTGAGCAAAGATACAAGCTTTAAGTCTCAGATTGACATTTTCTAAACTTCTACTTCTAATAGCAACACATTGCAAAGCTACACTCTGCTGCTTCCAGGTTAAAATAATTTTCTTTCACACCAAAATGGAATTGAAATGCATTGAGATAATAACAACTTCAAGTTTAGTGAGCTCACCGGAGTGAACTCGCGGCAAAAATCGTGAGATTTCTCTCAGACGCCGATATCTCAGAGCCATTTTTCTAACAGAAACATGTGATTCTCTGGTTCTCAGCGTTGGAATTTTGGTGAAACGCCAACGGCCCCACCGCCGGGGTTTCAATCTTGGGCTTAGGGTTTAGCCTTGGAAGCAAGGGTTTTAGGCATTGGAATGGGCCGCTTGTGCCAATTCATATTGGGCCTAGAGATTTGTTTAAGTTACCATATTGAGCCAGAACCCCAAAAGAAATAGTACCGCCGAGCGGCTATACACGATTTCTCCTAATTTTTTGAAAAGAATGGTATAGCCGGGCGGCTATACACGGGTTTTTTTTTATAAAATAGTATAACCGAACGGCTATACTCGTAATTTTTCTCATTTCTTTAAAAAGAAGAAAACGTATAGCCGTGTGGCTATACTCTGTGTTCCTAATTTTTTGACAAAAAATAGTATAGCACATATTTTCATGTATAGTACACTTAGTTTCTACAAACTTTTCAATAAAACACACATAATTCTCACATATTACTGAGTACAAGTATATATATATATATATATATAACACTTACGTATTTTATTTGTATAGTCGCGCGGCTATACCCAAATTAATATCTATAAAGTATAAATTAATGCAACTAGGAGGGTTTGTTTTTCTTAATTTTTTGAAAAGAAATAGTATCACCAAGGGGCTATACAAGGATTTTTTTTCTAATTTTTAAGAAGAAGTAGTATAGCCGCGCTGTTATGCTTTTTTTCCCCTAATTTTTAAGAAAAAGTAGTATAGCAGCGCTGTTATGCTTTTTTTCCCTTATTTTTAAAAAGAAATCGTATAGTCGGGCGGCTATACTCGGTTTTTCCTAATTTCATAAAGAAATAGTATAGCCGACCGGCTATACTCGGTTTTTCCTTATTTTTTTTAAAGAAATAGTATAGCCTACTGGCGATACTCTGTTTTCCCTAATTTTTTTTAAAAAAAGAAATAGTATAGCCACGCGGCTATACGCGGTTTTTCCAAATGTTTTTAAAAGAAGTAGTATAGCCGTCCAGCTACGGCTTACTCGTTTTTCCTTTTTTTAAAGAAATAGTATAGCCGCGCGGCTATATTTGGTTATTCCTATTTTTTTGAACATAAATGGTATAGCACGTATTTTTCATTTATAAAGCACTTATTTTTTACAAACTTTTCAATAATAGACACAAAATTCACGTATTATACACATAATTCTCACATATTATTGAATACAAAAAAAATATATTCAAATTTTTAAATAAATTACATCGAAATATATATAGTAGCCGAACTTTTAAGTTGTTTTGGCCAAATTTTGCCTAATAAAACACTTGCGTATTTTATTCGTATAGCTAGGCAACTATTCCAAATCAATCTATATATATAAAGCAAAAGACTGAGAATTGTGAAATATTCAAAATATCAGAAAATGCCCTTAGTTAATTCAAACATTAAAAATTAAAATTATTAATTAAATGAGGATAATATGGTAAACTCACATTTTTTCATATTAAAAAAATTAAAATTAAAAACAAGATCAGATAATAGGTCCTACTTTTATGGAATATAACTACCCATATTATCTTTTCTTAATTCTAAAAATAAAATAAAAAATAAAAAATAAAACTAATTGGCACACGGTATCTATAAAGTATAAACTAATGCAGCTAGGAGGGTCTTTTTTTCTTAATTTAAAAAAAAAGAAAAAAAAAGAAAAAGTATAGCCAGGCGGCTATATGCCGATTTTTTCCCTAATTTTTTTAAAAGAAATAGTATAGCCACACGGCTATACTCTTTTTTCCTTATTTTTTTTTAAGAAATAGTATAACCTTAGATCAAGAGAAATGGTAAGGGAAAAAATGGTAGAGTTAGGTTTTTTGTTTTATGAGTTGTGATTTTTTTCTCCCCTTGTTTCCTTTATAGACGTCCATTATGACACTCGTTTCTAATTTTTCCCGCATTCCTCGAGCTCTCACCCGTAATCACACATATGGGGTTTCAAACCGTTGCCACTTTCATTCCCCTCAAACACCTTATCCACCATGCTACAGACAACTTTGTGATTATATGTTACACCATTTGATATTTATAATGTTTCTACAATCTATTTTTTAAAGAAGTAGAATTTTAAATTATGATTTTTTTATTAATACTCGCACAAACTCCAAGTGGCCCTCGCAAATCCCAAGTGACAGCTCCAAGATAATGATGGAGACAAATATGGTAATATCTCATAAATTACGGGTGACAACTGCCATGGAAAGTCATGACAACTTTGTTGAATGCGTTCGTTCAAAAAGGTCATGTCATATGAGAACAACAATTTCAAACAAAGTTTTATGGGTATAGTGTCAGAAATGTGATAGTATTCTTAATGTAAAGTGTTGTTTGAAAAGTGAAGCAATTACCAAGACCACTCCAACTCAGCATGCAATTCTCTACGACAAATAATGTTGCAGTAACATAATTTAGTAGCACTTGAGAGAATGAGGTAGATCAAAGGCAAACATTTCCAGAAAAAATAAAAAATAAAAAATTGAACTCTCAGGTTGATTTATTGTGAAATTTCTATCTTTTCAATATATGCTTTGGATATGTTGAGACTAGCAAATTAATAACTATAAAGTATAAACTAATGGAAGTATGCCACAAATTTCAATATTGCTAGGGCACACTTCATTTTGGGCTTAGGGGTTAGCCTTGGAAGGAAAGGTTTTAGGCATTGGATTGGGTTGCTTGTGCCTCTTTCATATTGGGCCTAGAGATTTTTTTTAAGTTTCCCTATTGGGCCAGGCCCAAAGATTATTATGAAATCCTCTTTTTATCACCAAAAAAAAACAATGAAAAAGAAGAAGAAGTATTCTTCTTTTGCATGATAACATAGAAGTTTGGATAGCAAATGTAGATTAAGCCAGTTGGTCAAGGCAATGTACTCGGCTGCCCCATTGCACTTGAATTTGATCCCTTTTTCCTGTACATTACAATAGTTTAGAATATCGCCCTTTGACAAAGAAAAAGAAGTAATGATAGATTATATTTAAAATAAATAAATTAAAAGTGTTCCCAATTCCCACCTCTTTATGATGAAACGGTTAAGCATGCAATTATTTAACTATGTGACAGGTCACTTTTTTCTGTCTTTGACTGAGATTAAAGCGAAAGTTACTATTTATTTACCTTTTTCAAGAAAGAAACTGGGTGAAGAAAAATTTATTTTAAAGTTCAAACGGCTTTGCATAAACTTGATGCATTGCTGTTCCATTAAATACTACTGGAAATTTGAAACATCCTTGTCGTGCATTTTCTAAGCTCTCTGTCTTCCATGAAAACAATGGCCAATCATTCTTAAATGATTTTTTGTGTCAGTTTTTATCTTAGATCTGCAGCTGCTTTATTGGTTTTATTTTTTAATTTAGAATTTGCTTTTTCTTTATTGATTGGACTTCTATGTCAGCAAATGAGTATAGAGTCTCAAGTGTGCAATATGCCTTTTCTCATCTGGCTTGCCCTAGGCTTTTATTTTCATGAGTCAATTGGCCAAGCACGCATGCATTTAGGTAATTTTGATCTGGGAAGATAGAATTTTACGATGATAATGAAGTTCCTCGCAGAAATTGACCTTTTGGGTTGCCATATTTTTGTGCGTGAATGCTGCAAGAGTTGTAATTTGCCTCCACACAAATGTGAAAATGAAATGACAATGCAGAACTAGATGCTGCTAAAAGTGATTTTGAAAATAAAAAATAAAGAAATAGAAATTGCAAAGTTGTAGCCTCAGTGCAATATTACTGTGATTAAAACATGAAACAGGTGTCATGACCTCTCACTTTCAGTCCACAAAACTGTAGAGATTGCATTTGAGATTTTGCTTAACAAAAAATACATTATATATTGGGAAATAATTTTCTATATAGATTTTCAAAAAGCACCATGATAAAGCCTATGATTGGGAGCAGTAGCTTATCCAGCAGCAACAGGCAATGATACTGTTATCATCATCAAAATCATATATGACTTTAATTTGTTGTTTGCTTGGTTGGAATCAATCAGCTTTCTCGGATTTTGTGTTTGAGAAGACAAAAGCCAAAGTCCAAAAAGCTATTTGATCAAATAATTTCATTTTTCAGCGAAAACAAAAGGTCCTGCCTCTCCCTTGCTTCCACCACTTTGTTTCAGATCTGACACCTGTTCAAGTACGGCTTAGTAAAATAGTGCTATTCCCGTTGCAACTAAGCTATCACCCGGCCTTAGATTTCCCTTCTTATTATCTGCCCCCTTTTCTTTTCTTTTTATCTTTCTCAACTTTGATTTTGAAACCCCAGCTGCCTAGCCAATACAATTTAAAGAAGCACCATCCCAGCAACATTCAACCCACATATGCTACTTTTATTTTTTATTTTTTTTCTGATTAATTATATATAAATATGTGCATTTCTTTCTTGAAATTGAACTTGTACTATGTAAGTTCATCAGAAAGTTCAGAGAGTTGTTGTGGACCATTATTATACCACATGAACAAAAACCAATCACAAACACACAAAGCATTTTATTAAAATATATAAAATTATATAATTAGAAGAAACAAATTAACAATAATCCCATTTATAATCCATGAGATCTCTATACCAACCCAAAACCATACCATGCTCCATCATCATCTATATTACATAAACATATATGAAATATTAATAATTTTAAAGTGTCTCTTGCTATACATTTCTAGCCCCAAAAACAAAAATGCTAATTAATATGATGACGATAACAACAATTAAGGGCAACAAACCACTCATCACTGAGGACAAAGCAGTTTTAAGGCGAACTCAAACAATAACCACAAAGATGACAAACCATAATAACTATTGCCGTTACGACCCATATCATCTCTGCCTCTTTCCATCTCTGCTAGCTTGCTAGTTTGAGATGGGGTTTGGTCCGCTAGGAACTTCATGAGCTTCAGCTCCGAACTCTCTTCTAGCCCTCGCAGTCGAAGAAGTAGCAGAAGTGCGTGAGTTTTGGGTTTTCTTTGGGT